GGATGATCGGTTATCATTTCCATGTAGAAATTGGGAAAGGCCAACACCAAGAGGGCCATATTCTATATTCAGACTATGTCATTTTTAGGTTGCGTCACTCTGATTGGTTCCACGACAATCATTATTTACCTAGTACATGGTCCATATATTCGCGATCCTCCTCTCATATTTAGGACTTGGCGTATTAGTTGCTTATTATTTTGGTTTGGTCCAGTTACCTCTACTTCGGGTTTTCGAACAGCCTCCAATATCGATTCGTATATTCTATAATATCCAGAGGGATCGCGGAACTGGGCGCGGTATAAACTGACAGGGGTAGCTTCGTACCTGACAATCCGAATACATCACGTTGGTAGCACAACAGATCGCCAGCGACAAAAACCGTTCACAGTATTGCACTGCGCATCTAAGACATAGAGGAACATATCGTGTAATCGCGGTTCGAAATCAATTATTCTGAGACCTAGCTATTATTTTGCAGAGCTTCTCACGGCTTTCCGCATGAACGAACGTGAACGTGAACAAACAAGACAACCGATTACGACTACAATAGCCCCTGAAGACAATACTTATCTTAAGGGGGCTGTGAAATCCGTTTAGGTCTGTCCGTCATTGGGGAACCATGGTGGATTACATGAATGTTTCCTGATTTACGCTAACGGGTTAGTCAAGCTTAGGTACTGGTCACAGTGACGAACAAATGCCGTCACGTTTACAGTAACTAGATGTATCTAGTATCTACCTTGCAATCATGTCCGTCTGTACATGTAATAAAAGCGTACCCGGTATGCTACTAGGTACTAGGTATGTTAGGGTACCAAGCTGCTAATCTAGGGTATTTGAAGCCTCGTGTTTCTGCGGGAGCTCCCATGCAGGGGACCCTTTTCCGGCATTCTCGCCATCATTCTCATTGGAACGATCTAGAGGGAGGTGGTTTGGGTAAGATATCGAGGCGTAGAGGATATCTAGTACCACGCCTCACTTTTCTCTGGTTAATGTTTCGGTGGGTTTTTTTTTCAATGATTGTCGACTCATGTCATGCGGCCCGAGTCCTTGGGTCCCCCATTCCCTCTGCGTCCCAGAAGTCTGGTTGTGATAGCACGACGTGATGCAGCTGCCTTTTGCCGTTGATCTAGTACGATCAGCTACCTTCCTGGGCATTAGATGTGCCCGATTATCCCTATGAAGAAAAAGCATTCAGTACCAGTTGGTTTGGTATTACGAAGCCATCTCCACGATATCCATCAGTATTGTTCCTACATACCAGATAAAAAAAAGTCCCGGCACCAACTTTGGTTGGCTATAAAGATTACCACATTTGACTCCAAAGGCGATAATTGGGTAAACAGTGTCGCCGGTTTTCTCTAAAGCCGGACTTGCATATGCCAATCAAACATGCATTCCCTCTTTACGGAATACTTTCCAGGCTATACCGATATATTTATTGCCCACGGAAAGGGACCGCAGAAGACATCCAATCCAATATCCATGAATCATCCCGGTGGGTACCAACTGGAGGCTCCTAGGGCACCGTAAGTTGACAAGATCAGCCAGCTGAAAGAGTTTCGAGCCCATGAAAGGGTGTATCAAATCAAAGCTCCGACTTCAGCTCTGCTTCTCAGTGGTACTGAACCAATGGTACATGAAGTATAGGTATCCATTGATGTTTCCTATCCCATCCAATTCACCAATCAGGGACCGTTGAATAGTGTTACCAGCAGGGGATGAAAATGGGAGCTCAATGGTCGACCAGGCAATTCCAGTCAATTTTTCTCTTCCCTACACCCTTCTTTACAGTACATACCGTCTACGTCGTGCGGCATACTGCATTCCTCCAACGGGACTAGAAGCCCGTATTCGCGATCAATGCAACATCGTCTTCTTCTACTCCTAGCACTCAGATTCTTCTGGGTGAGCGGCGCTCCGGCGGCAAGTGCGGTTCCCGCGATCTGGGTCTACTATCTATTCCCCCGATGATCGCGCACGGGGGTCAAGCAAACACGTCCGGGGTTATCGCCCATACAGGCGCGTCCAAGTTTTTGCCAGCCCTGCCATCATGCAACTCTTCGCTGTCGTCAGCCGCCACAACACGGGGGTCAAGCTTCTTTCTTTCCTCAAAAGGGGGGTGGATGAGGGTTATTTACCTTAATAAGGCTGTATTTAACTCCGACAGCGGGCACAAACAACCTTGGATTACCGGAGAACGGTTCAATGCGTGCACACACACGCGCGCGCACGCACATTGCACTTATTATAAGTAATTACCAAGGTACTACTAGCAGTAGGTAGGTAGGAAGTTACATCATTCCGTCGCATGGGGCATATCATGGTAATATCCCGCACTCCCGCCTTGCATATGATACCTACCTACCTACCTTATACATATACCGGTACTAGTGTTGGTATGTCGGTAGGTATGTATTGTACATATCTTACCATACCATTGATAGGTACGTACGTGCAAGTAGCCGTTCGACCCAGTAACGGGTAGCCCACGAGGTTACGATGTCGCAACCCGTCCTCCCTGCCTGACTGCCTAGCTATGTAGCTAGCTAGCTATCCTTGCTACATACACACTGCATACAGCAACCATCATTACCTCCTGCGAAGGGCCTGCTCCTTTCCAGACTTTGGAGAATGGCCCATTGGAGATATGTGGCGTCCGCATATGTCGTGACACCCAAACCCCTAGTTCCCCGGTGCGGCCTACCCTTGATTTGTTTCTTTTCATTTGGAGAAAAGAGGTTTTTTTTTTTGGTCTTGATTTTCTTTTTTTACTCTTTCCATGTCCGTAAAGTGATGTGATGCGCTGCGCTCTGATGCAGACCCGTCGGTCTGCGCAAGCTTTTGCCTTTTTTCCGCCTTTTTTTTGGTCCTGGATCGCCGGTTTTTACCTCCCCCCAGGACCTGGAAACGGTGATTGATCGTCTCCCTGTCTGTCCCTCTCTGCTGGGGTTTGTTTTTTTTGGGATGGCCTTTTGAAAACAATTGACGTTTTTGAAGAAAAAAAAAACAAACTGCGTCACAGATGGGTAGGGTTTCATTATTATTTCCGGAAACGAGTTTCATTGGGTACGCCAGCAGGGAAAGAAGAGGATGATGGAAAGATATCGAAAGTTTGAATAATCTGCAATGCGGGTAGATATTTTCGAATGCGTCTTGCATACATAGGTATGTACACTCTCGCTCACATCCATGCCTAAAAAAATATCCTATGTATGTAGGTAGGTAGGTATGTATCACCAACCTGCCAGCCTGCCGGCCTACCCAACTTTTTCACGGGTAAGGTACCTAGGTAGGTAGGTTAGTGAGGCTCGTTGAGCTCACCTTACACGACACTACATGAGACACACAACCTTTTTTGCCGCAGTGGATCGATCATGACAGATGCCAATGTGCGATGCTGCGCCAAAATGCAAAAATGCTGTCGGCATATAGTCGATTCTGTCTCGATGTTATGCATCATCCACATATCCATTTCATTTCCCTACCTACTCACATATTCATTCATGGCTGGGTACTAGGCATGTAGGTATGTATGTATTGTACCTCCGCAGCAAACCTCCTCCTCCACATGTCGGCATTTCGGGGAGCCGCCTCACTCAAGCTCGTAACCACCAACCCCAGGCAACGGACGGACTAGGAGCGGATAGGTGCTGCGCTGCGGATTTTGTTCCCACATCCAATTCGCGAAAGTGAGGATCCCCCCATCATGGCCATGATCATGTCGCGCGCGCGCGCGCAAGTCCCCACGCCGACGGGGGAGGGATTAATAAGCACTAAAGGCAAGGCAAACTGCAAATATCTTCGCTCTTTCGGTCCGTTGATCTCCTGGCGAAATACCGGTTTTCTTGGTTATTGGGCCTGCTTATTGTAGGTACCACACGACCGTCTCGGTACGCTTGAAATTACGATCACCCGAACTCCATATCCACCGCACACGACGCTTTTACGCGTATAGATATTAGATACCGATGCTTCGTTGTCAAGGCGGCAATGGAAAGTATGGCTGGCTGGGTAGGGTAGGTTGTTGGCACGAAGCCATCACAATCTCGCACGTTTCTTGTCGTTGAGGGGGAGCCCGTTCTATTCGTTGGACCGCGAAGATTGGTTGATTGGGCGGGCAGATGGATGGAGGGATGGATCTAGGTACCGTTCCCACGCCGGCCCTATTAATAAGGGATCTATCGATCTTGGTTAGGGTACAATCCATAGTTACAATATCGTGGGTTGGCCAGATGGGTTGGATCTATAAGGTACTAGCTTCGTCGCTAGCGCCTGGGAGGGTGCTTGATTAGCTTGGCCTCTTGGTTTGCTTGGTTGCTTGGTTGCTTATCGTGGTGGGTGTCCACATGGGTACTAGGTCGGTTTGGATAAGGATAGGATGACGACGGCTCTTGTTGTGTATAGGTTGAGATAGGGGCTACACGGCGGTATTGTTGGATAGGAGTGTTGAATGGATGGATGGAATTTCATGTGATAGGTATCTACCTACCTAAGTAGGTATGTTAGTAGATTGTCGGCTTTATCAAGCAAGTCTCCAGGTTTGATCTTGAAGATGCCAGGGGAGATTTGGCAAGCAAGAGTGTATAAGTCTGTTCACCTAAGTAGTATAGGCAGGACAATAATTATAGACAACAGACCTCCCATTACCAGACCAATTAACAGTTGACAGACTGCCATGCACAATTCTTAGTCATACGCAACAGCTGAGCAGACATCATGTCTACTCATTCGACATCTACGTAGACTTGTGGGGAGCTGCTGTGGTGATATCAATATGCAAGATAATCTGACTACTTACTAGGTACTTGATATCATTTGAATGTCGTGGAACAAGGAGGTTTACTATATGCAGGTACATACCTACATATACATATGTCAATATTAAAGGGGCTGGCTGTGGAAATGGTCGAACCAACAAGCAAAGAGTCAAAGACGGCATGAAGGCAAAAAGAAGAAGTAAACGTGAAAATAAAAGCATATTAAAAAAATTAAACAACCGCACCTGGGACTCGAACCCAGAATCTTCGGCTTATTGATCTCAGCAATAGAAGGCCGACGAGTTAACCATTTCTCTAGTGCGGCCATTTTTCTTTTCTTTTCTTTGTGCCTACTTCGCTTGGGGGGGAGCTGGTTGCAAGAGATGGGATAATTGGCAAATATAAAGGGAACACACACAGGGACACAGGGCTACAATGAGGTAGTGGCCTTTGTTTGTCAGGGACTGACTGCACCGCACCTGCGGCCAATCGAATGACATGACACTCTTGTCAGATATAAACTTCAATTGTCGGCAGGTACGATATGTCTATGGAAGGCGCGGCTTTGCTTTCTTGCTTCAAGGCTCAATGTTCCCTTCAATCGATGGGAGGACGTTATGTCCCTGATTGAGATAGGTACTTATAAGTTATTGTAATTGCTAGAAGGCTCCATGGCCCACCACTCCTTCCTCATTGATATGTCCGGGTACATGTGGATGTATTGAAGGAACAGTTAACGTGCTACAACTTTGAAGTTTGAATCAAATTAGAGTTGACTATGATGGGTTTCTGTAACTGGCAGGGACAGCTGGTGCATACTTAGGGTACATAAAGGACATCTGGAGTGCATTCGTGTTGAAGTCCCTTAATCTCCTCAGTAGGTACATAGTATATACATGTATGTACCTACTAGGTAGGTTAGGGATGCACCTCCGATGTCCTTTCCTAGATCGATTTATTTACTCAGTACTGACCAGCCTCAAGTGCTTGTTATTCCTACATAACCTTGGAACTCTTCCCTCTTAAATGCCAATTCTATTCAATATCCTATTATATTGTCATTGAGTGCATAGTCCTTGAAAACACATGGAAGTCGCCAAGTAAATCTTCAACTAAAGCTGCATATGTACGTAGGTATCTAATTAACATATCACGATAATTGGCTCTTGACATATCAGGACATCTGTTGATAGGCTCTTTTGGGAATTTCTATTGGCGTTTACTAGACATATACCTAACATTAAACCTACTAGGTCAGGTAGGTATGTAGGTAGGTACCTGGTAATTACACGACATGACAATTACTAATGCAAGGTGCTACTGGACTGGCGCAAATGCGCAGTTGAATCTCGTCGTTTATTGATCTGCGCATTTGCGAACTTGGGAGGGACTCGAAAGACCTAAATAGCCTTGTTTGGATTGACCCAAACTTCTCTCCAAGTTTGCTCATATGAAAACTTTCCTTAGTAATCCGAAAGGGTCATATTGCACATCCAAGTATATCAGTATACTATGATATCAAGCTCGCGCCCCGCTACAATGTCGGTACGGCGACAGACTTCCATTTCGAATTACAGCTACAGTAGAGTGCCACCGGGCTCTCAAGTCCTCCACGAGAAATGCTTGACGAAGTCGCATAAAAGATTTTTATCCATCGAAGTTTATTTAAGAGAGGATGACGGGAATACTTTTGCCCTCTTGGCAAGAAAGGAGGCGGACCACATATTCAAGATACAAAACATAATCAACGATGTTACCAACTGTTTAGATGGAATTTCTCTCAAACGCAAGGTAATCATTAAACTCCCTTTTCCCGGATAACGTTCCCTGCTAATCGATATAGTCTTTTGGCTATCCTAGCGTCTCATTGATACATGAGCTTCCATGTCCCAGCCTTATAGAAAGCTCCACGATTTCCGGGTCTTCATTGTGAGCTTTCTATTACACTCACTATCTAGGACACTCATGCTGACCCCCAGCTCAAGAGTCTCTCAAGATACACCAATGCCGAATCACAAGCTCAATGACCCTGATTCGGTTGATCTTGATGCATCAACAGATACATCATCTGAGGACGAGGAAGAGGAAGAGGAAGAGGAATACGATGATCCTTTGGAAAGCTTGCACTATACAATCAGACAAGTCTTCTCATACGACACTCAATTAGCAGATAATATTATCAATTACTTACATAGGCTCCCACCGGACCGCCGGGGTTGGTTTTATAGATATGGTAAAACTCGACACTCGGGTTCCAATGGATCTCAAATCCCGAATCAGTCAAGTGGATATGGTGAAAATCCAGTCCCACGAAAGCGAAAACGCGGTAGTAGTGAGCAACGGCTCGGCTCGGCTCAGAAAAGAGTCCCTGGAAATAAGGACGATGTTACCAATAACGGTCAGGACGAAGGTGTTCTTGTAGTTCATCGACCTTCAACACCACCCGTCTGCAAGAGATTTGCCTGTGGATACAACATATATGATAAGGATATGTACAGTCCGAGGAACACCAGAGGAAGGACTGCAACACAATACAAATCTTGTGCTGGCCCTGGATTTGAAAGTCTCAATCACTATAAGTCTGTTGTACAAATCAGTCCATACTTTTACATATGCTAATCTAATAAAAGACGCCACTTAGAACGTGTTCACCTTCGCCATCAATGTCCCCGATGTGGACAAACTTTCGACAAGCCAGGACAACTCCAGGCCCATTTAGCGCAAGACCCAAGGTGCGACCAATTGCCATTCGAGAAAGTGGGTAGCATGTCCCTGTCATCATGGGACGATGTGCAAGTAGCCTTGAAGAAACACCGCGGAAATCAGGTTGAGATGTCAGATGCAGACCGATGGTTCCTTGCTTGGGATGCTCTATTTCCAGGAGTAACAAGACCTACAACGCCCTGTGAGTTATGACCATTTCTTGACTGAGCTATTGAACACAACATTCACGTTCGGCACCTCTCCCGATGCAGTTATACTGACTCTAAACATGAACAGACTATGAGGAACAGCATGCGCATACCCAAGCTTATCCAGCGGTGTTTTCTCGGATCGAGGAAATATTTGGTGGGCTTCTGAATCACCAACCACGACTTGCTCCTCTACAAGATGAACTGATGGGGATTTTGAGGGATGCTATCAACGCGGCAACCCAAAGCACGCCACTGTTAGAGACAGAGACCAATGGTCCTAATACTGCTTTCCAGTCTGATCAAGAAATGAGGTTGATCGATACACAAAGCTATCCTCTCGACCAAGAGAGGGCATTCCACTTTCAAGCCCATCCCTTATTAACAAATAATATCCTAGATCCAGTGGCTTCGACGGATAAGCCTCGCTCTGAAGAAACTAGGATAAGGGACAATATGGAGCCTGCAGACCAACTCGGATTTAGTGGTCTTTTCGGGGCTGGTTTTGTTGGTTAGTTTCTTTCTATATCCTCACAGCGTTGTTCATCTTCCTAGTTATAAGCCTAACAACTTTGCCAGACCTGAACCTTGAACATAGCGGATTAGGTCTTTTCGGGAACGAAGACAACGGCAACGGTGGCTGGTGACTTGTTGATACCCAAGAGCAGAAACATGTGTATTAATCATTCTCCGGCTTGCAATCAAGTGACATGGATAGGTTGTACAGTGAAGTAGGTATGTATGTGTTGATCTATTCTTGTGCATTGGATACATTGATGTATAATGCTCATCTATCGAGTCAAGTACTCACTAGGTAAGCAAGCAACTGAGTTCATGTTCTCACAAGCATAACTACTGTCGTATTGCTACACCACTCGTCCTCACATCTGTGGTTTAGGTATATGAGTTGCTAGAGACGATCGACACTACACGTATCCATGAATGCAAAAGACCCGAGCAGCTAGATTAGGATTTGGCCTATGGATGTGTTTCGGGGTAATTGGGCAGCACGGCCACATGGAGTTGTAAGAAACGTTGCCAGCACAGTACTAGAGAGGGTTATCATATACCTAGCTGGGCAGGCTATGCATCTGCTAGGGCTGTTAGTCTGGCAGTCTCGGAGAATTTGTTTGAGATTCGAGATTAGGGCTGAAGAACGGTGGAGTCGGAATACGGGAGGTTGGATGGAAGTAACCTTGGGTGAGGTTCTATTCTATGTTGCAATAAGGGGCACATCAAACATACTAATCTATAGGTATTATCACTGTAGTAGGTGATGATAAAATACATGCAACTTATGGCAGCATTGATTCTCTTATTCAACACGGTCTTTTGGTGGTTCGATGAAGCATCTCTTACTAACTGCATACGTTCTCCCAGCTCAAGCGCTGTGCTGTGCCGCATGCGGCGTGGACCCCGCCCGCGCCGATGCCGATCTTTTGATAACTACTCCGTACCGCGACAAGGGCGATCTTTCGTGAAGCTTTCTTTCTTTCTTTCTTGCCACTGGTCGCTAAGAAGCCAATCGACCGATACGATCAGTGCCGTGTGCTTATTATGACGTCCCGTCAGATTGGTGATGTGCCGGTTGTATTTGGACAGGTAGGTGGTGGTCTTGGCGGTGACTAAGCTTATGTTAGTTAAGGTTGGGTCGATTCGACGACCCCCTTTATGTGGATTTAGATGGGTTGGAGTCCGGAAGTAGATACTGCCACGAGGCGGGACCTGGATGATGTAGAATAGGGTCGTTGTTCCGCGGGGATATCTGATAGCGCCGTGGAGACTATGGAGGCTACCTAGTAAATATACCTACTTGTAGCCCCCCTGGTAAAGTCAGTCTACACTCCTCTGCCTCTACTAGCCCCTGGGCAAACCTTGACAACCACCCCCTGAAGAAGTTACGTACATCTAGAAGATATTATAGTGTAATTGATGTAATTGATGTAATTGAATTCATTTGAAGTAGAGATCTGACTATTTCCTCGGAAAGTCGAGGCGATTCATATAACTTGAAGTATCATTTCGTGATAACTTTTGGTGTTTTGGTGATAACATAGGTACTAAATTGTCTTTGACGTACTGGTGAAGGTACTATGAACCTTATCATCAGCTACATATGACAAAGTGTGTTCAACAGCGAGGATCTTTCCAAGTAAATGTGTGGAACCAGGGACTTATAGCTTAGGAACCAATGTTAGGGACTATGGGCCCAGTACATACTGGGTACAGAAGACCTCAGGCCTCTACAAGGTTGGTAACCTAGTGGGTGAATCTCATGATAGTTTAGTTCCTTAACTACATAGACCCCACTCTTTCAGCCTTACCTATCATCGATGTTTACTGACAGTTCTCGTATACCTAAGCATGAACAGTAGCCGTGTACTGTATCTGGAGTAGCTCGTGTCCGCATTTAACACACGTTATTACCTGCACACCAACTCCACGATCGCTTCAGAAGTGGGCCCCGTGGAATCTTAGTGAGTTGAATCGATTCCACTCAGTACACACCAAGTGGAAATACGTGGAATTGATCTCAGCCCTAGCAGTGACTGAAGACTATGAGATGTTGTCATGTGTAGGGGCTATTTAGTCATATAGGCTCTCGATACGACGAAGCGTACCTAGTAAGCAAGAGCAATCCGCATGCCACACGTCACATACCGCAGGCCAACATCTCGTTCAACAGTCCACTCACCGCGGCTATCACGCTGGTTTTGATGGGATATTGATGATTTTATGCTACGGGCTGAGCTATCCGCACCACAGTGACACAGCCTCTCCTGAAGCCGTCGATGGAGACAGAAAAGTGTATATAAGAAGACGGCCTCGTCCTCCCAGTTCAGATCTAAAACATCAACAAGCCATTCCACATCATCATCATCACTCAACAGTCTCTCCTGAGTAACCTCGTCCTCCCTCTTAACAAACAACAAACCACCTACCTAACCTATCCACCAACAAAACCATCAAGATGCGCTTCCAAGCCACCTTCGCCCTCCTCTCCCTCATCACTGCCGCCGCCATGGCCACCCCCCTCGACAACAAGCCCGCCGGCCACGTCGAGGTGTTCCCCCGCACGGCCTGCAAGCCCCCGAACCCGTGCTCCCACCTCGTGGACTGCAACTGCCCCGGAAACAATGCTGGGATATGCGTCAATGGGTAGGTTTGGTTTTTTTTTTTGAGCAAACCCCTTAACCCCCCCCCCCCCCCCCCCCCCCTTCTACTCTCTCCCTTTAAGATGTTGATTGAGCTGACAAATGTTACCTACGCACCACAGCGACTGCACGTGCCTGGACTGCTAGGCAATTTACAAGCATACCTAGAATATATATACATCGGACATCGCGCTCTGTTGGGGGCTGGTGAGCCGAAGCTTGAGAGCTGGCTTATCTAGTACGGGGGGGATTTGGGTAAACCATGAGAAGAGAGGATAGGGGGGCTTGCAAAAGGGAATTTTTTTTTATTACTATCATGGCTGTTGTCTCACGGTATATGAGAGACCACACTCCTTTATTTAGATTTGGTCGACGATCTGAATACCTATAGGTACACTTATATATACCTAGCACTCTTATTTGTGAAGTGTCTGCTGCAGTGGTGTGTGTGATACTTTGAGAAGCTGTAAAGTTTGCATGAAATTCGATATAACCAAAATAGACATCTAGATTTCTTATGTGAAGGGTGAATGACCTTCAGTATATATTGCTAGTGAATATCTCGTTGATGAATGGAAAGAAAAAAAAAATGTAGGTTGTTGGGATCACGTGATAGCCCTTGCCGCACACTAACACATTTGGATGCAGACATACCTATCCTACAGGTTTACCAGAGATTTTGCTGAGGTACTACTAGGTACCTAGGCAGTGCCAAATGCAATATATCGAGTGTTTCTGCTCTTCAATATTTATCTATCATAGCTTGGGTCACATAAATACAAGAGGCCTACCTATGGCATTTCGGATATCGCAAGAAATAGGAGAAAATTAACAACATCGGAAAAAAAAAAGGAGAAAAGGTTAGATGGTACCTACGTTGATAAGAATCCACAGGTCACAGCTAGGGGGCTAAATCTAGTGAATCCGGCTGTGACTATGGAGTTGTGACAAGAGGTCGCCCCTTATGGAGATGCTAAACTGAGTATAACTAGGTACACTGTAAGAGCGGTCCTAGACACGGAGGATCGAAGTAAGCAAGGAAGACTAGGTGCCTAGGTAATCTAGTAACTAACCTTGTCTGGGTGTTAAACCATGCAGGTACGGTTCTGGAAACCCTCCCCTTGGTGAATACTCCCTTTTTGAAGAAGATCATGCCTGACATCTCGCAATAATCAGGTGAATGATGGTACACCACGGCGCGGAAGCGGTGATATAGAGGAGCTACGATAGCAAGCTTTTGTACTCGAGGCGGCCGTCAAGCATATGAGAATGGGTGGTGGAAATGGATGTTGCAGGCGAGTAGTTAGGTGGGTGGATCACGTAACTGCCTACTAACACCGTGCTGTTCGGGGTGGAAGTTATGACAAGTCAGGCGTTAAGGCATACCTAGCATACTTTGAACCGGTTACCTTTATGGAATAGGACGTGGGAACTGGCCCATGTCATCTGTATTGACAAATCTTGCGGTAAACACAGCAATCGCGGCTTAAACTGGCGATGGCGACGGACTGAACGAGCCGGGGGAAATGGTAACGGTGTACATAGGTACTATTGATATCTGCAAACTCCTATTCTTACTGGATGGGCCAGACATGTCTACCTACCTACCTACATATCTATCTACCCTCACACGTCATCCTAACGTGCAATTGCTCTCACGAGGCTTTGGAAGATCTAGCCGATGAGGCTCCCGCGGATAAGAGGGGCTTCATACCCAGATGAACTGTAGTAGGCATACACTAGAATTTGAAATATGATGAGCGAATGAAGCACCGCCGCTGAGGCTTGGCTGTAACCCATACCTAGCATAATCCCTTTAGGTTACCGAGCTGTAAGCCGCTTGGGTGGCATTGACGTTGGCATTTGGAGTTTAAAACTACCAAGGTAGGGCTGGCGTCAGATATGACGTGGGTAGGTACTGAAGCTGCAGGCAGGCGGTATGGCACCTGTGTACGGTATTAGGGAGATGGAGAGAGAGATGATGGTAAAATACTACTAGTATATAGGGAGATTGACAGATATAATAATATGTGAATATGCCTACGAAAGCACGTGGTGCACGTGACTATATCTACATTCTATTATGCATGTCTTACCTCGGTGTAGAACACGTTGTAGATGGTTTAGCTCCCCATGAACTGGGACTCTCGGCCCATGCTGTAAGATTCGCCGAGACGATAAATGCATGATCTCCTTAGTAATGGAGAAGCATGCGCCGTGAACTTGAAACCCCTGTTGCGCTATATAGCCATTAGACGACGCAATTGCTATAATCTTTCAGTGGTGTCAGGCAGTGTAATTACGGATTGATATATAGGTAAGTACCTAGGCACATTATCTTTACCTAGGTGCCCACGTGAAGATGTGCAAGATTCACCGGGAGTGGAATGTCTATGATAGATCATATTGGCGGGTGTGTAAGGCTTGGCCGGTAAGGGTTTCAGTGTGAGTCAGGTAGAAAATTGCTAGGTTAGGATGAGATCCTGCACGTGGTTCGGGGTTTGCAATCTTTGAACATTCTTTGATCTCTGATAAAGAGAGGGAGGGGAAAGAGAAGAAAGAGTGCGAGGTCGACTTTGTCGAGAAACTGGTGGAAATTAAGACGGAGAGTTATTGTAACGTTGGCTGATGATATACCAGGGTCATTGGTGTCACTTTGGGATATTCCTCTTTGTTGAGATTGCCCTCATGCTACTATCCTTTATTTGAGTCGAAGAATTGAAAATTAAATGAAGTCGAAATATTGAATCTTTCACAGTACAGTACTGTCAGTACTCTTACAACGAACATGTTTGCTGGATTTCTATTTTTAGGTTGCGCTCATCACTAGATCAATTCAATAACTCCACTACATTAGCTGATCCTGTAGTGGCCCGTAGGTACTTACTTAACCTAGTACATCACCTGGGGAACTTTATATCGCTGCCTGGGCCCTGGAGTCTGGACTCTGGACTGCTACATTAACTTAGTGATCATCAACTTTTAGGACAGCTATGTTATTAGTGCTACTGCTACAAGTCAAAAAGCATGATACAGCTGAAGCTAGAACGCCCACTAACAGATGTAACAAGGGTAAACAGTTGAGAATGGATAGCTGCCTATTATATCATCTCCACCATGGCACCATCAACATTAACCCCCTTTCACTGACCTGTAAGCAAACTGCTCTACCTACAACTGGAATGCAACTACCCATCAGCATGGCCAGCTGGCAAAGCCAACTAATGTCCTGACATCTCGCAATAAGTTGCACTTCGGTCCCGAAAGCACGGACCGTAATAAGTTCTCAAGTTGATTAGGTGAGACCAGTTTACTCCAAGGGTGGCCAAACATGGTATGGACTGTATGGTCACTATGGCCACTATGGCCACTCTAAGGTTATTCTGAGAAATGATTGTCGGCAGATCTTGCACTACAATCCTTCGCCTTTGCGGGGTTCGACAAGATATCTCTTTCTGGAAGATATATTGCAACCTGCACTGATATGGCAAGTACATGTATCATCATGTATGTAATGTTGCACTCTGTTGCACCACCAAGTATGTACCTCTCCAAGCAGCATACACACACACTGATACATCACCTACACTCCAATGCATATATTACCTGCATGCCAGCTAGTGGTAGAATACATAAGGTGGCCAGAGTTTTCCCAGTCCGATCTAGCCGCATAATGAAGTCTTCGGCTGAATGGCATGTCTTGGGGTTCTGTGCCGCAGATATTAGGTACGTTGTGCAGATCTACCCATCCCACAATATCCTTTTTCGATCAGCTAGGGACCCTGTAGGCTTGTGCGGATAAGAATAGGGCATGATGTATCCTGTTGCCAAACGGAAGGAGGAGAAGCGAGAATCGGAACATTCTCATCAAGTCTTTGTCTTAGATTGACGTATCTTTCACACACCTTCTGCGGCAGACCGCAGTACATTACATTACATTACAGATAGTTAGGTGTATTCAATGTTATTGCGAGATGCGTCCTTTTTAGAACAAGGCTCCGTCCCGTCTTCAACCAGCAAAGCAAACATTGAACCTTCGGCGATACTACCCCTGACCGATTGGTGCATTTGGATGAAAGAACGGAAGTCAACATACACATACCTAGGTAAGTACCTACATATGCTAACAAAGGTAGGTTATCCCTATGTAGAATACTTTTGTGATAATGGCTTGCTTACTTGCTTCTTATAATATGAGAGCTGCGCCCCAATATGATGTAGCACGAATCATCCCGAGGGTCTCACCTAAGTAATCCTAGGGTCTCATCATCCCATATAGAGGCATATAGAGGTGGGTACCTCGTCTCAGCTGAAGCCTCACTGGGCAGTTCGATAACCGGTTCCGGCACCTAAGACGCCGCACCTTGCAGGTTAAGAAGCGGCTCGTCCGCAACAACCCATATACATTAGCCCCCCCCCCCCCCCCCTTCCCCCCTAAGGATTTAAATCTGACCTCTTTTTTTTTTTTCTTTGCCCCATTCCTACCGGTCAATTGCACCAACATGGCATCCGTCCTCAGGCTGGCCACCTTGAGTTATGCGGTCGCTTGTGTTGATGCGAGCCTATTACACTGGCCTGGTCGCCATGCAGGAGGAGGAACAGGAAATTGGGGTCCGGCTAAAGAGACAAACGGTCTCGCGGAAATAGACCCTGCGGGATGGACGCCGAAGCCAACTGCGCCGCCGGCGGTGGCCTACCCGTTCGACCTCGACCTTCGGAGGAGGCAGCAAAGTACCGTCTCTAATGCTACGTGCGGATTTCCAATTGGTGATCTCAGTGGTAGGTGAATAGATTCATAAAATCACCAACCTATCTATCTGCCGACCTATCTGGCTTTTTATTATTTTATGATTTCATTATTTTATTATTTTAATCAGGATAAACCCTCTTAACTCTTAATAGCGCCGGCGATAAGTTGTAATGATGGGGAATATTGCTTCGCTGATTCGGATGCTGGTGCCGCCGGGTGTTGCGACCAGGCAATTCGTCGTGATTGCAGAATACCAACCACATGCATTGAATCAAGGCGATCGCAAATAGCAATTGAAACCGGTCAAGGGACTCTCACGTGGTAAGTTTATGAATTATCTACATTTATTTATTGTTTACCTACGTATATCCCCCTCGATCTCTTCTGCTAAGACCAAGCAAAGTGGCGACGACCCATCACGCCCGCACTGTGTGACCTATCTGTACGATGTCGACTTCTTTGAGAATTTGAATGGCTATAGTTTTCTAGCATGTGGCGAGGACGCCGGATCCAGCACCATCGCAACGAGCCCGCTCCCCGGCTGGACACCGACGAGCGATCCAACGACCGCCGATCAATCAACATCCGGAGTATCCCTATCAACCAGCGGCCCCGTCACTGTAACAATATTCCCAAGCGAGAGCCCAACACCACCTACCAGGCCAGACGCACCAGCAAGAAGCACCAGCTCAGGGCAAAATAGGGCCGGCGCCATAGCTGGCGGCGTGATCGGCGGGCTCGCCGGACTGGCACTGATCGGCGCCGCCATATTCTTCCTCCTCCGCCACCGCAGGCGGAAAACCCAAGAAGGCAAAGAATACGCCGGCTCGCCGCCGTACACGAGCCGCGACTTCCCCGCCGCCAGCGTGTACCCGGGCGGCATCCCCGAGCCGTACTACAACTCGGACTTCTACGGGGAGCTGCCCCCGCAGATGATCGACACATCCACGCAGCACATCGCGAGCTACCCGCCGCCGACGAGCCTCGACCCGATCGTCATACCGCGCGACAGCCGCGACACGCAGCATAGCCAGAACACCCACACCCACACTCATGCTCATACGCATAACACGCAATCGCAGCAGCCGAGGATGTCCTCGCACGCACGGCCGTCGACGTACGTCCCCCCGCTGCAGCAGCAGAGACAGCCCACTGCTGCGGACGACATCGTGTCGCCGATCACGCCGGGCGACCCGCTCAACCCGGCCGACGACCCCGCGAGCTACACGTGGATCTCGAACCCGACGCCGCCGCCGCCGCAGCAGCAGCAGCACCACCAGTCGGCGTCCGAGTACTCCGAGTTCAGCCCGCCGCCGCCGGCGCACTTTCAGACGTATAGGCCGTATTCGGGGACGTGAACGGGGAACGGCGATTTTGCGGCGGAATATAAAGAACGATAGAAATAAAGGAAAGAAAGATGGAGGAAAGACAGTTGAGGAGGAGATGCTTGCAGAGCGAGGGCGGGTCACCTCTCTAAATGGATTGGATTGGATGTACTTACCTATGAAGTCTTGGTCGGAGCTGCGTGTATATACTGGGATAGCGGGCGGCGTCTATTTCTTCCTACTTCCATCTTCCTCCGGAATCTCGGGATCATTGGCGTTTCGGCGGCGCGGAACGCATGTGCTATGATACCTATTACTATCTATTTCCATTGGGAATATTAGTTTTTTTTTATCAAAGGCTTGCTATGTACCAGTCGAAGGCAGAATGGCGAGGTTTTGATTCGGAATTTTTCTGAAATACTTCAAACAGCGTCAGATGTATAGGGCAAGGGCAGAGCAGTGCAGGGGAGGAAAGCGAAAGATATCTACGCCAGGTAGCTACATGTAGGTGTAAGAGGTGGATAGGTGAGTTAGGTGCCCTACCTAGGTCAACTCGCCGATCATTTTTAGCTTGAATACCTAGTCGCGGTAGTATCCATAGAAGACTAATGCAATAGCAAGACGGTATTAAGCCAGTAACCTACCCACGGTTGTCCAATCATAGGTTTATGTTTACTAAGATTCACATGCAACATAACTATCTGCTAGATAGGTGAAACGAGGTACCAGATGAAATCGTAACAGTAGAACAAAGAGGATTATAACAAAGGGGAACGGGAATAACCCCCGGGTCAAACCAATCCGGGAAGGCAGGTGGGGAAACCGGCAGTGGCTAATGTGGTTTTCTCCACGTCCTCGGCCCCTTTTCCGCCGACTCGGGATTGGAGATAGGTATCTGGGTATCGACATAGATAGAGGCTCGGAAGGGAAGTAGCTACCTTCAGGGCTACCAATCTAGGTTCTTTGATGATGTTAATTGTGGGAAATTTGTCTTTAAGATCCCACTTGTCAGTCAAAGTAGAAAAGGATTATGCTTCATCATTGTCGATTTTAAAACCCCGTGAGAAAAAACAAGAGAAACTAGATTACAAAGCATACCCGGATACCCCTGACAACAACTCATTATATTCTCCTCCCCATCACCACCACCTTAGGCCAGGCAACCCCCCAAAATGGGTGCAGAACACCCCAAACCCAGCCCAGAGCTACGCCTCATAACCGTATCCGAGCTATCCCAGCACAACTCCCTCACCGACCTCTGGCTCGTCGTCGCCGGCACCGTCTACGACCTGAGCACCTTCGCGCCCTCCCACCCCGGCGGCGCCGCCACCCTCCTGCAGCACGCCGGGCGCGACGCAACAGCCGCGTACACAGATGTGCACTCCCTCTCTCTCATCCAAGCCTCGCTACCGCTTTCCTCCCGTGTCGGCGCGCTGGACCAGGCTTCCGTGCCGGAGGGATGGCCTCACCCCCTTAACCCCTCCTCCCCCCCCTCTTCCGCATTAGTGCAGCAAAAGCAGACGCAAAACCCACCCCTAGACTCCCTCCTCAGCGCCCACGACTTCGCCGCCGCCGCCCTCCTCTCCTTCTCCCCCAAAGCCTACGCCTTCGTCTCCTCCGCCGCCACCGACTGCCACACCGCCTCGCGCAACGCATCCGCGTACGCGCGCATCACCCTGCGCCCGCGCGTGCTGCGCCGCGACGTGCGCGTCGTCTCCACGCAGACAAGTATCCTGGGGTGTAGAGTGGGCGTGCCGTTCTTCGCGGCGCCGACGTCGATGGGGAAGGTCGTGCATGCGGAGGGGGAGAGGGGGATTGTGAGGGGGTGCAAGGCGAGGGGGGTGGGGGTGTGCGTGTCGACGAGTGCGTCGTATGGGGTCGGGGAGGTGGTTGCCGCGCTGGAGGAGGAGGAGGAAGAGGATAAGGGGGGAATTGGAAAGGGGAAGGAGAAGATACCCCTGTTCTTCCAGCTGTACGTGGACAAAGACCGCGCGAAGTCCGAAAAGCTGCTCCAGGTCGTCAGGGCGCACGGCATCAAGGGCATCTTCCTTACGGTCGACGCGCCCGTCATCGGGAAAAGAGAGGCGGACGAGCGGGTCCAGTCGGACGTCAGCAACTTCACGGCGCCGATGTCCGGGGCGCAGGCGAAGAGCGATAAGAAGGGCGGCGCGCTGGGCCGGCTGATGGGGGGCTACATCGACGCGTCGCTGACGTGGGCCGACGTCGCGTGGCTGCGCGCGCAGGTCCCCGGCTTACCGGTCGCGATCAAGGGGATCCAGACGGCGATGGACGCGGTCCGGGCGCTGGAGGCCGGCGCCGACGCGATCTACGTCTCCAACCATGGCGGCCGCAGCCTGGACACGGCGCCCGCGACGATCCTGGTGCTGCTGGAGCTGCAGAAGTGCTGTCCGCGCGTCTTCGAGAGGATGGAGGTGTATGTTGATGGGGGGGTGACGAGGGGCACGGATGTTTTCAAGGCGCTGTGTCTTGGTGCGAGGGCGGTGGGGGTCGGGAGGGGGTTTTTGTACGCGCTGGGGTATGGGAGGGAGGGGGTTGAGAGGTTTGTTGATAGTAAGTTTGACCTTCGTGACTAATACCCCCTATCTGATTTACTTCACTTTGAGTTATACAGATGAGCATGGCTAATGGATCGCCTTCTTTGTCATAGTTCTTACCGATGAGTTGGTTACTACAATGCAGATGTGCGGTATAACGAGTCTGGACCAAGTTCACCCCGGGCTTCTGAATACGGGAGCTGTCGACCACTTGATACCTGATTCCGAAGAGCATCCGTACGCGAAGTGGAGACCTGAGCTGAGGAGTAGTAAATTATAGGTGTCTAGTTGGTGCTTGTAAAATGGATGCCCGTATCTTATAGATTCTGTACAAGTACCCATTACATTTGATGATGCCTTATGCCCATACATGAAGGTGTGTAAATGTGGGTTTTCAAAGTACCCCTGAGTACCTGATCCTCGTAGCCTGTACTGGCGCCCCCTTTCCCACCCAATTTTGCCTTGAGATACCTACAACGCCATCCTGTCGACAAGAAGGTACTTGGGTCGACATTACAATAGAATCAATGCCAGCTTTTATTTTGGTTACCATGTAGTCGAATAATAGTATTGAAAGGTACACACTTCGATGTACCTAGGTGCCTGAACTTTGAGCTCCACCAGGAACATCTCCTACCCTCATGTTGTCTCCCATCGACCTACTTGTGCTCCTTAGGTATCTACCTAGGTATAGCCCTTCCCTTCGCGGTTCCCGTCTGTGGATCTATGTTTATTTAATTTTCTTTCTTTTCCGTAAGCCCGCCGAAGTTTTGGTTGCGTTCAACCACTATCACATTGCTTATTCTCTACGTCAATAACCACCAATTATTCCACCACTTCTTTCATCTAACACAGCTCCTATTCGCTTTCTATCGTGAAAATTTGAACTTTCTTGAACAAGCTATCACTGAACAACCATGTCTGCCCCTTTGGGTACCATTCGAGAGGCGTTCCTACAGCCTGAACGCTCCATCAATGTGACGAAGCTACCGTTTGCCCAGCAGGAACTGCAAAGTATTCTCAATGCCTACGCCCAATATACTCGCAAGGGCCCCTTCACCATCCAGGATCTTCGAGAGGTGATTTATAGCTCGGTAGTCACCCAAGAGCAGATTCCTGTCAGCCGAGCTCTGTCCCACACCCTGTGGCCCTACAATCGAGCCCCGGTCTTCATCATCGAGGACGACGACATTGCCAAGGATATGGAATATATTCGACTCCTTACTGGTCCTCTCCGCCCAGGCGAGTACATTGCTTGTGGGGTCCAGGCAATTAGTCCTCAGAATGATCCAAGCCTTCCTCTCATGATTCCCACCACTGTCATTTCTCGAAGAATAGCTCAACTTCGATTTGCCATCAGCCGCAGAGACTACAAAATGGACTGGATTAATGAAGAAGATGGCTACCTTTGCCTCATGAAGGCCATGAATGCTCCGTAAGTTTGCTTCTCGTCATTTTTCATCTCCCTTTTGCTCCTTGCCGTCATCGCAAACCATTATTATCGTCTTTTGATTGAGATAAAATGCCTACACCTCTACCTCAATTATCGCGCGATAGATAAATCTCCCCAGCCGATTGATTTTATCCAGTTATCCCTGGCTAACCTGCAAAAAACAAATATCAGTTGGAAAGCCATTTCCATCGCACTTGGACGCAGCATCGGCGAGCTGAAGGTCCGCTTCGAATACCTCAAGTACCAGGGCGAGAACGGTGGTCTAACCCCCAATATCCTGGCGAAGCAGTACGACGAGGACCTGAAGCGCGAGAAGAAGTTCAAGAAACGCCAGGTTACCCAGGCAATCAAAAAGGCCAAGCTGGAGGCCATCATGGAGGAATGGTACCCCGGCGCCGTCCACGCTGCGGAGAACGTCCGCAAGCTCAAGGCCAAAAAGGCTATCGAGAAAGCTATCGCAAAAGCCGCGCCCAAGGAGAGCCAGCAGTCTAGCTCTAGCTCCACCGCCAAAGAGCCAAAGGGTAAAGGCATCGCGACAGAGAACGACAACCGCGCTTCCGGCTCCAAAGCCGCGAAGAGAGCCAAGAAGGCGAAGAAGCTGAAGAAGCTCTACACGACGGCCTTCTCGTCTAGCTCGGAGTCCAGCTCAAGCTCTAGCTCTAGCTCTGCCTCGTCTTCGTACGTCCAGCCCGCTCATCATCAGAGGCCCCTCGAGTTCCTCGACGTTCTCAACGCGATTTACACCGACCAGAAGAAGCTCAAGCCCGACCAGTTCTGGAGCGAGCGCGACTGCAAGATGCTCGCCATCGCGGAGGCGCGATTGCGCGCCGACAAGTGGCTCTACCTCCAGACGGAGTTCGCTAGTCTCTCTGGACGCTGGGTTGATTGGCGGGTCTTGAAGGCCAAGTTTGAGGAGGATGACGAGGACGAGGACGAAGACAGCTACGATGAAGATGAAGATGATGACTACGAGGACGAAGATGAAGAGGAAGAGGAAGAGGAAGAGGAAGAGGAAGAAGAGGAAGAAGATGAAGATGAAGACGAGGAGGATGAAGATGATGAGGAAGACGACGAAGAAGATGATGAGGAAGAGGAAGAGGAAAACGCAAATGAAGACGATGACGAAGCCAAGGAATATGACGACGACGAAGACGATATGCTTTTCGCCTAAGGAATAAGTTGATGGAAAACTACATTGTGATATCACGATATCGCGAGGCTGGTTTGGGCTGTGGTTGTAGCATGGCAGAAGTCATGATACCTCCTCCCATAACGAATAACGAAGAAGATGAATGACGAAGGATCGGATAGGCTTGCGCAAAGAATGCGCTGCATCACGGACTCAACGATGAAGTGTTTACACCGCGCCAGAGTAGGCGCTCATCGGATGTTTCCCTGTTTTTCTTTTTCCCAAATCTCATACGAGATACCCCTACACCCACGTAATTGTAACCCCCAACTTGTTTTCTCTTTTACCCCTTCTCTTTTTATGGCACACCCGCAGGCTATGACCCATAGGGAGGATAAAGAAGTTCAGAGCTGTTTCGCCCGGAAAGAAGAACGCAGTTGACCGATTCTAGTGGATGGATACGCGGATTACACTGGTCTCGAGTTATATTGCCTAGGGACTATACTGTTCCTACCGTGGGTGATGAGTGCTGAAAGGAAAGTCTATGGTTATTACGATTAGGTAGTGCTATGGTCAGCACACGTTGTTTCTAGACAACTTGGGTCAACATATGAACTATGAGTACTATCGAATCCAACGTTTAAGTCATCAATGGATATTTCCTGGTGCTTAGTAACTATTTCCCATAGGCTTTTTAGGTGACTTGGTAAGAGATCTTTGATCTTTTCGTGCCTTTGAGGTTTAGCTTTAGATAAGAATTGGGAAGTGAGGTCAATTCAACACAAGATAATGGCGTGGGTTAATATCACGTTCTACATTACAAGAGTAGAAGTGGAAAAACGAATGAGTAAGAAGCGAGAAAGGATACGATGATCTGTTGGTACCGTGTCACGTGCCACATTAGCGCAGTTGAAGGTTCCGGGCCAAGATACCTACTGTAGTACCTACGACCCACACCGCCTTCATTAGCCACGACTAATAGACCCACATAGATACCGATCCACTGGCAGAAAAAAAAGTTCTGAAGGGTCGCAACATTTCAATCGCTAGAAAAAAAAAGTTCACGTTCATCTTAAGCCAGCCAACCAATAAACCAGTATATTTTGACTTTCAACCACAACAATGGTCAAAAGTAAGCTCAAGCTCGCCCTTGCGGCAGAAAAGGGAGTCGATTTCAAGAAGTTGAAAGAAAAGAAGAAGTATAAGGAAAGAGTAAAGAAGAGTCAAGGAAAGCAAGGAAAGTCTAGTGGGGCACCCAAGCATAATAACGTCGAAGACGATGAAGATGAGGAGGATGATGATTGGGAAGGCGTCAATGAAGATGAAGAAGAAGATGCTGCTGGTGTCTCACTAATAGACAACGAGGCTGAAGAAGACGAGGACGAAGACGAGGACGAAGACGAGGACGAAGAACTTCCAATCGACTACGAAGGAGTGGATGAAAGCGACGACTCAGATTCCTCGATAGAACTCGAGAAAAAGATTGAGCGCCCAAAAAAAAACATCCTCAAAGCCAAGAATGCGCCTGCCACTAAACCTAACAAAAAACAAAAGGCGAACGTCGAGAGTGACGAAGAAGAAGAGGACGATGAGGATGAGGAAGACGAGGAGGACATACCCATGTCCGACCTAGAAGACTTGGAAGATGAAGACAAGGAAGATCTAGTCCCGCATTCCCGCCTCACCATCAACAACACTACAGCCCTTCTCGCCTCGCTAAGCCGCATAGCCATACCCACCGACAAATCAGTGCCGTTCTTGACGCACCAAACCATTGTCAGCGTGGAGCCTACGGCCGACAGCATCGAGGACATCCAGGACGACCTCAAGCGAGAACTCGCCTTCTACGCACAGAGTCTCGACGCCGCGAAGCGCGCGCGCGCCCTTCTCAAGGCCGAAGGCGTGCCGTTCTCCCGGCCCACCGACTACTTCGCCGAGATGCTCAAGGACGACGGACACATGGAGAAGGTGAAGGCGAAGCTCGTCGAGGAGGCCAGCAGCAAGAAGGCCTCCAGCGAGGCCCGCAAGCAGCGCGACCTCAAGAAATTCGGAAAGCAGGTCCAGGTCGCCAAGCTCCAGGAGCGTCAGAAGAGCAAGCGCGATACTCTCGATAAGATCAAGACCCTCAAGAGAAGTAAGTTTTTTTTCCCTTTTACCACTTACCTCCCTACCTCCCTAATCACCCTATCTATATATGTACATACATCCATACTAACAACCCCCAGAACGCCAAGAAACCGGCGGTGGCGACGTAGGCGCCAACGAAGCCGACCTCTTCGACGTCGGCATCGACAGCGAGCTGAACAAGCACGCTACCCAGCGTGCCTTCGCGCGCGGCAAGGACGGTGAGCGCACCGGCGCCCCCTCCGCCAACGCCAAGCGCCAGAAGAAGGACGACCGCTACGGCTTCGGCGGCAAGAAGCGCCACATCAAGTCCGGCGACGCCGAGAGCTCCGGCGATCTCAGCTCCTTCAACGCGAGGCGCATGAAGGCTGGTATTGGCGGTCGGGGCGGCGGCCGGGGCGGTGCTGGTGGTCGTGGCGGTGCTGGGCGCGGTGGGGCTGGTAGAGGCGGTACTCGTGGTGGCTTTGGTGGTGGAGGGAGAGGTGGCGCAAAGCCTAGGTTGGGCAAGAGTCGGAGACAGGCTGGGAACTAACTTATGTGGTAATGGGTCGGTAATACAGCTCTAGGTTGTTGGCTTTATACTCTATAGGATGTATACCTAGGTGCTTGTAGGAAAGACAGAAAAGGAAAAGGGAGAGGAAGTATGAACATGAGATACCAATCAATACATAACCCTCATATTCTATTTACCTACCACCTGATGTACGAAGTAGGAGTATGTCTACTAATGGGTAGGTCACCGAGACTTCCTCATGTATGTGTGAGCCGATACATATTCTTGTTCTCGCGTATTAAAAGCATGATGGCAAGGGCAGATACCTTACCTACCTACTTACCAGGTAGAGTCCTATCCAGTAGACATATACTCAGGTATCAGGATGACCAAATCCACAAATACTACCCAGTAAATTTTCCAACCGACCCCACATGATGCTTTCTATCGCCGACAGAGTTGGTTATATGCTAGAAGGCGTCACTTCCCTAAAACGAAAAGCGCTAACTTTACACTATGTGCGACACAATATCACGGGAGGTTTTCATCGGTCACTAGCTTCGAAACCCGGTACTGAGCTTTTCTGCCATTTTTCTTGTTTAAACCCCCCCTGAGAAATTGTTGTTGTAGTTTGTACGTACGAGCCTAGGTACCTAGTAGGTACTCATACTTCGTGGGGTAGGAGATCACATAATGCCTATACCATAAGCAATTCACCATAAAGAACAGTAGGTATTTGATGGGTAGCCAAAACAGCTTTGCATAGATATACTAATATGGATAAGAAGGTACGTAATACATAGGAGGGTATCAATCCATCCATCATCCATCATCCATATCTCCCTACACAATAAAAACCCATCTACTTCCTCTTAGCAACTCTCTTCTGCGCCCTGAGCTCCTTCTTCATCCTGGGATCGACAATCTTATACCTGCCCTTAACACCCTTCGGACGTCCCTTAATACCCTTATTCAAGCCCCTAGCCACGACCAGCTTAGCAGGCTGTCTGGGCTTTGCCTTGGACGCCTTGGAGATGAGCTTGCTGATGCTGGACGCCTTCTCCTTCTCGGTCATGCCCTCTTCGTTGGCGAGGAGGTCTGACTTCTTCTTGAGCTTCTCGAGGCGCTGGGCGGCCTTAAACTTCTTGCGGGCCTTGGCCTCGCGCACCTTCTTGATGGGCCGCGCGTTGAGGGCGCGCGTTTTTTCGATGATGGCGGCGGCGGCGGCTTTAGTGATGGGCTTTTGTGGCTTGTCGTGCTTGCCCTCGTCGTCGAGGAACCAGTCGGGGAGGCCGTCGCGGTCCCGGAACGCGTGCTTGTTGAAGCCGTCGTCTACAACGTCGTAGTTGGTCCTTTGGCCTGTGGCTAGCTGATGCGCGAGAGTCATGGCTTCGGCGGTGATGATGTCGATGTCTATTACACTTTATTAGCATATAATGAACCTTTTGAGTGCTATGTATGGTTCTTACCAAGTCTTCCATCAGGTAGGCGCTTGTCTTTATCTTCCCAGTCGTCGTCTTGGTCTTGTTTCACGACCTCGAAGCCGTTTCGAGTGTCGTCATCAGATCCAAACGACATCTCGTCCTCAGCTGCATTGGCCTTTTCCCTCTTAGCCTTTGTGGTCACCCTTGCGGGTATGGCGTCGTCAACGTCCTCCATTACCACATCCGCGTCGGGTTGAGGCTCATCGACAATTCCCGTGATATCCTTGAATATGTCCTGACTAAAGAAATTTGCGGCTCTTTTGGAAAGGCCGCCAGGTGCTGTTGGCCCAGTATCCAAATCAGTGATTAGGGGTTTAGAGGAAACTGATTCATCGTCGGAGTCATCGCTACTATCACTATCCGCTTCTAGTTCTTCCTCATCACTAGACTGCTGCTCATCGGCTGATAAGCCTTCCCATTCGCCATCTTCGTGCTCTTGCCTGGCTTTCTTCGCCCGGAACTTCGCGTCCGATATTGATTTTCGTTCCCGATACTGTTCGTACAAGCCATCAAGCTCACGGTCGAGACGGTCTTCCTCATCATCTGACTCGCCGTCCGTTTCACCTGACGATCCGATACCACTGTCTTGATCCTTTTTGACCTTTTTCTCGTTGAAAACAGCCATCTTTCCCTTAGCAATCTTATTGGCAGCACCATGCTTGTCAATCGGCTTAAGAGCAAACATAGAGTCGTAGCCAGCAGGGCCGGCTTGCTCCATACCGATATCCATGGGAGCTACCATTTGCAATTGCATCCGTATGATCTCCTTTTGCTTTTTTTCGTTGTCTTTTCGTCGCTCACGCTTCTTCTTAGAACTGTCTTTGTCTTTCAGTGCTTGCAGTTCTTCCTGGATTTTGAGTTCCTCGTCCATAGATTCGACTTCTGCAACTTCTCCGACTTCCTCGGCCTCGGCAGCTTTGGTAGTCTTCTTGGTAGGCAGTCCGAAGGCCTCACGCGCATGCAATCTCCATTTCAATAGAAGCTTGAATTCCCTGCGACCCAGTACCTTTAAGTCGGCGCAGCATATCCTAATCTCTTCATTTGTCTCCGGCATCTTGTCTAGCGCCGCAAGTGCCACATCCCCATTGCGCGGCTGCTCAAAGGAGAGTTTGTTATAGCCGCCAAGGATTGCTATAGGGTCAGCAGTCTCGACAAATTGGCTTGCGGGCAGCTCTTTAAACTGCATGTATTCATCCTCCTCATAACCTCCTCTCTTTCGCTTTTTCTGCTCCGGCTTGTAGACTTTCGCTTCATTATTTGGGGCCTGTTCTGCGAGTTCGGCAAACACAGATCGCGGGTCAAGGAACTTGGGATCAAGATGTTTAGGGGCCTTATAACCACGGCATACAACGAAGATTTCGGCAGAGACGTTTCGCGACGAAGGGGGCTTTGTCGACTCAACCTTGGTGAATAACTGGTTGAAAACCCAGAGGAGCTTGTTGTACTCTTTCGAACGAAACACCTTAGTAACAAATGTGCCACCCTCCACCAAGAATTCCGTTGCTAGTTTCATAGATTGGAGCGCCAATTCAGCTTGGTTGAAAGAGTCCTGAACCCAAGCTGTACCAACGTTGGGAGCACCATCGTGAAGCACGGTATCGGCCTTCCAGGTCTTAAGGTGCTGCCTAATTGTCGCACGACACTTATCGGTAGTGATATCGCTCTGGAAGGTGATGACCTTGGGAATAGGTTTGATCGGGGAAAGATCGACTCCGACAATAAGACTGTTGGCCGGCATGGCCTCTGCGGCGACTTGACACCATGACTATCGAGTAAGGTTAGTCGGAAACTCTTGTTATGTCGCTTGCAAATACCTAGAGGCATATATATATGTAGCTTTTACTTACTCCAGGAGCGGCGCAAAGATCGAGAAGGACCTTGCTTTTCTCGAGGAAGCCGAACTTCTTATTTAGCTGGATCAACTTGAAGGCGGCACGAGCTCGGTAGCCTTTCTCTTTGGCCAATTTATACCATTTATCCAAACGGCCTTTGCCATGTTTCTTCTGGATCGCCATGACGTTCCCAAACGATTACCTCGTCTGAATTAAACACAGCACAGAAAAGATTGATAATGTTATCATGAGTGTGTCCCACATTCAAAATGGCAGGGACTTGAGTTCTCTGCGACAAGAAATTTTTAAAAGAATTATTTCTTCGATAAGCCAGATAAGGTTATAAATGGGTCAGGAACTGCCCACTAGCCCACAAGCCTGGCAGCTTTTTTTTAGCCTGGACCTGGTACCTATGTACCTACACTAGCTGAGCCCCAGTTTTACATAATTACGTAATCAATTGATCCTCTGCAGAACTAGTACTAGGTACCTACATAATATGTACCTTATGTAGGTACAACAACTAATGGAGGAATTCACAAATTATTGATGGAAGGTATTAATTTGGATTCTTTACTACATAGTCACCACATGGAAACAACCTGGATGGGATTAATATGGGTGACATTGGGTGTACCTTCCTAGGTAGAGTCAATGTTTGCCATCAGTGTCCTTTACGGTTTACCTAAGGTACTTCATAGTATGCATTAACTTGAAGCACTGTGATTGACACGACCAAGGAATAATGGCCATTATTGATTGGCTAATTTTACAATGGCTATTACGGGATGCGGTAATAGCTTAAGACGGCAGCTGCCAAACAATGGCCACAACCCCCAGTCACTTAGAAAAATGCACAGTATTACACAGTGTAAACTTAAAACTGTCACGTCTCCACCTTAGCTTGCAATGGTAATTGGAGTTACTCCAGTGCCATTAGCCCATTTGGGATTCTCTAAGTGATTTTTTCACGTGTATCGCGTCTTTTCGTGGGCGTGTCTTTCCTTTTCTGTGGTCCACTTAACCACATTTAACCACACTTAATTACAATCCACCTTCTCTTCCATCTTCAACAACGACTGACAACCATTCCCGTCTTTCCCCGCGAGTACATATAATCTTAGTACTTCAATTGCTAAGAAAAAACCCCCCATCTAAGAAAATCTAAGCACTCTTCCAGTCCCCATTATTCTCTATTCTTTTTTTTTTACCTGTATCATACTAGATGCCCAGCGTTGATACTCTCTCGAACACCAAGTTCTGAGGGTTCAGGAGCTACATTGATACCTACGGTGGTATCTACAAGAAGATATACCCCACATCGAAAAGGTCAAAAGGGAGATATCTTCATACACCAATACCATCGTCATCGTATATCATAGGAATCGGCACTATTACGATAGACCGTAACAATACCCGAAGCTATGGAGAACACAATGTCGGATTCGCAATTCTCCTCCTCCCCACCCAGGGCCGCTCATGGCAAGGAGAGAAGGAACCCCTCTATCACTCCCAGAAAGTTTAAACGCTTCTTCACTCCCCGATCCCGCGTACCCTCTCGAGTAAGCTCGGCAAGGAAAGCTCTTCAGGATCTCGGAGCTCCGGATCTAAACCGGAAACACAATCCATATCAAACCCCGGCACCTTCCAGTCCTCTAGGTCACTTGAGTTCGTTCATAGAGGAGACAGTGGAGGAAGAGGACGAGGACGATTTCAATGATCAATTGGATGCTCAATTACCGAAGCGACGAAAATTACACCACACACCCGATTCTTCTCCATGTCGCCCAAACTTAACCACCAATCCGAGTCGTTTTAGCCTCCCATCATCTCCCTCTACCCGATCACGACTCCTCAGCCCAATGAGGTCGCTCTATTCAAGTCAAACTAATCTAGAATCAGAGTCGGATGAAAGTGAGGACGAAACGTTGCCTTCGTCAGCCGAGATCAAACGTCTGGCTCCTTTAGCCAGCCGAGGCTTCGTCGGGCAATTCGCTCAGAGAGAGCTAGGCGGAATGTCTCGAGCAGGCCTGTCATCGTTGAAGCTTCCAACTGCAGATTGGAGAATGGAGGCTGCGGACTTCCGCACAACTTCCGACGACATTCACGAATGCAACAGTCACGACAGTCCCGGCAGCCGTTGTATTCCATTCTGCGTGACCTCCTGTCATAAGGAGAGCCTCGTCGCGGTCGGAGACGAAGAAGGCCGGGTCCGTCTACTCGACACCTCTCGCAATGAACCAGATCTATTCCGTAAAATCCACATTAGTTTCCAGGCTCATACGAACGCAATTATCGACCTAGATTTCTCCGCCGATGATCTTCGTCTGGCAACCGCATCCGGTGACCAGACCGGTCGTGTTATAGATATCATGACACAGGCTCCCATCGCAAATTTGCAACACCATACGGCCTCACTGAAGCAAGTCCGTTTCCAGCCTGGTGCGGCAAACAGTAACGTTCTTGCGACGTCTTCTCGTGATGGCAGTGTTCAAATTTGGGATCTCCGCTGTACCGGCAGGCCCGTACAAAACATCCCAACTCCTGAAGACCGTCAAGTCAATCTAGCATTCCGACGGCCACAGCTCAAGGAAGGCAAAGCTGTGAACAGCCTATATCACGCCCATGCGCGCACTTCGCGTCAAGTGCAACAAGCACATGGCACAGGCCACAGTGATACGCCATCTCGTCGTGAGCTACCCAGTCGTGCCGGCGATGTGTCTGTCACTTGTCTGCAGTTCCTACCCGAAGGAAAGGAGCACCTGCTTCTCACTGCCTGCGAAGCAGATGCATGCATCAATCTGTGGGATATTCGCTCAATTCACACGTCACGCCAGAAGGTCGCTTCTGCGTTATCAACAACGGCGCCACCCCCATCCCACCAGCACTGGAGACCTTTTGGTATTTCGTCTCTAGCCTTGAGCACTGATGGCGCTCGTTTGTACTCGACGTGCAAGGACAACACGGTATATGCGTATTCGATGTCACACCTAATTCTAGGTAACGCAACCGAACTTTCCGCCCGCAATGGTTACCCTCGCCGACGTAACGCAGCGACTCATCAGGGTCTTGGCCCACTATATGGATTCAGACACCCTTCGTTCCATGCGACCAGCTTCTACGTCAAATGCGATGTACGACAGGCGCGCGACGGTCGAAGCGAAATCCTAGCTGTCGGAAGTAGTGATTCTTGCGCCGTGCTATTTCCTACCGCGGAGCGCTACTTCCGCGACGATCTCAATGGGGGAATGGGTAACCTATCCCTGGATAATTCCACCATTGCGATATCTAGACCGGACTCGTCTTCGAATGCTATATCTGGCCGATCCAGCGGTGGGCTCAGCCTTTCGAACAGACCTAAAGACGATATCCCTATCGTACGCTTGGGAGCCCCCCTGGTCCGTGCCCACGAGAGCGAGGTCGGCGCCCTGTCCTGGACGAACGAGGGCAAGCTTGTCACAGTCGGCGATGATTACATGGTCCGCCTATGGAGCGAGGATCGAGAGGAGGCTAAGGGCCTCCGCACCGGTGGCGAGTTTGGAGGTAAACGCTGGGGTTGCGGATGGGCTGAGGTCGGAGACGATTGGGACGAGGATGTCGAAGAGGAGGATTAGACGCTCCCGGAAGGCTTAGGGGTTGTGACTTGAGCAACGACGATTGATACGTGAGAAGATACCCTCGTATTGCATGGAATCGCATAGTAAGGCGTCAGGCGTTCGGACGAAAAGCAAAGCATTGAGCATTGAGCAAGCATGGAAACGCTGAGTGAGCAACGCGATTGCGACTCACATGAGCATCGAGCATTGAGCATAGGTATCCATGAGCTATATTTGGTGCTCTGGAGTTTTTTACCCGCTTTTCGATTTGCTGCTGCTGCTGCTGTTTTTTTTACTGCTGTTATTGTTGCCATCTACTTTATACCCCCCTTTTTAAGTAGTGGAATGAATGAAATAAGTTAAATAAGATATTCGCGTTTTAACGTGCTTTAATGGCTCCATCTGCGAAGGTGGTGAATGAGTGAAGTGTCTAGGTGCCTACCCAAGTATCTCAGGGGCCTGTGTGAGTATTAGTATCCGTATCGGTAAAGAGTGGTGATGTCTACATGTATGTAGTCTTGATGCGGAGCTACGTAGGTGCTATGTAGGTGCACAGGTCTGTAGGAGGTAAAGGTAAAGGCAGGTCAGACGCTGTAGTGTACTGCGTTGATAGGTAGGTCTCTGGCTTCCTATTTACCTACCTAGTCAAACCCTTTGCTCTCGTGTCTCTGGTATGTGTAGGCAGGTAGGCAGGTAGGTAGGTGTCTAAGGCTACTCCATCGAGCTACAGGCGATGTGTGTCTTGGTCTTGCAAACGAGTGACCAAGATGAGATGGGCTACTATAGGTATGGCTGTATACTTGGTGTTGGGGGGCCTAGTGCTAAGGTATATGGTCGTGCTGGAGGCATAAAGGTACTGGAGGTAGGTATGCATGCATGCATGAGTGTGTGGCCCCTGTGTTCCAGCCGGTAGGTACGTATAAGAGGATTTTGATACTGTTCAAGCATCTGTCGATGATCAATCATATGGGGGATGGTGCTATATAGAGAAGGCTTCGGTAGAAGCAGGGCGACGTAGGGCTTGGTGGTTTCTACCTATCAGGTAGGTACTATCCACCACGTATTATTTACTGGACTTGGTTGGTTGTTACAGACCTAGGTAGGTGCCTATGTAGGTATCTTGGCGTTTGGGGATTGGTTTATACAGCTGTGGATAGGTGGTTCCTGAAAGGTCTCTCTGGGTTTGTGCATAGGTTTATAGGGGCCTGGAATTGATGGAGCGTACGGCACATACTCTTCAGTTCTTCTACACACCTAGTGGCGGTGATATTCGATGTATCTGAGAGTGTACGCTTTCTAGATGAAGAAAAGCTACCTAACCTAGGTATATGCACTTACTTATTATCTACCTACTATGCAATCTAGTAAACTAACATATGTAGCGATCTTGAAGAAGACAGACGAATTGCAATCGAGGTGGGTCGATGGGGTTTCGGTGAGTCTTGGATTTCTTATTCGATCTGATATAGTTCTTTTCTTATTATTGGTTTGCTACGTAGGTAGCTACCTATCTAGGGGGATGTAGGGGGGCATGGAACTATGGAGGTATGGAGGTAGCTAGGTAGGTAGGGCTGCATATGTGTACGTGGTGGTTATGAGCTAACTACTGGGAAGACGGGTTATCTATCACGATATTGCAGCTGTCGAATCAAGACGGTGCTTCAGCGTTTTTCTTCCCTTCGCTGTATATAGGTTGGTAGGTGTGTGCTAGATGTCTTACCAACAGATTGTCCTTGGTAAATATCTAGTTACCTCTCCTAGATATACACATGTGGATATGGGCAAATCTGTAGGCAGGCTCTGAGCGACATCGTACCTACCTATATCAAACTACCAACCCTTCGTACATCACCGATACACAGGCATGCATGCATTCATTCATCAAAGAGTTGGCTGGGGGCTTCGACGGGGAAGCACAGTTGTGGGTTCTCATCCTGCCTTCTCCTCCTCCTCATCTGTCTCTGGCATTGTTTGTTCCCTTCTGGAAAGAGATCATCGCTTTCTGCAGCAGCGCAGAACAACACAGGTTCCAGAACCGGATACCGGCTTGCTGAAGTAGTGTATGTACTAGTAGTATGCATGTATGTATGTAACTACAGGTAATGCATGTATTCGTCAGGAACTTTCTCCTGCAGTCTGGGGGGTTTTTGTCTCTTTTCGGACTAACTAACTAGAAACACGCGCGGAGAGAGAGGGCCCAAGGAAGAATTGTTCGAAGGGAAGAAGAAAAGAGAAAATACCACGCGCTGCGTTTTTCCCCCTTCAATGTTTCTTTCCGGTACGTAGGCTGGGATTTTTTTTTTCATTCAGTCTTATTCACGTCTTTCCCTTTTCCTTCACCGCCAATTTAATACTGTCCCGTTTGTCGCGCGTGTCGACAGTCACGGTGGAGCTACTACACTTTACAGCCTACCGTAGTCAGAAATCTGTGACGGCGGCCGCAGATTCCGTAACCTGCCAAATAGATTGATGGGGGGAAAAGAGGAGGAGGTGGGAGGTGGGCTGATGAGTTTGAGTGGATGGATACCGTAGGTAAGGTATCAGGTCGCATATTCTACGACCTCACAATGCCAGAGTGGAGGCGGCCGTTTGTTATGTACTAGCAACTGCCTAGGTAGGCGAATAGGCGATGAGTATAGCATTCTCAGCTCATCATTGTCTCGTACACTAGTTGTCGTTGTTGTCGTTCTACGTGTACTATGTAATAGCGCTTCGTGGGTGAGGTCATCCCAATGAGTTGTTTTACGCTAATAAATTCTTTCGTTCTCGAAAAGATAGAGGATCGTCTACCCTAGAGAGGGTCAGGCTCGTCATTATTAATAGCAAAGATTAGTTATTAGGTAGGTAGGGTAGCCTACAGCCCCTGCTTGGACATAGAAAATCGGGTGGCTGGGGTCTTGGGGATCGGAGAGGGGGGTGGGATCTGGCGTCTCCCCGCTGGTTATTGGTCAATGGCATCGCTCAGCTAGGTCCCCCTGTCAGCAATCCGCGACAGCAGCAAACCGTGGTTGTGTGCGATGCGATGCGATGCGATGCGCGTATCCTCTGCGAATGTTGCTTCGCGCGGTGGGTCAAGATATATACCTACAAAATGGAACCAATTGGAACAAGAATAATATGTAGCTGCCTAGGTACCTAGGTATGAGCTGTAAGGAAGAGAGAAGACGACTTGATTTCGATGAGGCCACTACAGCTCACATACAATGTAATTGCAGGTAACTAGGTAGTAAGCACATTTGCGCCCTCGTCTTTGAATGCGTCTTTGAATGTTCGTCTTCGGTGAATATACCACATGGATCACCATTCCAGGTGTTTTCCCGGCCGTAGCACAATGGTTGCTAGCCGCGGGTCAACAGAGACGAAACTGGGCCGTTTCTCCGTAGGTGGTCGGTCTCAGGCTATGCCGGTACCTTAAAGCCCCACGAGTTAGACTACATGAGAATGTCTCGATGTCTTAGACAGTATATCGTGGCATTAGCACATAAGACTTTAACCACCCTGTAGTGACGGAACGTCTACTAGTATCGGGACGTGTGTTGTGATCTTCAATGTTGCTCTTAATGTTATGTGAACATTGACGATTCAATAGAGACCCAAGGGGTTAATACGTAGCTGGGTAGTGGTTCCCTACCTTTCAGTACTTCACCCAAAGCACGAAGACAATGATAGTTATATACGAATGAGCACTCGGAAGTTGGAACTTGTGTTAGTACCCAGGTTAGTAACTGTTTAGTATTAGGGAAGCTAGAGTTCGGAGGTTGGTGACAAGATTTGAAAAGTTTTGGGAAGAACTTGGGAAGGCTGGACAATGAATGCTAATAAAGACCTCGGAAGTGACAATGAACACCCCTGATCATCACAGGTAGGTAGTAACTAGGGTTTCGGATTGCACAAGTGCAAAAGTGCACTAAACAGTTCTAAACAGTTCTAAACCTGTACTTTTCAAATTGGTGTAGCACTTTTTGGGCTGAAGGCATTTTGGACCTATATATTTAATATTCTGGACCTATATATTTAAGATTTGGGACCTATATTTAAGGTTTGAATTCAACTAATTCCTTAAACATCTTAGTTAAATATATTAAATTCAAGTTTTTACTCTTCTTCAACCGTAATATTATCCCAGGTTTAAGCCTTTTCTCGTTTAAAAACCTTATAATTTATATACATAAATACATTCTTATCCACCTTATCTAGGTTAAGCTTACCTTTAATTTCGCTATAAATGTAATTTATAATTAAAAAAAAGCGTTTAAAAGGTATTAAATTAATTATTATCGTAAATAATTTTAAGGTTATTTTTCTTAACTCTATACTTAAAGTAATAACATAATTTTATAACTTTAAAAATATTTCTATTTATTTAAAAAATAAAGTCTTAGATGTAAAAAAACCGTTTTAATTTTTATAATAATAAAAGTTATATACCACTTAACGCTTATATCTTTAAAAAATATATCGTAATAACCATAAAACAATTCATAATATTATAGCGGTAATAAACTTAAAATTAAAAATCAAAAAATTAAAAGGCTTAAATGATTTAATTAATATCTTTAATTTAATCTACTTACTATACACGCCACAATTCATTTAATTATTCCTAATTAATATATCCATATTTTTCAATTATTTAAGACAAAAATAACCACTTTTTATATATACCTTACCATTAATTAATAACGTGCCTAACATAAAATACATTAACTTTAAATATATAAATAACTTTAATAATAAATTAAAAAATATCCATTAATATATCGACTTTTTTTTAAAAGGTATCGTTATTAATAAACTTATAAAATTAAATAAGTTTAATATTTTTCCCTTATGCGTTTACCTTATAAACGTTTACTTAAATATTAAAATAAATAATAAAATAAATAAAAGTATTTTTTAATTTTTTTACTAACTTTAAATAACGATATTATAATCCTTATTACGTGATAACTAATAATAATAAAGCTTTTTATTTCCCGTTATATATAAATTATTAATTAATTTAAAAACGGGTAAATTATAACTTTAATTTAGCAAAAAAAGTAATAATGGATATGGCTAAAACTATTATGGTTTTATGGAATTTTTATTTAAAATATAATTAATTAAAAGTTTCTTAAAAATATAACATTATAAGTTAATTAAACCTCTTTAATAATATCCTTTATAAAAAGCTAAAAATTATAAAAATTATAAAAAATAATTTAATAATAAGAAATCTTTAAATCTTTTTTAAATAATATATAAATAACACATATTATTAAGCAGGTATTTGTATAAAAACTAATAATTTTATCTAGGCTTTATTTAATTAGGTTTTCAAGTATTAATATTAAAATTTTTAAATAACCCTTAACATAAAGCCTTTTATCACTAATATTAATAATTTTCTAATAATAATAAATCCGGTGGGAAAGTTAAATAGATATATTTAATAATTAATTTTTTCCATTATCGTTAGCAATATTAAAAATTATAACAATTAATTTAATTATTTTAACAATTTAACGTACTTAGGAAAAATAATTTTTATAAACCTAATCAAATAAACAACCTTTAAGATTATCCTTTTTTAATAATAAATAACTAACATTTAAAAATTAAAAAACTTTTATTATTTTTTTATATTAATAACAAATATATAAACGCCTAATAATAAAAACAACTTTTACAAATTATAAATTAATAACTTTCTTTTAACCACTTATTAATTAAAAGTAAGCAACATTTGTTTTTAAAGTTTTAATAGTAGGTAAATTTTAAATAATATTTATTTATACTAAATTCCATCGTTAAAATACCTTACACTTCTTTAGGTACCGTTTTTACATACCACCATAAGCAATAATAACCTTATTACAATATTTACAAATACACTTATTATCCAGCCCAATAATAAACTAAATACAAAACTCGCTATTATATTCTTTAAGCATTTTAAATTAAAGCTTAAAATTTAATATTAAATAAATTATAATAATGATAACGGTAGTAATAATATTTTAAGAAAAGTGGGAAAAAGTGTAAAATATAAAATACTATTTTAAACAACACTTTACACTATTCCGCACTTTTCTGAAAAGTGCTACACTTTAGAAACCCTAGTAGTAACTAGGTATAATACACTACTACACCTGAGTACCCATCAACCTAGGTTGTGATAGGACCCTGGACCCTGCAAACCATGTCTATAAATTCTCACTTTTCTGTCTATAGACTCTATACATGTTTGCGCGCCGCGGCTGGACCCGTCGAAAAGTCCCAAAGGAGAAATTATCAGACTAATCAGACTCGAACTTTTTAAAATTAATCTTTTTCTTTTGTACCAGAAAAAGTGAATAGTACAAGTCCATAGTACTTACTATTCACTCACTCGAAGACAAGAGTCACAAGACAATTGACGATCTCGACTATCTAGCAACTAAAGCAAAGTAAAGCAAAGTAAAGCAGTTACTACGAATACCTAGTTAATACAATAGCAAATACAATTTAGTTACTCCCCAGACTTTGAAATCTCCGGCTCGGACCCGAATCCTGTATTGTCATGGTACCTAACAACCTTGGAAGTTGTTGGACCCTACATATTATGTAGGTACCTAAACTAAACCTGAAGGCTCATCCATCATAATCCATGACCCCAGGGCCCAGGTATCCTGTTGACCTCATCTCCAGGGTCTCTTTATCTGAAATAGTATGTAACTGTATGTTAGGTACCTAGTCTAACCTTTACTAGGTAGACTTTATTACATAGCCTGTCCCCGGGATTTGGACAACTCATCTTGCATCAAAGTTGCTGCACGATAAACGGCCTCCCATTCGCTCTGCCCACCTACACCACGTTCTCTCAGAGATCGGAACCTAAAGTATCTGCAGTTAGTACAGCTATTGTACAGGTGCTACATCATTGATACATGCCTACATATCATACATGTAGAACAGTAGAACTGGTATCGTGGAGTTGAGATATATCTATGTATTGTACATGATATATGGACCTCTTTAGCACTTGTTCAACTTTTTGGCACAATATCTTTCTTACCCATCCGATTCCTACATAACTCCATAGTGCCATATTCCCCCCCTGCTCTTAGCCTCGTCGCGTATCCCCAGTTCAAGTCGCATCCTCCCAAAGAAAAGGAAAAAAAAGTCGAGCGCTTCTCGAGACAGACGACGAACGCGGGTGCGCGTTTCTGCAGCCGTACGGAGGCAATACCGTAGAGACCTGGTCTGCTCCGTTCATGCACATAACGTCGTCCTGCAGCTGCTGCTTTCTCCTGAAATCTTATTTTTATTTTCTTATTCTCTTCCACGCGGATCTCGCCCAGACATCTTGTTCCAACCTACCTAGCCTATGCATACACATACACATACACTTACACATACATGCATAAGCGCGATCACACAAAACATTATTTACATCTACCGCGTGCTGCCCCCTTCTTTACCTGCCTAAATAACAGCTCGAGAAGCTCGTAGCCTCATAGCCTCAAAGCCTCATGCCCTATCCGCCATCCCTCACCACCCACTCGACTTAAAACTGAGGAACTCACCTACCAACGCTAATGTCGACTTCTGGAGCCGCTTAAACGTCGCGGGGGCCAAGATTTTTTCGACGACCTCCCAAAGTCGACGTGTAGAAGGGGAAGAACAACTCCACATATTAGTCGAAATACCGAAAGCCTGGAAACCTGCCAATCGAGGACGTCCGTGTTGACCTCACACCGCCACTGGCTCCTTGAAGTCGAAAAGGTGGCCAGTCTCTCTCTTATACCCCCCATCCTGGCGGAGATCCTATATATACCTATATATATGTATACATATACATACATAATCTATATTTACATACAAACGAATCAGGTTCGCGGAAATACAGGGAAAAAAAGTTGCGCGCGCTACTGACGTCGAAATGCTTTACAATCGAACGAGTCTCAGCACACCTACCACCATCATCGCCGCCGCCGCCTTATTTCAGCCTCCATCTACTCATCACATCTCTTCCTTGGCTAATCTTTCGCCAAGTTAATTTGCACATTCAACCCTCTCTGTGTCTCGCGATTGGGTCTATCTTATATTGTATTACTTTCGCTGTATCATATTCATATTGGTGAGTAAGCCTCCATCCAATGGTGACCGTTCTGGACCTTTTTGTCGATGTGAGACGGAATCGATGGTCTTCACTTGCTAATATCGCAACCCTAGTCTATTGTAATATATTCGAATGTTTAATTTTGGTTGGTATTGTACTTTTGGGATCTCATCTAGCATTGTGTGGGAATTTTCATCTTGGCTCTATCCAATAGAGGCTGCCTGCTTGGGTTAACAAAAGATTAACGTGGATTTTTGGGACGACTCTTTTACACGCTTGCTCGATCGCGTCCTCGATTCTTCCAGCGACGACTACAGCTCATGCTGACGCAGGAGTCAAGTCAGTTCGCCAGTCACTCGTTATTCAGATATTCGCGAGTTGGAGCTTGGTCCAGGGTTTTCATCCCGAATCAGTGATTATAGCCCGGCTAAGGCCAGTGACGCTGTCTAACTCGACTATCGTTGGCCTGACTCGATCTCAACGACGTCACCCTTAATACAGCTTAATATCGGTGGCTGTGGTTTAAGCCCCTGTCGTTATTCTCACCTACGTTACGCGAACTCGACGGGGTCCACATTGTACGAGAACAGTTGGATTCGCCATTGTAAAAAATTTCGGGCAAAAGATTCTAGCAGAAAAGGTACATAAGGTCATTAGGAAGCTCGAGTTGGGGGAACTGCTGGTATTCTAAGGTATGTCTGGTGTCCCTCTGGATGTTGCTTTTAAATCTGCGGGTTCCTTGAGGTCCCATCACTACGCTGCCTTCTCGTAAAGTAAACATCTATTCTGACGAAATCGCCACATTACTGTCCGCGCCAACGCTGTTGTAGCCCTTCCTTTCAACCCAACCCCCCCCCCCCCCCCCCCCCCCCCCTTAACATCCATTAAATCTTATCACTTCGATATACTTAAGGCGCATTTCTCACCTTATATCAGACTCCCTGTTCAGACCCTTTCAATGGCTTCCTCCGAGGTTGACCAGAAGTTCCTTGGGCGCCTCGCGAAAGCCGTCGAGCCCAATAATGCGCTTCTCGCATCTATGCTATTTAAGATCCTAGGCCTGTCCATCAACGTAGCCGGTCAGCTCGTCAAGGCTAAAAAGCAGCGCCGTCTCGATACCACGCGCTTCACCCAGTCCCTCGAGCTGTACTTCCACATCCTATGGCTCTCCCGCGAAGGCCTCGTCATGCTCGAGCAGTACGTTCTCCCCATGGTTGGCGATCACGGCGAGCTCAAGGTTCTCGCGTACAAGCTACGCGCTTCCTTCTATCACATCTTTGTGTTGTTCCATAACGATCCCCCGGTTTCGCCTATGGGCATCGCCATTGCGCCTCAGGGAACGACGATGCCAGATTTCGCGAGGATGATGACGCCGCAGCGCTCTGACAAGGGCAAGGGCGTAGATAGGGCCGAGCCAGCTTTTGCGCACCCTGAGGAAGGCAGGTCGTCAGTGCAGCCTACGCATCCGGTGGAACAGGGGATCCCCGTTGGACCGCCTCCAGGTTTCGAGTCGCACTCACAAGCCCAGATGTATCCGATACCACCACCCGAGGCAGCGGCCGCATTCTTACTGCCGTCCGTGGACTACCTACCGACGGCGCACCAGTACTTCCGGGAGGCGTGCGCGCTGGCGGACAGCCTGCTATGGGGCTCGCACTCACTGCGGTTGTCAGTGAAGACAGAGTACGCGGCGTTTTTATACGAGTGCGTTCACGACCGGGAGGCGAGCCGGAAGCTAGCAAAGGACACGATCGCTGAGGTGTACGAGTCAAGCGAGGGCATGGACGACGATATGTTCAACGACGCGTGTGAGCTAGTCACAGTGCTAGGGAAGATGATGAAGCGCGGGTTAGGTAGCGGCGGACGCCCGAGTCCGAGTGCGACGGCTAACACGGGAACGGTGTCCCAAGGAGGCGGCAGCACGGCGACGATCGTGCCCCCTATTCCGCCGGTGGGCATGGAGAATCCGATATGAGGGGATTTAATAGCGCACTCGATTGATCGATTTATTGATTGATCTAGCACGATACGTTAAGTGTAAATTTGGTTCCGGAGTTACGAATTATACACAGGGGCGGTAGTATGAAGCAAACGAGCAAACGAGCAAGCGGCGGAAATCTAATACTACGCGCGACGATGTTCAGGGCACCATTGGTCGCGGAATTCGGAAGATCTGCGGCACCTTGGACAGGAAAATACGAGATACTTGGATGCCAGTCCTGTTCGGCGGAGTGATACAACTTTTCCTATTCATATATTACTCGAGGATACGGATCTAGTGCTACTACTTACGGTCAGCTTTGACTAGATCGCGTCCAACGATCACAGACGCGGCCCAATATGATCTAGGTGTCTAAAAATACAAATAATAATACGTTACAGGAAGGGGGTACTGCTTGCTGATACACGACTCGTTGTTTCGTCACACTTGGTCCCGAATCTCTACTACCTCCAAACATACATACCTACTCGGGTACTTGAATACCCACAGAATCTATACAGCCTCTTCCAAATCCTACTCCCACGAGGCCTGCAAAGGACCATAATACCACCTACCTCCCTTTCTCTTCCCACCTTGTTTATTACCCAATTATTCTTTTTTTCTTATTCTCAAAAAAGCGTTTAATGATACCCAGTTTCATGTTGCTGGACGGAAAGACAGACGGAACGAAGGACGAACGGAAGGATGAACAGACGGACATATACACAACACTACCTACGAACTACACACAATAACACATCCATGGATATCCCGAGAGAAACAACGAAGATAATCGGCTAGCCGCTATGAGCCGCTGCCGTCTTCGATATACCTACCCATCTAACTATCTAAATAAACATCACCACCTCAAATATCCGCAGCAGAAAAGTCCTGGAACAAAGCGGAAGGGGAATAATAAAAGGGGATACGGTTTGTTCCCTGTCATGAATATTAGCAACTACTAGAGAAAGTAGAAAGTAGAAAAGAGCAGAGTAAAGAGAATAGAGATAAATTTTTACCTACCTGACCAGACACAATGACGTGAGATTATGCTACTACTTGGATGTTTACTACGTACAAGCCGTGACTTGTCTGCCTGCCCATCTGTGTCTACTCTAGCTAGCTTGCATAGTTACATATTCACCGTCTCCCCTATTCTGTTCACTCTTCACTCTTTTCATCCCCCCTTCTGAAAGCTAGGGTGATGTGGTAAATTTAGTAAACTTAGGTTCTTACTAGGTAGTTTTCATAGCATCTATACATTTCCACGACTATACCACAACGTCACTAAGGTGCTAATCAAGATAAATAAATAAGTAGATAGGTAAAGCAACGATATCTATATTCTAGGATGCAAAACCGAGGTATCCAGCTACCCGTCTATCTATCCATCTATCCAATTTTCCATCTATGTATATTCCTTCTTTCCTCGCAGTCCCAGTCTTACGCTATGCGTCTTCCATCCAATCTATCCAACAATTCAACCCAACCAAAACAACATCTAGGTAAGGGGTTCTTTTCAAATCCCCAAACAGCCAGTCACTTTCAAGAATAGTGAAATCTATAAATTCATCGAAACCGCACAGCCTGCCTCCCCTCCCTCCCTTCCCCATCCCCCTTCCCATTCCCAGCCCGACTCGTCCTCCCACTCCCACCCCCACTCCCACTCCCCCTCGCAACCCTCCTCCCCACCGTCCTAGCAATCCTCTTCCTCTTCTCCCGCTCAACCACCACGCTGTCACGACTGCGCAGCAGGTGCCGTCTCGCCGCATCTACATCCGCCGCACCCAGAAGCTCCTACTCCGTGCCGCAGATCTCGTCGAGCTCGCCGACGACGCGGACGAGGAAGTCGAAGATCGTCCGGGACTCGGCGAGGATTTCTGCGTGTTCGGCGGGGGTTAGGACATTGGCAGTGTTGGGGTTGTTGGGGTTATTGGGGTTATTGGGATTAGGGTCTCCCGCAGTCGCCCGCGCAAGCCTCGCCTTAAACAGCTCCTTGGCGTCCTCGCCGTCCCGCGGGGTGTCGAAGCGGAAGAAGGAGAGCGGTTCTTCGCTCTGCTTCCCACCGTCCTCCATCTCTCCCTTTCCCTCCTCCGTTTTTACCCCCTCGCTCTCTTCGTCATCCTCATCCTCATCCTCCCCCCACAACGGCGTCCAAAACCCCCCGCCCCCCCGCTCTTCTCCCACCTTGGCATCAGCCCTCTCCAGACTCCCTCTGATGAACTTGCCCCCCGCGAAAAGCGCCATGTACAGCACCCACGCGTACGCGACCAGCACGTGCGGCCGCGCGGCGACCGCGTTCGCGATGTGCGTCAGGAACTCCGTGAGGACTGGCTGGTCTCCTCCACCAGAGCGGGCGCCTTTGCTGCTGCTGCTGCTGCTACCACCACTGCTGCCGGTTGTGTTGGCGGCGGTGGCGGCGGCGGTGCTGGTGATCTCGTCCAGCTGCCGCGACACGCGGTCGGCGGGCCAGCCGGTCAGGGCGGCTAGGTCGCGGCGCAGGGGGGCGGAGCGCTGGAGAGAGGGGATGTGGATGGAGGTTAGGAGGGCGTGGATGCGGGGGGGCAGGTTGGGGTTGGAGTCGGGTTTCCCCTTAGGAGTAAGGCCAGAGCTACCGTTTGAGGTAGAGGTAGAGGTAGAGTCTGGGGTGTTAGAGGGGGTAGAGGTAGTAGGGCCCGCATCAAGCAGATCGCTCCACAGCGACTCAAAGGTAAGGTATATGGGGGCGATGTGCAGGAGTCCCTGGAAGTAGTTATGGCAGCTGTTGGCTTTGGGGGGAAGCGCGAGACGCAGACGGTTGGTGACGAGCTTGTTGAGTTTGGTGTGTAAAGGGCGGATGGCGAGGTTGATGGCTGGGCCGATGGATAGGGGTTCAGGGGCGGCGTCGGTTTTGACGTCGGTGGCGGTGGTCTTGGAAGGCATGGTGGTGGATTATCGTTGAATCGATTGTTGAAGGGGTATTTTCGTGCTTAGGATACCAAATTCAGGATACCAAGTAGGCATATAAGTATGTAGGAGGTGTGCAGGTATTTAAGTATAGGTAAGAGATGAGGACTTAGGATTCTCTAGGTGAAGAAAGAGACTAGGAAAGATGAAACAATGAAACAATCGAGGACTATTTGTATTAAATAGTAGACGAACTGATCAAAGAGAGAACAGCAGATACGTAAGGCTGAGACGAGACCAGACCAGACCAGACACGGTGAGGCGTGGGCAGGTGACTACCTCCCCTACCCAGCTCAAGCGAAGTAACAGACAGACAGGTCTTTCCTCAAGATACCTACCTATTTTTCTTCACATCAAGCCACCTTTCCACCTGTCCTTCCCTCCTTCCTCACAGCCCAACTCAACTCCTAGACAGACCGTTATGTTTGTCTTTGTCTGCAGCGCCGATATCCTAGACGGGCAAGAACAGTGCCGTACCTTACTTTAGGTGAAGACCGGCCGGACCTTAATCTGAAATCAAATCCCACAAACGGGAAGCGACCACGTGCGATGCGCAAGTAGCCGCAGTTCTTGTCCCCCTTCGAATCCTATCCTTCCTTCGCGCTTTCCGATAGTATAGTGTAGAGTGAGTTTATAGAACGAACGAAGAAAAGCTGATCAATCCTTCCCGGAGATAGATAGACAAGACGTGCGGCTCTGCCGAAGTGCGTGAGCGTGGGGGGAAGAGGAAGAAGAAAAAAATGATGAACTTCCTCCCTAGTACCCAGGTATGTAGGTATATAATATGTATTGGCCGTAAGGGGCAAGCGACTTGTTTTGCTTGTAAGACACGAAGCAGCACAACTCAACTCCCACACATACAACACAGAGAGAGACCCAAACACGTACGTCGGAAAACGAGACAAGAAACAGTGCAACGTCGCCGGCGACGAACATGAAAAAGTGCAAGAAGCAAAAGTCCAAATTCAGCCAAAAATGAAAACAAAAAGGAAGAAATCAAGCCTCTAAAGAAAAGAAAAGATGTTACCGTTTTAAAACACGGGCCAGGGGTAGGAGTGAGTGATGATTGTATACATACATATGTAGATGGCACAGCACAACAACACAGCGTACATAGCGATACACAGCGGGTGAGTGACAATACACACCCACACCCACACACATACACACACATATACACACACACACACTACATTAGGTAGTACACTAGGTTAGCATGGTACGCCACGATACCCGCCCGCGCCTTGTGATCTTGGAAACTAGAACACCTACCTACGTAAATAGCACCCGATCTGGCCCCATACCGCCTTGCCCTGAATACCTAACCTAGTCAACACGATTTTTTTCTTTTTCTTTACAGAGATCGATTCATCAACGTACGTCATCCCACGTCCCAAGTTAGGCATGCTATGACCTAACCGCAAGGAACTAACTAGCCTTGGAAGGGGGGGGGGGGGACGGGGTGGAGAGCTAAATAGTCTCCGAAACGGGCTTGGAAAAATATCTGCTGCTAGTTTAGCTTCGATGATGTAGTAGTTATGTTCCTAGATATATGTAGAAACCAATGACTGTGCCTAGGACCTAGGTAAGTAGGCAAGGAACCTCGGTACCTGCTTAGCTTAGGGGTAGGTATTACATAACTTGACGTTGAGTTGTAAAGAACATTGAAGATTATTCATGATTCCATGGTTACATATCCGTCGTTGCATCGATACATATGTAGGTACTGGTACTATTATAGATCTAGGTACGGTACTATGTAGCACTTTGGTATGTATGTACTATGTAACCTACTAAGATGTATTGCGTGTGAAGCAACATTGAAATACTACCTACAACTGACTCGACCGTTAGCTACCACCACCAAAACTTCTCAGATCCCGTCAAGAACTATGCATGTTTACTAGGCAAAAGCGATATCTTAGTTTGCAGGCCGTACATATGCAAGTCTCACCCAGCCGTCTGGGCAAGTCATTTACGGACGAATGAAAAGGAGAGGAAAAAGAAAAAGAGCGACCAAAGAAAACGCCAAACAACGCCCCTGACTTCGGCCGAAGCCAAAGTCTAGGTAGGTAGTTTGATAATACAAAATTTCATTGATAGGTCCTTCGTATAAATTAACCATACTCTGAAGCATGGCTTGCCTACCGCATACAATATAGGTAGCCATGCCATGAAATGAAATGTCACCAACGCCTCGGCACCATACATGAACATGATCAAGTCTGTACTACCACCATGTAACGCATATCTAAATGCTTGAATACCTATTTACTACCCAGACAAGTTAGTTACTTAACTGCCCAGGTGAGTACCTATATGTAATAAGTCCTGATAGTAAAACAGCTTTACTGAATATACCTACTTCAAAGGGTATTCTTGTCTATCGAATATCAAACCCCTAATCTACCTGCTATGTGGGCACCTAGGTAAGTATGTATGTAAGTACGTAACGTGATGCTCAGTGGCCCATTTACCAATTCGAGCCTCTATGAATGCAACAATTATTCCTGAACCGTGAACGCCGTCGCCTCAGTCTTTAACCCTTTGCCCAAGTAAGTAACCTATCCATTGGCTGCCGCTTCAAAAAAATAACACACGTATATACCCTAAACCAGGTATGTATTGAACATGAACATGAACATGAAGGACTTCAAATGTTTCATGGCTCAGCCACTCGATCTAATACCCCCCTTTCCGGGGTCGCCTTAACTTTCTCGTCCTCGTCACGACTTTCGTGATTAATGAAGATGAAAGAGAGCAAAACAATGGCAGCGCCGATCCAGTACACAAAGCTTGAGTACTGCTCGTACTGGATCATCTCGCCAATCAAAGATAGCGGAATGGTCAAGGACAGCCCGACGGTCACGACCAGGGGGGTCATGAGAAGCATAGCGTAAGCAAACGACATATCGGATATGAACGAAGATATAGAGTTGAGCTGTGTATCAGTGGTTAGCCGTTGATTCGGTGTGCGTCGGGTGAACAACTTTAGAATAGCTTACAATGATGATGGACCAGATATTGCCACTCGGAGGTAACTCAAACTATTCTGCATTAGCAATTCCGCATACACCACCGCAGCAAACAAGCCCATGAAAAGGCATTTATGTATGCACTTACCGTTTCGATCCCTGTAAAGTGCAGGATGAAGAAGAGCGGCCATAGTAAAACCAAGTTGCAAACTCCCAGGAGGCCGAAAAACAGGGGCATGTTAACGCGGTCCTCGTTGCCCATGCGCACCTTCAATATAACGACGTACAGCCCATAAACTACGGCGCTGAAGAGGGCCATGGCATCGCCAATGGCGATCTGCTGTTGGCTCTTATGCGGGAAATTCCCGCGATTGTCGTCGTTATCCTTGGTTGACAAGTCCACGGTGGAGATGAGCACGACGCCGGCGAGCGAGGCGAGGACGCCCACCAGCTTTCGGATGGAGAATGGCTCGATGCGCATGATGGCACATGCAATGAGGGTCCACACGCTGCTCGTCGATGTTAGGATCGTCACGCTACCCACACTCGTATATTCGAGACACGCCGATGCGAAATAATTTCCCAGAAACCAGATAAGGCAAAATTCAAGACTGTACCTGGCCGTTTCCACAAACGACAGCTTGTCTGAGGGTGTTGCCGGATCGATGATCTCGAAGCTTCCATCATCGTCCGCAAGTAAGTGCTCTCCTGCCGTGATGTCTTCCTCCTCTTCCTGTGTCTTTAACCTCTCAACCCCACGGTACCGTATTCTCCACTCCTGCATCGCCATATTTTTCACGCGTGTGATGCCGCCATTCTGTATTACGTATTTTATGGATATCGGGATCAGGGACAGCGCAAAAATGGACCCATTAATGTAAACTAGGAAGAAAGGTTTATCGTAGGTTTGGTCGGAAAAGATGGACTGCCATAATCGGAATTAATTTTCTGCTCTTTTACTATCCCTTGAACATATTTGCAAGTTTGTACGTCTAGCGACCTAAGATGGAATATACTCACGCTGGCGAGGAAATTCGATACTGTCCAGAGAAACACGGTAACTAGTAAAAGAATGATGCCCATAGTCCTTCTTGCCATTTTCCACGACCCAGGCTTCGGCCTTAAACTCGGTATGGTTCCCCAGGAACTGGACGAGCCGGGCAGATCATCGGATGGCGCGGGTGGTTCGGAAAGCCTTCGTCTGGGAGCGTCATATTGTGCATTTATCTCGGCCGGTATAGCTATGGGATCCTGTAATACCATGTTGGCGGATGGGAGGTTGGCGCAGAAGTAAATTCGCAAGTATTCCGAAGTCTAGAATCGAAAAGCGAAAACGGATCGCGTGGGAATGGAACCATGTATTGTCTATTCAGGTTTAACGAGAGAGTCGAATTTAATAGTTCTAAAAGATAGGCCTAGAAGCCAGAAAGAACACAAAAACGACAAATAGAGTGAAGGGAATGAATATTGATTCTAAAAGCGAGGGTTAGAGAGAGTGAGGTTAAAGATAGTGAAACATGTTAAAACTACAGTACATGTGGAAAAGGATTCACGATTGAGAACGTCAAATGAATTGGTTACAATGCATGTGGTTAGCAATCACTACATCTTGTAGGTACCTACAGTAGGCACCTACCCTAGGTATCTACTGCACTGCCTGCACTGCATAACAGGGTAAGTAAACTTATTGTTCCCGCGCCGCCGGCGTTTTGAAAAAATGCCGAGACTTTTTATACCCCTGGCCCTCTACGTAGTGTTTCACTATAAAGAACTTGGAATGGATGACATACAGTGCTCCTCGTAATCATACCAAAGTACGCTTTGGGGTCATAGCCTGTAGTATGCACTAATCCTAATAACTTCATTTAAACTACATCAGAGCCTCATAAAATATTCTATGGTACAATCATATAATCCACACTATAATATAAAATTGAAGATTTAGAAATGCCTACTTAGTTATTCAAATCCACCACGAAATTCATTTAGTCAGGCATCATACTCCGTAGTGACATCTTCAATGTTCAAGTCAGGGGCAGTATTTACTAAGACAGTCACGGGAATCGACAGATATCGTCACATGCCCATACTTGGACTTATAAACATTATCACAAGCTCAACATGCAATCATATCATGAGAATTTGGTGACATGATAACTAAAAAAAAAAAGAGGAACACTTCTGAATGCTGACTGGGAAAATATCAAAATTGATGCATCAATAAAGTCCTGGGTCAAATATACCATGACGGGACGCCCAAGACTCGACTGTACAATCCCATACCCACGGGACAAACCAAAATGCGATGCATATACTGCTCTATACACACTTATTACGTCCGTGGTTCTATTTTCCACTTGCTCCGAGTCCGTAACTCGTCCCTGGAGCTTTCTCCCCCTAAACCTGATGTCTCGCATACAAAGAGGCAAATGATGGTTGAGAAGGCGCAAATGAACTGCATATAAATGGACCAATGCTAGTCAATAGGATGAGTCGTGAAAAGGCCGGGACAACACACGATAGGACGATATGCTAGGGACATTTAAGGCCCATAAAATGCTTAGCATGCACATCCGTCGCGGTCGTTCTCGATGTGAATGTTGATAGGGTCCTGGAAATCTCCACTGAACTCCTCCGACTCTTCCTGAGCTAGCGCATTCCGTGCGATGACTATGATATGAGGTTAGTCGAGCTTAACATGGGTAGTGGGGGGCTCTTTTTTCGGTGGTGGAGATAGTACCTTCAAATGCTTGCTCAACGTTGACAGCCTCTTTGGCACTGGTCTCGAAGTAGGGAATATCGCCTTTGGAGTGGCAGAAAGTTGCTGCTCGCTTACTCGAAATCTGCATAGTGTAAGCTGGTGATATCGCTGATTAGAAGATCAGATCTGCTTACGACTCGCTTGCTCTCCTCAACATCAATCTTGTTTCCCAGTACGACCTAAACAATATTGTAAGTCAAATGTCTTCGAATAGCAAATGTGATGGTCTCCTTACGAAAGGGAAATTCTCGGGGTCCCGCGGCGAAGCTTGGATTAAGAACTCATCTCTCCAGCTATCTAGCGCATCGAAGCTCTTGGAGTTGTTGACATCGAAGACTAGTACGCAACAATCGGCACCTCGGTAGAATGCGACGCCTAAAGACTGAAAGCGCTCTTGGCCGGCTGTGTCCCAAAGCTACTATGGATTAGTTCCTATTGAAGGGTGGTGTTGATTATCTGTCTCGGCTTCGTACCTGCATCGTGACTTGTCGGTCATCAACCAAGACCTCTCGGTTTAGGAAATCGGCTCCGATGGTCGCCTTGTAGCTGGCACTAAACTTCTTGTTGACCTATAGAAAAAATAGGATCAGCCTCGTGTTATCTTGGACTCGGGTACAGGAATCGCAAGAGGATTGCCGTATCGATGGCCGTAACATACATATTGATTCATCAAGCTCGTCTTGCCGACACCGCTATCACCAAGTATGATAACCTGGAATTTAATGCGTTAGTGTGTAATAGAATCAAAATAAAAGATGAATGGAGAATCATATCAGTTGTTATTGTGTAGGGGATATATATCGGTACCTTCAATAGAACCTTCTTCCCTTTAGAAGCCATGATGAAGGTCGACCTCGGCGGCTCTTAGTGGAGTTGAGAAAGTGGTTGATGGTTGAACAAGAAAAATTGAAGGTATGGGTCGTATTAAAAGAGGTGAGTTTTTTAACTTCTTTTTATCAACAAGAAGTTAGCTTGTGAACGCGATGTAGTGAATCGGTAGTATTGATTGTGTTGTTGTTATTGTTGTTGTAGTTGTTAAAGTTGTACTTGTTTGAGGTCTAGGCCAAGGTAATCAATCACCTGCATTGATGGATGATGGAGGATGGATAAGGTAATGCTGCTCGGACCTACGCCGATACTTACCTGATGCAGCAACTGATAAGGCGCTGTACCTATGGAATCTAAGGTTGTACCTGGCTTATAGTGAGCACGAGATCAAATCAGTGGCTAGAACATTCAAGACAGCCACAATCACCCCCCCAATCCCCCCCAATTCCCCCCAATCGATCCCTGGATGGTTTTAAGGTTTTAAGTTTTGAGGGTGCTGTAGCCAGTAAGCCTGTAGTTAGGCGTCCAGAGCGTCCTACACAGCATCCTGGCGTCTAGATAGTGGAACGAGCCCAATAAGTCACTGTAACCATGTAGGTACCTAAACTGCTAAAGTTGTGACCGGCATGCTTCACAGGTTCTTCTGATTCAACCACGTTTTCGTTGTCTTCGTTGACTGCATGTAACGCATAGATATGAATGCGCATGGCGAATGAGATGGAAATCAATGTTTAAATATATATAGTACTTTGTATAAAATACTGGTACATATTATATATACCAAACATCCATGGATCCTAGCCATGATTCGCCTACTCAATGTACATGTAGATACCTAGGTAGGATGGCGTGAAAAGGTGAAGTGTTGAACTTATATGTACCTACCTAGGCATCGTGCTACGAAATATTGACCCGACCCTATTTTCTTATGGTACTGACTTAGGTAAAGAGCCTCTATCCATAGTATATTTGTCATGATGTCATACTTCATCATGCCAATATGGCAACACATGCCATCACAGTTATGCTGGTGACGCCTTTGAGCTTTCTACACCACATTAAATTGACTACAAAAGCTTGCCAGTTTATACTTGTCTACGCAAAATAAAGTTCCTACACTATTAATTATTCAACAGTAACAAATCATTGGCTTCACGTTCACGATGGTCGCTATCCGTATTAGTCACACCTTAAACGCCTTGCGGGCCGCTCGCGTCCGCGGTCCACAAGCTTATCGCGGCATAACCACTACTTCCCGTGCCAACGCACAGGGTTACGGTGATGGCGAGGGAGACCCCAAAGGAGGAGATCCTCAGGCCCAGCCAGCATCAAGCAACGCGCAACAGTCAGCCGAGCACCCTGGCCCAGCCCCACCCGACGTGGGAAAGGGAACTGGGGGAGGACCAACCAAGGCCGGGCTCTCGAAGAGCATGAACAAGGCAGCGGACAAAGAATCCGGCATCAAGTCTGCCGAGTCAGCCAGCGCGCAGTCCGGCGGCTCGCGATCCAAGGAGGCGACGGAGACGGGGAGCAGTCCCACTGGCGGGAGCATCGCGAACGCGGCAAGCCAGAAAGGAGGTGAGGCGCTCAAAGGTCCTCAGGGCAAGGGCACACCCAGCCCCAAGCTCCACGGCCAGGGCATGCCCAGCGGGAATGTCAAATCGGGCTTGAGTGACGAGCAGAAACAGGAAGTCGAAAGGCATAACGCCGACTTCGAGAAGCGACACGACCGCGCAGCGCCTGCAGCGGATGACAAGGTCGATCCAAAATTCTGGAAGGGATCGTGAGTAATGCGTTGTTGCAATGCTGCGTTGCTGCTTTGTCACTTGGTGTTTTAAAATGCCGTATTACTGTACTTTTGCTCGTTGTAGTTTTTCAACATTATCCAATATCATAGACTGACTTATCGCCGACATAGCGGTCGTGTGAACGATGGGCCGAGTGTTGTGGATTGGAATGCATAGTCATATGTAGTTGTAAATATGCAACTATTTTAAAAAGGGGGAATGGGTGCAGTATAAGGAATAGCATCAACAGCATGAAGAATGTACGATTTGCAGTGTTATTTCCGGGTTATCCGTGATATTTATGTATGATTGGGATAAAAATAGGGTGAAATGGATCAATAAGAGTGATTTTAGCTCTAAAGTTACATAAATACACATGATGCGATAGGCCGGGCCGAGAGTGCCTAGACGGGCGGCCCCAGCTAAATGTATTCCCCGAGATTGGGGGGGCTCGGACGCTTTACAATTGATGGATAGCATCAATCATTAAACCTAAACCTTTAAACTTCCAACTCAACATAATAATACTAACCTACTGTATTCCCATCCCCTCGAATAACAATCATTTCTAATTAATAATCAACTTCTAGGAACAAATCCCAAATGTGACTTCCATGGATAGCGAGACATTGATATCACAGTCATTCGATGGCGGATGAGGACCTCTTGCGTAGGATCCACGGCTTGGGGGATTTGGATTTAGCAGCATTATTATGTTTAACCAGCCGCGAGCATTGCATCGTCACCACCGACGCCCCCGAGCTCGATGGTTTAGTCGAAGAAGTAAGGCTTGTAGCCTCGCAGACCTTTAACCTTCCCTCCGTTATCGTAAACTGTACCCGCTACACTACCCTCGATGACCTTGCCGCCGCCATCCTGCTCCCACCGCCTACACCAAAAGCCCATCAGTCCTTTTCACCGGGCCCTAAACCGAATCCCCGCGATCCAACCGCGTCTCCCCTTCGACGCCCCGGCACCGAGTCGTCTTCCTACTTCCGCCCAGGACATCACAGTCGTAACAGCAGCCATGGCACCACCAGCGCGATGACGGTTCCACCGCAGATCGCCAATGTGATCGTAGCCAAGAACCTCAACCTCGCCCCCAAAGATGTCCAGATCCAGTGCTTAGAACTGCTACGCACCCGGCGTATCCTCACGCGGACCAGTGTGCAGACAGCCCCTAAGCAGTTCCTGTTTGTCGCCGTCCTCGAGACCAACGGTGCCGCGCGGCTCGTCTCGCACCTGAACGATTTCTTCTACATCTCGCACTGGCACGACCCCGAGGACGGCTTCGCCCACCAAGAGGACGGAGAATACGACACCGGGTACAGCGACAGCACCGGGCAGGACTCACCCAGTCTCAACAGCGAATCGAGCGTCGTCCGCCGCAGCATCACCGACTCCACCGCCGCCGCATTCACCAGCACCCCGCGAGGCCCTCGAACCCGGGGCCCCGACAACCTGCGCCTCAACACCAACGTCCGCGACAGCATCTCAGGCGTCAGCTTCCGCTCGACCTCGTCGATCTTCCCCTCGCTCAGCGAGTCGGACATCGCGACGCTCGCGCAGCTGGCCCTCTCCGTGCACCAGGACATCGAGGTGCTGCGGTACCAGATGAACATCGTGACCTTTTTGCGCATGCACCGCGCCGTCGCGCCCGGCGGCAGCTGCGCCTCCCCCCACGCCACCAAGCACTTCGGCCACCTCGCCAAGTGCCTCGCCGCCCTCCACGGCCTCGACTACGTCACCCCCTCCCTCGTCGCCCTCGCCGCCAAGAAGATATACCCCCACCGCATCCGCATCGTCGACCCCGCGCGCGAGCGCAGCATGCAGTGGGGCAGCGATCTGTCGGCTGTTGAGGCGCTGCTTGAGGGTGTTGCGCCCGAGGACGTGGTCGAGGATGTGCTGGCGGAGGTGGGGGCGCCTTTGTAGAGAGACTTACCTAACCTAGGTATATGGGTATCCAGTACCTATCTCCCCCTCCTCTACCTCACATACGCACTTTCATATCATATCGGAATCCAAAACGGAAAAAAAAGGGGCATAGCATGGCATAGCATAGCATAGCACGGCGTAACATCAAATAGGTAGACAAGGAAGGTTTTCAATAGGGGGATCGGGTGTCATACATACATACATAGATCAGGGGAGTTATATAATTAAATTACCTAGGTATAGACGGGATTAGCTTCGGGGGTTTTTTATCTACATAACTAGATGGGGAGGAATTAACTAAATACTATTACTGAATCACTGAGTTGGCAAATTTGAGATTCTGGGAATGACCTGATATCTAGGTAATCTGCATAGGTGCTTGCTACTACTTGGGTAGTTAGCCTGAGAGGTAGGTAAGCATACATATAACTACATGTACCTACTAAAATGCCCGTGTGTATTGGGTGTGTAGGTACCCCCCTAGGGTAGCTATGCATGGAGATAACTACTTGATACGATATTAGGTACCTAGGACTGGTTAATCGGTCACGTACTCGCTTTCACATACGCATGGCTTCATATGTTAGGCATTTCACGACGTTGGATGTTCAACATTACTTGGTATGAGTCTTTTTCTTTTCGGTGCATTGCATTACGTACGACCTATGTATCTCTAATAAAGGTTAGGTAGGCTAGGTAGACCACCTGCCTACCCATCCTATCTTATATAACGGCCTTGATTGTTATTCGCCTCTTACCCCCCTCTCATCTTCTCAGGACGGAGGGAGGAAGGGAGGCGGCCATTTTCATTTCATGGTGTTTCCCACTCCACCATTTTACATACGACCCTGTTTTGGTCGTCATGATCCGAATAACGCCGGCCTTTTTTCATTTGGGACAAACAACCGGTCCCCCTACCACCACCATCACCATCACCCGCCAAGTTTGTTGTTATTGTTGGTTATAATTGTTCCGTGTGCTTCCCCTTTCATTCCATTAAGTTGGTAGGTGGTTTTTTCTATGCGGCATGTGGATTATTTGATGTGGAGGAGAATTAGTGTGGACCTGGCTATACCATATGCATATCCTTCCCCTTTCCCGCCGGGGACCAAAGGTAACACTTTAGTGTTTAGCATATGTTGATGGGTTATTATGCAGATTAATAAGACTGCGTGAGTTTGCAGGACCAGCCAGAGTTCTTGGCTAATAGGGGTAGACTGTGGTTACGTATCACATTAGTAATCCGCGTAGATCAATTGGTATAAGGAGAAAAGGAGATTGGCTTACCTAGCTCCTAGACACCAGCCCAGCTCATTCCCCTTAATCTTCTTGGCGATCCTGACCTCGCGATCAATCGGCATCTCATATCCACTATGTAGCAAGCCCATCATGAAATTGAGATCGAGGCAGTACTCCCCGCGCTTGCGTAGCTCATCGAGGGCCTTGGGAACCTTGCTGAAGATGCCCCAGGTCTCCTCACCGCCACAAACTGAGTTCGTGAGGTCGTGGAGCTCGCGTAGCGTGAATGAGTCTGGCATTCCCAGGGGCTTGGTTCGGTCGAAGAAGTACGAGAAGATGTACACATCCTCAGTCGCAAAAGTCCTGGCCAGAGATGGCTGGTGCACACCATTGAATGAACATGGTGCCAGTGTGCAGTCTGCATCCTTGTACAAAATGCGCTCGGCAAGTGCGCGACACTGCGCTGGCGCCGGGGTGGCCGGGCCGGACATGTTTAGCTTGATTTCGCCGCTGCCGAGAGGGCTGTCTTCATCCAGCTGCACCTTGATCATATCACTTTGGCCTGCGTTGATGCAAGGGTGGTTCAGGATTGGCTTCTTCAAAAAGGCCGTGTCCTTCTCCTCCTGGTAGATGTCGTTCAACACACTCAGGTGGATCGCGTTGCGGGCAGCCATTAAACCATAGCCCAGGTGAGAGTGCTGATACAATTCAAACTTGCGCCCACCGAATGAGAGATTGTATTTGTGGTCGCCCTCAGCTAGCTTTTCTGGCATGCCACCCGAGGAAAGTCCCTTAAACGTAGGCTCGAAGACAATCTGCGTAGAGCCACCACCGAGATCAAAAACAGCGGCGGTGGGGCTCTGCTCAGGGAACCCAATTTTGCCAAGGAGGTAGTTGGTTGTGATCCAAGCATACACACCCTCATCGGCACCGTCCATGATCGCAACACCATTCTCCTCCTTCGAAACGACGGGGAACGGGTAATCCTTTTCGAGGTGCTCACGAACGGTGTCCAAAATCTTCTTACTAGCTTCGATTCCGATCATTCGTAGACCAGCAGTTGCCTTGACAGCGATAGGGGAGCAACCCTTCAACTTGTCGGGGATGCTAGACATAGCGACGGCCATAAGATCGTCCAAGGTCTTCGCGGCAGCAATAGGGTCGTCCTTATACTTGCTAAGACCACCAACGCTCTTCTCGGTCATCTTGAAATCTTCCTTCTCGAGCTCTGGGGTCGGGCCGCAGTTGTTGAACTTATAGACGTGGATTCGAGATCCAGTGCTGCCAGCGTCGATCATGCTAACATATTGTACAATTGGTTTATCCTTAGAAAACGATTTTGTACATCGGTCAGTTCCGTACGATGAGTCCGAGGGGACTTGGCCTCCGGTATGCGATACTATGAATATTAGTTGGGAAAGCCATCGCAAGGGAATCGCAGTATGATATCTGTCACGTACCACCGTTATAAACTTCGACGCCTTTAGGCGAAAAGTAGTAGAACAGGAACACCAGGAAAACAACGATGGCCGTGGTCTTGACCCATCGCGTCTTCTGGGCCTGGTTCATGGTGGCGGTTTGTAATTTCTCCACGATGCCGGGTTCTCGGTGGCCCGAGTCGTAACGCGCTGGTTTTTCGTGAGGGTCGTGGTGGACTTGCTTAGTAGGCAAAGAGACTGATGTTCTCCTCATAACCTTGACATGCAAAGCATTCCCCAGTATTTTCTGGGGTAATTGAAGAAAAGGCGAAGTGAATAAATAAAGGGAAAGGAATGGAATAAGGGAAAAAGAAGAATGAAAATGGTTTGTGGAAAAGGCAGAACGAGTGAAACGTCGAAACGGCGAAAAGTTGAATGAACAAGTTACAAGATGAAATAAAAGTCTAAAACTAGACAAATGCGAGGATCAATGCCGTATAGGGGCAGTTATTTGATAGGGTAATGTGGAAAAAAGGGGGGGGCGACACGAGATACAAGTGTAAGACTGTAAGTAGTAGGTACAAAATAGGAAGTACCCTAGGTAGACACTGCAAGTATGTAACTAGATGCAACTTGTTCAAATCAAGATTGAAAAAGAAATGCCAATCTTGTAAAAAAAGAAAGAAAAAAAAACGGTTGTTCGAAGATTTTCCTCCAATTCCACCGCTTCCAATTAAGTTCCTTATCCGTTAACTAACCCCTAGACTTGGGAATTTTTAGTGAACAATTTAGCAGTAACGTTGAATATAATAGGTGGGTTTGCGACTCGAAATTCTGAAATTCTAGGCATTCTTGGAACTATGGGCCATTTTAGTCACCTACCTAGGTTAGTACGCCGTACTTAAGTTAGTTCCCCGGCTCTTATGCCTTACCTAATAATATCCATCCCTGATCCTTGGGTTATCAAGATCATGGATCTCTCCAGGCTCAATGCACTGCACAACATTGCACCGCCACATGAATTAAACTTTGGAGTGAAACTGGAACCTTCTTCAAGTTCAAATTCACCAGCCACGTCAGTGTTCACTGCCTGTGACAGTACCCAAGTATCTTCTATTGAACAACTGAAGGCAGGTGCACTTGAGACTTCAATGTTGCCTCAAACTTGAAGTGTGACGTATATGTCGTTGCCTTTCATAATTATTCCTTTTTTTCCTTTTCAAATCATATTTATTCACATACATACCTAACCTAGGGTATATAGTAACTATTCACTTCATTTTCAACATTGAATCACATTACTACCGCGATATATAAGACTTTAAGTTCATACTGATATCCCGCCACTTGTTAGAATAGTTCACCCAATCAAACCCCGTCATGATGGATGTCCACCTTCTTACCTACGACTTATCTGGAGGGTTGGCGAAGCAGATGTCTGCTGGACTGCTGGGATTTCAACTTGATGCCATTTATCACACTTCGATAGAATTAGATGGCATGGAGTACGTCTATGACGGCGGTATCCGTACGATCCGTCCAGGCACTTCTCATTTAGGCCAACCTCTTGAAAGAATCCATCTTGGGAAAACCGAACTACCAATGGAGGTTATAGTTGAATATCTTGATTCATTACGAGAAATATATACTCCTCAGGTATTTTAATATGGCCCAGGAGAAAGTTGATGACATACTGACCTCGTAGGCATATGATCTTTTCCGGCACAACTGCAACAACTTCAGCAATGACTTTTCCATGTTCCTAATTGGCAAAGGAATCCCAGAGCACATCACAAATATGCCCCAAACCGTTCTCGATTCACCACTGGGTATGATGTTGCAGCCTAGGCTGGCGCAGATGGTTGAGGAAAGAAAGGCTCAGCAAGGCGGGTTACTTGGCATCCAGGACAATGTCCCAACTCAGCCCAGCAAAGCTACTACCTCTTCTCGAAATTCAACAGTCATGAATGTCACCAATATTCAAGTCTTGGACAAAATTCTGCAAAACACCAAGATTAATGGATCGTGCGCCATCATCTTCTTCACAATGGCATCCTGCGGCCCGTGCAAAGTACTCTATCCTCTGTATGACAACTTGGCCAAGGATTATGGAGAACACGTCACGTTCGTCAAGGTTGATATAAGACAAGCCTATGATATTTCTACAAGGTATTCCATTACGGCGACACCTACTTTCATGACTTTTCAATACGGTGAAGAACTAGATCGATGGATGGGCGGAGATAAGTTTACGCTTGAAAGAAATGTTGAATTTCTTTCTCGACTCGCCAAGCCGTCTCATCCACACATGCAACTCTCTCTTCCTCACTTAGAAGCCGTCAAGTCAAATCCTGTGCTCTACCAAAAGGTCCCCCCTCTTCCTAAATTATTGTCTAAGCTGGGACCCAAAGCAGATGAACCCCCAATCCAAGAGATGAAGCATTTCATTGAAACTAGAACTTCCCAGGGTCCTTCTCAAGCTACGTTACCAGACCTGCAATCATTCTCGGGCTTCTTGCGTTCTTCTGCCCAAGAGCTGCCGAAGGAGATTTTGTTTACAGTGGTAGACCTCTTCCGATGTGCACTCATGGACCCACGAATCAGCGGTTGGTTCGCAGAGGAGGAGCATCATGCGACAGTTGTTGCCTTACTAAATGCTGTGAATAAGGATTCTGGGTGTCCTTACCCTCTTCGACTCACAACGTTACAGATGGCTTGTAATCTGTTCTCGAGCCACCTTTACTCGGACCAGGTTATCAACAATGCGACCTTACGAAACTCTATTACTGATCTCCTGTCATCTAGCTTCCTCGACGACAATCACAATAATATTCGGGTTGCAGCATCATCACTTCTCTTTAACGTTGCCTCTGCAAATTACAAGAAGAGGGAGGAGGGAGCAGGTGATGTTCTCACGGCGGCATGTGAAGTAGAGCTAGCAGCATCAGTTTTAGAAGCTATCCGGCAAGAAGAGTCATCTAGTGAGGCGCTACATGGCATGCTGCTAGGATTGGGATATCTAGCATATCGCATGCCGATGGAAGGGGATATGGTAGATCTGCTGAAGGTTATGGATGCCCAAGGAACCGTACTGGACAAGAAGAAGAAATTCCCCGATGAACCCCTGGTAGAGGAGGTGGGGACTGAGCTGCTGGGGAAAGGACTTCAGAAGGCATGAGCTTTCATGGTATAAACGGATCTATGCCGCACGATTTAGAGCTCTCAAGGTTTATGCATATACCTATGCTGTAACATGCATTGGTTGGTAGACGATGGCAGGATGATACTTAGACAGAATAGGGCACGCGCAATGTATTTCTCGGCGTCATCGAGGGCAATCGCTTTGATAATCAGCATCAACGTTAAACAGGCGCCTGTAACGGGTTCTCTCTTGCCATATAGTCATCTCATGGTGAGGTTTTGGAAGAAGGTCGCAACCTCTACTGCAGTTTTCGTACCTGATAACCTTCCAACTGGGATTTCGTCGTTAGAGAATCTGGACAGTATGCGACACAGCTTTATACTAAGGCGGCCACCGTGATAATATTTTTAAGATTCTAAGGTTACATAGTACTACTGCGATGTTCTATCCTGAGGCAGGACGTCCATCTATTCCAGACATTTGTTTTCAATTCGATATTTACATAATAATACATAGTTAACCGTTGGAAATTTCCGATAGCCCCTCCCTCGTTCAATCAATTTACAATTTACGCTTCTCACGTCACACACCGCGGGGCAATCAATCAATCAATCAATCACAGCCGTTTGGGACAGAACCTTGGGCGCCTGGAACTCGCGCTCGTGCTTTTTAACTAACAAGTTAACTACATGTAGGTAGTTATTGAAATTGGAGGTAGTTGTGTAGCATTAGCATTGACCACTGACCAGTGGCAGCTTCCTCTTATCCCACCAATCCCACACAACCAACCCCATCGAAGAATTGCGCCCCCAACCTGTGTGCCAAAACCAATCACAGCCCGTGGAACGTTAGTTTAGCCCCGCTGCCCCGGCAACCCACACCCCATACCTGGTAAGTAAATAACAATAACCAACTTAACTAGTTAGAAAAAAAACCGGGGCCGCGAGAGAGAGAGACAGAGAGAGAGAGAGATCCACCTGCCTGCCTGCGCATACAGAAGGGTAACTAAAAAGAGAGGCCAGGCCATGCCCGTCTACGGCATTCCATACCCATATTACGAGCTGCGCACGAGCGACATTCTCGACGACTTCCGCAAGACACTACTACTCGAATTCCTGCTGCTGCCACTACCAACACTATCACTACCACCATCACCATCACCATTTCTACTAACAGCACTACCAGCAACAGCAGCAACATATCCACTTGCACCAAGCAAGCTATTATTACGCATACCAGCGTTACGAACATCATTCCTGCGGGACAGTACCACTACCACCACTACCAATTACAACAGGAATTCAAATCCAACATTACCTCCGACGACTGGAATGCGTCCCCGACAACACCACAACAATAACAACAACATGAGCATGGGTATGGGGATGCATATGAGGATGCGGGAGGTGCGCTCCTCGGCCTCGACGCCGTCGCTGAGGTCTCGCGACGGAGTACTGCCGCCGCACATGAGGATGGACGCCGGAGGCAACGTGAGAGTCGTCGTGCGCGTGAGGGCGTTTTTGCCTAGAGGTATGTTGCCCTTTTTTTTTTTTCTTTACTATGCATTGGTGCTTTTTCTATTCTATGTGGGCGATCATCTGATTTTTAATGGGGATTTTGGGAGTTGAGAGGGGGGAGGGGAGCGTCTTGCCAGCTACTACGATGTGGGCTCATGGGACGGGGAAAAACAAAAGAAAAAAAAGATGGGAATAGGGTGATGGCCATGCCTACAAAATGGCATACTTGATTGACTTATCGCTGGATTGATTCATCGAGGGACTGCGTAAACTAACTACAATCGCAGAAATCGAAAGAGGCGCAGAGTGTCTGATCAGCATGGACCCTCACACGCAACAGACCACACTGCACGTGCCCAACGACGCCGACCCCGCGAACACGCGCGCCAAGTCGCGCAAGGTGATGGAGGACAAGTCCTTCACGTTCGACAACTCCTTCTGGAGCCACGACATGGAGGATGAGGACTACGCGCACCAGGAGGACGTGTACAACTGCCTGGGCGAGGACTTCCTCGACCACAACTTCGAGGGCTACCACACGTGCATCTTCGCCTACGGCCAGACGGGTTCGGGAAAATCGTACACGATGATGGGGACCCCCGACGAGCCGGGCCTGATCCCGCGCACGTGCGAGGACCTGTTCCAGCGCATCGAGGCCGCGCAGAACGAGACGCCCAACATCTCGTACCACGTGCGCGCGTCTTACTTCGAGGTCTACAACGAGCATGTCCGCGACCTGCTCGTCCCCGTCGTCCCCAACCAGGGCCCCTACTACCTCAAGATCCGCGAGTCCCCCACCGAGGGCCCCTACGTGAAGGATCTGACCGAGGTGCCTGTCCGCAACCTGGGCGAGATCCTTAGGTACATGAAGGCTGGCGACTCGAGCCGCACGACGGCGAGCACCAAGATGAACGACACGAGTAGTCGCAGCCACGCGGTTTTCACCATCATGCTGAAGCAGATCCACCATGACATGGATACGGACGAGACGACGGAGCGTAGCTCGCGGATCCGGCTCGTGGATTTGGCGGGTAGCGAGCGCGCCAAGTCGACGGAAGCGACGGGGGCGCGCTTGCGCGAGGGTAGCAACATCAACAAGTCGCTCACGACACTGGGCCGCGTGATAGCAGCACTAGCGGACCCCAAGCAGAGCAGCCGAAATGGTGGAAAGCGGACCCGAGACATCGTGCCGTACCGTGACTCGATCCTGACATGGCTGCTCAAGGACTCCCTAGGAGGCAACAGCAAGACGGCGATGATCGCGTGCATCGCACCGTCGGACTACGAGGAAACGCTGTCGACGCTGCGGTACGCGGACCAGGCGAAGCGAATTCGCACGCGCGCCGTCGTCAACCAGGACCACATCAGCACGGCGGAGCGCGACGCGCAGATCGCGGCCATGGCCGAGGAGATCCGCCTGCTGCAGCTGTCGGTGTCGGACTCGCAGCGCCGTGAGCGCACTGCGAAAGAGAGCGAGGAGAGGCTGGAGGAGTACCAGAACCGTGTGGGATCCATGCAGAGAATGATGGAGGAGCGCAGCCTCGTGGCTGAAGGCAAGATCCGCAGTCTGCAGACGGAGAACGAGGCGCTCAGGCTGCACCTTAAGCTTGCTCTCGATAGTCTTAAGAACCCGATTCCGGAGGTCGTCGTTAGGGAGGATAAAGACGTGAAGGAGAATATGGGTATGGGTGTGGGTGTGGGTGCGCCGATGAAGGAGGGGGTGCAGAGTAGACGCGATAGTCTAGTTGACGAGGCATATTACGGTGGTGAGGACGACGGATACGAGTCGGAGCCGTTCGAGGAGGAGAACGGCGGTGCTGGTGACGATGTGGGGGATTACATGCACGATCTGCTCGAGGACCTGGCGCTGTTTAGGAGGAAGATTGGGGATGATAAGGGTCGGTTCTTGAGTGATGGGTCTAGGGTCCCGAATTCATTGGGGGTTCGACTTGGTGTTTGATGCATGGAAGAAGGACAAACGTAACAACTCTGGAGGAAGTGAAGTGGGTTTGATGCGTCGCTATAGTTGATGAGTGGAAGAGAGAAGTAGTGACAGGTTATGTGTATTGGCTTGCAAGGTGTTTGGGTGTATCGGGTTAAGCTCACAGAGAGGGTGGTATTGGTTAAGAAGAGGATTTTGTTATGTATTGACACCCAAACCCTTGTCCATAGGTAGGTACTAGGTAGGTATAGGTAGGTTAGGAGTTAGCAATGAATGCTTTTGCACTCTCAAATTCAGCAGGCTCTATGACAGTCTGTCTATCTGTTCTATTTTCTAGGAAAATGATACGCTTTCTTGGGCGTGAGAAGAATTGGAATCATCGTTCAGGTACTCATAGTTGCTTGGTTACCAAGGGTCCGGACGAAGGTGGCTAGGGGATATAGTGACCCGCTAAACTCCATATCGTACCTAGAACAGATGGTCGTGAGATTGGGGGCGAGGACTGAGTTGGGATTAGTTAAGGAGGCTTACCAGTAATTTACCGCAATACAAATTCCTTCGTCGGAACAGGACTGTGAAACTTTATGGTACCTAGTAGAGAGGATTTTTGTAAGTATGCAGGTGGGCACTTGTCACTACCTAGCGGTGGGTAAGTTGGCATGGCACTGACCACATAGCGGGTAGGTAGAACATGTCTCCTGGCTCAAGCGTCACTCTAAGGGGCCTGGCCAGATGCGAATATTTGGTAGCTCGCTCAGCCGGGTGATCGGGATCCCAGATGGCAAAGGGGATGTGGTCCCCATCCTCCTTTTGTAGGCGGAGAGCATTATCATCTCCCTCTCGAGAGTAGGAGGCGGGCACCAGCTCCCGCTCGTTGACGCACGGCTGACAGAGGGCTGGTAAGAGGACAAAGTGCTTACGCCCCGCTACCTGGACGTAAATGTTCTCGTAATTGTCACGGTGCATCGCTGTCACCGATCTGGAGCTGCCGATCCACAAATTGATGGCGTCCGGGCTTTTCTGGAGCGCGATGCGCGCAAACGGGATCGACGGCGGGACCTGCGAGTAAAGGAAAGAATATTCGTGCCGCAGATTGTCGTTTTGCGTTTGTGCATATCTGACTTCTCCACTACCACCACCACCACCACCAACGCCACTCTCGGGTGAAGAAATTTCAGCTTTCTCCTGCGCTATAATGTAATCGAGAAATTCCTCGAAAGGCTGGTCTTCCTCGTGAGGTTTGGCGAAGACTAATTCATCCTCACCTTCTACAGAGGTAGGGGCATCGGCATTTCCAAATGGCGTAACAGCGACATTCACTCGGTGTCCAGCCAGGGCCTCGCGCAAGTATGCGGCGTTCCAGCGCTTGGTAGCCGACCAGTCAGCAGCACCGGCCCGCACTACAAAGGGAGTGTTGCGCGCCACATACCGCATGAACTCGAGAGGACTCGGCTCTTCATCTAACTGCTCTACGGTGCTGGGGTTTAGCTCGTTAAAGCTCGTGATCAACTCCGCGATAGGATCGGCTGGATTATCCATGTTGGTCCGGGTCCAATGGGTTGAGTCCCGAGGATTCCTAGTGCAGGAGGAATGCAGGGCTTTCAGTGGAAGGCGGTGACGATCAGATATACCTACCTGGTATGTATCAAAGATGGCTCGGATGGGTCATGTGGTCTTCAGATGAAAAGAGGTGCCTAGGTTAGACTGGTAAGTTGGTAGTATTGTGTAGGTCATCAGCCATGAGACCCTGTCAGCTTTGAAGGTTTTAGGTATCCGAGATCTGGGGTCAGGTCTTAGAACCTAAGAAGATTTCAGCCTTACAGATATTTTATCCATCTTTTTAAATCGATCTAGGTTAGTGTATCTACCTGGATAGCCATAGTGTAGTAGTGATATAGCTTGATGGTTCTTAATTTAGCCCCTGAAAGATTGTTGGTTTGCAGATTTGGGAGATTTGGGAGATCTAATCATTAAACCCTTGCCTAATCTGCCCACGACGCACCAATAATCACCTACCAATGGAGGACATCATGAGGAAAAATGAGCTGATTCTCGCTTGATGAACCCCGCCGTTAGTCATTATGATGGAGTTTTCTTATTGTTAGGTAGCAATGTAACGGGCTTGGGTGGTCAGCTACCCCTAACGAACGGCCCGATGAAAAGTGACAGAAGTTGTATATATAAGTTGTCGGTTCCGTAGATGTCGAGCAAGCCTTGGAGGTATCGAGTGTTAAGATTCTGTGCATACTACACACCTATATCTTACAATCAGTGCTTACCATATCCTAGGTGCTACCTAACCTAGTACCTGACTTGGCATACTTTGTTGTCTAACCTAGGTAACTCAGGTTACAGCTTGGATTACCTACCTCAACTTTCACCGGACCTTCTACTTACGAAAGGGGGTGCATTTGGTCCTGGTTTTCGGTACCAGAGTACCTACCGATCCCCCGATTAACCGCGATCTCCGACTGGATATCCCCGCACAGTCTCGTTTTGTTCAACAGAAAGGTGGCTTGCCTGGAGTCTCCTTTTAAGATGATGGCTTGTTTCTTCAACAACGCCCATGAAGAATCTTTGCCGATCTCTTCGATAATGGACCAATTGATTTGGACCGGGAAGTTTATAAAACATGACCGGAGTCAAGCCCATTCGACGCCTCAATCCGTTATCAATCAATGATTCTGTTTGAAAAAGAAAAGCAAAGGAAGAGGAACAGAATCTATTGGATATGAATCAAGATGAAGGTATAAATGGAATGATATGATGGGGTAGTACACACAAGTTGTACTATGTAAAGAATGCAACTGAGGGGTAGAGGAGAACCCTGATCCCGGGTTCACCTGGGCCACTGGAGTCTTGGGTAGCATGAAAAAAAAAAAGAAAAGAAAAAAGAAAAAAGAAAAAAGAGAGACTTCCAAGGTTGGAGTCCAGATGTCCCCATTGTATTTCGTACTGTAGGAGGGGTGCTGCGCTGGGAACTAGGCTTGGAGGGGATCTCTCCCGCTGGTCCGCGAGTCCGCTAATCCGCCCCGCTGCCGCTACTCACTCAAAATTCCTAACTTGGTTAGTTGACTTCAAGTACCTCTCAAAGCCCTTTTAAGTTTTCAAACCCTTGACGATACATAACAAAGTTCAACTGATCTATTCCTTCCCAGATACATACGATGTTATATCCAGGTGCTAGGTACATAGGATGTATCCATATATTTGTAGGGAATACGTAATACGTCAGTCTACATAGTAATTACTAGGTAGTAAGTGGAAATCCCCTGGTATTGTTTAGCTTCTCCGATTTCCTGCAAGTTCACAAACCCGGTCCGAGATATCGATCTTTTTTACATCCCATTTTATGCCACATGCCGAATGGGCGATCGCATTGACTTGGCATTGTTAGGTATGTACCTCCTACATAATACTACTGCTAGGTACATTTTTTAATATTTTTCATTTTCCAAGACAGCACAGTACATACTATGTAAGAAAAGAAGTGCAAAAAAAAAGAGCGAACCTAACACGGGCGGCGCCCACTCTAGTCCGATTTAACAGATTCCCAACTTGAAATCGATCGATCCTTGTTATGAAATTCGAACTTCGAAATAGCGTCTCCGTCTCCATGCCCGATTCCCAGTCCTTTTATCTTGAGCCTCTTTCCTCCTCGATTGCTATATCTTCTTCGGGCTCCGTCTCTCTGTCTCGCATCTGTTACTTGGATCTTCGATATAATCATGTCAACATCTACTAAATACATAAATCTCGACTGAAACCCTACAGCAAGCGTCGTATCGTATATACGTCGAACTTGGCCTCCTACGTATACGCTACTTCGTGTTAAAGAATATCATGCGCCCCTTCCGTGACCTGACAAAAGGCCAATTTGCCTCCTATCACTCTAGCTCTGCGCGCCGGGTTATCGTGGGCAGCTCGCACGCTGGTGACTGCCAACTACTTGTATGAAGGATGATCTGGTACCTCCTCTATCCGTTCAGAGGGTGGGTTATGCTTCTTTCTCTCCATAATCTTGCTTGTGTACAGCTCAATTGACATGGTCGTTCAAGCACTACCGAAGCTCCCGTGCTAGTCGAGACGCACCCTTTACGAACTGCCTTTGCGCGGTACGGAAGATACGCCGCCACCCATGTCGTAGCAACTTTGCTAGTCTCCGTGGCTGTCGCCTCCGTCCTCATATATCCTTTCCCCTTCCTCTATACCACCGACTTTACCAATGGCGCCTCCATTCTCCCCGAATATGCCTGGACCGACACCCTCCCCCTAGACGATAAAAATAGGGTTGAGCCTGATGTGGTTATGCGGTCTGTATGGGTGCATGGAAACTATTTTCAGGCCCTTAATAGAAATGTTTTGCTGAGCGCTTTGGAGCTCCAAGACGAACTCCTTGGTCCTACTGTCAATTTCAATCCGAAGCGTCACTTAAGCACGGAGTTGGAAGTCGCCAATGTTACGATTGATGGTTTCACAGCCGCTCAACGCGATGCCTTCCATGTCGCTAATGGTCTCACAAATGAGTCCTGGTTCTTTCAGTCCCCGCTTCAATACTGGTCGTGTTCTGCGGAAAAGATAAATCGAGACAGTGATATCATTGCAACTGCAAATAAGAAAAAGACGCAACCAACGTCAGTCAATGTAACTTTAAGGCATTCCATCGTTTTTAGTGGGAAGCGTTTTCAAGATCGTCAACTTGTCGCTGCTGACGCCCTCGTCATCACTCTCGTCCATCACCGAGACTCACCAATTGGCCATATGTGGCAAGAACGAATTCAGGCTCTTAAAGACAACGCAGCTGATACATGGGATATCATCGATTATTCCCCTAATGGAAAGACTAGCGAGTTATATGAGTTTCAATTCCGCCCCATCTCATCTCAAGATGTCATTCTTTTAGGGATAGCTTATTCTCTTGTTTTCGTCTACTTCTTCACAAGCCTGTCCAAATTACGGGCGGTAAAGTCAAAGATTGGATTGATGGTTACCGTCATAGCTCAGATCATTCTCGCCATACTATCCAGTTTTACTGTATGCGCTATACTTAAGGTCGACCTCTCGAGGATACCACGCCTTGGTTATCCTGTTGTCATCTTTTCCATGAGTCTTGAAAACATATTTCGACTTATCAACTCAGTTATCCTCACACCGTCCGAAAATAGTACGAGTAATAGGATCGGTCATGCCTTTGGTGAGGCTGGCCCTGTTGCGCTTGCCAGCGTGGCCCAGAATCTGATTATTCTGTATGGCCTTTCTAGAATAGTATCGCCTGGCGTCTCGGCATTTTGTACTTTCGCGGCGATCGCGTTGATCTTCGATTTCTTTTACTTGTCGACCTATTTTCTATCAGTGCTTAGTGTTGATGTTCGGCGAACCGAGCTCAGCGATGCTCTTGCGAAAGCTTCAATTCGGACTCAACGGTTGACTTCTGACACACAGCCGCGCCAAACATGGATGGAAGCAATGCTACAGGGTCGAATCGCCATGTCGACGCGCATCGCTGGAACTATAGTTATGGTGGGCTTCGTTCTGATAGCACAATGGCATTTCTTCGAGAATGAAAGCGTGGTCAGGGCATTGGGCCGGGTTCTTAGCATCTCCCCCAAATACAAAAATTCATCGCCGTCCTCGCCACTAACAGAAGTCCATCAAGGTAGAAGCCCGGCATCGTGGCTAGGTCTTCAAGATCATGAGACGGCCCGGGAACTTATTCACGTGATCAACCCTGATGCCTACAGTTATATCGCAAAGGTTTTCCACCCTACAATATTCGTATTAAAGGGATCAGATCGAAAGCTCTCTGCTCATGAACCATGGTTTTTACCGGCTGTTTATGATTTCATACGCCACCAGTCTGCACCTTTTGTAGTAACGGTACTTGTCATTGCGGCGGCAGTTCGTCTCCTAATGAACTATCTCCTATGGGATGAGTTAGCAGACTCTTCTGGACGTGGTGGCGCAGATGACGAACGTCTCCTGTCCGTTAGGACTCTAAGCAGGGGTCATACCCTGGATGTAGCCTTACTTTCAGCTTGCTCGGATGGCCATCTTGTGTCAGTTGGGCTGGACCGAGTCATCCGCGTCTGGGACATCAAGGCAGGAGGGAGTAGTTACGTGTTAGGTGATGGCGATGACTCTTCCGACATCCCTTTCCCAGTCCTAGCAGTGTGTATCGACGAAGAAAGTCACTGGCTAGCTCTCTTAACTTCGAGACAAGTTTTGTTGTGGGATCTCGTTGAGCATCAATGGGGCCCTACGATTATGTCGGAACCATGTCGACACAAACCTGAATCCTTCTTTTTCACTGGAGATGAAACCACAACAATTCCTCCACTGTTACTCGTCCGACGGGATGGTGTAATTACCGAGCTCAGAGCAGACCGGACGGAACCTAGTAGCTATAGATTTACCGAAGAGAGCACAATTGTCTCTGTGGGCTCTCTTGCAGAAAAAGGTATGTGCCTAATATATCTCTTGCGATCATTCGCACAACAAGTTTGATGATACTAACAGTAGAGTAAGGGTTCCCTGCCCAAGTCATAGCCTCTACTCGCGAAGGTCAAGTACGCGTCGCTACCCAAGATGGTGCTAGCTGGAGCACCGAAGTTGTGAACGTGAGTAGCTTGAAGGAGCGTGAATTTGTGTCGATTCAAGTATTGCCGGAGCTAGCGTTCTTCCTCATCATTCGGTCACAGACCGTGGATTTAGTGGATTCACAATCACTCAAAGTGATACATACTTTCAGAGTTGACCCCATCCAGCCGAAAAGCATGAAATGCTTCCATTCTAGACCAAGGCGGATGCGATGCGGATCCATTGCTTTATGGAGCTTTACACTTGCATACCTCAACACTTATACTCGGGATCTAGTCGTCCAAACTTATAGTCCCCAGCACGAAGGAGAGTCTCTATGCTTCTGTGACCCGACTTCCCCCACGAGGAAAACATGTTGTCCATGGCAAAGGGCCAAAGAGTCGAGACGGGTCATTAAGAATCCCGGGCTCTGGGATGCTTTGCCATCTGGAATCATGGTCGGCGTGAGAAGGAAAAATCCGGACAAGTATCGTGTAGACGTTGATCATCACCCCCAACCACTGAATAGTCTCCGGCGTCGCCATCACAACACTCAACCTGCGAACGGCCTCAGCATCCAAGACAATTGGGAGGTGTGGATGTTCTCCCATTTCGGCAAACAGGAGACGTGGGAAACGCTTCCGTTGTGCCCTAAGATTGAAGACGACGGGCATCTTTTCGTTAATAATCTCGGGCCAGTGGTGAGGATTGGCCGCGCCAGTCTAGCTGTGGGTCTTAGTAATGTAATCAAGATAATCATGGTTGGCAACGAGCGGTTCGAAACGGGCGACGATTCCCAGCCAGGAGACGGTATGCCAGCCCGATCTAGTAGGAGACGTAAGGGGCCTTCTACTACCCGCGGCAAGCCTAGTGCCCATTGCTCCCACTGCTGAGTACTTGAAATAGACGTCACGGATTTGCATTTTTTTACTTTCCCCAAGCAACATCACATCACTTCTTTCAATGGGTACTAGGGCAACGGATTATTAGATTCAAATGAGATACGGTCATATCATATGATGGATTGGGTTCAACATATATCATCGGCTGGTTCAGGTCTGGTCGGGGTCTAAACGAGAATTACCTATACCTAGGTACACACACACACACACACACACACACAGGCACTTATATATACATATATATACTATATACCACACTCCGGGGGCTTAGGCTACGGGAGGGGAGAGTGGCGTTCTGTTTTGTTTTATCATCACTACTTATTATTACCTATCAATGATTATATACCTTGTTCCTTTTCTTGATCTTATATATATACCATATAATCTTTATTTTCAATTCTCCCGCGCTATTCTTACCATTTCTATTGTTTATTGTTTATTGTTTCTACCTACTGTCTTGCTTCAACTCATGCGGTGAATAGAACGGTTAAGGCGGTACCTACCTCGGGCTTTCACTGCACGACAACGCGAATACCTATAGGTGTTTAAAAAGAAAAAGGGGGTGGGGAGAGATAGGGGGAAAGGGGGGGAAAGGGGCGTAACGAGAGCCATATTCTCTATTTGATATTACAATACCAAGCACAAGGCGGCGCAGATACTAGGTTAACCTAGGGAAGTTAGGAGCCGGTGATAGGGGGGGGGGGGGGGGGGGGGGGGGGTTGCGTCGTCAATACCTAATAGGAAAAAATTGGAGAGAAAGGGAGGATCTATCTATCTATCTATATACCTAGGTATATACCTAGGGTAGGTAGGTAGGAGGCGGTTTGTTCGTTGACACTATATGTAGGGTAACCTAACCTAACCTAACCTAACCTATGTACCTGGGTACCTACATGTATGTAAGTAGGTGCATCTACATAAGTTAGGGGATATACATAGTATTAGCATCTCTGTGTTTGGATGAGGGCACATCTGTAGGTACCTAGGTTGGCGTCAATGCTATTGTAGCCAATATATACTAGGTTAGGTACCTAGGTATATAGAGTAGGCAGACTTGGCTATGTATTTGAGAACTATGTAGTCTGCGTTGAACTATCTCAATGGATTATGATCAATCTTGTTCATGGTGTTATGCTACTACGTACTCAGATACATAGAATTAGGTACCTAACCTTAAGTACGTATAGGGGTAGGCATGTTATGGAATTAAAATATCGTACGTATACGTCGTTTCAGTGAGTGTGATTTTAGCTACCATGGGTACTTATGTAGGTCTCTATGATTGTGGGGTTCACGTGTACATAGATGAGAAGAAGGGTCGTTGATGAGTAGGTATGCTTGAGGATAGGTGGAAGGAGAAGAAGGAAAATTACACAATTAGGCAGTGAGGAGTTGGCTATGGAGGATAAGTAGGTCACTAAGGGGGCTATCATGAGATTAGATGTCTACAGATTATACGAATTTCACGCTTATCGGCAACTAGTGAATTGAAGTGGTGCGTTACTTGTCTTGTAGCTAATTCTAAAAGGTATCCAGGTAAGTAGGGGGAGACGGTGGTTCCCTGCTTCTTGTCGGCGCGGGTTGATTTGGGGGTTGTCGCCTGTGGTTGGCGGGTAGTCTTTCATGTTGGCTCCCGCCCACGTGATCTGAAAACAAGTATTCTGTTTACATTTTGGGAATCGTCACATTTCCCTTTCTAATTTGTTGCAGTACGTCTGCAACCAAGAAGAAGAAAGAGGAAAGGAAGAAAGCTTGCTTTATTCCCAAACTACGGATGGCGGAGTGCCAATATATGGCCATAAGGGCCATATGGCTAAGGATGCCTAAAGCACCTGCAACATAATTAAATCATCTTTCCCCTCAATCGACTGTAGAATCTCACAGGTAGTGGGCCGAGGAGCATGGCTTCGGTGCTTTCGTGAGGCTTCGCGGGCTTGACGAGATTGCTCTGGCGGAGTTGGAGTTGGGGTGGGTGCAGCGGCCTGCTTCAGGGCAGATGCGTAGGACGGTTTGGTGGTGTCTTTTCTCGTCAGACGGCTCTGCGGGTATGGCAGTGGCGGAAAGTTCGAGGGTGTTCTCGACTGGGATAGGTGCAGTCTTGGCCTTCTCTGCCTTGCTCGATGTCAACACGTATAGTGTCTGCCTAGTGGTGCCTGGTACCTAGGTATGGTATTCTAGCAGAGAAGAAAGGGATTGTCTATGAGAATGTACTGATGACAGTTCGCCATCACCCCTGCCACCTGAGACATCCAGTCCATGGACTCCACCGGCGTCTCCGCTGGCTGCGGGTTCACCGTCTTCTTCAGCACCACCTGGAACACTCGGTTGAGCGTCCCACGCTCGCATGAGACCACGAGGACCCATGCACCAACGCGATGTCCAGTGACTTCATTCGTTCCACAGTCTCGGTCGATGCAAACCCGGACCTCAGGTTGAGGTAGAAGGCAAGGGGCCTCGTCCCCATGTTAGACACCCACAGGTCAAACCCCTTGAAAGCATCCGCCGACGTGGTTCCTTCCGTGGGTATGGCCCAGCCATACCTGCTGAAGTAGCACACAATGACAAGGATGTGTCTCATACCGTAAGGCATCGTTGGGAATGGTCCAACAAAGTCCGCCGCCAGCACCTGCAGATGCGCGTGCACGCTGACAGGCTGCGGTGGGACTTGTTCAATGAGAGATATCCCGTCTTCATGTTTCAGGCTTCGCAGAAGAGCTTCATAGCCTTTGCTTCCATCCTTCCAAACCCACGTACGACGCTGAAATGGAGATGATTCGACTTGACTTCGACCTCTGATTGATGAAAATATTCTTTCAGGATGCACATATCCGAACTAGGACCAATCTTCGACGCAATCTAGTGACGAAAACACCGTGTTAGGAAGCGCACCTACTACTTTGTTTCTTTCTCCTTCATTAAACACAATTCGAATGTTCAAAGGTCTAAGTTCGTCTGCCCAACGAGCGTAAATTCCAGAGCCAGCCTGATGTAGGTAGTCTTTACCAGAGCCACACAAACCCCGTGAGTTTGCGTCTGTGGTGTCTCAACAACGACCGCCCGTCGTCCAGGGGGTCTTCGCCATAAGAAAAGCCAGCCTTAGCCTCCTACAGAGCCACGCCAGCCCCTTGGGCCCAGCGTTATGAGATTGTAACAAGGACCGTCAATGGTCGCCGAGGGCGTCTGAACCTGAGCTAGTAGGCCCGAACTGTATCACCCTCGTCACATTCCGAGGGTTACAGTAGCGAACTAATTCGACAAGAGTTCTACCCTATAAAGTCGTCATATAACAGCTGTTGGTTATTTGGTCGCATGTCTGCATCGTATCGGCAGATAAGCTTTTCTGCTTCATTGGTGATTAGGCATGCCAAGACTGATGGCTTGGTTTACTAGGTAGTGGCGGGCATGGATGAGTCGAATCTTGCCATCGATGAATATAATGGGGGTTTTGATGTCAAAGGGGGCATCACGCTTTAACCCCCTCAGCAGGAAGGCTAGCCGTCGGTAATCTCCTCGACTGAGAATGGATTCGCATAAGTATTGTTGATTTCCCCGAGCTGTAGCTTCGTGTTCATATTGTTGGCGTCGGAGGTTCAGGTTCGTGTGATTCACGATTCCTTGCGTCCCAACGTAGCCAGTCAACATTACCACAGGTGCAGTATGAGACTGAATATGAACACGGTATTGGCCGAAGGCCGAAGAGTTTTTGAATCCCATTAATGCCACGTTGGATACCTCAAGCCCCCTTGGTGAGATCACCGCCATCCCGTCCCTGTGCCTGTGGGGTATAGGTAGTTGGTGAAAAAATGGAGATCCGTCCACAATGGTGAAGTGCTCCTTGCCCTTAATTCGGTTCACGATGTCTTCTTGGCGGGGGAGTGGATAGTTATCGGGACTTGGAGCTCGGTCGATCCATACCTGGCTTCGGCTTTCGCGAGGACTTTTGAAAAGAACATGATATGAGAGACGTCGGCCACGGCTATGTTTTGACCATTCCCAGGGCAGTCCAGGCGGAACACCATGTCCCGAACCCTCGCAACGTGTAAGACCTCTGATCATTGCGGGATCGATCCGGAGACGCGTCCAAAAGAATGTCTGTCCTTCTTCCCACACCAAAGGGAGATGTCAAGGGTCTACCTAGGAGCACATGGGAGTTCACATGGAACAAGAACGACATACGTGTATATGTAGCTTCCATAGTTTCCGGTAGATGTTAGAGATCCCCGCGCAACAACGATGTTGCTCTGCGTCTTCTGGGCCCCGCCTCGTGGCAGGAGGCGATGCCGAGGGAATTGAAGTACCTACTTTTGACGGAGCACCATATAACACCGACCGGGATTCCTCCCCACAGAGTAGGTTGGTGTTCGGCAGGACCCGACCTTATATTCGGCCAGTTGGCCGGGTACCTGCCTACTAACACAACCCGAGACCCTGGGGGACTGAATAGGGCCAGTCCCCAATCCACTCGAAAGGCCATAACGAAGCCCACGTGAACCTATGATACGACGCGGCCAAGCAAGAGACTTATCTGCAACTCTTTCTCTCCTTGGACCCAGCCACCATGGCCGCGATGGCCCCGAGCTGCAATAGCGTTGGCGGCGCTGGGATCCAAGGAGAGAAAGAGTTGAGGATTGGCCGTGTGCCGAGCCGCGAAGGAGGAAGAACGGGGAGTAAAGATTGTCACTTTGTAGGAGGACCAAAGGCATTTTCAGGAGGCGAGGTGCGCCTGAGTGTATAAGATACACGTCCGAAGAGAGATAAAAAGGGTGATGGACTTCAGCAAGGCGACAGCTGTTGTAGCCCAAGGCAGACAACGGCCGGTTGCGAGCCTCAAGCTCGATGATTCGCTTCTCGAATCTCTCCATCTTCTTATTTGCGTTCTTCAGCTCTTCGGTCTTACGTGCTCTGCTCCGACGCACAGACCGGGAGTAAGGTGATTGTGTTATAGCCACGCAAGGGAGCCGGTAAACGTGTCAGGTTCATACGGCTAGACCGTAAAGAAGAACGCCTCCATCGCAAATGCTCGCGACGAGGTTAATAAGGAGCGAGCAAAGTCCGTAGAAGTAAGCCGTTGAAGGCGATTGTGAAAGGATGATATATTCCAGATTTGGAAGGTTTACCGTTCGATTGACAGCGAAACCCGGGCATGGGCCTGTGCTTGGGCAAGGGGAAAGGCAAAGCGAAGGAAGTTCGGGGATTTGTTGAGGAGCAGTGTGCAGTTGTTTGTGATCTTTGGCTTTGCCTTTCCCCTTGCCCAGGTGTGATGCTTTTGTGGTGGATCTTCAATGCTTCTGCCCTTGGCAATTTCGAGGAAAGGAGAGAGGGTGAGAGTATGCGGTATACAGAGAGAAGGGCATCTTAATTAACACTTTAAGACCGTTGTATACTTGAGGATGTCAAGGCTTGTTTGACGCCGTGGTCCAGCGCTGCTTCACATCCTGGTAGAACTCTCGCATGTGCATGCTTGGTACTGTCAGATATGTGTAGTGTCCTCAATTATAGTGCAACAGTTGTTGGTTGGTACTTGGCAGTGCAGATAGGCGTTGCCGCTTTCTGTGTTGGTAACAGGAGTGCAGCGATGTGTCATTGTCGACAAGAAGCTACCGTAAGACGGTGTGTGGTGAATGACCGGCTATTGTAACCTTGAAGGCCCCTTGTAACGATCGGGCGAGGTAAAAATAGCGAGTGAATCATGCCACCACAAGAGTCTTGCCGGGTTCTTCTTTCCGTGGACAGTTCCCTGGCTCCCATAACCAGAAAGGCTAGATCTAGAAGTGAAGATGCAATGAATGCTACTAGGACAGCAGTAGTGGGGGGGAAGAAATTGTGGAAGAGCTGGCTCAGCGACCGTATTATGTACAGTCAGGTCCATATCTTGGAGAGTGATGACAACAAACAGTCGAGCTAGAGGCATTGCGTTTCGAGACATTAGATTCTTGTTGATTCTTGTTGATTTGGCCTTGATGAAAATGATGTGTTAATGAAGACGTGGCGAGTAGTTGATGGCTGCTGGGGTGTGCAATACCACATGGTATCTTATTACAACACCGACGCCGACGATGTAATAAACCACAAGCTAAGAAGAGATAACGTCAGTATTTTCTTTTTCCATAAGACACTGAATATACTAAAATCGTACATACCTAGGTACCCAAGCAAACTCCCATCAGCTGGAGGAGTGCGTTATCGTGATAAAGTTCACGCGCCATGGGCGTAGTTGTTGCTTTGTTAGCTTGTATACCTACCTAGGCAAGCGAGGTTGGCAAGAGGGCATTTTGCAGGGAAAGGCATTTGGCAATGTACCTCGTAGTGCGTTTGTGTGTGCCGACAAAGAGGAGGAACATGGGAGTGGGAATGAGCTGGTGGTCGTGGTTGGTGTTCATGCCTGAGGTCCAGCGGTTACAGGTAGAACACCAACCACGACCACCAGCTCACTTTGAAGATTGGTTTTGATGCGAGTCCATGCTCCCTAGCACGCTTGTGGACTGCTTGCCTTTCTTCGCTTCCATTTCACGTGTCCGACGAGTTTGCTTTTCATGTTGAAACAATCTCGTCGGCGGTATGCTCCTTATAGAAACGGCGGCCCGTCCCATCCCATCCCATCCTAGGATGTTCCTGTGGGACAGGACGGGCAACCTGTGATGCTATTAGGCTCTTACTGATATGTAGTCATTGCCATCAGTGCAAAAGTCTGGTAGGTAGGTTGTTGGTAAGCAACGTAAACTATTATTGTAGAAACATGTACCTTGACCAAGAAAGCTATTTTATTGACGGCAGATCAGCTTTCAATGGACTCACACGTCGTTGGAATCATAGTGAGTAGGTCGATGGCGACTAGGCGTCTCCACGAAAGCACACCCATCGGATTTTAGATGGGTATGACCCTTATGCATGCCATTCTTGCTTTCGTAGGTGATGGGCATGTAGGTGTGTGTGATACATCAAGTGCATATGAGTCATAGCAGGCTTGAAAGCATATTGGAAGGTTGGAAATGCTGGGGAGGACGGGATTCAGTAGAAGATGATGGAGAGATGAGTATATAAAGGAGTAATATATATAGAAAGGTGTCTGGTGGGATCGTGTTGAAGAAGACGCTGGAGGGGAAGAAGTTGAAGGGTGATATTCCGTAGAAGATGTTGTAAGGGAAGAAGATGCAGGTATAAGAGTGGTGGGTGAATGGAGAGAGGGAGGGAAATTTTTAATTCTGTTTTGTGGGCAGAATATAACGGAAGGAAGAGTTGAAACTCTCTGGACAGATCGAAACTTCTAGAAAAGAGAAAGAATATAGCTGCCTGGCCAGGTACATAGAAATCGGTGATATAGATAGAAAGATTCCGCCCTCAAGGGGGGGAGGGGGGGAAGGAAGAAGGGGGGGGGGGGAGTGGGCATGAGATCACCGCAATGTATTCCTAAGGTCTAAGGTTATTATAAACTGATAAGTGCCTTTTTACAAGGTATAGTAACTTCCTAGGACCTTGTAGCACTTAATATGATACGCTTTAATCACTATCTTCTTTACTAGTTGTCGTTAAATATCAAGGGTTGATAATAGGTATAATGTCGATATCTAGAAGGCCACCAACATCAACAACATCATCAAATCATGAAACCAAAATGTGATTTTGATTTTCGCTTACACTATACAAGCTCATTTATATAACAAATGTTCAAAATGGAGGTGTGGTTGTGGAGTATTTAGGAACCAGCAAAAGTGCCTATGTAGGCCACCTAATAATTAACTGGGAGTTAGCATGGCCTAACCTATGATGTTAGAAGCACCCCCATGGGCCAGTACGAGTATTATGAAGGCTGATATAAGAGAATTACGTGTTACACTGACTTGCATAGCTCTGGGGGTCGTGATGCTCCGTGAAGATTTTGATAGAGAATGGGAGAGGTACTATCAGATGGCTCACTCGTACAGACAGGAATATTTCCACTTTATATAGGTAAATATGACCCTAGAATCTGATTTTGTACATCCTCATGTGGTATTATATTTGTTTCATCCATGGGAGATGCTTGGGTTGTTGCCCTTGTGAGAACCACAACCCCCCCACGATCTGTAGAACACTACCACCACGGCCGCGATCTCACTTTACAAGGATTGGGATCATTCTTGAGATGGAGTATATCTGGGTATTAGCCAAGATTGATTCAATTGTGCTATTATTAGCATATCTTCTATATGCATTCTCTAGTGGTCGAGTTAGCTATTGCAGCCAGTGTATAGGTGAAACTTCAAGCGAGACCAACCTAACCTAGAGTATCCCACAGTTCAAGTTAGGAGTGGTATATAAGAGCGAAGTACACATACTCCGTAGAACTTTCCGTGCAATTGGGGTTGCACTGTTAGATAGATGGCGCATAGTGCAGCCAGCCTACACTTACTCATTATATGGTCCAGGCTTGTTCCGTTTATATCCAAATTGACTTTGGGACGTCGCGGGGAGTGATGATCACATCAGTGTCAATTTACTGTCATCTTACTGAAGTGCAGCATCTAGATAGGTAGTTGGGAAATTATCTCGAGGATGAAAATAACCTTTGCAATCAACTCGCGGCAACACTCCGCAAATACTTAAGGCTATTAATCCCCCAGAAGCCTTTTTTCGAGTCGCGATATTTGAGCAGATTTATAAATTTACATCGATTGCGAGTACTTGTGTCTTATAATCAATAGCCTTGGTTGTAGTAAACAACAGCTATCACATAAGCGAGGTGAGGATCCCCCCTATTTCTTCCAATCATCGCTTACCAGAACACATCCAATTCTCTACCAACCAATAAAATGGAAACCCTCTTTATATAATTAGTCGTGGCGGAGACGCATCATCTTTCATGCATTGTTCAAATAATATCTATAATTACGATAGAACGACTAGAAGAATCGATTTCTGATGCTGATTTTATTATTCGTATTTGACCCACCCCTTTCAGAGACGAATGGGCTCCAGGTAAGTTAGTATAGTCGGTGAGAATGTACATCACCTATGAGCGGCGCAATCGAGCAGGCCACGGGCTTTCAGAAATACCGATGCATGTATTCTCGGCGGTGTATAGGCCGGCCCATAGTAATTTGGCATTTTGCCCTCATTGCCAATGAATGGGGGTAGATATTGTACAAACATCATGGATCCTAATGATCTCCAGCCCGTCATCAGTAGGCTTTCCGAGGAGTTAAGGTAAAAGTGTTGGAGATGTAGTTGGAAATTTCCTTGTTAGAAATAAAATCACATGATTTATAACTAGGCCAATAATATTGAGAAGCGGTACGGGTGACAGAGTGACGATGCCGGAAGCTTGAGGTGGGAAAAGCGGGTTGTGACTTTTGGCTTGTGGAATGGGTTGCCGCGCTCCAGATAAAAAGAGAAAAAAGAGAAAAAACAAGAAGAAAAGGAAAAAAATAACACGACGAAAAGTCTTTCTTTCAATATGGTATATGGAAGCAAAAAGCATCGCACGCCGTTATCTAATTAGGTAAGCGAAAAAAGGGTCGTAGAAAGGAATTATAAATAAATCGCGAGCTGGGGCACTTAAAATAGGGGTAAATCTGCTGCTGCAAAGCACAAGCGTGCAAATCCTACGCTTTTCAGCCCAAAAGGTTCGCAAATATCACCGCATTTAAATATGGAGTAAGTTATGGGCCATATGATGTCGCGCCGATATTGGATAGAATGCCTAAACTCCTTACATGGCAAGATACGTGTTGTAGTCCCGGATTTCTTGGGGTGGGCTCGTTATACGCCGGCGTGATAGGCAATTTGCGGGCGTGCCAAGACCCCTATGTCAGCGTTGCATGCCGTGGTCGCATTCCGATATGCCTTATGACACCCTACCTTTTCGTTAACTAGCATCCTGCGGAACAACCTAGCTTAGGTATAGTAAAGTAAGAAGTGTATTACAATTTGGGCCCTTTCTTCCCACCGATGTTTTATTTAATTTCTTTTTCCCTCTGCTTTACTGGTTCTTCTTAGCCAGCAGCCGTGATATTGGACCCTGCAGGAAGAGATTCCAGCCACCCTATACTGCCTCAGCAGATCTCATTGGCTACTCTTAATACCACGATCACCCGCTCTTTTTTCTCGTTATGTCTGCTAGGATTTCAACGCCGTTCGGACATGCACTGCCACCCGCATCACGGCATTCCGTGGCAGTTCACATGGGGCCATGGGAGAACGTCGAGAAGTACGGCTCGGACTCGTCGTCCGTCATAATCACTCTTTCCAACGCAGCTCCTCCGATGAAACCACCAAAGGATATTGCCGAAGTGAGTCTTATCTAGCCAAGAGGTGACATCTAACTAGCGGCGATAAGACGACTAACATGGTGCCCAGCTGGGTGCAATCATCCTTGAACGGATAGGAGCGGAAAATATGGCATGTTACTTGTTCTCGTCTTTACAATCCGCCCGCGAATGTGTCGAGTACTCGACATCCGAGAGGCGAGACAGCAGTTCTGGCAAAAAGTCCATACCGCAAGATCAGATAACCATCCGCGCGTTCACCGCTGTGGACCGCTTCTTTGCCGTGATATTCCCACATGACAGCATCGCTAGCGTCGCCGGTTTCTGGAACGTCTCCGGTGCCGGCATCTCTTCTCGGTTCGCCGAAACCGCTCTCAAACACATCAACCGCCTCTCCGAAGTTCCCATACTGGGCAACGACGCGGTGCGGCCCGGGTTTGAGAGCATCGCACACCGGACCATCCGGGAAAGGATCGCCCAGCACGTGAGGCGAGCGCCGTTAGTAATTGATCTGCCTAGACCCTACGCCGACGATGTCTACCTCTTCCAAACGGGCATGGCTGCCATCTACAAGCCACACACCTACATGCTCCGGCGCAGCAAAGGCACCGTTGTGCTCTTCGGCATGGCCTTAATGGACACGCTCGCGCTGTTTGAGGAGTTTGGCACCGGCTTCAAGTTCTTCGGCAATGGAAACGACAAGGACCTCGATGCTCTGGAGGAGTTCCTCGAGCAGGAGTATCAGCGTGAAAACATCGTGAAAGCCATCTGGGCCGAGTTTCCGGCAAACCCGCTGCTCGCCACCCCGGACCTGACGCGCCTCCGAGCCCTGGCGGATAAATACGAAGTAGTGCTTGCGATTGACGACACCGTGGGGAGCTGGGCGAACGTTGACATCATACACCTGGCCGATATGCTGGTGACCTCTTTGACAAAATCCTTCAACGGCTACGCGGACGCCATGGCCGGCAGCGTCGTTATCAACCCCGAGTCCCGCGTATATCACTACTTGAAGTCTCTCTTCGACCACTACCACGTACCAGAGCTGTATGTTGACGATGCAGAGGTGGTCGAGAAGAACAGCCGCAACTATCTGTCTCGCACAGCCCAGCTCAACCACAATGCTAGCTCTCTCGTGCAGTATCTATTGTCCTGCGCCGAAGACCCGGACAGCGCTGTCAAGGCCGTGTACTACCCTTCCGTCAACCGCTCCGTGGCAAGTTACCGAAAGTTCATGCGGCCCGCCGCGCCCGACTTCTCGCCCGGCTACGGCTGCCTTCTATGTGTGGAGCTAGAGGATCTGCCAACCACGGCGGCTTTCTACGATAATCTCAACGTGCACAAGGGTCCTCATCTGGGAGCATCGGTCACGTTAGCCTTTGCTTTCACCATGTGCGCATACAAGGATAGGCTGGAGTGGGCAGAACAGTACGGCCTGAAACCGACCCAGATTAGGATCTCTGCCGGCCTCGAGGATACGGAGATGCTGGTTCAGGACTTCCGGGTTGCGGTGGAGGCCGCGAACAAGATCAAGCATCACAATCCTTCTGTTACCTAACCTAATGCTGTCAGGATAGACATTCTGATTTAAGCTTATGAACGGTCATTGCATTGGATAGAGTGATGGAAAGGGGTGTCCATGAGTTGGCATTCAGCATGTAGAGCGAGGATTACTATGGCATGAATTATTCTTCGTATCTAGTTAGCGACATGATTAATAAAAGTACTATCATTCAGTGAATAGGGGTGTTCTCTGAAAAACGATAAGACAACAACGCCGGAGTCTCTTGCAGGGGGCTTGTGTAACGAAGCCCCTTTATCACTCGATCGTGACCCCTTTTCTCTGGTCAGTCCCTAACCCTACCGGCAAACAATAATTGCCTGCGTACCTAGGTAGGTACCTACTAAATACGTAATAGAACTATCGTGTATTTAAAAGGCTATCAGAAAACAATCATATGCTATAGTAGGTACTCAGGTAGATACCTTAGGTACATAACGTCCTCGTTTAATGCTGATGAACAGACACGGGCATGAGATTGTCGCCAACTTTTCAAGTATTTTCCAAAGCCAGACAACTCCTCCAAGGACGTGTCACCTACTGCTTGAAGCAACCTCGACACATTGGATATACGACTATAGTGCACGTCGAGGTTGGCGCAGGACAGGCAATCGATGTTTACTTGGACTCACCAACGTGCTACCTAGGTACCAATTACTTACCATGGCGTCACGTGAACTCACGAACTTACGATATAAGTGCCTATAGATATAAAGTAGGAGTAGATCACATGACCTAGTCGAGAGTCGTGAAGACATGGCTAGAGATCTTCGAAGAAAGCCCACGTTGATTGAAGCTAGATTGAGGCGATTCCGTTTAACATCGTAATAAGTATGTGACTCCTCATGACTACTTAGGTTACCTTGAACACCCAGAAGTGTGATTCGGTATGCCCTGCTTGAGTATGCACCCATGATGACTTCAACCGTACCTACTGTAAGTACCTAGTATATCAGGGTAGTAGATTCAATGATATGAAAGATGGATCATACACGTCAAGTGGCTTCGCATATCTTCATTCAACAGCCAGGAGTCGATGCGGTTGCATAAATTCCACAGCACTAAAGCATTAGAAGCAATGCCACTACGCATCCCTTTCTTTAACCTTCTCCAACGGCGTGACCTTCCTCACAACCCGAGCCGGCGCCCCCATCGCCACGCTCCACGCCGGCACATCCCTCGAGACCACCGAGCTCGCCGCAATCGTGCACCCCTCGCCCACCGTAACCCCCGGCAGAATAACCACATGCCCGCCGACCCAGCAATCGTCGCCAATCGTGATCGGCCGCGCATACTCGACATCGTCCCTCCTGCTCTGGACCTCCGTCTCGTGCGTCGCGGTCAGAATCGACACGTTCGGGCCGAACATGACGCGGTCGCCGATGGTCACGAGCGCGCAGTCGAGGATCGTCAGGTTGTAGTTGGCGTAGAAGCGGTCGCCGAGGCGGATGTTGCAGCCGTAGTCGACGGCGAAGGTCGGCTCGATGAAGACCTCGTCGCCGATGCGCCCGAGGAACTGCGAAAGCAGCCGCTTCCGCCCGCGCTCCAGGTCCTTGAACCCGGCTTCCGCGTCGGACGGGAAGAATGTGTTGTACTGGTGCATCCAGCGCCGCGCGGAGAAGCGGATCCGCATTAGCTCTGGGTCCTGGGCGTCGTAGCTGGGTTGGTCAGCTAGAGCCTCTCATTTACGGCCCATAGTTTCTTTGGCCTTTTTATTGGCATGGTGTGGATAGGTACAGTAGATACTGAGAGTGATTCGCTCCTGAAAAAAAGCACTCACAGCATCCCTGAAATCATCTTCTCGAATTCCTCTGACTTTAAGGGCACATGAGCTAGGCTCGAAGCCTTCTCAATCTCCACCGGGTTCTTCTGGGTGGCAGCCATGGCCGGTCTTGTACCCTATCTTGGGGTTAGTTGACGCTCATCACTAGGGCCCAAGCTTTCACGACTGAATAGGGGGGTAAGTTGCCTAGGTAAGGCTAAGGGAGATAGGTATGTACCGCTCAATTAATCCTCTATATGCCGACCTCTTACGAACACGGATGCGAAACAAAAAAAAAGAACGAGCTCACTCACGCGCATACAAACTGAAATGAACGACGAACACGTCAAATGAGGATTTGATCGTGAAATCATTGGCTTGGCCTGCCGATTCGGCCTATTATCTTAGCCCTCGGATGCCTGCCTCTATTGTGGCTAGCCATGGTCCACTTGGACAAGTACTACTAGTACCGCACAGCCACAACTGGACTCGATGGCATGTACCTATGTACCCTACATGTAGATGAGATGGATGGATAGAGGAGCACATGCAGAACACCGAACTCCAGTCATCCATCAACATTCAGGTCCCGAAGCTCTTCAAGAGTCTAGAACTTCGAGACTCGGAATCACTTTATAGTATCCTCGGTCCCTGCCAAGTAAATCATACATTAGACAAGCCGACCAGAGCTGGCATCTCGGTGTAACGTAGTCCCCCCCTAGGTTATACGACATATAGTAGACGGGAGTTTTGATGCATCACACCGTGACAATAAGAAGCCGACGTTTTATTAACTAAAGACCCTGATGAAAGAAAACCAAGGTCGGCTCTTTTCTGCTTCTTTGCATGCTCTGCCCTATTCTTACACCATCCAAGCTAACACTGCATAACCAGGTCTGGGTATCCGCCTAGTTCCAAAGCGACTAAACCCCAGACAGAGCCCACACACGAACCAGCTCTTCACGATAGTTATCTCGGTACACAATCTCTTCGCATCAACTGGCTTACATATGACTGATCGTCTGCCATTTTATTTGATACCTGGTTACGCTATAACCAAATGGCAAGTATGCCGATTATGACATCGAGCTAGCTTTACTGCCTTGATCCTAGTTCCCTGGCGCGAAAGGTTGCATTGGGGATACGCCTAGGTTAGCATGTTTGGGAAATAGGGAAGTAGGATGACCAATTTTTGGGGGTCGATGGCGTGCTTCGCTATGATATGGATAAGGGTGATGTGCATACACTGCTGTATGTACGCGTGTTAGTTATCGCTGCACGACCTTACCTTCGAGCGAATTAGTCCCTAGTACCCCCAACGATAATGGCGTTTCTAGCATTGTATCACGCATTACTCCCGACACAAGGTGCAATTCATTGGATAAGAAAGATTTTCTCCATTAACTATCTGATGCTTGCTTTTCTTCATGGGGTGCTGGTGGATGTCAATATGTATAAGTTTTCTGCCAGCCTCAGATTCGCCCCCAATTTCTTGTCCAACTGTTTGTTGTTCCCAGCCAGCTTAATCATCTCCTCACCTTACAGTTTCTGCACATGTCACTATGTCGGACGTATCAAAATCAGCGGTAGAGGATCATAGTGAACCTGAACCGGCGCCTGCGCCAGTGGAGGGTGAGTTTGCGCAACTACTGTGCTTACAACAACGTAACTTTGCTGACATTGAATAGTCAAGTGGTACCGATCCGTCTTCTACAATGCCACCATCCTCGGTCTCTGCAGCTTTGCAGCCCCTGGATTATGGGGTGCCATGAACTCGCTTGGCGCTGGTGGCTCTCAATCGCCTTACCTGGTCAACACCGGAAACGCATTAACCTTCTGTCTCATGGTGGTGTCCTGCTGGTTAACCAGTAGTATCATCAAGTATATCGGTATTAAAGGCGCGCTCTTCGTCGGAACCATCGGCTATGCCCCGTACGGCGCTGGACTTTACCTGAACAACCGGTATGGAGTCGAATGGCTCGTGATTGTCGGCGCCGCCTTCTGCGGGATATCCGCCGGCGTGTTCTGGGCGGCCGAGGCAGCTATCGCCATCTCTTATCCCGACCCGCATAACCGAGGGAGAATGGTCGCGTATTGGTTAACCTGGACTCGAATTGGCCAAATCCTGGGTGGTGCTATCAACCTAGGTCTAAACGCAGACCGCAATAAGGCCGGGAGTGTTTCCTATACCGTTTATATCATATTCATTGCTCTACAGGCGAGTGGAACGTTGGTGGCGCTTTTTCTTAACAAACCATCTAGAGTTCAGCGACCTAGCGGCAAGCCGGTTGAATTGACGATTATCGATTCCCCGTGGCAAGAGATCAAGACTACGACCAGGACATTCCTCCAAAGAAAGTTCCTCCTCATCGTTCTGTGGATTGGCCAGGGCGTGTATTCGGAGGCAGTCTTCTATACGTACAATGCTCTTTGGTTTAGCGTACGCGCAAGAGCGCTTGGGTCCTTCTTGTCCGGAATAATAGCAGTCATCGTCGGGAATCTCTTGGGCCTGTGGTTAGACCAACATCAGATCTCGTTGAGGAAGAGATCGCGCTGGGCGTTTGCAGTTATCATGACGCTGCAGGGAGGCTGGTGGCTGTGGATCGTGGTGAACGTCACCGAATACCACCGTACTCAGCCAACCTTCGATTGGGTCGATCCTGGATTTGGGAGAGCATTTGGCGTCTTCGTCCTTCTCGTTTCCGGCTTTCAACTTAACTACAACTTCACATACTTCGTTATTGGTCAGATCTCATCGAACCCTCAAGAGACTATCAGACTCGCTGCGCTTCTGCGAGCAACGGAATCCGCATGGCAAGCCGTTAGCTACGGTCTCAATGCCGTTCCTATCATCGCTGCGGTAGGCGGTCCGTATATCAACTTTGGTCTATGGGGAATCTCAATCCTCCCCGCTTGGCTGGTTATCAAAGACTTTGGCGCTGAGGACGATAAAACTGATGTCGAGGTTAACGCCGAGAGTAAGAGTGATGGATCGCTCCGCAAAGACCAACATTCTGATTAAATCCGGCCTGGTTTCTTGGTGGAAAAAATTGTTAGAAGTTCACGTTCCAAGGTTTCTAGGAAGAACTGTTAGACACGGCTATTCGGCTAATGTTTCTATATGTGTGAATTAAGCTAATGATGAATGCGATGAATTCAGGGGGGCGAATTCAAGAGGGACTCTGTTTTGTGAGTTGGAGGTTTAAGTAGTTTGCGATAGAAAACTGATGTGATAATAACCTACACTTGCGCCATCGGCCAACCGCAACCTCAATGAGCTGAGCTATCTATCCATTGATTCACAGCCATGTCTTTGATAGGTGGGGGGGTTCGCGCACGTCATATTAGTCTCCAACTCCCATTTATAAACTGAATCATATATAAATATCAATCAGTCAGGCATACTTACCTATACACACTATGCTTTCTGGTGATGTGAAGAAGTCTAAAGGTCTCACTGGAAGAATATCAATCACAATATGTCGGCCGGTCTTGAGTCGCTGAAGCACATTTCTAAGGACTCAGGGTTCCCAGTTACCCTTCACCCTCACTTCTCACCCAAGATCAAGGATCATGTCCCTCCGGACCCAATCAGAGAAGAGATAGTCCCCGATAAAGATCGAGCTTCATTCGCAGACCCAGAGAAGAAGGCGTTGTTTGAAGTCGCCAAGAGGGTTGACTTGACAGAATCAATCGGTACTGTACTGGAGAATGTTCAACTCTCACATCTGAGCCCCCAACAGTTAGACGAGCTTGCCTCACTGGTTAATGAGCGTGGCGTGGTCTTCTTCCGAGGCCAAGACTTGACGACTGAGCAACAGGTGAAGCTCTTCGAACATTATGGCACCTTAGACCGGCACCCCGCCCAGAAGGACGTCAGACATGTGGTGATTCGAGGCAGCCGGGAGGACCATCGCGAGATTCTCAAGTATACGCCATGGCCGTCCGGAGACTTTCACGCTGATACCTCGTTTGAAATCAACCCGCCATCTTACTCGCTACTGCGGATGGAAGAGCACCCGCCAGTCGGAGGAGACACGGCGTGGGTTTCTGGGTACGGCCTCTACGACGCGCTAAGCGACGCGATGAAAAAGTTCGTCGAGGGTCTGCACGCAGTGCATACTTCGCGGCTGCAGTATGACACTATCCTGGACCTATGGGGAGTAGGTCCGAACCGTCCCCCTATCGACTCACACCATCCAGCCGTCAGGACTCATCCCGTGACAGGGCTCAAATCGCTGAATGTGAATCCGGGTTTCGTCACGGGGTTTGCCGAGTTGAAGAAATATGAGTCGGATAAGCTGCTGGACTTCTTCACGTACCACATCCATTCCGCTGACGACCACTCGGTCCGGTGGAAGTGGGATGTGGGGAGCGTGGCGATGTGGGATAATAGGTGTGTGCTGCACCGTGTCATTCCTGGGTCGTACGAAGCACCTAGAAGAGGAATTCGTACAACGGTTTTTGGAGAAAAACGTAAGTGATTGCTAATTTTCAGCTTGGCTTCATTTTGAGTTTTGCGTCTAACATCATACAGCTTATTTCGATCCGGCCAGTGAGGGTAGAGCTGAGAGAGAGCGGAGGCTCAAGTCGGTGGTGACAAATGATACCTAGTATAAGTAATCAAATTAGTACACCAGCTTAAGTATATACCAGGCGCGATTATATGAGGACAATTGGCCATTAATGAGTCGCTTGGATTACGAGGAAGCTAAATAACTTTATCAATGCCAATCTCTTTTGTGAGTAGTGCCACTTCATTGGTGATTACGAAAATGCCTGTCTTCGTAAGCCCACATCATCATATGATAAATAACAACAACAAGAGATAAAACAGGAAGTACTGATTGGGCCTGCTTACTCACAAGATAGGTATTTTGTATTTTTTGGTGATATCAAATACTTTGAATCATACCTAAGCTGAACGTCTTATCTTGCGTCTTTTCAAAGATTTTTCTTCTCAATGTTACCCATCGCTTTTCATTTACTAGGCACCTAAGGTAAGACTCATTTTCCAAGAGTGTATGTAATGCGACGATTGCAAAATGTATAACATACTGCTTGCTCTTTACTTCGTACTTTGGGAAAAGAAATAACTGACTATCAACATTGAAGACCGTAAGCTAGATAGCTCAAATTGTGAGATTATCACATGCAGGAAATGTGTTTTTAGCCTCGATTCGCTGGAATCCAAATTTGAAAGTTCAAGTTTGTTGATTAGATAAGGGCTATCGGTTCGGCTATCGGGATCTACAAGCTGCAGGATCGATGACACCCATTTGATCCTCTTTGACGTGCCTGTTCTTATCAATGATTGGATGGATTGTCCTACCTTTTTATGCTTGTACTTTCCCCTTTTTATTCTTCTTGAATGCCAATATGTAACTCTCCCCTGAACTCAAGAGACATGACCATTATTGAACCTCTATTTAAATACCTACATACATAAACTCAGGACCCGGAAACAATAACGCTAATGCTTTTGATCTTACTTAGTGCCGCGCCAACCCCAGAAAATAGCCCCAGATTTAAAGTAATGCCAAGCATAATCATGCCCTGAAGATTTATGTTTAAAAATGTAAGAGATCGTGAAGAGCCATGATGTTTTGATACACGATCGATCCAGTTTCAGGATAGTTTTGTCCACGTGCTCATCTCCTACTTGGCATATCACCTTGGCCATTACACATAATCTATGCCAATGCTTCGTGGCAGAAAAGCTGAAAGTGAAATCTTGGAACAGACTTGAAGCCATGACGTACTTAGCAGAATGTGTACTAGACTCTGAATCCGGAATCATCATTACGAAATTTGAGACGAAAAGGGGAGAGTGGTAACTAGATCTGAACAGACACAGTAATTAGACTATGTGAACAGGACTGTTATCAATTGGCATTCTTAGCATAGATACCTAGTAGTCCTCAATATAGTTATATATACTTGTCTAACTACACATGATTTATTATTTGTGTATTCACCAAGATCAGCATTATATTATACGTCATCCATAACTACATAAATATCTGTGTAGGTTTCTTTAATGTCTTCAAGGGACTTTCCATAAGCTAAAAAATTGAAGTTTCCAGGCTTTAAATGAAGCCCTAAAGGTTCTTCAGTGGATTCTAGGCACAGCAAAGGCCCACTATGAGTAAGTGGTCAGACAGGGCTAATAGCGATAGACGGTAGCAAACTAGCGAATCAGAACTAATAAACCAACTGGCCGCTTTCGCCCGGTCCCCCGCCATTTGCCCGTTTCTCTTTTTACTTGTCACCTAAAATTCCCAACAGTCAAATTCCCTCCAATCTCAACCATCAAAGACTCATAAAATGCGATGCTGATAACGTAACATGACCCGAATTCATAATAACGCAATACCGCTATTTCTAAATCTGAAGTTCAAATCTATGAAGAAGTTATTTATATTACAAGAACCCATTCACACTCATGCTTAACCTTAGGTCCTCGGAGAATGGATATGGAAGATATGAGCGTCCAGATGGTCGCCGCAGACACAGCAGCTGAGGTCGCAGCAGACGTCGCTGTGGCCGACCCTCAAAATAGACACCCAAAAAAATCGAGTCAGACCTGCATTCCTTGTAGAGTACGAAAAGTGCGATGTGATGGCCGTCGCGATGGATGCCAAAATTGCGAGCGATTAGGATTCACTTGTTCATTCCAAGATGCCGCGTCACCTAACCAGGACCCAGAGAGTATAACAAATTTCACTTTACCGCGGAGACGAGTGAGATTAGCCTGTGCGAACTGCCACTCCAGGAAGGCTAGATGTAGTGGCGAGACGCCGAAATGTGCTAGGTGTCAGGCTCAGGGTATTGAATGTGTTTACAAACCCACGAAGCGATCGGGAGGCATCAGCAGCAGCACCACTCAGCAAAGTCATCAAGGCAATACCGACTCAGAAATTGAATCGGTCTCATCAGAACCGCCAGAAAAAAGGGCGAGGATGAGTAAGGAAAACCCGGATTCTCATCAATCGGGCCAACATGATTTTGAGCCGAATCCGCAAACGACATCTGGGGGGTCGAATCATGAACCGTACGCAATCCTTTGGTTATTTGTTTGCTCCATCGCGACATGCCTGAACTAACATTCATTTTAGATTTACATTTCCCGACGAAGCTTTGATACAGCGGACATTCAATAACTTCTTTCGCCATATCCATCATGTCCCCATCTTCTCTTTTCTTCATCGCGCCTCACTCATGCAGCGATATCATGCTGGTATGATGGATAAAGCACTACTTCTAGCTCTGGTAGGAATCACTTCACTCCTTATGGATTTAGGCCCCGGAACACGTGAGTATGGTGTAAGATGTGTCGACGAATGCCAAAATATGGTGCTCCGGGATCTCGAGAATCCTTCAACTCTTAAAATTCAAGCCCTGGTTCTCGTCATGAAGCATCGGATGTTATCGCGAAAATTTACCACTGCTTTCATGCTCGCGGCTACAGCGACACGCTTCGCTTATGCACTTCGTCTAAATTATGAAAATTCGAATTTGTGCTTCTTGGCTCGGGAGTCGCGGAGAAGACTGATGTGGGCACTTCTTACTATTGACTCGGGCATTAACGGCGGATGCTCAGATTTTACACTGATGCCCTCCGAATCTTTACACATTCAGCTTCCATGTACCGAACGTAACTTTGAATTCGACCTTCCACAAGTAACAGAATATCTACGATCTGTTCCCACGCGACCTTTTCCGGATGATGTTGGTTCGTTAGCACTGCACGTGCGACTCTTATGGATGAGGAGCAGAGTATTGTACTGCACGAAGAATGTGTTAGGAATGCCAGAATCAGAACTCGTACAGTTACCAGAGCTAGTCAAGGTTCTCTCAGACGAATTGGCCGGTTTCAACGACCACCTCCCTTCGTCCTTCAAATTCTCAGAGAGCAACCTTCAGCTACGCGCCTACTCTCCGCGGCTCTGTGTCTATATCATGATCCACGTTTGGTGGCGACAGTGTCATTGCGATTTGTACCGAATGTTCCTCGCGGGACTCAAAGAAGCATTACCGCAATCGGGCTTAAATCGACTGGATCCTCAATTTCTGTCGTACTGCGTGCGCCAATGCTACGAACACGCCTTAGCTATGACTGATGTCTTCAAACTAATCCTGTCGCTTGATGGAGGCCTACCCGTCACCGATCTCGATCTACCTGGTTGTGCCTACCAGTGTGCTCGACTTATTTACTTCGTCTACCAAACGAATCCAGAGGAAACTGGACTAACACCAAGCCAAGTTCACGAAATTGGAACAAGATGTCTTACTATCGCGAAATCTATGGACCATATCCCAGCTGGTGTTGCCATTGTAAGTTACGACTTCTCACACACTTCATGAGCCCTTTACTAAAGTGCTATATCAGGTTTCCGATCTCGAGAAATTAGTTGCTCGTGGTACCTCGGCGGACTCGACTTCAAATCGTCCAGAAAGTCCAAATACTAGTGGATCTAATCTCTTAACTCAACAAGTCTTGCCGCGACACAACCCAATTCAACAAATACAGATGGTTGACGAAGGCGGATTCACTAACATTCCCATACTATCCCCAACAGCCCATATTGCTTCTCCACAAGGCAGCTCAATGTCCACTCCTATCCCTCACTCAGCCCCTCGCCCAGCACAACTACATAACCGCGGGTCACCACTTCCTGGAACTTCAATTGGTGACTTTAATATGAGTAAGCCCAACCTGCCCCCTGTGATGCCACCCGATGGCATTGACAACAACAATGCTTTTGAGGGTGCGATGGATGGTTTCGACTTTAACTTCGAATCTTTTGGAAATACTGGGCTAGAATCTGCGTCCTGGATTTCAAACGAATGGTTAAACAATGACTACTCACAAACGGCAGTCTGACTTCCCCGGCCTGATCCTAATCCCCCCTAAATCTTAAAACAGGCTGGATCTCGAAATTCCAATGGTGGCAATTCATATGGGAAGAATTCCCGTCGCCAACATATGCAAACTCAGTAACCGCGCTTGGCAATTTAGTGGTTACTGCCGGTTTTAATTAGCCAAGTAAGCCAAGTTTGTCAGAGGGGTTGTTCCAACAGGCGTGCGACCACTGTCAGAGAAATTCGATGTGGCGGTGTAAGTCCATGCTCATAAACCCAGCATGTGGCCAATATGCGACTTTCCCAGCCGAACACACGCTATCAGATACCGGTTTATTGGAATGATTGTCTCGGTTCATGGCCTTGCCTGTCCAAGTTTTTGGCCTAGACTGGCCACCTCACAAATTCGGGCCCCATTGATATCATAAATAGCTATGATAAAGGTCTTTTCGATGCCTTGCGCCGGGCTAATACGAGAGCTATTATCTCCTTCAACGTTTCGATTGCTCTACCTCCAATGGCTTGGATTCAAGTTGCCAGACTACTTTTATATCCTACGTCGATGATCAGGCGGACAAGGAGCAATCATTCGAAACTTCAAGTCCAAACCGCTCAGGAATTACTCACCTACACATATCCAGCCAAGGTACGATTTCGTGCCTAAATTGTTACAACATTGATTTCCCCCAATTTCCTAAACCTTCATCGACGACTTACGAAATATTCATTGACCCCTTTCAGACGATAGCCCTAAACCCACATAAACCCATACCTAACACTAAACGAAGAAGTTGGTCAAACTTAGTGGCTCAGGGATAGAATGCAATGGTCAAACACTACAACCTCTCCACAGAATACGAAAGATGTTCCTCATGTATTATCAAGTGTACGGCTCCAAAAGTTTGGATTTCTTAGTACTGATACCCTAATAATCAAGCATCCCATCGGTAAGATATTTCGACTTTACATAATGAGGCGGAACGAAGGTATAAATATTTCAAGAGAGTGACTTTTCGTAAGTCCTGGAACAAAAGCAATTCATCATGAGAAATGAGTTCAGATACCCTGACGTAAGCAGTACGTCCACATTTACACAGCGATTATCATATAGGGTACATAAACAATTCAAGTCAATATGAAATATAATTTTGACTGGGTGATTTGGTTATGAAATGTGTGATAGGAGAGGATGGATGAGTAATATGTGCGGTTTAGTCTTTTATCATTCAAAGATTTTCAGTGATTTCAGGTGACTTGAATCTTGAAATTTCTGCCCTAAAACTCCGCCAAAATTTTCATTAGTTACCCCACGATTAACATTTTACAGTACCTTGTCGCAAACCCCACCATCTATCGCATCTTTCTATTTTCTATCTTTCGTAATCATTCACAGTCGGTAACAAGATGGCATCAACAGAATCAGACCAAATAGCGCCGGCTATTGAGACGGCCAATTCGCCAGGAATCACAGACGCAACTCCATCCAAACCGATCCATTCAATCGTCCTCGATACAGGTCCCCTCATCAAGAACGACCCTCCCGTCAGCACCCTTCTCGCGCAGGCGCACGAACTCTACACCATCCCCTCCGTCATATCTGAAATCCGTGATGTCGCCACCCGCACACGAGTAGAGACTCAATTACTCCCCTTTCTGAAACTTCGCAATCCCCGACCGGAAAGCGTCAAGTTTGTTACAGACTTTGCGCGGCGCACTGGAGATCTCGAGGTTTTAAGTAGACCTGATATACACTTAATCGCACTCACGTATGAGTTGGAATGTGAGAGGAATGGCGGAGATTGGAGACTGCGGAACACCCCTGGTCAAGTCCGTTTGAACGGCAAGCCTCCGGCGACGGAACAGAAGGAGAATGAATCGTCAGAGAATGGGGATGCCAGTGTTGAACAAGTGAAGCCAGAAGAATTTGCCAGTGGACAGGAAGATGAAGTAACGGTGGATTCAGAAGTGCCAGAGGAGTCTACTATCGAACAACAAACGGTAACCGAAGCTCTCGACACGCTTAGCTTGGAACCTTCCGCCACACAAACAGTCAACACCGTATCCGAGGATGCCGAAGGATTAGAAACCAAATCACAAGAGGAAGAAGAAGATGGTGACGATGACGATGAAGGCTGGATCACACCTTCTAACCTCAAGAAACACCAAGCCAAAGACCGGCTCTCTGGCCCTGAGCAACCCCTACAGAAATTCCTTCAAGTGGCACTCCTAACATCAGATTACGCCATGCAAAACGTCACCCTACGAATAAACCTAAACCTACTATCACCCAGTCTTGCGCGCATCACACGTGTCAAGAACTGGGTGCTCCGATGCCACGGGTGTTTCCAGCTCACGCGCGACATGGCGAAGCAGTTCTGCCCACGGTGCGGCCAGCCTACCCTAACACGAGTCTCGTGCACCACCGACTCGAGCGGCAACTTCCAAGTCTTCCTGAAGAAGAACTTCCAGTGGAACAACCGGGGCAACGTGTTCAGCGTTCCAAAACCCGTGCACGGGTCCTCGAACGGCAAGGCGCGCGGCGTCGGCGGCGGCAAGAACGGCTGGGGCCGCGAGCTGATCTTCGCCGAGGACCAGAAGGAGTACGCAAAGAAGTCGACGGAGCAGCGGAAGGCGAGGGCGAGGGACTTGATGGACGAGGATTATTTGCCGGGCATATTGACGGGGGATAGGGGACATGTGGGACCGGGGAGGATAAGGGTGGGCGCGGGGAAGAATGTAAATTCACGGAAGAAGTAGAGGAAGTTGGTATTTAGAGGGTTATATAGGGTTAGAGGGTATGAGAATTGCAATGACAAAATGAATGATACCAGCACCGTTGAAAAGAAAGGCACTACTGATATAATACTGGATTTTCACCGTGATGTGATATTATGAATACTTTTCCATGACCATGGCTATTATGGAACGAGGCTACAAAGGCGGCTATCAGTCTATCGGTTAAGTATTGGTACCAGGATATGTCCAACAGGATAGAGGATGGGTCTTGTTGATGTTGGTATTTGAATATGACATTGATTCTGATTCTGATTCTCTGCAGACTTTTATCTTTATCTTATTTTGCGAACCCTTCACGCCTATTAACGCCAGTCCCGGATGGAAGCCTTTCGTTCATTCAAGACAGATGTATGCATGTCTGCAAAAACAAAAGTTCTGCTGACCAATTCTCAATGAGTCCTTCCCTTTGATATACCTGGTGTAGGCGCAGGTGCCCGGTTCACGTCCTCCACCACCTCACCATCATTGCTACCATCATCATCGCCGGCGGAGTTGTTGTTGTTGTCGTTTTCGGTATCGTTGTTGTAGTTGGTTAAGTAATCGATATGAATGTCGAGTAGATTTACACCGAGTTCTCAGCGACTTTGTTCTCTAGCAGATAGGTATTAGCATTTTACTTCCATCGCCCATCTCGCTTTCTCTCCTTGACATCTTTCCCACAGAAAGAAAGAAACAGGGCAACCAGGCAGAGGAGACACGGGAAGAGAAGGCGAGACGAGAAGCTAACAAGCAGATGGAGAAGAACAAGGAGGGTCGGGAAGGGAAGAAGAGGGTCGGAAAAGCTCACTCTGCTGCGTCAACAACAACCCAAAGCGCCGCTTCAAGGTGACGCGCTGCCGCGACCACTTGTCGTCGGGCGAGAAGCGCGCCGGGTGCGCCGACTTGGTCACCTCGCCGTGCAGCACCTTCTTCAGCGTGTAGATGCGCTTGCCGCTCTCGTCCATCGTGTACATGAGATGCATTGCGGCGGTTGAATTTTTTAATTTTTTTCCCTTTCTCCCTGCTTTCCTTTTTTTTTTTTTTGGCGAATTTGGTTTGGGTTGGTGGGCGGTGGGAAGTTGTTGCGGCGGGTTGTGGTGGGTGAGTGAGTGAAGGGTGAGTTAGTTGATGGGTGAAGAAGTTCGTTGAAATTATTTTTTTCCTACTATCAATTGATGCATGCACTAATTGTGGAGACTTGTGGAGTTGGGCTGCTTATCGATAAGTGGCTCTTAATCCTTATTTTTACCCCTGAGATGGAAGTTCAAGTTGAATGAACGTCAATGTTATCATTGGACAGGAGAGGTAATATTATTTACGGCTTAGGTGTTGAATCATTTAAAGTAAAGGAAATATTCTTTACAGTACATTTATTGTCTTGCATAAGTCGCAATTGATCGGGCCAGAGCTTTAGCGAAATCTCCCCTTCCTGGAAAAGGGGTACCAGAGACATCCCCTATTGAATAATTCACGAGATATAATATTTCTCTTTTTTTTAAACCTTGGAAAAGATGTAAGAGAAGGCTTCTCCGTATCACATCCCTCTACTAGTATTGTATCATTATGGATAGGGAAGAAGAAGTATACTTTGAAAAGATAAGTGCCCAACTCCTACCTTCAAGTGTCAGTGCAATCGCCTTTAGATAATTAGAGGAAGCTTTCGGAGGTTGACTTGGTAATCATGGATATTTGAGACCACCTTACTAGGGGAAGGACCCTGATTCGTACATATTACCTCTAAAGACGTTCATATAAGCTACCAAGTACCTACCGTACGGAAGATCGCCCCTGCGGGACAATAATGGCTGACCAATTCAGCCTGATCAACAGCCAATTAACCAGCGAGACCTTCCAGTCAAAACAACAGATTCCCTGCTTCTCTACCTCACCCCTAAACGAACTGCCGACTCCACTCTCCCCCTCGGTCAATATAACTTCACCTATTCCGGTAATACGGGGTAGGTTGTCAAAGCATGGGGAGAGTTTCTCCGTCCCATCACGGACCAATCTTTTGGGACGAGAACGTCGAACTAATCTGCAAGTCACCTCGAACTAGGATGACGTGTAGATTAAAAAACCGCCATTGACAGCATGACAGGTTGAATTGGCTCGCATACATAAGCTGGTCGTCCCGGTACCGTCCATCTCGCTCGGGGGCGGGATCGTTGCGGATCAAAACTTCTCTCGATCGACACCTAACTATAGCCACCACGATTTGAAAAGTGTGTAAAATAGAAAATGATTGGACAAGTCCTCCTCGCTCTTGCCTTCGCGGCCACTGGCATTGCCCAGGCTCCCGAGGGCTACCGCACCGTCTACATCACGTCGAATGTCGACACCAAGTTCGTCGTCGTCCCCAAGGCGGCCACCAGCGGGAGTGGAGTAGTCGTGTTCGTACAGTTTCCATCCCGTACCATTAACAAATAGTAGTCCTAACTCCAATATTCTCATATACAGACAGACCGGTGCCCAGAAGCCAGAGCAGCAGTGGTACCTCACCGACGGCAGCTCCAAGATCCAACTAGCCAACACCGAGCTGTGTCTTGACGCAGGCGCGAAATGTGAGCAGCTACCTACCTACCATAATGGGGGGGCCACCGTTTTTCTAGGTGTGTCTACTTACTAACAGCACCAATAGCCGCCTGGAAGGACATGGCCAACGTGTACGTGAACACGTGTTCCGACACCGCCGAGGGCCAGAAGTGGAACGTCATGGCCGACGGCCGGATCGCCGTCGAGGGATCGACTCCCCGTGAGTACCTACCTACCTACACCTATGCTCAAGATGGAGAAGAGAGAGCTAATACATAGGCACCCGCAATAACAGAGGAATGCCTCGACCTCCAGTTCATGAGGGCGACGGAGAACAACCCCGTCGGCCTGTACAGCTGCGCGGGCCTGGGCAACACTGGCGCGGCGGACAAGGGCATCAACTGGCCGCTCACTGAGGTTGCGCCTTAAACTTGGGGATGGATGTTGCGTCTAGGAGATTAGGGACATTTGTGGTGGTAGTTAGGTACCTAGTAGTAGGCAGACTGGTCGAATCATGTTTGGCTTTTCTGGGAGTAACTACTGTCAATTCAAGGTATACCCAGCTTTAGAGGCCTTGAATCGCTCTGCGTTGTATGGTGTTTTGACTCGTGATAAAGATAATGCTATAGAATGCTCACTAAGTGTTGGCGGGAGCCCGGATGGCAACACTATACCATAATGACCCCATTACACAACACCGATGTTATTGATCGCAATCCTTTGAAATGAGATAATGGGAGATTATTACCTCAGTACGCGGCTTCACATTCAGAAGTATTGAATAAGAGACATGATAATATACGATTCTTAAGCGCGATCTATCAACAACTACCTAGGCAATGAGCGAGCAACGAGAACTAACCGCCTCAAAATCAAACCCCCATCTTCACCAACACCGACTCTCTACTAGATTCAACCACCCCCCGGCCTTCTTTTCCATCCCAATTGCTACTCCTAATGCAAGGACAAATGAAACGTGCCTTGCCACGCTTATCCCGCACTGTTGTTGCAGCCGTGACCGCTGGAGACACACTGGTTGAGGCAGGTCGACTGGAGCCTGACGCCGTACATCTTGCCGGAAACCCCGTTGTTCGTGCACGTCTGCATGATTGTGTTGGCGTTGGCCGCGAGGTCGCCCTGCCTGAGCCAGGGCACGGCGGTGGACCACGCGGTGCAGCACTTGTCCCCCCCCTCGCCCTTGAAGCAGATCTGCCGCCACGACTGGTCGATGGCGATCGTGGCCTGCGCGTACAGGTTGTCGACGAGGCTGCTGCAGAGCTCGTTCTGCGCCTCGTTATCCTTGTTGTCGCACGAGGGTGTGGGGTACGCCGAGCATGTTGTCGACTTGCGCCGTTCTAGGGTAGGCGTGGGCGTCCACCGCTTTGTCGTGCTGTCAGGCACCCCGAAGTACTCTAGGGATGTCCCGTTGCCGGTGTCTTGCGTGTGCAAGGAAACCAGGTCGCGTGCTAGCAGCTCATCGTGTGTGAGACCGTCGGCGGATGCTGCGAGGGGGGAGGCGAGCACGCTGGTAGCGGCGATGAAAATAAGTGATGAGACTAAAGAGAACTTCATTTTTGTTGGGTTTCTCCGGTTATCTGATAGAATTGTTGTAGAAAGGGGCTTTGGGTAAAGTTTGAATTAAAGATGTGTTGCAGTCTGATGAGAGTGATACATGTTATACAGACATTCTTCCATGAGTCTCTTATATATCTTCATTTTTCCTATCCCTTAATACCAATCTGGAAGCCAATGAAAATTTCAAATCAAGATTTCAAATGATGTTCTCAGCTTTCTCCTTTCGTCGCAGCTTAGCCCTTCAAGTCGCTAATTCTGTCTTGTCAGCTTAGAGCGTGGTCAGCTAACCTCTGCCAGGCACCTGTTTCATTAACAGGCCCCCAGTACATAGCTATGGGCGCGCTGAGAATCCTGAGTAAATTCATCAGCCATATAATAAATACAGCTTATAATAATAGCCATGTGTGAGGTAAATCCTAGCGCTAACAGATCCCCAACCGAGGTGTACTCGCAACATCTTGTAGAATTGAGTAAGGTCGTAAGAATTATTTGATTGTCATGTCCACTGGTATGTCAACCCAGAATCAACATGGTCTGATAACCTTTGACGCAGTCTGGGGCGATGATCACCAGTCTTGTAAAGGGGTTTATTGTCACACTGTGGTCGCTAGAACTGGTTTCCACTACGTACCTTTTATTGACAGAGAAATTCAAGCAACGACTCAATCGAAATGGCCTTTTATTGGCTTATTGACATACTAGTAAAAGCTACCGGTTACGATCATTCCGTAGTTCTAGTCTTAATGTACCTAGGTACAGAATGTCGAAGTGACCTAGAATCAAACTCCGTTGCGAATTAAGACGAGATCTCTACTGCACAGTCATGATTCTTCTAATATCTACGTAGCATAGGTACCTAAACCGGTATCAAGGTCGTTATTCCTCATTTTTGCCATGTAGGCCATCCCAAGCCTCCTCATCCAAAGGAACAAACCCTTCCCCCTGCAGAATTAACTCCTCCGCCTTCTCAACATCGAAGACACCACGCTCATCTACCAGTCCATCCCTCCGCCAAAAATACACCCCGTACGTCTCATCCGCATCTCCATACGGCAGATCCGTCAACAGCCTCGGCGCCTTCTGGTACGGGACTCTGAAATCGTACCACGCATTGCTCTGCTGTCCCGGGCGGAGCAAGTTCGCCACCACATCGCGGACGTAGAAGCGCAGTTCGATCGTCTCGTCCTCGGCGCTGCGCGCATCCACGATGGCGACCTTGTCCTGGTCTATCTGGTTGTGCTGCACTTGGTGCTCGAGCGCCCACGCCGTGCAGTCCGCTGCAGATGCGCCGATGAAGTCGCTCTCGAATGGCTCGCCGTCGGCTAGCGTCTCTTTGAACCAGTCAGCCTCTGCGGGGAATTCGCGAGATTGCACGAGGATAAATGGATAGCTGATTTTGTCAAGCGCTAGGAGGCGTGGGATGAACTGCAGAATATGATCAGCACGACATTCAAGCTAGGTATCTAGGAAGTAGAAATCTTACGGGTTTAGCTTCTTCGGCGATGCAGAAGAGGAAGACACGAGACATGGTGGAATTGTTTTAGTGTTGGCTTTAGTGAGGTTAGCTGTACTGTATCTTGGGTTCTTGATACATAGGTAAGAGGTTGAAAAGAGGTGAAGGTGAGAGCTCGATAAAGACAAACAAAAGCTGACGTCGAAGCTGAAAATAAGCTATCTACCGTATTGTCACACAGTGCCTGTACGGCTTTGATCTTACTTCTATTTACAGATCACCAGGGGGGTTCCTGAATCCTCAAATACTATATATCATATTCTAATAAAGGGGGTCACCTGTTTCTGCACATGTAAGCCATGGTGTGGCTTATTTACCTTACTCCACGAACCGTCATACTCGGTTAAAGATGGACAATTACTGATTATGTCTACATGAAGCGACTCGTAGAATGATATACTGGAAATGATTGGCTCTTAATTGTTTCGGCCTCGTCTATTTTTGAACGTTGCTTCTGACATGTAGGTATACACATTTGGAATTCTTCGCTGAGAATCATGAGTCTGCGCAGCTATTGCCTATGGATATGGCAGCGAACATTTTCAGCTTGAGTGAAGCTCACCGAGTAAGGTAAGATAGCTGAATGCCTCTAATGATATATATATCGGTCGTAGTTGTGCTCTCATCGTGCTGTCTTGGAGCCGTGTATCAAACAATCTCGCATTCTCTATCTATAACGCCACATTACACTGTATATCTACTAGAATCTCCTATAACCATGGTCAACGTTCGATCATATATCATCGGGCTGTCCCTGTCCATGTTATGGGGTACCACAATAGGGGCTCCTGTGACCGAGCCTCAAGGCAACATCGATGCCCCTGATACACTCCTAGAAGAGTTCGAACTTGAATTCGACAGCACCCTAAACAGCCAAGAGATCGAGGAGCTCAAAAAGCAAGTCAAAGAGTTCTACAGCGGGAAAGGTGAAGTTTTCAATGGGACCGTGGACCTCAGTCTGGAGAAGCGTGCTACGGGTGCACAGAACGACCCTAAGCCGATTACTGTGAATGTGGCAGCCTGGCAGAACATTGCTGAGATGAACTGCTATGTGATTCTTTGCAATTACAACGGCAACCTTGTCTGGTATGTACCTACTTTATCATACAAGACTTTCATACCTAGGTTCCTATCCACCAACAACCAACCACTAACGCCATGGGGGGGAAAGGCAAAGAAACCCAACAGCAGCCACAGCAGCGACCCACCGCTCAGACGCCGGCACCAACCTGCGCCCCTTTCAACCGGGCCAGCTAGGAACGCGCGGGACCCAGCAAATCACGACCGACACCATCAGCGCGGAGGAGTTCCCATGGGCGAGCATTAACCAAGGCGGGGTGGGCGCGCATCTCATGCCCGCCACCATCGCAGAGCAGAACGGTAAGTTGCCCAGAAGACGTTGAAAGCCTTATAATACCTACGTACCCAGTACTTTGCTTAATACTAGGTGGTAACCGACGTAGCGCAAAAATCCTGGATCAGCGCGGCGTACAGCTCGGGATACGTGGGCTGGAGCGAGTGGTTCAAGCTCAGCTTTAGTAACTAGTAAGCCTTCTCCCCTCTCCTTCCCCCGGGGCTTTTAATCCAACCCACTGCCCTTGTTCTTATCAACCTGGGCGAGGAAGGTATCTGATGATCTGAAAAATAATAGCGACGCGACGAAGATCTACTGCCCTGCACTGTTCGGACAAACGCCCCCGGATACTTCAGTCTGTGGGAAGAAAAAGAAGTCGAACCTCTATGGCAAGTCGATCTACCCTGGGCTGTATAACTATATTAAGAACGCGGGTACGTTGCCCGTTACATTTAAGCAGATTGGGTGAAAGTACCTAGGTAAGTAGGATATTTGATCGTGTTGCGGCGGTCGGGGGGTGGGGGACGGGAGGTATCTTTGGGTTTCTACGTTTCCGGGTTAATTTGAAGGTGTTTGGGTTCAATTACATATAGAAGGGGACGAAATTTACTCATTTTGGATATAAAAGTTGCCTACATCTCATGGAAGCCTCCAAGATTGGAGGTGGCTGCTTAGACCCCCTGAATCCCTTTAGTGGTGAAAATGTGATGATGCCATGAGCTTATTGTAGCCTATTGGGAAATCACAGAGCTTTAGTCTCACACTTATACGTGACTAATTACAATATCCAATATGTTTTCTTAACGTACGCAACTCATACCTTATGTACCTAAGTCGTAGCTATTCTATTCACAACCAAACCAGAGAGTTCATGCAACGACTTCCCCTGGCTAAGAATGTCCAGGAACGAAACGTCCACCTTGAATGCATTCCATAGCCAACTGCGGAACTCCGACGCAATCATGCTATCCACTCCATATCCATTCAAGGCCTTGTGATCGTCGATAAGCTCTGTGGGCAATAGGATCAAGCTGGAAAGGCACTTTTTCGCTAGTCGTAGAACAGCGATTTCCAGCGTGGGAGCATCGGCCTCTTTCTTCAGTGCTGCCAGAGCGTCTGATGAGACATTCGTCAACCACGTAGCTACGGCAATATTCTGGAGTTGTTCGATCTCACTGCCATTGGCTTGCTTGTCGGCTTCAAGGGCTGCCGATAAGATGGACGAACGCGGATCCTGAGTGGCGCCGTGGCTTATATCGAAGCCCTGGGCTCTCAAATGCCGAAGTCTGACAGGTTCGAGACCAGTCAGGATATGCGGAGGAGAGGACGACGAAGAGAAAGAGGTGGAAGGGGTTGTAGATGTGCTTTTGGCGGAGATGAGAGAAAAGTCGACCATCTGCAAGAACTCCTCTTCGCTGAGAGGCTGAATTCCTCTACGCAGCAACAACGCCTCGATATCGGGATTCTCGTGCAGATATCCCACTTCGGACACCATACCCAGCCCAAGAGAGACAACCGGGCGCCCTTCTTGACGGCCCTTGCGCGCGAACGCGTCGAGAAAGCTGTTCGCCGCGCAATAATTGCTCTCTGTCGCCGTACCCACGGTTCCCGATATCGATGACATGAGCAGAAAGAAATCGAGCTGATCGTCGACTCCGCCGCGGATGGCCGAATCCAAATTCCTTGTCCCTGCCCATTTCGGCCGCACGGCCTTCTGCCAGGCTTCGCCGCTCATGCGCGAGAACAGGCTTTCGGAAAGGCCCATCGACGCTTGTATGACCCCGCCGAGGGGTAAGCCCGTGCCGACGCAGCATTTCACGGCCTGGACCACGTCATCGGAGAGACACACATCTCCGCGAACGACATGGACGTTGGCGCCGGCTTCTTGAAGCTGGGATATGAGCGCCTGCGCAGATGGCCTATCGTCGCCCGATCGGCCAAGAAAGACAAAGTTGCGTGCCCCGCGGGATAGCAGCCAACGGCTCAAGCTACGGCCGAGACCACCCAGGCATCCTACTAGAAGGTAGACTTTCCTTTTGTCAAGAATGGTGAGATACTTCGCTAGCGATACCTGGACAATCTCGGTTAGTCCTGTAGGTGCAGTTTGTTTGGGGGAGGGGACAACCTACTGGAATGGAACTTCCGGGATCCTGTAACGAGATGACCACTTTACCCACCCTATCTCGTTTCGAAAAGTAGCGATAGGCACTGGTGATCTCTGATACATCGAAGCATTTGGTGGGAAGTGGCTTGATCTCCTTCGCGCGGAACAAGTCAAGCACTTCCCTTATTTTGCTACGCAAGTCAATGACATGGTAAGTTGGAAGCCAAAAGTAAAAATACCTCTGTGGGGTCTAGCTGCTTACGTGACGAGTAGCTCGCGATAGAACTGGTCCTTATGAAAATATAGCTCGCTCAGATCGAAGGCGGTGAAAGTTGCGCCCCTTAGGAAGACGGACATATCTAACTTGCCGGCGTCGACTAGCTCCCGCTTGCCAACTTCGATGAAGCGGCCGAACGGAGCCAGACAGTCCCAACTATGGTGCATAAGGTCGCCGGTAAGAGAGTTGACAATCACGTCAACTCCACGCGCTCGTGTTGCTTTTCTCACGCCGGCAACGAAATCGTTAGCATCGCGGGAGCTGAAGATATTCGAAGCTGGCAAGCCCAAGTTATTGACAACCCAGTCTCTCTTCGCAGACGAGCCAACGGTAGTGTAGACAGTGGCGCCAATGCGTTGGGCAATAGCAATAGTTGCTATGCCCAGCGCACCTGTTCCAGAATGGACCATGATGGACTCGCCAGACCGAAGATTTGCACGATCATTTAACGCATACAGCGCAGTACTATAAGCTATGGGAAGGCCCGACATGACAATCAGATCCTCATCCGAATAAATTCGATGGGTCGCCCAGACGGGCACTCGTACTGTGGTGGTGAAATGATTCGGGATGACGACGATGACTCTATCGCCGATCTTCAGCTGAGTCTCTGGAACTCCGGCGCCTATCGCTGTAACTGTCCCACCGAACTCCATCGCAGTAGTCCCCTGCTGAGTCTCGACTCGCCCATTCAGGGCGTACACGTCCTTGGCGTTCAAACTCATGACTTGCATCTCAATGTCTACGAAGCCAGAGGGCGGGTCGCTTGATGGCTCCCTTACTTGATCGAAATGGATAGTGTCCATGACCCCAACCTTCCCAATAGATAGCCGAGCTGGTTTCGCTTCGCTTAGTAGGATGTTCTCGAAGTGGTTTTTGGACTGGATTCGGGTTTGGAACAGGGAATTAAAGTTCGACGCAGGTTCAAAGCGACTGGTGTAAAGCATACCATGTAGTTGGGCGTACTCCTTATCGTCCGACTTATCTGCAGGAATCAGGGTACGAATAATGTTGTCGCACGTCAGTTGCTTGGTAGGTACTTGGAAAGCTTCGGGCCCGACGTCTAGGACCGCGAAGCGCAATGAGGGTTGTTCTAGCATTAAAGCCCGTGATAGTCCACAGGAAAGAGTCAGGTCAGGATTACAGTGGACTTCACCTAGCATTCCGGCACCGGTGACCCAGAGGAGATGAGTTGTTGCGTTGCTAATGCTGCGAAGGAGGTCCATCTCCAGCTGGCCCATGGTTGCTAGGTAAGGAACCTCCATTTCGAGCAAAGAGATGAACACGGAGTTTTGGGGGCATACTGTTTGTTGGACATCGCAAATTGAAATTACCTTTACTTCGGAATCGGCAATTGCTTGTTGAAGATGCACCGACAGGAATGATGCAAACTCGGAGAGTCTCGTAGAGGGGTCACGAACCTAGGCATAATGTAAGATTATGGGGGGTTGGGATAGCTATGGGTAAGAAAACATACTAGAATGATAAAAGTCTTTTTTCTGAGAACTCCAGTATCGGATAAACGTCTAGATAAAAAAGTCCTTTTATCAACTTCAATTAGCCACAAGCCTGCCGCCTCCAAAGACGTCTGAGCTGCATGTGTCTGACGACTTATGATAGTACCATCACGGGCAAGAAGAGATATGATTGACTTGGAGCAGGATCTCCAGCACTTTTCGGAAGTTCTCAGCTATAGACGATGTAAGTATGGCTGCTAAAAGTATTGGAGCGACAATCTCTTACCCCTGTGATAATGATTACATCGAACGGGCCATCATCCTCATCATCGACTGACAATGTTCCGTGGTCGGCAATGCGAGCAGTCAGCCACTTCCCACAGCGTGGGAATGAAGTATTTCTATCTAGAAACGTCGACCACCGACTGGATTTACAGCTACAGCTGTCTCCGAGCTCAAGAACGCGCATCTGTGGCTTCTTATGACCAGCTAGGTCAAGCAATGATCCGATGGTCGCGACGTTTTCGTCATCAGCAAGGTCTGCATCCTGTTGTTTAATAAACGCGGCAATGTATTCCCGCAATGGAGCACCAGACCCAGGCTGAAGACATTGAATATCAGGTTTCCAGATGACACTCAGACATGGGTGGCGCTGACCGTCCGGACTTTCTCCAGGCTTTGCTGGATGCTTGAATGCACTCTCCGAATACAAAGACATTCGTACATCTCTCATATGAACCACTGCTTTGTTTTCTGAGTCTCGAAGTGTGCAGGATATCCTCTGAGTGGATACACCAGTCCTTTCGGACCGCGCATAAACTTTGGCGTCCAAGCCCGCGGACTCAGGGGCAGACGAGATGTCGATTCGGCATTCCTTGATGAACACCGGAAGATATGCCTGAAGCTCGCTCACATTTCCCGCACATGTGGTCATGACACCTGCTTGTAGACATGCGTCGATGGTAATGGGATGAACTGGGTAGAATGTGCCATCATTTTCGGAACCCGGAGGCCTGATGTGAGTGATACCTATGGCCTCCGGCCGCCCCCTGTTATTATCTTGATCAAGGAAGTGAACTAGGCGGAATGCTCTACCAAAGCTCAAGCCTTCCACAGCGAACTTCTCGTACCACCTGTTTGTAGAAACCCTCTCGAATCGTTCTGCTTGGTCAATGGTGAAGGCTTGATCAAGATCTAAGCCATCTGCCTCCCGAACACTGCCTACGCAGTGGACAGTTGATCTACCGATCTTGTACGACGAGATAGAGAAGTCATACCAATAGGAAGAAGTACTCGTCGTAGAGATTTTTCGTGGCGATAGGTTGGTGTGCAGTTCAGTGTCTTCCGCTAAGAGGCCGTCCTGATCATCGATTATAAGCGCAGTATTGAAACTGATATTTCGGAACTGAAAGGCGGAAAGGGGTGGGTGTGACAGCTCTTCATCGTCTTGGATCTGACTGAGTCCTTCCATGACCATGGCGAGATAGCCCGCGGCTGGGAAAACTACTTGGCCACCAACGATATGGTCTCGCATCCAGGGCATCTCTTTGAGACGCACGCTATGATTGCGCCAATTCCAGTCAATACCATTGCCGGCGTACTGCCTCGACCCCAACAATTCGTGGCGCACATATTTGCGATTTCGTAGCTCGTGACTCAAACGTGATTCATGATAGAGTAGCTTTGTACTGCTGTAGTCCCAGGGGTATGGAGGAAGATTATGGAGGGGAACTTGGTTGCTTCGTTCAATCAAGTTGACTTTCTCCCAGTTAAGACTGTGTCCATGCATGAAAAGCGTACCAGCCAATTCCTTCATGCATAAATCCGTGTCTCGATCACGGACCAAGGTCGGAGCATACCGGAAGTGATCAACATCGGCCATCATGCTTGCTCGGATTTGATTCACCGGCCCTTTCAAAGCCGGATGTGGTCCGACTTCTATGAACTGGAGATCCCTAGAAGCTGCCAGGCTTCTCAAAGCAGAGTCAAATTGAACTGGCTTTTCGAGGTTTTCTCGCCAATATCCAGCCCAGTCTGTGTTGGTATCTGGTGTGGTCAACGCGTCGCCGATGTTCCCTACCGAGGAACACATCTGAACTATCCCTTGAGTCGAACCCCTATTTTGGTGATCCTTATATATCGGGCGTAGCGCTTCCTCGTAGGCTTTGCCAACTTCTATTATCATGTGGGAATGATAGGCAACCCTATCTGTTAGCAATATCCGACAAAACTTGTTCTGCTCCTGTATCTTCTGTTGGAGAAGCTTGATCCCTTCGGTTCTTCCACTGAGTGTTAAACTCTCTGGCGCGTTAACACATGCAATACAGACATGATCGTTGAGATCATTCTGCTGGATAAGGCTCCGAGCGGTCTTAATGTTGATACCCACAGCCATCATTAATCCCGGTATATGTAGCTGATCAACTGTGTAACCTCTGAAGTATGCCGTGAGTATAGCCTGACTTTGGCTGATCAGGCCTGCACTATAAGCAGCAGCAATTTCTCCAGATGAATGGCCGATAACAGCAACAGGATTTACATTCCAGCAGTGAAGTGTATTGACGATAGCGATCTGGATAGCGGTGCAGATTGTCTGGCTAAGTGCGGCACCGTGGCTTGGACTCGTCGGTGTGTGTTCAGCAATGGACCGTTCTATACACCAAGTTGGCGCCTTTTCTGGTGCAATGGTCTGTAGAGTGCGATCCAGCTCCCGAATGGTGCTCAGAAAATCATCGCTCCGCTCAAGAAGCTCTCTACCCATGCCGGAATAGTGAGCCCCTTGACCCGTGAATATGAAGGCGTAAGGTAAAGGGTCTTGAGTATTACCATCGGTATGGTTTGCCGACTTCATCAGCGATAAGCTGGGTTTCCCATTTTCATTAGGCTTAACTAACAATAGCTTCCTATATCCCAGCTGGGATCTGCGAGCGCTGAATGTATATGCGAGGCTTTGTAGTATGTTCCAACCACAGGTCGGAATCACCTCAGATATCTGCTGGATACGGGACTCAAGCGATTTCTCTGAGAAAGCTGAGACGGGTATGATAAGCTGTTGACTAGCAATCCTCGCATCGCTATCCTCTTCTGATAGGCAATCCGGAACTGTAATGTAAGGATCAAATGCCTCAAGAATAGCATGTGCATTTGCACCTTTTCCAAGTAAGCTTCTTTTCCCGTTTGCAAGGTTCTCGCAGCTCACCTCCATAGCCAAAGCTGTTGATACTTGCCCTACGTGTGACTCTTGGCCATTCTTCCATCTCTGTCACTATTCTGATGTTCGAAGATTCAAGCCGCACTATTTGTTTATGTTAGGTACCCAGTGCTTAGAAAATCGTTGTGGGAAAGGAAGCACTTACAATTGGGATTCGGTCTCGTTGCCCCGCGCGTGGGTGGGATCTTGCCATGCTCAAGAGCCAAGACGACTTTGATAAGTGAGGTGAGTCCACTGGCTGCTTCGCTGTGTCCTAAGCACTGTTATCAGGCACTGGTCCTAGTAGCTTTGCCGTGGCTGTTCCAGGGCGCAAACCTAGGCTTGTTTTCACCTGATACAATGTTAGCGAGGCAACTTTAACCGTAGTATATTGTCATATATTGAAAGGGGAACTTACGGCCCCAATAAGGAGAGGTGATTCCCTGGATCGTGAGAAACAACGCGTGATTGCGTCTACTTCAATGGGATCTCCAACGGGAGTCCCAGTGCCGTGGCACTCGACGTAGTCCGTGTCAGCGAATAATAAGCCAGCGGTGCTGTAGGCTTTCCTAATTACGGCCTCCTGCAACTCGGCACTTGGTTGAGTGATACCAGAAGTTCTGCCATTCCTACAGCGACACGTTGAGTGAGACATCCGTGTATACTTTACGGGCCTGTAAAACTCACGAATTTACAGCAGTCGCTCGGATCACCGCCAATATCTTATTTTTATCTCTCATCGCTGAAGACATACTCTTCAAATAGATGGCATTTACAGCATCGGCTCGTCCATAGCCATCGGCTGAAGCATCAAATGTGTGACACGTAGATGTAGGTGACAAAACGCCCGCCTTCATGGTCGCAAGGGATTGTTCTGGTGCGGTGATCAAGTTCGCAGACGCGACAATGGCACCATCACAGTCACCGCGCTTAAGGGCATTGACAGCATTATCTAAACAGTATATCGAAGACGAACATGCCGTGTCCAAAGTAAGGCTAAAAGGTATTTATTTAGTAAGACACCGTTACATGTGTTGTTTAATCGTAGGACATACCTTGGCCCTTGGAGATTGAATACGTGACTAATTCGATTCGCTAGAATTGTTGTGCCACCTCCTGTTGCGCTATATCTTTGAATAGTATCTGGATCTCGGGCTTGCATGATCTGGTGGTCTAGTGTGAAGCTGCCCACGTAGACGCCTGTATTGGTACCTGAGATACCTTGGAGTGTTTCCCCAGAGTTCTCAAGGCACTCAAACACCACCTCGAGAAGCTTTCGTTGCTGAGGATCCACTTGATTGTTCCCGGTCAGTCATTCAGTTCGACAGATCGTTATATGATAAGCGAACAAGGAGACTTATCCTAAAGGATTGGACTAATATCACTCTGGTATATGATATGACTTACTATAAGCCGCCTCCATATTGTTGATGCCAAAAAAGGCGTTCTCGAAGAGGCGGATATCTTCTTGGATGAAATAGCCTCCATTTGCATTCATCGTTCCGGCTCTGTTTCCATGTGGGTGATAGAAACCTTTCACATTAAACCGGTTGCTTGGGACAACCGACCGAGCACTCTGTTTCTTGGCGAGGAAATTCCAGAGATCGGAAGGCGATCGAACGCCCCCAGGAAGATGACAACCTGAGCATGGTGTACTTTAGCGACAGCGCTACATGGAGCAGGGATTGAGGATCTATACCCATTCCAACAATGCATACGGGGTTCTCATCCATGTTCGACTTAGAACTACCGGCCACATCATTGGGCGTGGAAATGATACTGTAGCTAGACTGCGTAGTTGCTTGTTCAGACATGGCAGCAATTTGCTCCTGACGTCGCGGTTCAATTTGCAATGTGGAGTTCATGTTGCTCAAGCTCATCGTGTGTCTTATCATACCGCTGCCAGCAGACGAAAGGGGGCATCTTTTATTATGAAAAAAGTCCGTAAAAACAAGACAATGAGCTTCCCCCACGTCTGCAGCTCACCCACATCTAGAACATGTTGTCCCCATATACGCAAGTACTACGGCGCTATTCTGCACGGCACACATAGCTTCGCGTATGTATGTTAAGGCCGAGGCTTAGCTCGTCGGAGTACCTAGTACCCGAGATTTGGTGGATTTTCTTTTTTGGATTAGGGAATCGTCCGGTATATCGTGGAAGGACTTTAAGGAGAATAACGAAAAGGATGGATAGGTAGGTACACAGCATATACTAAGAGAGCCTTGAGAATCTGCGGCTTACTCAGGGCAATGCAACATGTAGGGTGACACCAGCAAAGTCCTCCGGGGCCGTGCATTAGGAAACATCGTCCTTATCTCCGCCATTTCCTAGAATCATATGGTTGGCTGCCTTATTATCATCAATCCTGTCCTCTCAGAGCCAGAACAGTGGGGGGGTTTTCAGTCAAGTTTGACATTCCCCTTTGCAGTACTACGTGATCGCTACTGTCCTCCACCGAAACATTCGAGTCAATAGCCAGTCGCCCTTGAAATGGCAGGAAGGGTACGCTTTTCCCTAGTCACCGGGTAAGGTCACGGCAGAAGAGATATTTGGTGGTCTGACTCGTTACTGACTTTTCTCAGATGCGGACGAGGGGGCATAGGAGAAGCGCTCGTCAGGGAATTCGCGAAACATAACGTCCGGCCTATCGCCACTCTGTTACCTAACGAGCCTGCCGAGCATCTCGATCAGGCTGGCATCCTCCATTACCCTCTTGACGTGACTAAGGAGGACTCTGTGATGGAGTTAAAGAAGCATGTACATGCAGTCACAGGGGGCAATCTGGACATACTAGTGAACAATGCGTAAGAAATCCCTTGTGTGGCAGAAGGGGTCAAAGGTACCTAGCTAACCTAAATAATATTGGTGCATCAATAGTGGAATATGTGAGATCGGTAATCACAGTGCAGACCTTGAAGCTAAGTGTATAATCAGGTTATACTATGACTGCCATCGACACCGACGTTTCTGAGGTGCAGCATATGTTCAATGTCAATGTATTTGGGCCCATGCGGCTGGTACATCACTTTCATGACATGCTCATCAAGTCATCTGGGACCATCGTTAACATTGGATCTGTTGGAGGTATTGTGCCATATGTTTATGGATGTGAGGGAGTTCACCCTATCGAGCTATGGGAAGTTTTCTGATATACTGAGCAGCGTCCTACAATGCATCCAAAGCGGCGCTTCAGCACTGGTCTAGCACGCTTCGCATTGAGATGGCTCCTCTTGGGTAAGTAATAACATACTGGATGAAAGACTGGTCCTGATCTCAGAAATTAACCGGGAATTTGCAGCGTTAAAGTGTTAACAGTATGCTTTCTCATGTGTTGTTCACGTTGCGACAATCTGATAATCGTAACTTTAGATCATCAGCGGGGAGATTGGAACGAACATATTGAAGAATGATTTCGACAGAGAGCTGCCCAAAGGTTCGTGTTCCATATTATCCGTGATCTATTCATTGCTCACTAGGTTATCACTGTGAAGGATCTCACTACTCTCTTTTAGCCCACGAATTTCGCCAGCATGTGCGACGAACTCCAGGTGCGTGCGTTCTTCCAACTCGCATTGTTAAGTATGAATGAGCTCACTATCCCAGTCACCACAGACCGGTTCATTTATGCCGAAAAGGTAGTTGCACAGAGTTTGAGCCGATCCCCGCCACCGTGGTTCTGGTACGGGAAAAAAGCATCGTTGGTTCACCTATTTGACATTATAGGATGGCGTACGGTTTGGGTATGTGTATCTGCCTAATCAAATATTTCATGATCAGATTCTTCGTATTCTAACATGGCTGTAGGACTACATATTTCCATATATGTTCAATCTCGGGAGGCTCAGGGCGAGGAAGAACGACAGCTGAGACCCAGTACACCATCGAGTATTCCCTAGAGATTAGTGTTATATTTGTAAAAGGATATGGTATATGAGCTTAGATGTGTACTTGATTGACTTAGCTAGAGCTTTATGAGCTATAAGGGCATACCTGGATTATATACATCCATATTCTCGCTGTGACTCCATGTACTGTACCCGAGAGCAGTCCCTAGACACTCATTTCAGCATTATCTACATACCTAAGTATAACTACTTCGTATGGTCGACTTTTAGTCCTATATCATTATTTTTCGTTTCCTTTGTAATATTGCCCCAACAAGCCAAGATAACCCTCAACCTTTTCGCCCTCAATGAACAAGTCCTTGCAATCAAGCAGAATATACAGCATACGACCAGGCATAGTACCATTGCCCGTGATATTGCGCCACTGGTGCGCCGCAGCCCTCTGCACACTGATATCACCTCTTCTCATGATTCGTGTCTCACCAGAATCAAGTGTTAATTCAAAGACACCTTCCAAGACAACGCCATAGTCCAAGGACCCCGCACGGTGCATAGGAGAGATCACAACTGGAGCAAAGTCCACCATACGGGCGACGGTACCATTTGGATAGTGTTGCGGAGGCTAAGGAGAGCTCAGTACTTTTAGCACATATCTGAGACTTGGAATCGCAACTAACCTCATTTTCTTTGGCATGCTGCACATCAGCGCCATCATTTAAGTCAACAGGTTTTGCGCAGTCGAATATATGATGTTCGCGACGGCTTGTTGCTGCAGTGGTGATCTCCCAAATTAGTGCTTAGGAATACAGACTGGCCGTCTGGGTTGATCCGGTGATGTGACGTACGGTACGGTGCGGGGCAACCCAGGCGCCGGAAAGCCATTGGTGATATAACCTGCGCCGGTAAGGTTAAGGGTCTCCGATGCCTCAGAATCCATGTCAAGTAAAGGTCGTTAAAGTGATATGCTCAAGACGGGGACAAAGATTAACGAAAAAAGTGATCGACATGTTGATACTCCTATCTGTTCACTGTATGTTGGTATTTCTATGAAGGTAAGGCTGTGGCTACAATAACATTTCCGGAAGTGTTAGACTCTATCTGCTTGTACTAATGCATCAGATCCTTCACGGTGTAACCGGACAAAAAGCTTATAAGGCGCATCGCCAATGTAACATTGAGGCAGGGAGCGTATGTATGTAGGCTGTGAAGTATAATACAATGCATAAGATCCCAAGATTGTACCAAAGGCGGATAATACAGCCTCGACCTGCAACAGCCCAATCTCCTATCATATAACTGCAGGTCATTGATCCCACCGTATGCAGATTCCAAGTCTACATCGTAGCAGCTGAAAAGGCGGACGCTAAACCTTGCCAGATAAAGATGTGCCACCATCAACAATGAAACTACTGCCAGTGATATAGCTCGACCTGGGGCTGCATAAGAAAATGACTGCATCGGCTACTTCTTCTGGGCATGCTATCCTGCCCATCGGTATCACTCGCTCGACCATCTGCTTCAGCCCGGGCACGCTGTCCATCGCCTGCTGCATCATCGGAGTATCCACCCAGGACGGGCATAAGCAGTTTACACGTATAGAGTGTACCGCGTTGTCAATCGCTTGAAGAGATAATGTGAGCTGCAGGATCCACTTACGGCATGTAGGCTTAAGCTTACCGGCGTTCTTGGTCAGGCCCAAAACTGCATGTTTGGACGCTGTGTACTGGACCATGTGAGGCTGCGCAATGTACGAAGCGAGAGAACCAAGGTTTACGATTGATCCTCTTGTAGACCCACGCTTGCTTGGGTTTCGATTAGAGACAGCAGTGAGTTCTTGAGACTTCATAGCTGCAGAAACGTGGCGGTTTACTAGGAAGGTGCCCGTAACGTTAACGCTCATGAGGCGCTCGAATTCGGAGACGTCTGCCTCGGAAATTCCCTTTGCGGCTTGGACGCCGATCTGTAGCCACATCAAGATCATGTTTCCTGAAAGGTCTGGGGGACCAAACCTACACCGGCTGAATTGACACAATAGTCAATACGACCAAAGAAGGTGACTGTTTCTGCAATTGCGTGCTTTACAGAGCCATCTGATGTCACATCGACCTCAACTGCCTTTGCCCTGAAGCTCGTATGCGAAGCTGAGGCGCTGATCTCTTTAACGACCCTCTCTGCAGCCTCGAGATTTATGTCTGCCACCACGATTCCGGCAGCCCCTTCTTGGGCGAATGCAAGAGAGCACGCCTCTCCGATTCCACTTCCTAGAATCTATTACAATTCTAGTTCAAATAGAATGCAGAATAAAGATTATCGAGTTACGTACCCCCTCCGACAATTAATGCGTGTCCGCTAATATTCATTATTGATTGCTATGTTGCTGGGCGAATATGGAAAGGGGAGATGAGATAAATGGATGACGAATTTCACATACCTAGTTACATGAGTACATACGTAGTAATAAAATTGATTTTAAATATTTGCGCTGACTTCCTAATCTATTAATACCTACCTAACCAAGGTAGGTACCTATCATGCATAAATGTTGGCTGCAGGAGCCCGGGAAGGATTTGGATTGTTGGAGTCAAGACAATCAGGTTGTGGATTGAATCACAGATTCACGGAAAATAGGGGTTCTCATAGAAAAGGGGCATCATTTGAGCACGTGCCGCTTACATAATAATCACACTTACTAGTAGTAACTAGTAGTAGTAATCTCCTTACGCTCCTTTTTTGTCCCCTTTTCTTCAATCAATCCTGATTTATCCTTGTAGCCAGGTCTAGAACACATATATATTACTTCCCTTGCTTGTCATGCCTGGAGGTTACTGCTTGAAAGGCTTGCAGTTGTGTAACCACTTGGCTGTATAACTTGTAGCGCGTCTTTTAACGAGCGGAACCTATTTTGTATGGGTACATCCAAATATTGAACAGCCATAGTTACCCGCCGGATTAACGTGCTACTCGAGGTTACACCTTGGATTCGATACCGATGATTCTCACGGTTTCTAATAAGGCTACAAGCGTTTCAATGTTATTAAATACCTAGGTAACTAGGTAATCTATCAAGGCATACACCACCTGCCTGTATGCCGTGTCCCCCCAACCACAGATCTTGTCTCAGTCCGGATATAAACTGCGAGTTAAACCACCACCTCACCGAATACAACCTCTGTTGGTCGAACCATTTACTCGTGCATGGTCGCCCGTCCCCACTCAGCGTAACAGCAGGTTCACTTTTCCGGGGACACTCTACTTAACTCATCGGCAAGGCTGAAAATATGACGCAGCTGCGGGACGCGGGTCACACTACATTCGATGGTGCGCATCCTTCAGATCACAAGCATGTGTTGGTCTTTCACCCAACCGCCCCAACCAACACATCCTGCCAAACTTACCAACGTTACTAGCCTTTCATAATTCTAAAAGATTGAGACTCAAAAGATCATAGATTATTTCCGAATGTCTCCGATTTATATGCTATATTCATAAATGGACAGTGAAATTGGCGAATCGTGGTAGGATAATAGTGGATGGGCAACTTAGCAACAACCAATAAACGGGAAAAGAGAAGGAAGAAAGCTTCCAAGGTTGCTTTATTCCTAACCATGTTGGCGCAGTGCTAAAATAAGGTTACCCCTAAGGAGCCAAGCTACTAGGTAGTGTCGCTAGCGGCACCCGCAACAGATTGATAGGGAAGTGTACCTACATATGTATGGCTTAGTATCAAGGAGACTACCGTAACTACTAAACCAAATTCATAGATACCTATATCAGTCACTCTATAGAGGGCATCAAGGGCCGTTGCCCGCTCACATTCGGATCCTTCCATGAACTAAGCTTCCTTAATGCCAAGTCATTGCGCTCGTCGATCGGATTGTACAAGTTTGATCCCGACTTCTTTCGGGAGAACAGAGACTTGAAAGGTCTGGACTGCGAATCGAATTCGCTCTCTGCGCCTCTTGCTGTTCCCCGGCTGCTGCTTCTGGCCGAACGTATCAATCGGCCCATTGACCCGACAGCGCGCTGAGTCAAGTAGAGCATCGGCTTCGGGGCAGCAGGCGTAGTGAAAACCAAAATGCCAGCAGTGATTTCAGCATTACACAGGATCGTCTGTGGTGATAGCAGGTAGGTATAGTCGTCACTCGATACGTATGCAACAGTGAAGGCTATTCGAAGCGCCGCACAAACACAGGCCCTATGGCATCGTGCATATGAGCGACTAGAAAGCATAGTTTGTCGAAAGTAGATTACCAGAAACCAAGAAACCCATGCGAGATCCAGGAGCAGAGGAAAGAGGTTAACCTACAGAAGGCCTATAACGAAGACAGCAGAGCAACCAACTCTCTTCCTCCGGGACATGTTCAGACGCCAGATAACCCCCTGTGGCAGGATAAGAATAGCGACGTCAAAAACGAGGTTGACAAGAGCAGATATCAGAGATAGAAGGGTCGAGTATCTACAAGTACCACCGATGATCGTCTTATCCCAATAGTACTCCCGTGGGGTGCATGCCGTGCACTCAAGGATGATGTTTATGGTGTAATAGATCGAGTTCACTGCCGCGATGGTATAGCATGACCAGCGGAATAATCTGCGGTTACCCGGACCAAAAATGCGAGCCCATTCGAGGAGAATGGCTGACTTCAGCGTGATCATAGTGGCAAGATATAGTTGATACCGAGAAAGAGGTTCTAAACAGCTCAGATCAGCATAGTGGCGGCCTTACAACTGACCCAGAGCAAGACAAGCTAACATAGTAGAACCATGATAGATCTTTCAGCCGAAAGTCCCAGCCGTGGACAAAAAACCCTGAGGTGAGAGCCATGCGGAAGATAATGATGCATGCGGCAATGTAAGTACCCTACAAGAAAGCATTAGCCAGAGAAGTAAATACACTCTTTCCCGCGATCCCTACCACTGCGGGAATTATCAATACTACCGATCAGTTAGATGCAGGGTTCGGACCAACTACACGCTATTACACCGGTGTACACCAAGTGTATTACATCCAACCCAATCCAACTACACCAGACCCACTTTCTAAATCCACCCAATTACACTTTTATGTCCCGTGTAGTTGGATTGGGTGTAATAACGTGTATTTATAGTGGATACCAGCCACCCAAGCCACAGGGCACAGCCACTGTTAGTGTTTACTAGTATTTTTGGTGTAAACACTAACAGTAAGGCTGAAATATTAAAAGAAGGCTGGGATGGCCCGAGACCTAAGGAAATATCGTGAGATTTGCCCTCAAATTTCTGAAAAGTCCCACTTACTGATTGTATTCAACGCGTCTGATATTCAACGCGTTTGATATTCAACGCCCGTTCCTTTTTGATTAAATTAGCCAATCACAAAAATCAAACACTCAAGCCCTTTCAGGTCTTTCTAATCAGTAAACCTCCCTTCTTGTCATATATAAGCCTAAGCATCTGCCCATTAAACAATCATTTTCAAACATCATCAATGATATCTTCATTTACAATGATATCTTCATTTACAATGATATCTTCATTTACAATGATATCTTCATTTACAATGATATCTTCATTTACAATGATATCTTCATTTATGGCGATAGTGGCGCTCGCGATACCTTCAGCAGGTTGGCAATTACGTCATAGCCAAAACACCAAACTTTATCACGAGATGATACTTTAGGTAGGTAAAATAGCCTCATTTTGCGAGCGCTTTTGCCCCGCTTTTAATGTACACCAGCAATTTTCGTAAGTGTAATACACCAGAGGGGGTCGTGTATACACTACACCGGAGGTGGTCGTGTATTATAACCAACCCAACTACACCAGAGGGGGTCGGAGATGTAGTTGGGTTGGTCCGAACCCTGGTTAGATGAGTTATAGGCAGCCGCTACAGAAATCAGGCTTACAGTCTCCAAGTGTTTGCGTATTCTTCATGTAAACAAATTTCGCATAGGCGCGAACTAGGAGGAACAACAATGATATGACCAGAAAGAATGAGGTGAGTCCAATGACCAGAGCATTGCGGTTTGGCGGGTTATCCAGATTGGACTCGATGCCATCGGGCGGCGACAGTACTGGGCCATTGAGGTCAAGAGGTTCGGCCATAATCGAGAAAAGTTGAATTGGGCTTTTGAAGTTGAGGCCTGAAATCTTGAATGAGGCCTTGATGACGAGGAGATATCAAGAACGAGACGATTTCTACGGAGAGAAGAGGTGGGTGCAATGCCGACCAACTACATACCGCCTGTATGTAGCTACCTCCAGTACATAGTAGGTAGGTACCTATGTAACCAGCTGTATACTCCAGTGTGAGTTATTTTAGGGTGTGTCTGAAGCATTGAGACATGGAGGATGAGGTAGCATTTCACCTGCTGCAGTCACGGTAAGGAAAAGTGCTAACGATATCTCCCTTTGGAGGAATTACAACCAACGGCCTAGCAAATGATGGCTGTGTCATGTTGTGTAACACACCTGCGCATTCTGCATGCATTGTACAAGTATTACACGAAGAGGAAAAGCATAATTGTTACCTTGCGTGCCCAGGGATGGAGGTCAATCTTCAACCAACACCTCAACGTTCCCAGCCTGATAGAATACCTAGGTGAAGAAGCTCCATCCGCAGTTTCATCATGGTCAATAGCTAGAACTCAGACAATGTATCCTTAGCGAAATTCGCTACAGATCCTTCCACCATGGCGGAAGCACACGTAGACCCGAACAAGGAAGCCCCTTACCATCTTATCTACTGGCATGTTATTCCAGGGCGTGGCGAGCACATCAGACTCTGCTTCGTCGAAGCTGGCGTCCCCTACTCCGATACTGCCTTTACGGAGGGTGGCATGGAAACCTTGCACTTCCAATAACACTATGAGCGAGAATTTACAACTACGATCCTATCTGACGTGATGACTACTAACTCTCCTGTGGGGGCTGTTTATAAGGCTGTGTCTGCATGAGGGTGTCAATAGCGGACAGAGCTGACCCAGCTCCAGCTCGCATATGCCTACAGATACATGTATTCGAGATGAAAGGTTCGAGTATCAGAACTCTAATTAGCATGGCCATGAAGATGTTGAATGGTGGGCATTTACGTCGTAGAACAATGATAAGAAATCACTCAGTTGAGTGCAGTTCATGTTGATGCTGAATGCCTTCATATCCTATTATAAAATGATTCTCACACATCGTATCAAGATACGTTATTTTGCCGGTGTGATTACTTCCAAATGGCATACGACATGGGTACAACTACTCGTGGCAACGAACATCCTGATTCCTCTGGGCACGCTCATATTCATGGCTGGTCTCTTCCGCAGTCGACCTCTGCTAGAAGTCACGGATATTCTCAGCCCGTCATTAGATACCACAGTTTATGAGGCACCTTTCGACAAGGTCATCTTTATGATGGTTGATGCGTTGAGGACCGATTTTGATTTCTCTAAGGAAGGTGGCTTCCCATTTACGCAGAGCCTTATTCGCTCGGGCGCCGCTGTACCTATAACAGCCCTTGTGTCCATGCCAATCTTGACCCTGTCTAGTATCAAGGCCCTGACTCAGGGGTCGAGTCAGTCGTTTCTGGATGCTTGGTTAAATGTGGTTAACTGGCCTGAGGACTCGCGTCTGGACGGCGGAGATACCTGGCTCGTACGTCTCAAGGAATCGAGGACTGAGCACCAGAAACTCGTCTTTTACGGCATAGAGGAGTGGATAGACTTGTACCCGGACGTCTTTGACCGCAAGGAGGACTTCTCCTCTTTCCACCTCCCAAGGCTCGTTGATGGTGACCGAAATGTCACTAGAAACCTGTCCAAAGAGTTGGAGAATAATGACTGGACCGCTCTGGTTCTGCATTACTTGGGACTCGACTGTATAGCTCACATGGGGGGACCAAAGTCTGCTCATATGCGGCCCAAGCAGCTTGAGATGGATGATGTTGTCAGAGACATCTACACCGCCTTGATCCGCGAGCTTCACATGCAGGATACTCTTCTGGTTCTTCTTGGTGACCACGGCATGACAGCTCAGGGAAATCACAGCGGGCGCCTACCCGAGGAGCTCGCCGCCGCCACCGTTTTCATATCCCCTAAACTGGAAAGCATGGCACAGCCACGGCGCAGCTCCCCCCTAGAAGCTACCGAGGACTACCTATACTACTTCACTGTACACCAGATCGACATGGTCCCCACGCTTTCAGGATTACTTGGTTTTCTAATCTCGTCAAGAAACTCGGGTATCTTCATACCTGACATGCTTCCCGCTTTTGACGACGACACGAAAGCTGTGGAGTTTCTGGCCGAGAACGCAAAACAGATACACCGGGCTCTTGAACTATCGAGAAAATGCCCCAAAACAGCCAAAGTCTTAGATGATAGTAAGAGTTCTACCAGATGCTACGATGGCCTGGATCGCGCAGACGATCTGTGGGAAGCTATGCTGTTGGCGGAGAAGGCCTGGGCGAACTCGCCCAACAACGAAGCCAGAGAGTATTTGAAAGTCTCCATCTCCGAGGCGAGTGGGGTGTATAGCACGTTCATTCATGTAGTATGCTCACTGACATCGCGATAAGTTCGCCGCCGCTGCCCAGGGCCTTTTGCTCAAATCCGTAGATAATATCAGCGTCAGTCGGCTGCATAGTGGAGTTTATTGTCTTACAGCTGTAGCAGTGCTATCATACGCATCACTTCGTTCGTTAGACTTTAGCGGCTGCTCACTATTGATCGCCACGGCAGCTCATTCCGCAACCATGTTCGTCCTCGGCCTCGTGGAAGAGGAGCACCATTACTGGCACTGGGCTTCACTTCTGTGGCTAGTAGTCCTCTCTGTTTCTAGGCATGTGTGATTATCTCCCCCCAAAACCAACTTTCTGAACCCAAAACTCATGGTCAGTCGCAGAACTCGCCGATCTGGCTCTCCCTCGGCATACTTGGGTCTAATCACCCTCCACTTCCTGGGCCAATGTGTCAACAATCACGGCATCAAGTATTCCATCGCCGAGTCAATTGAAGATCTCCTCGTTGCGCATCCAGTCATCCTGTGGATCCTCGCCTTTCTGTCTCATGCCCTGGCTTTTGTGATGAATGCTAAGAATCTGCGAGACGTCTTAGGTCGGTTCGTTGCCGTCGTGGCATCTCTCACCCTTTGCGCGGCAGCATTTGTGTTTAAACTTTCGTCAACATACACCTCCAATCCAGAATCGTTGAGCTTTATACCTCAATATGTAAGCAAGTTGCTGGCTGCTGTGTCGCAGGAGCGCCTACTACGTGTCTTCTGGGCCGAGCTTCTTGCTTGGCTCATTTTCTTCATATGGCAGCACCGAAGCCCATATAGTCCCAACGAGGAGTTCTGGTAAGTTGATACGATGACCTTACTATTGACTTCCAGGCGCAATGGGACAAACTCTGACTAGGACCAAGCTGCTATGACGAGAGTGGTCGAATTGATCAATGTATACCTGAAAACGCAGTCTCGACCGAAGTATCTATACCTACCTCGTTTTAATATTTGAATATCAGCTACAAGTTCTGTGTGAGTTTGAGCTCCTTTTTCTACTCAGTGACCGATATGAACTAATAACCATTCTCCCAATCGAGGACGAGATCTATCATCTCTAAGTTACGACTCGTAATAGGAAGATCGATGTACAGGTTTCATCCTTCTAGAGGCATTGAAATATTCCTGACCTAAATCTTACCTAACGTCTACGGCATATAACACACTGTACTGCCTTGAAAGTGGCGGAGGAAAGTGGTGGCCTGAAATTCAAGGCTGTAAGGCCAGAAGTGGCATTTTAAGGCTCACAATCGCCCCAACAGCCCACCTCCACGCCGAAGTTAAACTTATAGGTCCCCGGAAACCAACAACTACCACTTCCTAGGTGAGAACCTAGGTACCTGGGTTTTCAACCTAGGTTGGCTCAGTGGTTGAGGTGCGAAAACCACCAGGGCTCCCCAGAAAGTGCGGGTTCCGAACGAAAACCACTGTGGGACGCCCGAGGGTGCGGGTTCAATCCTACCACAAATCTTTTTTTTTTCTTTTTTTTTTTCGTTTTTAATTTTTTTTCTTGTGCCTACCTCGGCACCCACCCAGGTACCTATCATGTAGTATGGATGTTTATAAAGTGAAGCCATTCACAGGTACTTATGGTCACCCTCTCCACTTACTCAATTGTACTCTTTGATACCAACCCAACCCACCTGCGTGAGATGGCTAAACCGATCAGATCATGCCGCGATGATAGACCGAACAATACTGTACATGAATTGAATAGTAACATTAGCTGGCGCGACCTCCCATCTTTAATAAATTTGGCTGAGCCAATGCTAGAAATGGGAGATGTAGTCAAAATAAGCATCACCAACAAGTCTCGGCCCAATGCCAAGATCATTCAATTTATGAAGAGCCTCTTTATGAAAGCGTCACACGAAAATATGCAAATCTCGTGTCACTAGTCACTAGTTTACCTCCCTAGAGTAATTATGCAGTCGCAATAAGTTTCACGGTGTCATGAATCAGATGAATCAGGACTGATGACGTCGTGCATATGGAATTTGCCAAGATTAAGACCTGGATCCCCTGAACGACTACAAGTAAGCTTGAAGTTTACCTTCGACGTCAAGATTCGATTTCTTTCCAACTACATACCTAACCTACTATATTACGATTCCGTATTTTCCCAGTAATACCAATCCTCCCTGTCAACCTATTCATTCATTCATTAACATACCACACCATCTCAACCGCAACCATGCATATCCCCTCCGCGCAAAACGTCCTAGCCGCCGGCCTAGCACTCACTGGAAGTTTCCGAGAGCGTGAGTTATCAATTTACTACATGTCGCCACTCCACCTCACCTCCCTCCCTCCCTCCCCTCCTCTCCCCCCCTCCCCTTACCTCACCCCCAAACTAACCCCCCCCTCTTCTACACAGCCAACACCGTCTCCAAAGGCCACGTCCTCGACTTCGCCGTGGAGCAGTGCCTCGACAGCGACGGCAACGCGCGGTGCTCGAAGCCGTTCCTCGTCTCCAAGTCCTCGTGCTACCAGCTGGAGTGGCGCACCGAGGGGACCCTGACGCACACGACGGCCGAGGTGCGGGACGCCGGCTCCGGGGAGCTGGTGTTCTATCGCGACACTAATGGGGATTGGGAGACTGAGAAGGGGGAGGTGAGTTTCCGACTTTTTTTTTAAAAAAAAATTTAATTTTCGTTTGTGTTCATCAAATCGCTAACGTTGTTGGTTGACAAATAATAGCTCGTCTACCTCGACTTCAAACCCAAGGTCCCGTCCACAGGGAACTCGACTGTGCATTATGAGGTCCGGACTTGCGAATAAAATCGCGTGATGGTATCTTCATTTCTTTTTTCCTCTTTTCTTCTATTGCTTGGAGATATGGTTTGGGTAGCTACATGGGACAAAAGCTGGAAAATAGTACCTAATTAGGAGTTTCGTTTCGCCGAGTAAAAAAAAAATCTCATTTTGGGCCAGGTAGACATATGAGGGGCTGCTGCGGCTATATTTAATTTGTTGATATTCTGGGATTTTGAATTGGTATACATTATTTCGTGCAATGTTGTGGGGATAATTGAATGCGTATCTAGAGGTATACAATCGTATTATACCTACCATGTTTGGGGAACCAAAAGCATCTTTCGTATATATGCGAAGAAACCCCTAGAGCTCTGTTGTTACGGGGCGTAAGCTACGAGATCAAGCTGCAGCTCCTCCAACCACCAGGTACCCCAGATCGTGCGCCGACACAACGTGATAGCCGTCGACAAGGGAGGCAGGCTAGCGTAGATGAGTGTAGATACTTGAGTCCTCAACTCACTCCTAGGTTAGAGCGAAACGTCTTTTTCATAGACACATTATCTACTGAGATAGCGCCAAGAGTAATTCCTATTCATAACAATAAACTAATCGTCACATCATGTCCACACTTCGCGCGGTACCTGTACCACTCCATCGTCCTCCATACCCATACCCCGGGCCTTGATTCTGGAAGGACCCGGCTCGGGATCGACCCACTCGAGATCCTGGGTCCAGATACCCGCCTTGGAGTAATCTCCACTGGTCGTGCCACTCATGTACCCGAACCGGAAGTACTCGTTGTACTCCGTCCCATTAGTATCGCGAGTCCACGTGAAATGGTCGGAGCCATCGTCACCGAAGAACCCGCGGTACCTTTCGACATCGTTGACGAGAACGCTGATACCGTCATATCGCACTCCTGGTGGGGGTTGCCATCGGAAGGTGATGCTCGAAAGGGTGGCATTAACAATTGGTGCGAGGAGACCGGGAAGCGGAGATCCCGTTTGGGCATCGCCTTGCAGGGCGGCAGCAGTTTGTAGAACTGAGTCGAATCCCCAGCGGGCGATACCGTTGACAAAGAACCCTATGAGTATTCCTTGGTAGAGTAGAGAGGGTCTGGTTTGCATGCTCGTTCCCGGCACGAGAAGCAATGCTAATACGTAATGATGAATGCGCAGGTTTAGGTTAGGGAGTACCAGACAGACTATGATCCCTAGGATGAATAAGCCGTAGAGTTTGAGGATGCGTATCAATCTACCTTCTTGTCGGAAGCACCAGACTTGTCCAACAAGAACGAAAAAGAGCACAATGACTATGATAGCCAATGCAGCCTTAGCACCAGGTTGTTGGTCCAGATCGTGTCCGGTGAGACGCGAGATCGGGATGAAGTCGAAGGTGTAATTTGTCAGGGCGCCGACCCAACACCCTCCAAGCCACAAAATTGTCTTGTCAAATTGGGCCGTTAAGCCCTGTAGAGTCCGTCGAATACCCATTTTGTCGTAGAATACCCAAGCACAAAACATTGCAGGAAGAAACTTGCCTAAAATGTTGGAGAAAAGAGCAACTGTGGGGGTAATGTTAGGTGGATCAGATGCCAAGCCGACATGCCAAAAGATGCCAATGAAAATTGTGAAGAAGAACACGGAGGATGATGCCGTGAAAAGAGACAAGACAGTTGTGAAAACCACCGAGACTGCTAACAGAGACCACCTCGCATCTTTGGCCGTGCATTCAATACCCTGAGCAAAGGATATAGAGAGTGGAAAGTAAGAATCGAATCCAACGCTGTTGATGCCATTCCGGCTGGAGCCGACAAAATTTGACTGCTCTCCTATAATCGATACCACACCACAACCACCCTGGGTGTTGGATATGACACCGGCATGGACAGCAGAACCGCAGATGAAGGAGTCGCCCCGGTAGACAGCATTTTTTATGTTTGTGGTGTTAGGTGGGCCGCCTACGATCAGTGGGGCATAAACCACCTCTTGGTCTCCTACCGCCCGAGGATTGAGGACTCGATAGCTAGCGCAATTGGAGGGGCATCGGAATGCAAATGAACTGTTGCTGAACGGCCTGCAATTAACGCCGTCAAGTCCGCAGTTGTTGTTGCGAGTCCAATAGGCAACACCACAACTTATGTCGGTAGGTGTGCCATAAGTCGCAATCTCGGATGCGACCTGGCCCCTCCACATGACTAGCGCAAACGTGGTAATCCATATGGCAATGTACGCCGTATACAAGAGAATCTGATGTTTTGGATTCGGAAGGTACTTGTCGAGAAGTCGAAGCGGCGCATGTTGGACAGCAGGAAACAATGGTTCAATCTTCCAGACCTTGGGGTTTTGAGGCCCCTTCATCCACTTATAAGCAATCTTGCCATACTTTCGCACTGGATACGGGACCCATTTCCACCGCTTCCAGGAGCCTTCTTCCTGCATAAAGCGTGGGGTAGGCGGGTCGTCGTCTTGTTCGTTAAATTCGAGGTGCTGCGCCGGGCCACCAAGCGGATCGTCCGGATGCACCGGAGGAGGGCTACGCTGTCGTTGCTGTTCTATGTCAGAAGACACGGGATGAAGTTCTGACTGATTGGTACTCATGGTACAAAACTATGTAATTCAGATCGTGTCAATAAGCCATTTGCAGGTATATGTAGGAGAATGAAATAAAGGGAATTCCTTAACAAGCCCTTAGTAAAGAAGGGAAATGCCAAGTCACTTACTTCAAGTCACACAAGTTTCAAGGCTGAGAAACCACGCTAAAAGTAAACCAACCAACCAGCAGACCACCTGAAGGTCACACAGGTCACAAAGCAAGGAGAGACAAACAAACTGGTTCCTGGTCTAATCTAAGCAAGTAAAGGATGTCGACTAATACATGGATGAAAAGGTGGGAAAAGAAGGGAGTTGGTTTAATTTGTTGATCAGATCAGATAGTATGATCAGATAAAATGCACAGACAGACTTGCACCGAGAGCCTGCTCAGCCTTGAGAGAAAAATGATGTTACGTCATGTAAAAAGAAACGTGAATGATTGTCTGGACTTCTGGAGACTTAAGAACGTGAAGAAAACGGTTTCTAAGGATGCGGCGGGGAGTTTAGAGGCTTGGCTGGATTCGGATTCGGACGGATTTGAAAGGTTAAGCCCCGAGATGCGAAACAAAGTCCACGTAATTAAATATGCCACAATCGGATATCAGCCTATCAATGTTATTTAGGGCCGTTTTTATGCATATAAGATGGTCCATGCACAAATGATAGCGAAACATACGTATATGTGCACAGGAACGCGTCAGCTACTGTACTAGGTAGGTAAAATAGATGTAAAAATCTAGCCTACAGCGTCCAACTATGAAAGGCCGTTCTGAGCTTTATTTGGGATCTCTTTCGGGAGTGTATATCCAAATGGTAGCTGGTCAGGAGGCACTTCCCGGACCGGGCCCAAAATTCGCGCCGGATTCCCAACCGCAACGGAAAAGGGGGGTATATCCTTCGTCACCACACACCCGGCTCCTAAAGTCGACCCTCGACCAATGGTCACTCCTGGGAGAACAGTTACATTTCCGCCAAACCAACAATCTTCTCCTATTGTAATCGGGGCACCGTTTTCAGGACCCTTAGTGCCATTTCGGACCCGAGGATCTGTAGGGTGAGTGCCCGAATAAAAGGAGCAGTTTGGTCCGATTAGCGTGCGCGAACCGACTGTGATCAGGCAAGTATCAATCCATGTCGAGTTGGAATTCACATAGACATTCTTCCCAAACCTAGGCACGTATATAAATAAGCACACAACAGCCGACAGGCCTAGGGAAGACATACATACTTCACATTATATCCATAATCCATCCTAATGGGGGCGTCACACCAAACTTCTTCCCCGAACAGGTCTTCTTCTTCCTCTGGTGTTGCTGCTTTAGGAGGTAACGATGAAGTATCATTCTGAATTCTATCGCAGACGTTAGATATTGTAACGAGCTGAGAAGATTTGGGGAGTAACTTGCGCTCGGAATAGTTCTACCAGCTTGCGTCTGTCGACATCCCCGGCCGCCGCTCTAAACATCTCACATGCTTTTGCGCATCGTTGACGATCCCTGACCAGGTCGGGAGCAAAAGCAAAATAGAGCTCCCCATTTCTCATCCGTCGCCTATTCTCTTCGGGATCAATTCCACGTAAGGACATCTTTTTCAAATATGAACCAGCTAATAACACAAATCGCGGTTATGAAGATGTTGGTAGGTACGTACGTATGATAAAACAAATAACAAGTAAAGCAAGAACAATGGGGGTGAGACTGGTGTAATATTGATGTCTAAGGAGGGAGGTTTAGATCTAAGAGTAAGGAGGGGATTTGACTCCTTATATAATCTAAGTTACATGGGTACCTCCTCCAGCCATGTACGTACCGCGTTGGTACGTACCCTTGTCATATAACCACCAGAAGAACTCATGGAGGTGACAGGCCAAGTTGTACTATGTAGATAAGGTATATGAGGCCCCCACAATCCCCTCTAACTTGTGCCATGCTACTTTGCGGGGTTCTACTTCTGGATGACTTAGAATAGAGAGCAATATTATGCGAGTCTATCATACTCACCGATGTCTCATATCGTTATCTTATCAAATCGTTGCAAGAATCTGAACTTGAAGCTAATCTTGGAAGTTATTTGTTTCATTTTTATGTCAATTGACTTTTTGTTTAAAACTGTAACTAAATCCTAACTGGGCCGTTTCCGCTACGGCAACGAACCGGAACTTGGTATGTTATCGATAACGCATATCTCCAGATTTTTACTAACTACTTTGTACTGTAGGTCATCCCTAACCTAGCAGCCCTCAGTGCTACCGCGCTACTGCATGATAGATGCATCCCCGAAATATACACTCAGCAGTAGAGGTATTTCGATGCCTAGTAAGAACTTACTAATTGGTAAAATCACGCTATCAAGAGAAACACAAAGCTTATAACTAGATTCCAAAACGTGAGGAAATTGTACCTGCTCGTCCCGATAGAAGGAAGCAAGAAAGGCAGGCATCTATCGGCTTCATACATCGAGATATCAATATCCCTGGAGTTGGAGTTGGAGTAGGAAACACAGCATCCACCCGAGATGACTGAGTCATCGCCAGAACAAGGCATGTTCAATGTGCTGAAGACTATTGCGACTGAGGAGGGAGTGCTTAGAGTAGGTCGCCTAGCTCTTCCTAAGCGAAAACTGGTCGAAACACCAAACTTCTTTGCCCTTTCGTCACGAGGGGTTATACCACATATGACCCCGGATGTCGTCTCTGAACATACCGATATTAATGGCACATATATGGCTCTGGAAGACTGTGAGTGAGACATTATAATTATTTATTATATTTTTGTGGGGTTAACACACCGTGTAATAGTTGTAGAAAGGTCCCAAAAGAGACTTGAGCCTGCCATCTTTAACATAGATGAAGGCGATAAGGGGATGCTGCATGCATATACCGCCACACCAACGCCATTAGCTACAATTCTTGGTGCGAGGCGGCATCCAGCAGCAGTTGCTCCTATGGGTAACGGAAAAGACTATGTTTCCATATATACTTCAACCGGCTTCCAGCAACTGAAGAATAAGGCATATTGTAGTATCGTGCAGAGGATGCAGCCAGACATTTTCATTCCCCTTGCCGACTTGACATTTGGCAATTCAAACATCAGAGCGCATCTTCCCGCCCCTAAGCGACAGCTCCGCATGGCTGAGAGGACAGAAGATTGGGTGGTTGAAACTATCAAGCTGCTGAATGCTGAAGACGACAAGGGAGCTTTGAAGCACCGAATTTTCGCCCCTTTATTACCAGTCTCTTATCCAATGCAGTGGGAATATTTGAGTCGCCTATCTCAAGACCACGTCGAACACCTGTCTGGTTTGGCGGTGTATGATGCAGATATCCTTCCAGACTTGAAGGAGCATCATCCTTTACAGTCATTGCCGCGCTTATCAATGGACTTGATCATATCACCGCACGAAATCCTTAGACAAGTCCGGCAGGGTATGGATCTATTCACCATCCTATTCATCAACACTGCCTCGGATGCTGGGATTGCGCTGACTTTCTCTTTTCCACCACCAACAACGCCCGACAGACAGCCGTTAGGAATAGACATGTTATCGCAAGATCACCAAGTATCGGTCACACCACTGTTGGATGGCTGCCAGTGTTACACTTGCACAAAACATCACCGTGCATATATACAGCATTTATTAAATGCCAAGGAAATGCTGGGGTGGACTCTCCTCCAAATCCACAACCACCGTGTCTTGCAAGACTTCTTCACAAGTATTCGAGCTTCGCTCATGTCAGAACCTTCGACTTTCAGAGACCACTGCGAAGCCTTTACCAAGACATACGAGTTTGATATTCCGGTAGGAACCGGGGAGCGACCGCGAGCGAGAGGCTATCATTTCAAGTCCGAGGGAGGGCAGAAAAAGATCAATCCGCCGGCATGGGAGAACTTCAATGAAGACGGTGCTCAAGATCCGGCATTAGCTGCGGAGATGGCGGGACTCGCGGTAACAGGGTCTACTGCCGAAGGGGTCGAGACTCCAGTTGTTCCTGATCCTAACGCTGACGCGAAAGATCTCAAGGAGAAGGGCTTCGCTGATATCGACACGTGAAATAAATCCTTCCGGGGCATATAATGACGGAGGACACGGTCATGCGATATCGAAAGTCAATACATACAAATGCACTTATCAATCAATCTGCCGGCCGATATAAGCTAGTCTCTCCGGAGTCTACCAAGCGTAGCTAACGATGTGCTTCAATGCGCGCTAATACAGGTGTCCTCAAAACGTGGGGGCTTCCGAACGCTCGGGATAAAGATCTGCATTATCTGCCACTACACTGTACATACAATGCAGGACGGATATTTGCGTATGATCGACTACGTATGCGATGTACTAGTTTGCAGATCAGGTACCACTCGGGATATTTATAAAAACGTACTTGTGTGGCAAGATATCATTGATTTCGTACACGTTTTACTGGGTGATACCTATGTACCTGGTATTCACAGAGGTTAACCAACACACCGGCCTTCTACTACTGTGACGCATCTATTCCTACCTTGATATCAATATGCCAAGGTCACATCGGCACGACGGTTCCTTCTACCAACATTCCTTTCTTCATTTCACTTCCAGGTAAGCACGTGCCGATCTAGCGAGCCAAGATACCGGAAGCCCCACACGACCGGAGACTTGGAGGGGGGACCAATCATGATTTTCAGATTAACCACGTTCTCCGATCCTTGCTACATAGATTATGACCAAATCAGCAATTCCCAGGCCTTCGTCGGTATCAACCCAAGTAACTTGGGCCGGCTGGAAAGGTGAACAACAAGTGCTCCAAGTCACGATAAGGTACTCACCTACTTTTCTCGCTGTAGAATATATTGATGGGTAACTTGCCACTGATTAATAAGACACACGGTCGTCGCTATAAGAATTTCTAGCTAACGAACTACCGCTTACTCTCTCTCTTCCCTTTAGCTCGAATGTAAGTTTGTTAGAGCATCACGACTAAGAACTAGGAGTAAACAGTGTTGCCCACCGATATTTTTCTCCCTTTCAAGCTATCTTCGTACCAATATCCAATTTAGAATCTGGACACGTGCTGTAAATCGCCTGTATGATTCCTGCTTGGCCGATTCGTCGACGACAGCTCCGCCGCTACCATATCATCGTCGGAAATATCTTCTATATACAATCTGTAGCCAATGTTAACCCTGTTTTTCTCATGTCGCCAAGATACTACTCCTAGAATCGCGGGCGCCCAGCCATAGCCAAGGCTCGAATACCTTCCCGTGCAGGATCAGTCGTATCGTAGGTTGCTCAATCGCGTAGATTGCGGTCCTGTTTCGCGAAGCTTTTAGGATCTCGGGTTATATAAGATGTCTAGGCATCCCTCAATGTGCACATCCTATTGTTCGTGAGCTAGCCGTGCGAATATATATTTGCTAGCCGTTTATAACCACCATGGGTAATCTAAGGACTCTTGCAGTGGCGGCAGCCTCGCTCTCCGTCGCCGCCGCTCAGACTTTCCAGCGACTAGGCGCCTGCCCCGATCTCGGCTGCGTGCTTCCGCCCGATCAATCGGACTTCCTACCAGGCCAATTCTTCGACCTGCGTCTCGAAATCCACGCTCCGGTTAACGGCTCAGAAGCGTTCAACGCCGGGAAGCCAGACGAGAAATTCACCGTCACCATCGCCAAGGAGGGCGGCAAGCCTAAGAGCATTGCCCAGTTCTTCAACGTGCCGGAGCCCGAGCTCGAGAAATGGGACTTCCACTGGTACGAGGACCTCTTCGCCCAGGATGCGCACACGCCGTCCTTCGTCAATGTTGCAGCCAAGATATACCGCAAGCTGGCCATCTATGAGCCTGGCAACTATGTCGTCACGCTGAGCTACTATGGGGGTAAGACGACGACGGCGAACTGGGTGGTGCGGCCGTTGGATACAAGGAAGAAGGCTAAGAATGTGATTCTATTCATTGGTAGGGATTTTCCGATGTGCTCCTGAATGGGAAGTATCGTGCTAACAGGGTGTAGGGGACGGTATGACCACGAATATGATCACCGCAGCTCGCCTTCTCGGACACAAGAGTATCAACGGAAAGTATCAATCTTTGATGCAGATGGATAAGTTCCCCGTGGTGGGACATCAAATGGTATAATTCCTGCTCAGTTGGGATTGCTATGGACCAGCAGAGGGAGTCGTGAATCAATCAGGTGCTAATGATACCTGCTTAGACCCATTCGCTCGATAGCTTCATCACTGACAGTGCCAACTCGGCATCTGCTCTTTACTCTGGACATAAGAGCTCTGTGAATGCTTTGGGGTAAGTACTGTTTGGAGTTTTATGACAACGAATTAGGTACTAATACTCTTGAAGTGTTTACGCCGACTCGTCACCTAGCTATTTTGATGATCCGAAGGTGGAAACAATTGTCGAAATACTAAAACGAACATGGGTTAGCTATAACCATGATAACCACTGAGAAGCTAGACTAGTGCTAACAAGACATTAGAATTCCGCTTGGGGGGCTGTGTCTACTGCTTCCATCGCCGACGCAACTCCCATCGCTCTCACCGGCCACAGCCGTTCTCGAAATGAATACGGCCCCCTAGTCGACCAAGCACTAAACTCGGTCACCAACTACTCCTGGACAAACCAAGGCGGCCCCGACGTCTATTTTGGCGGCGGAGCCGAGCAATTCTTCCCGGGCAACGCGAGCTATAAGGGCAAGGACTACTACGAGGCCTTCGCCAACGCCGGGTACGACATCAGCCTTAACAAGACCTCTCTCCTCGAGCTTGGAAACAGCAGCCGCGCCCTCGGCATCTTCTGCCAATCGCACTTCCCCGTCTGGCTCGACCGCAACATCTTCCCCGCAAACCTCGCAACCTTCAAGAACGACCCCCTCGGCTCCAAGAAGCCCGCCCTCGACCTACCGGGTCTAAAAGAGATGACCCTCAAGGCCGTCGACATCCTACACGCACGCGGCGGCGCCAACGGGTTCTTCCTCATGTCGGAGGGCGCGTCGATCGACAAGCAGATGCACGCTCTCGACTACGACCGCGCGCTCGGCGACCTCCTCGAGCTCGACGACACCGTGCGCGCCACCATCGCCCACCTCCGCCGGCTAGGCGAGCTCGAGAACACCCTCATCATCGTGACCGCCGACCACGGCCACGGCTTCGACGTCTACGGCGGCGTCGACACCAAGTACCTCGCCGCGCAGGACGACGACCGCTCCAAGCGCGCCGCCGTCGGCGTGTACCAGCAGTCCGGGCTCTCGCAGTACACCTCTCCAGGCAGCGGCAGCGGCGCCTTGTCGTTCGACACGGGCCCCAACTTCCCCGTCACCTGGGACCCGCGGTACACGCTGGCGCAGGGGTTCAGCGCGAACCCGGACCGCCGCGAGGACTTCCGCGTGCACGCCGCGCCGCGCAAGGTCGTGTCGTCGTCCCCGGGCTTCGACGCCGACGACCTCTTCGTCAACGCGAAGGACGCGCCGGATGGGTTCGTGGTCAATGGAACATTGCCGGTGAGCGAGAGCTCGGGCGTGCATTCGTTGACGGACGTCCCGCTGTTCGCGATGGGGCCGTGCCAGGAGACGTTTGGGGGTGTGTACAGCAATGTGGAGGTGTTCTATAAGATTGCGAACTGCTTGGGGCTTGCGCGGCCGGATGGGAAGTACAAGGGGAAGGGGGATAAGAATGGGGGGTGGGGTGGGTATAAGACTCAGGGGTAGGCTGGGAACCAGGTACTTAGGTTAGAGGGATGAAAAGCGTTATGTGATGGGATAGCTTCTTGTATATTTTAATGATAATATTTATTCACGTCGAAATATTCCACGCATGCTTAGTGAGTGAAGTGTCAGGCTTATCTGCTTGTAATCGACGACGATGTTCTAGGCAGGTGAAGTACGATGGCTGTGACTCAAAGTCCTGCAAGCGCAAAGTTGTGTGTAGGTACCTACCTATACAGTAGAGAGGGGCTCAGTAAGCACAGTAGGCTACTAGCTAAGCTTGCTGAGATATAGCGGACAGCTCCCTACCTAATCCTCGACGGACCGACCACTATACCTAGTACAGTCCCTAATCTAGTTCGAGGCTAATGTCATTGCAGGGAATAAATTACAGTGCTTCTAAAATCATTCTTGCACAGTCTTGCGATAGCTTCAAATTTCCAGCAGCTTCGTACCAGTACTCAATTGCCCTCATTGGTACCTACCTAGGTTAGGTATCTACCTACATTTACTGCGTGTTACTACTTCCTACATCACGATTAGGGAAAGGAAATAATATTAAGGCAGCGTGTATCAATTTAGGTATCGTTATCACCTATAACTACCTAACCTAGTAACTTGCTATGAAAAGCGCCGACATCGAACCTCAGAGTACCTATATAGGCAAATTAATGGAACGATGCGCAAACTTAACAATGCGCAAACTAAACTACCTAGGCACCACTTCCTCTACATCCCTGGCACTGACTAAGAAATAAGGGAAGGGAAATAAAGCGGTCGTGTCCTCAGCCACTCACTAGTAGTAGTCTAAACCACCACCATTACCATCGCCAACCTCAAATCAACGTTCATATTATAGGGGGGTTCAGTCGCAACTTCGTGTAGGTACTTAGTGTTCGTGCGTGTAACACATATACTGCCGTCCGTGTTCAGTGACAAGCCACCATACCCTCAACCACCTTCCCCGACATCGTAGTTCTTGGAAGTGAATCGTTACTAGGTACTGCGACTCTTACTCAAGCCACGTACTTGAACTCTCCACCATCGCGCTCGATGTATCCCTTCTTCAGCAGCCGCTCGATCTGCTTCTCGATGTCTTCGTCCCGGGCGACGAAGCGCGGCCTGGCCGCGTATTTCGTCAGCTCGAATAGCTCCGAGCGGTCTAGGCGCGACTGTTGTTTCATGACACTGACGATGATGTACTGTGGTGTCAATGTTAGCATGTGCCTCGGTTAGATAGGTACTTATGAATGGCTTATTGGAGTATTGTCTTGGGCGAGAGAGACTGTTAGGTTAGTACGTACCTCGAGCTTCTCGATGTTCTTCTCCTGCACGCCCTGGTAGATCTTTGCCTCGGGGATATCGTCAATCATCTTCGTGTTCAGCTTCACGACCTTATCCTTGCTCTCGAAATACTTGTTGAGGTAGAATCTCGTGCTGCGGCCCTGCTCGTCTATCTCACATGACTCCAGTAGTACCCCGGGTTGGGTCAAAGAGGCCAGAACCTGGTCTAGGACGTCGATTTCGTAGGTGGTGGCGTTGCGAATCTGTTGGTAGGTGAGGAAGTCGGCGTCGTTGAAGAGAAGGAGCACGCATATCTGGTACATCGACACCTCGAAGGTGTAAGTCTTGTCCTTGTCCTGGTGGGTGGGCAAGTTGACCTCGAGCTCGCCGCTGAAATAGTGCGGCAGCCATAGGAGTCTGCCGTCTTTGTGAAAGGACTCGTAGCTTCTTTGGGCTTTATCAAAAGCGTCGGTGACTGGCTTTGGGAGTCGGAAATGGGTCTTGGTGGTTGGTGCAAGATACCACTGGGTTGCAGACGCGACCCAGTAGGTTACCTCCGCAGCGGGCCATTCTGATGATGTGCCGTGAGTCGCACGACAATCCGTAGTAAATTTCCTGGAGAACTCGACATCTTTGAGCATGTTTTCAAGATGTCCGATACTCTGTTCTGAGAGTGATTCGCGCAATTTGGATAATGCAAGGCGCTCGTGGGAGTCGGACATGTTGCCGTCGAAGATCCGGGTCGCGAGTCCTTTCATATATAATTTTAAGAAAAAGATCTTGTCCACAAACTCCAGTATGGTAACTGCTGCGTCTAGATCTGTAGAGAACTCGTGTTCGTCGACATTTGGCCCTTTTCGGATTGCCGAATCCATAAATCTCTCCACTAGCTCCGTTGACTTCATGGGCCCGAACCCAACATATTCTGTCTCGTTGATGGTATCGGTCCAGTTACTGCGGAATTTGTCATTGATATCTCTAATGTCTTCGATTTCATAGATGTCATATATGTCAGGGACGTTATCGTCCTCATCGCCGTCAATAATGTCTTCGATGTCGTGAAACACCGAGTCCAGCCAGGTCCGATATTTCTTGAATAGTTCGCTGAAACCGCGCACGAAGGTTTCTGCGTTGAGACTCTCAGTGGAGAGCAAAGTCTCGATCTTTGCCCTCCCAGCTTCCCGTGCGTGGGTGAGGAGGATGTCCCCGAGAATGTGGAAGTCCATGGCATGCTTTAAGCCCTGGCATACTCGAATAGGATACTCCGTTTCACGATTGTCTAATATACTTGGGAAACCCTCCATGATCATATCCCAACTGCTCTTGATGATGATTTCTCGGAAGGTGGCATACATGGTCTTCCCAAAGGTACGTGGCAGGCGACTTTGGAGAGCCCTTACCCGGGCTTCGAGCAATCTGGCTTCGTCAAGGTAGTCGAGTACGGAGCCCATATTGGAGACAATATTCACCTTTATGGTGTTGAAGAGATCAGAGATGGCTTCTAGAAGTGGTGCATAGAATAGGTAATGGGCCAAAGTCTTATATGGGCGATTCATGACTTCCAATTTTCCGAAAACACGGAGAGCATCGTCCAACAGCGTGTCATTGTTGGCGGCTCCGACAAGCTCTGTCTGCATGAGCCAGGCAATGCTTCGCTGCAGCCGGGCTTGAAGCCCGCCCCCTGGGGTGTTGTTGGTTTGTTGTTCAAGCATGTCCATCCATTCTTTGGCGTGTAGTAATGGTACAGTAGCCGGGTACCCAAGTTCTTCCACCTTAGGCAGATTAACCCAATCCTGGTCAAACTTGCGAAGGAAGATGCTGTTTCTCTCAGACCTGGCTAGGTAATTCATCACTTCGGTGATGTACCATCGCAAAACTCCGTCGTCGCTTTGGTGCTTCGAAGCCACATGAACTTTGTCACAAATGTCACAGAGGTAACATGTCAACATATGCATGATATTTTTGAGAACAGTGTCTGAGCTTTCGTGACGTAGTATAATAATCTTAAGAGCTCTATAATTTTACCTCATTAGGAAAGAAAATATGTGGAAAGACGCACATCCATCCATACCTCTGGCCTTTATTGAATTCCTTGGTCTAGTTAGTATTGACGAATGGGATAGTCCTGTTGGAGGGATAACTTACGTCGTCCTCCATAAACTCACCCATGAAAATCTTGTCCATACAGTTTTGGACCTCGTCCCATCTAATGCACAGTTAGCTTATTTTACTTCTAGCAACTACATGATTCGGACTCGACTTACTCGGGGCCGAGGTCTTGATCCCCATGGTTGTTTGACGACATCTTGTCAAGTCTAGTAAACAGGAACGGATCAAACAGGTGAGATTGGGGGTGATCCGATTGAATTGGGTTGGATAGGATGACCGATAGTGAGTGTCGAAATGAATAGACGTGATGAACAAGGTGTGAAGTTAGGACTATGACTACCCTGTAATAGAGTTGCTGAAGATAGAATTTCAATTGATGAACTTCCAGATTCATTTACTTCGAAAGAAGTAATAGAAAGAATAAGAGTGAGGCCACACTAGAAATTGCTTCTAGGCTGGAAGGGTTATATGCTTGGCGGGTAGATGGATAAAGGATGGAGACGAGTAGTGGAAGAGGAATTGTAGAAAGGTCTCGATGCGAAACCTAGGTGTTTAAGTTGAAGGAGAATCCCGAGCATGGTGAGCGATTAGAAATGAAGAATGGGCCCAGAGGAAATGGAAACCACCAAGGTAAACATCTACTTACCTAGACACCTTCCTCCTGTAAGGAATCTCCTAACTGGGCCAGATAGTGTCCATCATGCTCGCCCTTAAGGCCTGAGTTTTGCAAACCCCTTCCTCAGTCTACTAGAATCGATCTATCGTGAACCGGGGTCTAGAGAACTTTGATGTAGTAATGCACTTTTCGACGTTACGCGCACAGAAAGAGAGTGGCAGGTACTCAGATACTTGGATAAGTATATACTAGGTAATAAATGTAGGTAGATTGATATCTACCTACTAGGTAATTACGAGACTGCCGCGGATGGCTAAATCTACATAAATCTGAGAAAGTCTTGGATCTTGTACGATGACAGTTGCAGTTGGTCTCTGTCTAGAGCAATGTCAAAGCAGTTCAGAGTAGCGAGTATATTTAATGATAGAAACCCAAGTGTGGAACGACTATAGCGACTAACCCAGACCTCTCCAACTGAAATACACTTTTACTGAGATGCATGTTTCCAAAGCCATTTCTCAAACTCTTCCTGACTGAGACCGGAAGGCGGTGTCTTGTCCCGACTTTCCCATAGATTGGAAACGCTGTCTTCCGGGCCCAAAGATTCTGGATCCTCCGCCAAGCATTTGATATGCTGTGCACACAGATTATCTCGTCCCAGGCAGATTTCCATACACTCGTACGCCCTCATGGCGAAGGCGGAGGCTCGTGCTTGATCGCCGTGGAAGACACATAGAAAGTACGCATTGCGGTAAGCATTAATAGCTGAAGGATGTGTCATATCATTGTACTCCTCGTCGAGAAGTTGAAGAGTATACCGTATGTCTTTGAGGTAGCCCACAGGGTCTATAATGCATCTTATCCCCTCCAGCATAGGCTCAAGGGCCGAGATAAGCTTTCGGCGGTGATCACTTAAAATCAGTTGTTGTGGGGGTAGAGAGCATGCATCGCATTGACAATCGAACGCCCAGCACTTCTTTAACGCGATCTGGCGTAAGATCCTTGGAACGTTTTCAGGAAGATAAGAAATGGTTATTTCTTCTCCAGCCTTTATATCCTTGATTGCATTTAAAGATTGCACTTCCAGGTCATTATTCCAGTCACTGACTGAATTGGGGAGGCAGCTATGGTTGACCCGAGATATGGTAGCACAGACTGCCAGGTTATTCGAGGGGCGTCCACAGGATTGGCCGTTTGTTATCACAATCTCAGTGAGTGGATGCTCGCCGGCAAAGCAATTATGCAACGAACGGAACTGTTTCTCTTGTTCCTTGGGATGAAGTTTGAGCTTCAGCGTCAGCTCCAACTCTAATCTCTGGGGTGGCCCAGGATGGACGATGAGAAGGGGCTTCTCCCGTACGATTCGTGTCCCCTTGGCGATATCGATGCGTGCGATTAAGGCTTGACCCTTGCCGGCAATATTTTGAATGGTATAACAGGGCTGCTGAGTTCTTGAGGTCGCTTCGGGAAGGGAGTTCGAGTTGCTCGTAGCGTCTTGGGAGTTGGGTTTACCAAACTGCTAGTCTTAGACCAGATCTGCTAAAGTATGAATGTGGGAGTTAACATACCTCTCTGTACATTTCCGTCGCATTGTCGTTGACAACATCCCAGCCGTAGTGGCCAAATCCATCCGATACCTCGTGCCAATCGTGAATCCGAGGCCCGAAGACCATTTTCGCGATCCGCCCAACAATCTCAATATACTTCCCAGCACCAGTGCTATCGGCAGTACTGTCGGCGATGTTTGCACTAAACCGCAAGAATCTGTGACCTTCCAGGGGTAATAACGCATACTCGCCCACATTGAACTCAATCCAGTTGGCTTTCACCTCGACACGGGGATCATCTTCGTACACTTCTTGAACAATATTTAGAAACTTTTCCCAGTCCTGTTTATCTTTGCCATCCCTGGACAAGCGAGGAACAATGTCAAAACCGGCATATACCATTGTGACAATTTACGTTGTTGGCCGCGTAGCTATGGGGCAAGAAAGGTGAAAAGAAGAAGCTAAATATACATTGGTAAATTGATGTGCATTTCGATTCCCCTACATATACTCAGAATACTACCAGTACATCTGTTTGCTCAAATACATTGCCACCAATCTACACCTCTTCGGATAGATACATTGGGTAGGTGCCTGGGTAGGTACCTGGCAGCATTCAAGGCTACATAGGCACTTACATACTAAGTATGGAGTATTCAAGAAATTTTTGTCGGTTGTGCAGCGGGATGCTGTGCATTATTTCAAACAGACATGAAAAAAAATTTCTTCTACAAACGCTAGTCTTGTTCGATATGTAGGCACATCCAAGGGTTATCACGTGTAGTTGCTGGAGGTCAGTACTGTCACGTGGTGACGTCTCTAACTACGTTAAGTCGTTATTACTGGGTACCTTTAGGTACTTCAATTCAGGCTACCAGGTATCAAGTCAGGGGGTTTACTTGCTTGAACATAAGTGGTGCTTTTGACCTACATATATGTAAAAAACAACTTGAATTTTGGAATATTGTTGTTGTATACGTAGGTACCTATGTACCTTGGTAGTCAACCTTGGAAATTTCATGTCTTTCCCGAGTACATGGTGCCAAGAGCGCAAACACAAAAATCCACACAACGACAATCGAAGGTGAGAAAGTCGGGTAGATACTTATATGGGTCTGTAAGCCTCACTTTGAATTGTGGGGTGACCAGTATCAAATGGGAAACCACATAGATATGTTGATCAATCTGTCCAAAAGTGACAGAATGAATAGGTCCATGTATCTCTAGAGGTGTGGAATACACACAGAAATTGTATGGAAGTGATCATAAGGCTTATGCAAACGAACAAAATGTTCTTTCAATGCAAACGCAAATCATCATGTACTCGTCAGGACTTTACATGCTACACTATAGAACGTGACTGGCTAGCAGATGGCATCACTCAACTATAACAACAACATTGAAACTAAACTCACCATTAAAACTTACATGTATGTATCTACTTCCAAATACTCTATGTGTACGTAGTTGAACGTACTGACGTATTTTGTTGTTGACAAACAACACTGAAGCGGTGACTAGCAAATCTGACCCGGAAACCATACCCCCATTGTTCAATATCCAATGTGCTGTTTCCTAACCTAACCTAAGTAATTCTTAAAAAGGCCTTTATGTGTATCTTTGACATCAGTTGTCGAATCATGGAATACATGATCCTAGTATTTGATTACTATTCTGACTCTGGTATCAGTGTTCACTTTATAACTCTTGCATCAAAATAGACACTCGGATGGTACCAACATGGAGGGGTAATAGAATAGATCAGTTACCACGCCTTGTACAAAAGAATTTGTGACTCGAAAATCCACAAGGGAACTGTGGTTACAAACTACTGAGTAGGTACCATAAGTCATCGAACTGCACACGTGTGGGATGCAATCACGCTTATACAACACATTGGTGTGGTTCTTTTTGCTGTTTCATTCTAGTTGATATCACTAGGTTAGGTTAATAGGATTTACAGATCACCCACAACCTCAGACAGGGAGGGCTCAGAGACGATATTTAACTACATTCTTACAACCGGGATTGATATATACTATAATAAATAAAAAATTGGAATACTTACACGTAGAATACATGAATAGGTAATATATCAATGAGCCTGAGAGACGGTAGGTAAATCTGTACTTCCTATATTGAGCTTTTGATCAACAGACGTGACATAAGGTCAAACCAAGTGAATTATTTTCCCAGAACCATGAGTATTTAACTACCAACATTCCCCTGCTATTAAGAAACCATCAACTTCCCACCCTCTACGCAAAACACCAAAAGGCAGGCAAAAAGAAAAATATTACACCAAGCCATATCTGCAGCGGAACTGAAAAGGTTTACGAGATACGCCATCCATTTTATCACCATGTCGGACTTGGACACACGGGACAACCCAACTGGTTTTCCCCCCAGGACTCCCCGGGACCGGTTCCGGATTGATCAAGCCAGGAAGGATGGAATCCTATATGATATCAAAAGCGCGAAAACAACATTGAAGACAGGTGTCCTATCCGATGACGAAGTAACCAAGTTGAGCAATTGGAAAGAGTGGCTAATGACGGCAATGCGGGATTATGAGGAACTGTTAATCATCAATCCTGAGTACGTGGAAAAAATAACACGCAAGGAGGCCCATAAGATATGGTTAGTCGTGTATCATCTACGACGTAAGGTGATCAAAGTCCAATGCAAGGACGAAAAGAAGAAGAAAGCAATCAAGGAGAAGGAGGAGAAGGAGCGGGAGAAAGAGGAGAAGAGAAGAAGAAAGGCGGAGGGCCACTAATGGAGGAAAGAAATGCATGGGGAGAACCATAACTGTTGGGAGATTCGACTCACAATGGTGGCAAACCCCATATACTTGGAACTGGGACGGATTTCTTTTTTTTTTCTTTTCTTTTGGGAGAGTTATTGAGGTGGTTTTTTACCAAGCTGATGTAGCTTTAGCTTAAGCATCAGATATTAATTTCATTTTTGATTTGTAAAACATCCCACTGCTTACGCATAAATTTGATATCAACGTTCTTGGACTTTTGAATACTTTTAATTAGCACAGCATTCAGTAGTACTGAATGCTGTTCAGCGCCGTAGTTGCCGTTCACTACGCGGTGTCTTGGTGGAGAACTCGGGGCGGAGACGCTTACTCATCAAATTGGTACCTTTCCTAATCGGGTAGACTGTTCAACGCTAATTGGCTAAATGAAATGGCTTGAGAAAGGTAGGTATAAGGTACCTTGAAGGCACACGCGATATAATGTTCTTCAATGAACAACAAGTAGTTCACAGAGTAGACATTGTGAACTTTCCTTGAAACTGAATCGTAATTTCATGTCTCGAATTTTTATTTATCTCAATCCAAATTAAGAGTCAATTTTCATATGCCAGCATGTATGATGATGTACGACTAGATAATGAAATTGCATTCTCGACAGTGAGCATATTGAGTTTTAGCAGCCCTTTTATGGCAAAAGCGTTGGTACGTAACGTTACAAGGACCTCAGGGACCTCAAAGCTCCATTGTATCAATAAATCCGGTTTCTAAGTTGAGCATGCCTCTCTTCTTATTGGGCAATGGTGGCATATGGGGTTTTGCCGACAGGTTACCTCTTGAATATAGTACGCAGGCCACTTACGATTTATATTACTGGCCAATGCAACGCTTTACATATCAATGAGATTTGTTGCTACGTTGTTAGATGCGCGTATCTATACAGCGGACGTACATACAGGAGCAAAAACCTGGGAACAAGGCATGGGTGGACGTTTTATACCCATTTCCCGCATTAGAAGGCTGGAGATACGAAGCTGGGAATACTGTAACAACATATATATGCCCTTTATGACGTAGAGATACCTATTCACCTTATTTGCAGTTGAGATTAACTCTCGCTGGAATTTACAGCCACCCAGTTTTTTTTAAGTGTCTTAAGCTAGACAGGTAGCATTACCTATGTGCGAAGTTACATGGTTTTACTTGACCTAGATATGTATATGTCATTACTTCCTCTTTTCAACCCTTTGGACTTACTTCTCTAAGACCCAACTACCAGCCCTTCTTTCCTATGCCCAACAATTCTGTTCTTTAATGTACGGTACTAAGTATATACGTCTTTAGTACGTAGGTACTTACTATACACTTACCGATCGTAAGCTTGCCTGATCCCGTAAACAAGGTACACTAGACACTTCTTAGGTATTGCTATACGAGAGAAACATTTGGTCCCAACTTTTCCCAAGCAGACCTTCTTAAGCACGGCGTTTACGGACCATCAATTATAAGTTTGATAATCCTGGATGATTACACGTGGCGCGCTATATCGTGGGGGGCGATCTTGCCTAAGCGTGTCGAGCTACATTCCACAAGAAATCTAATCATTAAAGCTTATAGACATGTATAGCTGTAATAACAACCTTGGAACTATTTTAATGTTACTTAAATTTTACCTACATGTGATGCTACGTACGTGGCTACTGTAAGACTACTCTGCCCTTTCGATCAATATGACGATTCATCGATTAGGAGACAAGCTCCAGTCTCTGATTTTAAGAGCGAGGGATAGACACGAAGATAGAGCTAAGGGGTCAATGATGTAGTATATAGCTTCATTCTAGCTACATAAGTCCCAGATACCCATCCTATCAGTTTGTCGTCGCCCCCACTTAGAACTACCTCCTATACAGCATCACCATGAATATACCTACAGACGCGGTCTAAACCTTCACTGGGGCAAGTCTTCTCCACCTTCGCACAACACACTCGACGCGCACTCAACAACAAACGCAGTACGAACTTTTAGCTTACCTGTTCTTCTTGGAATTCTAGAAATGGCCCGACTGTCCAGCATTCTCCTCAGTCTTCTCGCGGCCTCGCGTACCGTTGCCGATTTCACCATCTACATCGGGAAGACGAACGACATCACGGATGTAGGCGTCACGTACGCCACGACCCAGATCCAGATCCACAGCCACGCGCCCCTGAGCTGCTCGGACGTCGGCCACGTCGTCGCGATATCCATGAGCAGCATCAACGACGCGAGCAAAGGCCGCTGGGCGTGCGACGGGTGCAACGCGCTTGCGCCGCGGGACTGGGCGATCAAGCGCCTCGAGATGTACAACTACGACGACGCGGTCGCCCACTCCACCGACCACCCCTTTCCGCTGTTCAATCGGGCAACTGGTGCTGTTAGTACGTACGGGCATGGCCTTCTCCCTGGGTATCCGATATCCGCGATCTTAAGGACTGTACTAACTAACACGTCGCAGCGTTATATGGAACGGGAAATGGGAATTGGGATATGAGGGATATCAATAATACTTTCCTCGGGACGTGCAATCGACCGCATAATCCGCAGGAGATGGACTGCTGGCAGCTCATTTCGGCGACGTTCTTGACGCATGCGTTTTCTTGTAAGTCACAATACACATAGAGTATACGGCCTGAGTCTAATCACTAACATGGTGTTTCAATTAGGCAAGAGTGAACTAATTCCTAATGACAGGCTTTGGGTTGATGAATAAATGATGGGGCTCGGGGCGGGGGTAACAGCATATTGTCATTGCAGCGGAGTTTTGGTCCACAGGTGTTTGGTGTGCTTTCAGTGTGCTCTTTCAAGCATTGAGGAGGTTAGCTCGGATTCGCGATATCACCCATTTCACTGTTATAATACAGTCTTATTATTACCTGTTTAATGTACATTGGGCTCAATGTGCCAACTTTATGCACCTCACTAATCAGTCACGCACCTTGATGGTGCCAAGAACTATCTCTACACTGAATGGGCCTTGATTATACAATCTATTGATACCTGATGCCTGATACATGAAAAAGGGCGGGGGACTGCTGTTATGAGTGCATTGAGGCGGCTTGAGCTTGTTGGAGATAAACTCACATATCTCATCGAAGTAGGGACCGAGCTACCCTAGGTAGGCAAGACAAGCTATGATTCAGGGGTATTCATCAACCAACCTTGAGCCTCATCAGTACCTAAGTACTCCTTGGCTTGGTAGTGTCCTCTTTGAAGTTTCTAAAGAAAGACAGAAAAAGTCCACGCGATTGGTTCAACAGATGTCAACCTTATTCGAACATTCTTCGACTTGGCAGGCATGTGAGACATATGAAATATTTGGACCGGCACTAAACCATGAGTTAAGGGGCAAAATAAGTCAATTCTAATTAGAATATCATTATAAATACCATATCTACCTTCCTAGGCATGTAGATAGGTATGGCCCAACCCCTCCATAAAACGAGCCCCAGCCGACAGCTGGCTTTACTTATCTGCTTCAAGATATGATATTAGGGTATCGTCTTGTACAGACAGAGACATCACAGGCACATATGTTCTTGCTTGTTTATTCCTCCTATAGTGTCATATTAATTGTATGGCCTCCATCCAGCACCATTTCATGCAATCTGGGCATATACGCACACCACACAGCGACGTTTCTGCAACTACATTCATCCCAACTAAAGCAACCCCAATCGGAGATGATCGCGACTGCATCTAAAGTTTGTTCCAAGTACTCGTCGGGCCGAGGCGATATGCTGATGCCGATCAAAATGCACGTCCCGAGCCCGAGACCAGCCATACCTAGGTAGAACACTCCGGCCGGTACCTATTTAGGGAGGGTAAAGGATAAATTTAGATACCAAGACAGTATGATAGGGAGAGTAGGACATAGAAGACATCATTACAATAGTTCTTGGTGTCAAGGGGAAGAGTAATGGCAGTCATGGAAGCATACTAACCAACGCGATTCAAGCCCCCGAACCTGCGTCGAAAAGCCAATAGAGCGCAACTAGCCTCTCTATTGCGGGAGAAGAAATATAGGCAGCAACATTAAGACTAGGTAAATATCAATAGCCCCGAGTTTTATTAATCAGCTCCGGGGGGTAAAGCTCCTCGAATAGGAGACATGTATCCCGGCTTACGGGCAGGCAAGGATCCTCATGCATTGTGACGCTCTCCGCATTTAGCATTAAATGCCATTGGCAGGATCCAAGTCCGGACTTATCATAGGTACCTATCCAATATCTCCCTCATCTCTCTCATCCCCTAAGTATCGGACCCAGCTAGTGAGGGCATAAACCGAGCAAATCAAACAAAATCATGGACTCGCTCCCGGTCCTCGAAGCCACAGTCCCCTTCAACGCCCCCAACGGCGGCAAGCCCGGCAAAACCTGGTACAAAATCATCGGCGACCTCTCCCCCTCCCCCAACTCCACCACCCCCCTACCACCCGTCCTCGTCGCCCTCCACGGCGGCCCCGGCGCCGGCCACCAGTACCTATCCCCCCTCACCGACCTGTACCTCTCCCACCGCATCCCCATAATCTTCTACGACCAAGTCGGGTGCGGCAACTCCACACACTACCGCGAGAAACTCGGCGACACCTCCTTCTGGACCTTCGACCTGTTCCTCGCCGAGCTCGACAACCTGATCGACCACCTGCGCCTCCGCTCGCGGGGCTTCTACGTGCTGGGCCAGAGCTGGGGCGGGATGCTGGTCGGGACGTATGCGGCGAGGCGGCCGGCGGGGCTACGGAAGGCGGTGGTTGCGAGTGGGCCGGCGAGCATGCCGCTTTACGTACAGGGGATGAGGGGGCTGGTAGCGGGGCTAGGGGAGGCGGTTAGGGAGGTGCTGGAGAGGGGGGGTGCGCGGGGGAGCGAGGAGTACAAGAGGGCCGAGGCGGTGTTCTATGCGAAGCACGTGTGTGCGCTGGACCCGAGGCCGGAGGATCTGGAGCAGGCGTTTCGGAACTTGAGGGAGGATTCGACGGCGTATTTGACGATGTGCGTGTTTTTTCCCCCACTTCAGTAGCGAGAGCCCAACTAACCCCCACCCAACAGACAAGGCCCCTCCGAGCTCGTTGTAACAGGGAGCTGCAAAGACTTGGAAGGTTGGAAGGACGCCCACAACATCGAGGTCCCGGTCCTCATCCTAAACGGGAGGTACGATGAGATGACGGATCTCTGCATGGAGCCGTGGTTCCGGACCATCCCCAAAGTCAAGTGGGTAACGTTTGAGAACTCGAGCCACATGAACCATTGGGAAGCGCGCGAGCGGTATATGCAAGTTGTTGGTGGGTTTTTGACGAGCTGAGGGTGGTGTGTGACGGGAGCGGTATGAGGATGGGTACCTAGGTATTGAAGCGGCCGCTACCAGAATAGGGGTTCAGGATAGCACCGCACCGCACGCCGCTATATCATCCGCGATATGTCATCGTAGTATATATCACTCAGTGAGTAAATAGGTACCTACTCATGTTTTCAAGACGCTTTACACTCAGAAGGCGCTAGCGGCTCCAAAAAGGGGGTAGCCAAGCGCCAACCATACACGCCTTGCCAGACACGCGTGTCAGCGAACGGCTCAAGCTTCGCAGTAACCGTTCCTCTAACTGGGACTGGAGCCGTCTCCCCCGTCGTAAGCGTCGTGTTATACAGCCGCAGGTAATTATCACAAAGCTGTGGATCGGCGAAGACAGGCTGGGTGGTGATATTCTGAATAAAGTCCATGGGGTACGGTATGGTGTCTAGCGATGTCCAGGAAGCAATTGTCATAAAGATGTCACCTGTGCTGCTGCTGCTCTGTGCATGTGAATACATCGTGCCGTTAGGCAAACTCCTGTATGGATCACAGGGCGGATCGAATACACCTGGATGCACCGTCACTCCGTAGCCTTCGCTCCCTTCAATAGCGCTAGGGTTCAAAGCGGTAATGATACTAGTCCCGGCCCAGCGGAAAGAAGAGTGGCCATCGCCGAGTAAGTCGATAAAAGGGAATTCGAATGCTGCGCGCTGGACACGGGTAGGTGAGTCGGGACTGGTACACGAATAAACAAAATAGGTCATAATACGTACCGAGAAGTCCTCCACGGAAATATTGTAAGAAGCAATTTGTAGATCGTGGTCATGCACAATCTGTGCCATCATTGGATACATCCCACGAGGAAACGAAGGCAATAGCGCTCTATATGCCCCCTCCACAATCCCATACTCCTTGGGTATGACTTGACGAGCAGCATCGAGTGGGATAGGGATAATGAGTAGGGTACCATTCAGGTTCCCAGATATGAAGTCTGGATAGCTTGTGGCATGTTGATTGGGACTGTCTTGGGAGAGACACACGTCCCGCACGGATGGACTTGTACGTTGGGAAGCCACCAAAGCAGCTCCCACCACCACTATTGCGGAGACGAGGAAAAGCATAGAGCGGACCATATTTGCTAATGATGCGGACAGTGTTAGATTATATGCCTTGATGCGCCCTAGCTGAAGCGGTATGGGGATTAGCGATTTGGTCATCCTGATGGTGAGACAGGGCGTTGGCAAGCGATAGCCCGAGATTCTATCTGTACCTATATACCTAAGTGCAGCTGTTAATAGCAAAGGAATCAGGTGAAAGAACGTCGTTTCCATAGACAGATTTCTCATAGTCATTAATGTAACGGCAAAATCAACACATGTTTTGTTTTTAAAAGAAATAGTTGCTTTGATAAACACCTGCATACCAACCTTGGAACCTAGTAAGCAGTGATTTCAGCTTACAGGGCCTACCTACCCGCAGACGAACGATTCCAAGGTTGTCAGCCGAAACACGCTCACTTGCGCACCCTCCAAGTGTAGTTCCGCAGAAACAAGAACTCGCTCCCAAGGACCTCACTCGCCATTGCAGTTGGACCCCATCGTCAAACAAAAGGCGAACGCCTCTTCCGAAGCCACAAACAGCGTCAGTTCAGTAACGGGAGTCGACTAAGTCTCTCCACTCATTTCGACTACAGGTGACAGCTCACAGATTTACAGTACCTACCTACTAAACCTAGGTAGGTAACCTCCGCGGCTAGAGAACTCGGCTACGGTTAGATAGATGAAATAGAATATGCAAGTGCTCGAAGGAAATGCATTATGTAACACCACCTATCGCCGCCAACCGTAGGTATACAGCACATGGTACATATCTCAACTATGTCCCGTTTCGTACCAAAATGGAATAAAGACGAAACAACCCCCTTCGATAACGAAGTGTGGAGCCACCCGACAGATCGGGACGGGTAACCTAATCCCGGAAGCGCAGCGATCCGGGCGAATGAGGCTGATAGTGCATGCACGTTATATGCACCGTCCGTCGGCACGGTAGCCATCCGTGGAAATTGAATGAGACATTTTTTTTGGAGGTCTGCGTTTAGGTGAGGGCACGAATTGCAGCTACCCCTGAGCTACCTGGCCATTTCTAGGGTAGGTAGGTAGTGTAGCCTTATGTAGCACATGGAGTTGCATGGTAGGATCCTATGGCACTGTAAACTAGTAAGCGCCGTCGCCCTCAGATACACAAGATCTCCAAGGCTAGATGTAGGTAACATGTCTTCATCTAACTATCCATCCATCTACTCATCAGTTCATCAACCCACCAACGCACCCCTTTCAGCCCTACCACCCTATCAAACCCTCCCAGCAGGAAACCCCACCACCTCCCCTCCCCCAACCCCCGCCGCGCCCTCCCACTGCAGCTTCTCCGGCACCTTCGGCTGCAGCACCTTCAACCAAACACTCTCATACAGACCCTCACTCCCATCCGCGGCCTTGCTGCCGGGCTCCAAGCTGCCGTAATTATTCGAGTCCGTGCAACACGGACTGGCGGAGCCCCAGAAGGGGCCGGCGGCCCAGGCGGTCCAGCCGATGTAGGCGTCGTTGGCGTCGAGATAGTCGATAAATTCCGTGAGCATGGTGGCGCAGCCGGTGTTGTTGTGGCCGCCGAACTCGGTGATGAAGGCTTTGAGGTTGTTGTCCTGTTTGTGTATATATAAATGAATCAGCGATTTAAACGTTGTGAGCTTATCTGTTACCGATAGCGCAAAAGGGGTTGGGTAGGAAGGGAAAAGAAGCGGTTCACTCACATTCAACCACTTCGTCACCTCCGCCAAGTTCGTAGCCGGATCGCTCACACACTCGCTATGACTACCACTATAATCCATATCCAGATACTCATGTATATCAATAGCCGTATTATTTAGCGGGTCCGTAAACTTATGTATGCGCGCACTATTCGGATCGGGGCCCTGCGTCCACGCGTGTCCGCCCGTCCAGCTGTTGCCCGGCAGAATGATCAGGTTGCTCGCGTTCGCGGCGCGGATGGCGTCGATGGCGGCCTGGTTGTTTTCGACCACGAGGCTGGTCGGCATGTCGTGCGGCTCATTCATCAGGCCGAAGATCACCCTCTCGTTGTCCGCGAACCGCCGCGCTAGCTCGCCCCAGAACTCACCAAATTGCGCAGTTGTGGCGGCTGTCGGGTCTGTGGTGTTGCCAATCACGCTGCCGGAGTACGGCTGGGAACTTGGGTCGTTGTAGCGCATGTAATTATGTGGGTCTAGGATGGCGTACGCGCCCTTGGTGACCGTCACATAGTCAACCGCCTCCTTGAAGAAGTCGAAGTGGGTTTCGTTAAATGTCTTTCCGAGGCCGGTGGCGACGGGGGCCATTCGCTCCAGTAGGAACGCGATGCGAAAAAGGTTTAGGTGGTTTTGGTCGACATGAACATCAACGCCAGCTTTGTCGATGAACTGGTAGTCGACGCCAAATCTTCCAGGCAAACCGGTGCCTTTTGTAGCGTCGGCGCTCCATACCTTTATCATCGATGGTTAGGAGCGGAACAAGAACCCATACACGGGACAGCTTACACCAAATTCACCACCTGATTCGGCCACGCCTGCATAATAAATCGTCGCCGAAGCGGTAGATACCAGAGTGGTAAGAGCTGAGTACTTCATAATGTCTAATTTCCCACACGCGTGTTAAACTACGAAGAAGCTTCAAAGCTTACCCAAAGTGTGAGGGGAAGGAGTGGTTCTTATACATCACACGTTAGGTGTGGAATTACAAGGTTTTCCATACCGATCGACACGAATTAATCAGTTCCGCATATTTAGACATAATAAATTGGCTAAAGAAGCGAGCATGTACTGTAAATCGAGCCATGTCGGCGTAACCTCGTCTGATTGGAACCCTAGATCTCATACTATAGGTTGAATCATCGCCGGCAAGGGAATTGTATCAGGGGGTTACGAAGAAAAAGTAAATGTTAAGTCAAAACATGTGTATGAATCTATTAAAACGCTTTGTTTGGGTATCATTGAATTGAGATGGTGAGATCAAAAGCGGAGGAAGCCATTCCGTTTACGAGATTTGAGCCTTTTCTGGTGTTTTGAGCCTGATAGCGGAGGTATAACGGCCCGTGGTCAACTCATCAAAGAAGGATATAATTGCCCCTTCATATGAAAACCCACGGCAGCCGGGACCCTTGTTTCTCGGGTTTCAAATTTTTGTCGAGCCATTATAGAGCGCCGCCGACAGCACTCACGATCCACATTGCAATTCGGACATGCAATCCGACTCGTCTTTCTGTTCTTGCGAAATCGTCTAGAGTTACAGGATTGGCATACTCTTGAAGCCATTTCTGTTCGTCACCTAATCTGGCCTTCAAGCCAGGATTCTGAGTTACGATTAGAGCACCGGCTTCGAGGTCATGGGAATAGCTTCGTTTTGTGTAGTTGGAGCTTCCGATGATGCTTATTGACGGGCCTTGGTCATTTGGCAGTGTTACCCATAGTCCTTTGGCGTGATAAGTCCATCCATTCGGCTCATTGACGGTGCCTCTTCTCCATTCCTTCAGCACAACGGACGAATCCATTTTCTGTGCCTTGACTGCACGAAGAAACCTCCGAGCGAGGAGGGTGTAGGCATCGGGTAAGAGCCCCGACACACCTTTCGACTTATAGAAACCGTTAGCATATGGGGACGCCGTAATGACCACATTATTCTGCGAAGCCGTTGAGAGTAGGAGATTTGTAAGCGACGGGGCTGGATTGAAGTATCCCGCAGTAAATGTCCACGACGACCCGGCATAGTCCGGCTTACCTAGCGTCTTGAGGACGTGGGTGATGGCTGGCAGTTCAGTCGAGGTATCAGGTTTCATAAGCTGCGAGAGCTGGCTAAGCATATACACCGTGGTGTCCTTGGGAGAGAGCGTATGCTGATCGTGAGCTTTGATATTGTCTTGCGTATTCTTTGGTGATATTAACCCTGATATAAGAGTTGTGGCATTTGAGATGTACTCAGCGGGCTGGTCAAGGGGGGAGGGGGCAGAGTTAGTCGTCGGCCATTGCAGCCTGAAGCCAGCGGGGTCATCCTTCGTAGGCTGTACCAAGAAGCTAAGGGAGGTTACTCCTTGGTAGAGATTCCAGAAATAATCAGTCACTTCATTGGAAGAGAATAAATGGTATCGGTCTTGACGATTGGTGAAGTAATCGTTGGAAAGATTCGCGCTACACAGGGGTGAATGAGGTAAGTGTTATGTTATATGTTGATGAATAGGTATACTCACCCTGAGAGTATTATCTCATCGTCAACGCCGTAGAGCTTCATGTGCTGAAGACCCCATCCTTCATTGATCCGTTTTGGTATGTACTTCTTCCGTAATCCGGTTAGATTCGGGGTATGGTACATTCGGATCTCAACACGATCGGCGCCAAACTCAGTGACGAGAGGGGCTAAAAGTGATGCGCAAGATGGCTCAGGGGCCTCCCGCGTTCCACGTAATGCGTCAGTGAGAATGCTCAACTTTAAGTTGGGATTGGCGCGTAGGGCATTTTGTAAAGTGGTAATCTCAACGATAGTCAGCATCAATATGAATCAAGCCGAGACATAATTCATACCAACTCTTTTTCGGATTTTCCAATATAGAGAGTAGATAAGAATATTTGTTTCTTAGCCTTCCGTATCCTAGCCTAGTATCGTTAACTGAACATATTCCATTCACTTCCACTTTCACGAACATACCACCCACCTTGAGTGTCTCGTAAAAATCGTTGGGAGTCTTGATGATCTGTATTTGGGACCCGCTAATATTGAAAGATGGGGCTATCTTGTCCAATTCATTGGTGATAGGTGCCAACATTCCTGATGAGCTTGTGGAACTTGCTGAGGATACAGGACCTGAAGGCATTGAATATTGACGGCATTGCTGACCATATTGGTTTATTGGACGGATCGATAGTGGCCGTAGCTTTAGGGTTAAACAGCAGCGTGATACGCCTCTTGCTAACATGACTGCTATATGGCACAAACAGAATTATCCATTCTATTTGCTATTCACTCAAGAAGATTCGTTGCATGTCCCTGAATTTTTGAGCTTTCGATTAGAAACTCTCAACTAGGATTCATTATCGATAACTAAGACCTTCTTAAGATGACGTAAAAAGAAGCTGGAAGTGTTGATCGCTTACCTAAGGTGAGCCAGCTGACATTATGTACCTAAGTACCTACTTTAATTGCTGGACCGAGAAATATCCGATCTCCAATTGAATGCGACAACTCCGAATCACCATCGCCATCGTACTACTCATCTTCCTTCTTGACTGCAACAACTGTACATGGTCGAAGATCACTTCGAGCTTCGCCTACCATGTCGACTATTACGAGATCCCTCGCCAACTTATGGAAAGTAGGCATCAAGGTCAGTATTACTCCTAACCCGGACTTGTTAACTACTGCTAACTCAGGTTGCGACAGGATGCCTTCCACCAAATGAGCGTACGTCGACCCTCATGAACTGATGCATCAATTCCATACTAACGAACGCTTCTCCGACGCAGTATATCGGTATGAATCGACGGAAATTCTAGCATTCCATATGAATGAGCTAGGACGCTGACCAGTTGTAGGCGACACCAAGGCTGGTACCCTCATCGGCATCGATAGATTTGGAAACAAGTATTTCGAGAATACCGAAGAACTGCCTCGTATGCCACTGCTATCTTGGACATACTATTCGAATCGGTCACGCTGATAAACTGTAGTTCGAACACGATGGGTAGATTACAAGGTCCATGACATTGATGCGTATGTGCACCTCGAGTAATACCAGCCTACAACCAATCCGCTAATGCCGCAATTCTCCAGCTCCCAAATCGAACCCGGCTGGCACGCCTGGATATCCTACGCCGTTGATAAGGCACCTTCCCAAGATCCAGCCCTTGCTTATAGCAGGCGACCATGGGAGGACACCGATGCCAAGCCGATCCAGAACTACACACAAACAAGAGGCGCCTACAAGCCTTATAACACGTACGGAATACAGCAACCTAGAGAGCCAGACGATCGCTAATATCTCGATAGGGTGAAAGCCAAGATTGACACGTGGGAACCCGTTGCCGCTGAGAGGAAGTGAAGGCGCAATGATACGGGTTGTGTATATATTTAGACGGTTAAGATGACCAAAGCCAATGCATGACGAATTAAATTTATCACTGTTTCCCCCCTTTTCTTCCCCAAGAATCGAGACTAGTATACCTCAAGCCTATATTGTGAACGAAGAATACGGTACCCAGTACAGGGTCCTACCATATTTCAGCATCAGCAAGAGAAGCATATTATTTCTCACGTCTAGTAGTTACATGGTAAATGTGTCTCGATGAATAAAAAGCATTTACGTCAATTTTAATCTTTCATTGGTGAATACCACGATATTCGTGGATGGCTATCTCGGTAGGTAGTAAGGTATATAAACCCGCCGCTCGAATTCATTCCCCAGCACACCCATCTACGCAATAGGCGCATAAAAGCTAAACTTCCTCTGCGGATCATACTTATCCTTCAGCTCCCTCAGCCTCTCCTGCCGCCACGTCTCACTGCCATACATCTCCTCGCCCGTCTCGGTTCCATACGCATAATTCACATACGCATGCAGCTCCTCCCTTCCACTCCCCTCCTTCAAAATCCTCCTCATGCCCTCCCCAAACTCCCTCGCCTTCTCGCTCAGCTCCTCCCCGGCTACATGGTGCGCGACAAACGGCATCACAACGACATTGTCCCCGCGAAACGCGTACGCCGTCGAGTCGGCCGGCACCGCCTTCACGCCTTTCGTACTGTACCCCTCGAACATGACCATCGACCCGTTGAGCGCCGGCGTTTCTTTCACGGTCGCCGCGAAGAGCTCGTACAGCTGCTTTTGGGCGGGGACGGAGAAGGCGTCGAGGTCGATGGGGAAGCGGGCGCGCATGGTGGAGGTCTTCTGGCACTCGGGGGACGCCATGTGCGTGTTGAACCAGGTCGGCACGTCGAGGTAGGTGCCGGCGGAGGCGGAGGTGGTTAGCGGACCGAGAGAGTGGAAGGGCTTGGTGTATTTTGAATCGACGGCTTTTTTGCCGGCCTGGAAGACGCTGAATATGTAGGAGGGCTGGGGAGATAGTTAGACGTGCGTGAGCGACATGTAGCAGGCGGGAATTCAACTCACGTTCTTCGGATCCAAGCTCGGGTCGTTCGTGAGCACCGACATCTGCAGTATCTCCGCCGGAACATCGGCCTTGATGAAATACTTGTTGATAGCCTCATAGAGCTTTTCGACCTTGCTACCAGAGAAGATAAAGGTCTCGTGCGCCCAGTCGCGGTCCTTGATATCGTAGATCTTGAATGTGGCGGACGTCACAATGCCGAAGTTGTGCCCGGCCCCTTGCATGGCCCACCAGAGGTCCGACTCCGCGTCGATGGTTCGAATGCTCCCGTCGGCTAGCACGACGTTCAGCGATACGAATTGGTCCGAGATCAGCCCGTATTGCCCCTGCAGGAGACCGTGGCCACCGCCAAGGCCGACGCCCATGATCGTGGTGCATTCGCAAGCGCCGGTTACTGGTTGCAGGGTTAGTTACTGGTCATATCCCCCTAGACACTCAGACATGGCTGCTGTAAATATCAACTCACCCGTCTCTTTCCCGGCCTCCCATAGCGTATCGACAATCGTCTTCGACATTGCGCCCCCGCCAATCTTCGCCGTCGTGCCATCCTCTGCAATCTCAACACTGTTCAGCTCGCTCAACTTGATGCCGATACCATTTTGCATCTTCCCCATGGACTCAATAGCCCCGTGCCCGCTGCTAAAGGCCAGATACGGGACATTGTGTTCATTTGCGTATTTCACCTTGATACCTGTTAGCTCAGCAAACATCGTAAGTAGTACACCTATACTAGGTAATACTAGGTAAATCAGCCAGGAATTCCCCTTACCGTCTCCGCAACGTCGTTCTCCACGCTCGGAACAACCACGATTTCCATCCCCGGCTTGCCCAGCAGCGACCAGCGGGATAGGGACGCGGTAAACGCATCGGACTCGGGCGAGTACACCTGCGCCTTCGGGGAGAGCCTCTCGGCGAGCTCCTTGACGTGGTCTCGTCGCTCGCAGATGCTGCTAAGCCATTGGCTCGTTATGCTGTTCCGGCAGGCGGCGGATATAGCCCACGCTGCCACGGCCGGGACGAACTCCATCTGGGTAGTAGTGGAGGGGCAACGAAATGGGAGCAAAGGAGAGGAAAGAAATGCCTTAGGCCAGAGATACGGATAAGGACTAACGAAGTCGCATTATATATCTAAATTGACGGCCCATGTGTGTTTCTTAGCTTAGAGGAGGGGAATGAAAGGGAAAGAAGAGAGTTGGAAAGCAGCTGAAGGTGCCCAGGTCAGGTGTTAATGGATAATAGCTTATGCAGCAAAATAGCGGTCTCTACGATCATTGGGGAGGTGATGTCGTGGGCCACGTTCGAATAGGGTAGATCGACGCCGGCGGTGTATTTGTTGGGACGGTATTGGGACAGGGGATGAGTGGAACGGACCAGAACCAATGTGCATCTAGTTATCTGTCCTCTCCTTTATTCAATCGTCTTCATTCGATGCAAGCTTACGATATTACTGTGAAAGATCGAATAATTGTATCTGGTCGTCTTATTATCCCACAGACATTGACTGTCTTTATGCTTGAAATCAAGTTTAACATCCATCCCACCTTTCTCCAATGTGGAGAATATCCATGCCCCTGTATGTACCCCGTCTCTTTACCCCTTTATTCTGTATATACACCTGGGCATGCATAGGGCTGATAGGCCATGTAACAGTAAAGCTCATCCACCTAACTATATCGGTAGCTTATAGTAACCCTCCATCTTTTATATCCTCCACTCTTAGCTAAGTGAAATGGAATGTACCTATGAATAAATGGCTGTAAAATATGGCATTCACACAGACGACGTCGATTGACCAGAGCTATTGATTCTGCGATACGCGACGTCGTAGCTGTGATCGACGTGAATAACGTTCTTTTGAGCCTCGATGGACCCTGACGACTGAGAGCTAAACTTGGACTTCGTAGAGTTGACAGCCGGCTCCCAAACCCATTTCTGGAAGAGGAACCGAATGGCCGGGAGGCATGCTGCAAAGACGCCAATGCCGCACTCGACCATGCCCCAGTACATGCATGCTGTCGTTCCAACTTTAAGGGAAAAGGGTAAGCTGGTGCCCCCTACCTAGGTAAAGACAGCGGTAGGCACTTACGAATGTTATCAGAGGTAATGTTGATACCTCCTATATAAGTCCCAGCCATGAGAATGAATCGGACCAAGGATGCTATGACAGTTCTGATAGATGTTAGCTCCGTTACAGTTTTGTCCCAGGTGTAGTTCTTACCCTCCCCCTAAGAGAAACATAGAACAGACTGCGATCTTCTGTTTCGCAGGCAACTGCAATCGCATAACCTGTGCACCCGATTCAGCAAAGCCCTCTCTTATAATCAGACAAAGCAGGTATACTGACCAACGGAACCGGAATAGCCATGATAAAAACATCCGTGATAAAGTCGGTGATGCACAGGGCGAGGACCACAAGTTCCGTGTTTCCGCACTTCTTCATAAACGTGCTCGTCGCGCCCCATATAGCGCCAAAGTTACCATCGCACTCGAAGAGGCTCAAGAAGAAGAAGGCGAGTGCCCATACTACCACCACCACGATGAAGCCGAGTAAGAGCTTGTTGATGAAGCCGTGCTTCTGGACGGCGAAGACGCGCATGTAGAAGAAGAGGAAGCTCGCCTTCATGCAGCCCAGGGCGATGGGGAACATGAGGAGGTACGACCACTCGATCTAGCAGGCAAGCAAGCATCATGGTTAGATGTGTTCCTAGCCTCAATAGGGAGGTTTGCACTTACTTGGGCTTTGAGAGTCAATTGCGGCGTCACCAGGTCGTTTGTGCTTCCCGTGTATCCTGGTGGTACTTGGATTCGGTATCCGAGTGCCATATGTGCGACGCCGTAAACCTGCGAGATGCTTATCCCAACCGTTAAGAGCTATGCAAAGGAGATTAGTCTCTGAGACTACATGTGTTATAACTTTCTTGGAGTGTTGCTATACCATAGCTGGTATCATGAGCCAGTCATCCGTTTTCGGCGGCTGGCTCTGGACCCTGCGTGCCCAGAACCGCAGTGCGACCGCAACAACATCGAGAACCGACAGAGCGATAGCCGCCGTGGTGACATGTCCCGGGTGCATGAAATAGTATTCCCCCTCCCTAGGCATCGTGGTAGATCTTGGCAGCAGCTTGTTACAAACGAACGACTTAGCGAAAGGGTAAAAAGTCCCGCATTGGTGGAACAGTACATAGTGTAAAAGCATGTCTCCCACAACGTGGGAGACGACTTAATAAGAACAAACCCCCCCGCCGCGAGGCTCTACACCTTTCGAGGTGTCGGGGACGAGGAAGGCCCATTCAGCTACCCAGACAGGCAACACAAAACACTCATTCAATCTTTAGTAACACAAGCGTGACTGCATGCATATTCCCTTTCTATTTTCGACATATTTCTGGCGGCTTACTTGCATCCCTCAGGCCGAAAAGGGAACAAAACGCAAGTTTCAATCGCAATGGGGGAGGAAGCACAGCATGTAAACTCCGGCCAAATTGCACGTGTTCTGTAACATTTCACAGCGTCGGAGCGAAGAAGCCACTGGGAAATAGTTAGCGCTGATCGGGAAGATGCATGTTCTGTGAGAGGGGAAGTGGAAGTGGAAGTGAGCAAATCTGGCCAAGGAGTGGTACATCTGAGACTGCAGATTGGTGAGATGCGGCTGCTTACTTGTCTGGTAGGTACTGACATTTCTCTAATGGGCCAGACATCTGTAGAATAGTGTAACCTACCTACCCAGGCAGATTGAATAGTGTAGCTTACATATGTAGAGTCTTAGTGAGCCGGTGTGGCGGTCGCTTCGCTCTCCTATTGGATATACGCTAATTGGAGATGTCGATATGTTGTACCCTCCGGCTCCGAGTGAATGTGGGAGAGAGAGCAGCTGTGAGCCGCCTCCTTTTGTCTCTGCTCACTTTATTTAGGCACCCAGGTAAGCATTGATTACCTAGTAGCTAAGGATTATTCCGCATTCCGCCGAGTCCTACAACGTCGGTACCGATGACATATCCAGGATTGCCCGGTAAATACGTAGGTAGGATAGTGAGCATTGCTGCCTCATCCTACAGACACAGTTACAGTGGTTACCATCGCGGGGGCTACATTTTCAATTTATCAGAGCCTTGATCCTCAGACTATCCAACTCGGAGGATACGATTACTACTCTATCACCCAATAGTGTGATAAGAATGAGAATATTACATGCGATAGGCAGAATACCGTCTTACATTACCCCCAACGATTCAATACTTAATTAAGTAGGTAGGGACCTACTACAGAGCCTCCCCGAATGAACTCGTGTGAGCCGAGATATCGGCCCCCAAACGCCACAATGCTTAACCCTACGTCTCTCTCTCCGCATCTCCAAAGCGCTCTAATCGAAACGGGCAACCCTCAAACATATTTCCCGTGCACGGCCAATTGACCCTCACCGTGAAGTCCTCGCAAACGACCTGCCTCATCGGCTGGAAAAGCAGCGTCTCAAAGTCCGCAGGCATGGACCGCGACCACAGCGCATCGTGGTCCTCGGGGCTGACCTCGAGCGTCACCGACAAGGTGTGCAGCGCCCGCAACTCGGCGATGGCGTTCCACGTGCACTGCCACGGCGTGTCGCCGGCAGCGCTGGCCTCATCCCAGCCCTGCCAGTTTCGGCTGAAGGCGTTGTTGAAATAAGCATGTATTATGTCGCCGCGTTTGAAGAGAGCCAGGGAGAGCTTGATGTGCTGTAGCACGTCGAGGTGGTGGGGGATTATGGCGCGCGGGAACACCGCGATGGAGATTAGGTTGCTGAAGTGGAGGACTTGTTTCCTGTACAGGATGTCGACCGACTCTAAGTATCTGTCTACAGTTAGTCATTGCTGGGGTTAGCGCGGTTGATGTCTAGGTAACGTACATCGCGCGGCAGGTCGCCAAGATAGAGCTGTTATAGGGCTTTTCTCTACACGATGGTCGGTCTTGAAGGAGTTCGGAGTTCCAATCCATCCCCGGACTTCGATACATCGGCATCCCAATACAGATCTCATGGCCGTCGAACCCGATAGCAGTTGGATTCTTGCATAGTAGACTGACAAGCTTTTCCTCGTAGATGAAAATATGCAGATTTCTATAGCCGAAAATACACTCATATATCATGAGACGGATCTCTGGGGCTAGTCTTGTCATGAAGGGCGAGCCCGGTTGGGACTTTGGATTGAGGGTGGAAATTAAAGATGGGGGCCTAACGGCTGATGAAGGTGGCCAATCCATTACGAAGAAATACAATACTGTTATGGATGGTGTACGATGTCTGACCTCCGGGCTATAGCTACGAGTACGAAAGATTCAATGTGGTGGAAATTATCAAGCGGCGAAGCTACTTCGGAAATCACTTAATATTGCGCTCTTGACGAAGCCTTTGAATACTGATTGAAGTTGACAAACACGACGTTAAGATCATATGGGTTGCAAATATGCACAGGTGATCGTGAATATTTCAAAATAATACTAAACAGAAAATGACATCGGAAGGATTCATAGTGATGTTTGGTCAGCGCAGATCGCCATGACTAAGTCCTAACTGGCTCTGAATGTGAGGGGAACCGGGATAGGGGGTCTAGTCACGTGCACGTCGCCCCCATGTCCTGTTCGTATAGAAGAATCCTTCCGGCAGTCCACCTCTTACAGTTCCTATCATCAATTATGAGTCATTTGTGAGTCTATAGGGGCTGATTTCAGTATTCAAGGGTAGTTTAGTTTGGACAGTTATAGCGCGGCGAAACTGAACCATCCGATGTAAGAACCCATCTTCTCCGCCGAGATACAACCGCCTCGGATAAATGATGTGTATTAGGCATAATGTAATAGGACTAATTATATTTCAACAAACAGCGCCCTTTCCCATTAGGATAATCTGCCTATACCACCAATAGACTACACCTTCTCGCCACCCTCATTCTCCTTTTCCGCCTCCTCCCTCCCCATAACCTCATCCATCCGCACCTTCTTCTCCCGCCTCCACCCCGCACCCCTCAACAGAACCAACCACAGCAGCGGACTACAGCACAGCCAAGTCCCAGCAATGAACACCGCCGTCCAGCCAATCCCGATCCTATCAATAAGCGCCACCGCCACCGCCGTCCTGCCCGTGCTAACCAGACACCGGAACAGATTATTCGCCGCCAGCGCCGTCGCCGGGCTCTCCTGGTGGGTATATACGACTAGCACGCTCAGCCCGGACAGCCTGCCCTCGTTGAAGAGGCCGAGGAAGAACAGCGTCACTTCGATGCCCGCGATGCCGAGTCGTGTCGCGTGGCGGCGGAAGTTCCAGTCGAGTAGTCGGCCCGCGGTGAAGCGGCTCAGGACGGCGCCGAGGAAGATGGAGAGGTAGCATAGCCCCGTTTGCGCTGAATTCAGGCCGAATCGCTGGGCGAGCTGGATGGGGAGGGTGGTTAAGACGATGTAATACCCGCCGTATAGGAGCGACCCGAAACCAAGCGTAATGCCCCCTTTACTTGAGGACGGCAAAGGGGTCGAGGCGCTCACGTGGCGCTTTAACCTTGGTCTGTTCGACATCTACCTGCAAGGCATTGCCACGTTTGTGTGTAAGATGTTGAAACGGCGTCATATAAAGGCGCGGTGGGGGGGTACACTGCCATTTCCGACCACTGTACGGGCCGGGCCGTCTCTGGTATAAGCACCAAGTAAACCGAGAACAGCACCGCAGAGAAAATGGCGAGAAACCAGAAGATGGCGTTGCCAACCCAGAGTTTCCGTGCGTAGACCGCCGATTATAGGACCTAGCGCAGGACCTAGGGCTATGCCCAAGCCTCGGTACGCAACGAACTTGCCCCTCTCAGCCCGCGTTACCATGTCCGCGACTGAGCCAGCGGCGAGCGCGACGGTGGCCGAGGACCCGGTCGATTGGAGACATGCCTACCTAGTAGGTTGGAAGCGATGATGGCTAGTTACATGGTAAGCGGTTATCGTGAATTGTATCAAAGTCGTGCTCACTTGTTAGTCAGCGGCCAAGGTTGTCGTTGCTGGGTAGTATATCGTGAGGCGGAAGTATGGAGATGGAGACTTGTGCACGGCTACATTTCTTGGCCGAGGTTGGTGATTATTTTAAACTCCGCATTTGTTGAGAATCTGACCTATCGTATCTCTATGAACAGCCAATAGATAACTATGAGATATGAAAGGTAAATAGTCCTCTTCCCGATTTATTCCCCTTAAGCGAATGTATCTAAACTGAAGAATTGTTGCATCCTATTATTATCAAACGTGAAAATGCCTAGGACTCACGAAGGCCTCTCAATATACACCATACAAATTTCATCGAGATCATGATCACGAAGCCGTTGTTTCCCCTTTGCTTCGTAGATGGTTGTTTCGTTATGGATGGCTGATCGATATCAGGGTTAGGGGTGAGGGGTAGTTAGATCTGACCAAAATCATGTGATTCATTAGTTTCTCGCGTTGAGTTCATTCACGTGATAATATGTCGTGCAACCATACTTCTATTACATTGCTCGTGTAACCTTGTAGCCGATGATGGGGCTATGGCGGTTCCCCTAGTCCAGACTGTTAACTACGCGACTCATCAAAGACGTGCTGGGGTGCATTATGTAAAGTCTACCTCGGTACTAGGTACTTATCAGTTATTAACAGTTTTCAAAGGCACAAGTATTCCCCCGTGCAATCAACACTGCTGAAGCTCGTACAAGATGACCTATGTAAGAGATATAAACCCTCGAATATAGGGGGTCTCTTACCTCGGGCGTTTTCCAAGCCACGACACAACTCTAAACAAGTAACACAGCAGCAAAACGCAATAAACCCCTTGTCCCACCTCCCAAATCAAGCTTCCACGCTGTGCTACCTATACCATACCTCATGCAGACGCAGCCAGTCATCTCGATGACATGACATGAGAACGACACATATGTGGCTGAAAATATAGTGTATTTCTCTGTTTAGCGCTCTCCTGGCCATCTCAGCCAATGAGCGCTCGACTTACCGCCACTAAGTGTATGCCGATGACGTAGGGCAGCCACACCAAGTTTGTATGGGTATTATGTACGTCGAGTCGACTACGTCGGTATGCGGTGGTTGTGGGAGTTAAAAGGCAGGAAGTAGTGGACGCTTGCTTCACTCATGTTTCTCTTCCTTATTTACAATTAATCACTTGTAGTTAGTTACACACTATCAAGATCATACCTGTTTCTATCTCACCACAGAAGAACCCCTTGCATACCAGAATTACGCCGTCAAGATGGAGTGGGCAAAACAAAAGTACAACGAGCAATACGAGGTCTGGATGCCGTGGATCGAGGACAACTTCCTATACTACTTCACCAAAGACAACAAGGCCAGCTACGCCACGCGAGGTACGCTCCCCTCCCCTCCTCCTCCTCATCACCATACCCCCATCTCATCTCTTCCCAAACTAACAAAAGCCCTCTTCGCAACAGAACAACTCGACAAAGCCAAAGTAACAAACATCGAGCAAGTCAACACCCTGCAAGACGGCGTGCACAACCTCGCCGCGGGACAAGTGGGGCAGGGCGGACTACTGCAACCCGTCGGGGACATGTTGTCGAAGGAAGGCGTGAACCGCGCCGAGAGGGGGGGCAAGGATGACAAGGGGGGGATTTTGCCGAGTGGTAGTGGGGGGCTTGGTGGGCTTGGGATTCCTGGGTTGGGTAAATAAACTTCCACTTACCTAGGTACCTACCTACCTATGCAGGTAATACCTGGAAGTTGTGGCGAGTCGGGCTGGTGCCGGTGGGTGATGGTGATGGTGGGTTGAAGATCGCCATCGGTATAACGATGAATGAGAAATCGGGGGAGATTTTAGGGGAGTTTTAGGAGTTAAGGGGTACGGGGGGGTATTCTCAGGGGGATGAGCACGTCGGGTGTAGTTTGGTCGCTATCCAGCACTGCCAACTCCATCCGAGCTCTCGCTATACGAGGAAAGTCAGGGCCGAGATTAGGGTGCACATATCGTTTCAAATAGGTGCTTTTAATCCATTTTCGTACTATTATATAACCCAGCTTACGGCATCAATCAAAATATCACATTGGCATCGTCAACAACGTCAAATATTCCGTTAGCTATACACGATCATGTGCGATGCGTATATGTCAGCGGGGGGATATTCGTCCCCGCACCATCACCAAGGTTATCTGCATTAAGTCTGACATGCATTCTGATTCACCACTTAAGCGTGTGACATAATATTAGACCAGTCCTACGAGTCAGAGATCGAAATCTATGATGACCGCAGCACGTGTCACTTTCCATGCAGGAATGGTTCCATCCATCTGCCCCAGGAGCTCGGTTCAGCCACTGTATCTACTAGAATGCATGCATGACTCATGTGTAACCAGACAATATATGAGCATCGAAGTCTTCGAAAACGTGAGACTTTATTCGCACATCGACCTCTCTCGATAGATACCTTCTCAACTAACTAAGTAACCAAAATCATATATAAGAGAACGACCATGACTTCAGGAACCCTCCACGGTCTAGAAATTCTCGGACAGGCGCTAAAGAAATCTCTGGATACGAAAAATATTGCATAAAATCCACCGCTGAGAAGTCTAACATGCGAACATGGCAGCTATATAGCATCATTCTCTAATAAATAGACAAATATTCTTAGATGCTTCTATTCTACGTTCGAGACTCCACAGCTGCTTTAATGGCTATTATCACGAGTTAGTTTTGTAGTTCACAGTAATATAGGGGGTTAGTGAGGCTTACCATCGCAAGTAACTTTAGCATCGCCGAACAACATCTTCGTTCCGGGCATGTAAAACATCGGGTTAGGAACATCAGCTAGTCTATCGTCAGCATAAAACTCATACCAAACTCTTTGGAGGCATAATACGCACCGTAACCACTAGCCATACCACGTTTCATAACAATGACCTGCTTGCTCTTCCAAGCGTGGAGGACTGGCATACCCGCAATCGGACTGCCTGGTTCAAGAGCAATCGGGTTGACGGTATCGTTAGCACCAATAACAAGCGCGACATCGGTGTCGCCAAAATCGTCATTTATCTCGTCCATTTCCAGCACAATATCGTACGGCACGCTCGCCTCCGCCAGCAAAACATTGCATTGTCCTGGCATACGCCCTGCGACAGGGTGAATAGCGAAGCGAACCTTGATGCCTTTAGCTCGCAACATACTCGTAATCTCGCTAATAGCATATTGTGCTTTCGCAACTGCCATTCCATAGCCTACGATTATGATGACACTTTCTGCATTGATAAGAGCATCGGCTGTATCTTCAACGTTTGTCTGGGTTACCGATCCCTCAATCTTATACTCGCTTGTCGTAGGGGCAGATATTCCACCGAAAAGGACGTTTGTGAGAGATCGATTCATTGCTACGCACATGATATAGGAGAGGATTGAACCAGAGACTCCGATGAGGGCGCCCACGGTGGTTAGAAGTGGGTTCTCCAACATGAACCCTTCTGCCACTAGAGCAAAGCCACTGTACGCGTTGAGGACAGTAATCACCACTGGCATGTCAGCGCCGCCGATTGCTGCGGTTGTTGTAAACCCCTTAGCAAACGAGAGGATCGTGTTTGCACCGAGTGCAGCGGCAGCAATCATTGGTGAGCCAGGGGCCATGGTAATGAAAGCGCCCATTGTCCCCACATTGGCAGCAAGCATGCTACCATTAATCAGGTGGCGGCCAGGAAGCTGCAACGGCTTCGACGACATCTTTCCGGCTAGTTTCATAAAGGCCACAAGAGATCCAGTGAATGTGATACCACCAATCAGTACTCCGAGGTACGCCGTCACAAGATGAAGAGTCGTAATATCCGAGATCTCGCCCATCACGCTACCGATGCTAGTCAGTACTGCAGCCAGACCAACAACGGAATGCAACGCTGCAACTGTCTGCGGCAGGTCTGTTGGGGTGATACGTTTGCCAATCACGAAGCCAAGGATGCTCCCGACCGAAGCAAGAATACCGAATTGAGTCAAAACTTCAGGGGTAAATCCGACGGCGAGCAGAGAAGCAAGAACACCGGAGCCGACACCAAGGATACCAAGCAAGTTCCCCATTCTTGCTGTAGATTGAGACGCCAAACCTGATAAGGAGCTGATGCAGAGGATAGAGCTGACCATGTATCCTGCTTGCACGAGTCCGGCGGCACCAGTGGATGCTGCCACAAGATAGCCGCCTCCAAAAAGGACGCCAGGGATGGCGTAAAGCCATGGGTACTCAGGCGGATCAGTTGGACCTGCCAGGGGTCAGCTTCTACGCGCATCACGGCAAGGGAATAAACATACGCTTAAACATATCTAACATCCTTTTCGTGATAACAAAACCACCCGACACGTTTACGAAGGCCAGGAGTACTGAAGCAGCGCCAAGAGCTTGCGGGACCGTCTCAGGGACATATCCGCCACCCAAGATGAAGAGACCACCAACACCAACCATTCCTATAATATGTCAGTCAACCGAGAAGGGCTATAGCTTTGCAAGTCGCCTACCAGATATAGCATTGGTCACACTCATCAAGGGTGAGTGGAGAGCAGGAGAAACGCCCCAGACAACGCGGTAACCGATTAATGAAGCAAGTCCGAAGGTAAAGGCATTTCCCATGAATATTGGGCCTGTGAGTTTTCCAAGTGCCAAAACAGTGCCCATTCCAGCAGTTACGGTAGCCACTTCTCGAGAAGTCTTCTGGAAAGGCGTCAGCGCAACTACCTGTTCCTCGGGCTTGGCAGCCGGTTTGGCAGCAGGGGCTGGCGGTGGAGCTGGTCGAGGAGCTGGTGGTAGGATTTCTCCATTGCGCGTGACGATAGCACCTCTAACGACTTCGTCGCTTAAGTCAACCCCAAAAGACTTATCCTGTGGTGCCATTGAGAGAAGGAACTTGACGATGTTGTTCGAGTACAGGGTGGACGATTGCGTAGGTAGTCTAGATGGCAGATCCGTGTAGCCTTTGATGATGAGTAATACATCCCTTTGAAATACATAGATAGCTGAGTCTTACCAATGATTTTCACGTCATTGTAGGTTGCTAGTTTACCAGGTTGGGTCATTTCGCAATTGCCTCCAGCTTCGGCAGCCAAATCTACAATAACTGAGCCTGGCTTCATTACCTCGACCATGTCTTTGGTAATCAATTTCGGTGCACGCTTTCCCGGGATAAGAGCCGTCGTGATAATGATGTCGACATCTTTGGCCTGTTCGGTGAAAAGCTTCATTTCGGCAGCGATAAACTCAGGAGACATTTCCTTGGCATAACCTCCAGCGCCGGACCCATCTTCTTCTATCTCGACCTCAATGAACTCAGCGCCAAGAGATTGTACTTGCTCCCTTGCCGCAGAACGCGTGTCAAATCCACGGACGATCGCCCCCATTCTCCGAGCTGTTGCGATAGCACTTAGACCGGCAACTCCAGCGCCAATGACAAGGACCTTGCAAGGGGGGATTTTTCCTGCTGCTGTAACCTGACCAGTCAAGAAACGACCAAAATTGTTAGAAGCCTCTAGTACTGCCTTATATCCAGCAATATTTGCCATTGAGCTAAGAGCATCGAAAACCTGTGCGCGAGAAATGCGGGGAATCATGTCCATAGCGAAAGAGGTAGCTTTACGTGCAGCGAGGCGCTCGACGATATCCTTGTTCTGTGCGGGCTGAAGCATCGAGATGATGGTTGCCCCTTCCTTGAGGCTATCAATCTCGTTGACATTGGGGCCTCGAACTTTCAGGATGATATCGGCTTGACTCCAAACATTGTCTCTGTCCACTAAAGTAGCACCAGCATTCTTGTAGGCTTCATCCAGAAAGTCAGCTTGTGCGCCCGCGCCACGCTCTACCAAAACATTACGGAACCCCTTTTTCTTCAATAGCGCAACATTTTGAGGCGAGATAGCCACACGGCGCTCGTTAGTAAACGTCTCGCGAGGCACACCTACGGTAAGGTTGGAGTATGGTATAGATGGCGTAGACGGCGAGTCAACGACAGTTGAGTATGATGTAATGGAGATTGTACGGTTTGTAGCATTCCAGTTACTTTCAAACGTCTTCTTGGGTAAAGCTGGTAAGACAGTAGGCTGCTTTATGTGTGTACTATTCCATCGTCGGCAACAGCTCACAGTCACCCCTCCAGGATGTGTCTGAGTTGACCATTCTATGCATGGCGTTGTTTTAGCACCTATCCCCTCTCAAAACCTAAGGCGTCCTGAGGCCTGTATGCAGATTATGTTGGTGAACTATCACGCACCTAAAACACGCGACGCGGCGCGACGAGCGAGCCCATCTGTCGCACGAGATGAAGCATGATTAGCGACTAGCGCTGGTCTAAGCAATGAGCAAGACATCATATTGACAGAACTCAATAATGGTCTGCCATGCAGAGAAGATTCAAAGAGTCATTTGTGGTCATTCGCGATAGCTCCCAAGACAGCCGCGCATTCCTAAAGATGGAACAAACAAAAAAGAAAATCACAAGGAGTGAGAAGTATAGACACAACGTTCAGAGAAAGAGGACAAGTGATGCCATACTACCAAACACGGATAAGAGCGGCAACTAAGGAGTCGGGAACGCGAGCGGGGGGACAAAAGTAAAAATACCTACCAAACTATGTAACCTTGAATAACCTCCAAGGTAATGGATGTGTTCATACCTTGCCTCCTACATACCTAATCTAGGTAGGTACCTAAGTTAGTATGGTAGTAGATAGGTCCGGTACGTAGGTAAGTATGGATGATAGACGCCGGACCCTGTTCCAAATTCCAAGTGCCTCTGCAACTTAGAACTCTCTATTCGCTCTCTATTCGACCTGCCATCCATGGACTCCTCCCCGCTTCTAAGGTGACCGGCTTCTATCTGCCTGCAGTAGTTGACCAGGCATTTTAGATCGTTTGGGTCATTTGGATCATCTGGACAAGTTGGCGAAACCAACCGTGCCAATCAAAAACATAGCTATATCTAAATCCATGGCCAGTTCTAAAGGTCGGTGTCAGATAATAGCCGATGGGAGATCGAATAAGATGTTCGAGAACACGGCGCGTCGCACGGGAAAGGCACCATGATTCTGCCTAGGTAGTTGAAATATTTGGAACAAACAATGAAGTAACAAGTTGGACAAAGGCGAAACGTTACGCAACATTGAAGGTTCAAAATGCTTGGAGAGAAGAACTAAACCAAAACAGCCAGGGCGGGCCAGGGCGGCATGTGAGGCTTTGGGTAACATACCCTAGGTCCCTAGCAGCCTAACAAGGGTACATACAGCAGGTCGAACCAGGCCTAGCCCAACTGAGGAAAGTCCATGAGATCCATGAGACGTTGGACCCACAAAGAGTATCCCCTCCACAGCGGGATGTATGGAGAAGGTGAAATATGCGGGCACCAATCAGGACAGGGTTAATGTTCACATCTGGCCTGAAAAGTGGACTGCAGAACAAATATTGTTCTTTCAACATTAATTGATAATTACTACTACATGTATGTAAGTGCCCTGCTCTACCAACCATACATCCAACTTTCTATCATCAAGTGCAACACTACCTAGGTACATACAAAAACATACACCATCCCCTTCCATCTTCGGATAGTCCAAACACCATTTATAAAAGAAGAAGAAACACAAACCCAAAAAGTCCCCAGATTAGACGTACGGCTTGACTTGCTCCTCACACCATTCCCAAAACTTCTTCCCAGTTCCATTACCGCCTTCTTCTACAGTCTTGGTCGCTTCGATTAGATCCTTTCGGAATGGGGCAATGCGTCCCCATGGAATTACTGTAAGGTCGGAGATTAGCCCTTGCACCATTGAAAGGTTATATATAATCATGATCGAAAAAAAGGTTGCTTACCCCAACTGCCAGTATTTTTAACAGTGATATCAGGTGAAAGACCTGCGTAAAGAAGGGTGTATGCCCCATTGATAGGAGGGTACGTGATGAGGTTCGTGATCATCTTCACCAGGCCCGCCGTGTTACGGTACAGATCCGAAGCGAGGTTTCCAGGATTCAGTGGGATGCTGATGACACCGTCATCCTTGTACCGCTTCGCAAACTCAACGCCGTGCATCCAGTTGCCAACTTTGCTGATGCTATACCTGTACATATACGGCTTCTCGATGTGGTAGTCTAAGTTGCTCATGTCGATGCCGACTGACTTCTCGCCGCCTATTTGCGCACCCACTGATGAGACCCAGACTACGCGAGATGTGCCCTGAACCTTGGCCGTCGAGGCAAGAATAGGTGTCAGGAGCTTCGTGAGTGCAAATGTGCCCAGCACGTTCAAGCCAAGGTGGTATTCATAGCCCTGGGATGTCTTGCTAGGCTCCGGGAGTGGGTTCTGGACGCCGGCATTGTTGAAGAGGACGTCGAGTCTCTTTTCCTTGGCGAGGAATTCGTCTGCTGATGCCTTTATCGTGGTCAAATCGTTAAGGTCCAACTTTAGGAATGCCAAGGCACCTTTGGAATTAGGGTGAGCCTTCTTGATATCCTCTATGGCCTTGTTCGACTTGTCCAAGGAGCGCGCCGCGATGTACACTTTCGCATTCTTGGAGTAAAGGATCCGAGCCGTTTCCTTGCCTATGCCCGTGTTCGACCCGGTAACAATGTACACCTGGAGGGAAATCTATCAGCATGTAGTCCAGAATGAATTAGTGTCCGTCGCTCACTTTTCCTGATAAATCGGGTATATTTTTCTCAGTGAACTTCGGCTTTCCGGGGGGGAAGAACTGAGTCAGAATACTTGAGAATTGCCCCATTGTAAGTGGCCTGTAAGAGGAGATTACTTGACGAACAACGATAAAAAGTGTATGAAAGAAAAATATGAAAAAATGCAACAACAAGCTGCGATGCAGATTTTTCCTACCAAACTGTTCTGAATGCTGAATTCTAATTTCATTACTTGCACGGAATCAAGTTATATTTTATACCCAACGTCAACAGCTATCATTCTCGACTCCTTCGTCACAGCCCACCAGGCATCTCCCATAAGATCATCACGGCCACGTCCACAATTCTCCTCTCCACCAATCAAATGCGAAAGATCCCGAGTGGGCCAATGAGATCTTTAGATTGATCCCTCAGCTAAAAATACCCAAGCCCGGATCATTAATATTGGCCGGGGTACCGGACAGCCCCGTACCTTGGCACCCGATTCCAAGTGCTTAACTCCGATATCCTCGATTAGTCGTAAATGGATGAACTGAGAAAAGATAACATGTGAACGCCGTTCACGTGTTCTACGGATTGATCTCATATAACTGGTTTCTCCATGTTGGAGACTTCATGCCGTACAAGAAGGAGTCATGGTTCGGGCCATAAGCCCAACGTTATCAATCAATCTTCCATAAGTACAGCATAGTCACCCATCCGCAGTATAGTGTTCCTTGGTAACTACGAGAACAAAGAAAGTTATTTTCATGATCATTGGAAACTGATATTGTTTAACAGCTAACAAGAGTCTATTGTATCAGGGACAATACTTAATCGCATTGTTCTCGACTAAGAACACTATGTCAAGTTCATCAAAGCCGTAGGAGAAAGGGTCTTCATACAAAGTCCAGCTAAAAAGATTTTGTATCCTTCGTAGGTAAGTAGGTGTGTATGGCTATAAACCTACCTTGGAAATTAATTCATGTAATCTAATCCACCCTCCAGAGATTTTGTTTGTCATGTGCCGTAAGCCATGGAAGACTCGATGACTACTTACATATCTTCATCTACACTGGCTTGGTACGTATGCATTGGGCTTCGCGCCCTCTAACCTTGAAGTTCGTGCTTATTCCAATACAGTACCAGTACCTAGACATATTGATTCCAATTTACGAGATAATAGTACAATCCCGAAGTAACCTGTAGTTATCTTAAGGAGTCTTTTGTCCGGGAAACTACATAACAATCACACAACAATGAGCATTGATTCTGATGTTCCTTCAGCCCCTATCTAACAAAGGGAAACCTGCTTGCTTGAGATTTATTTATATCCCAACAATCAGATTGCTGCAAAACTGCCATGCCCCTACCATAACACATAGCACTGATCGTCAACGCCCTCTTGGAAGTCGAACAAGACATATAAAGGGCCCCATGCCAAAAAAACCACCAGTCCTAGGATGCCTCTTAAAGGGGTAATGTAATGTAATATCGGTCCGGTACCAACACCATCCATCCACTACCTAACCAACCACCATGTGTCGCCGGATAAACCTCGAAGTCTGCTGCGAGGACGAGCCCAGCCACGCCTTCCCGCACACTCTCGGCATCAAGAACGTCATCTCGCTCTGCGGCGCCGCGACGCTAGAGCAATCGCTCGAACTCATCCCCCGCACCACCACCACCACCGGAGCGCAGTACTTCCCGCACGCCTACGCCTACGACTGCCCGTCCTTCGACCAGACGTACGTGCGGCTCGAGCGGATCTTCTGGACGACCTGCGACGTGTGCGTGCGCCGGCGGTACGGCGGCCTCGCCGACGTGACGGAGCAGGACCTCGAGATCACGTGCGCGCGCAACCGGCTGCTGTACGGGCAGCTGCAGCGGGCGCTCGAGGAGCGCCCGTACGCCGACCTCGTGCGCGCGTTCCCCGCCGAGTTCGAGATCCACCGGCGCTACGTGCTGGCGGGGTCGCGGTGGCGCGAGGCGCCGGAGCCGGCCCCGCCGCCCCACGACCCCCTGGGCCCCGACCCGCCGCTCGACGCCGAGCTCGAGGGCCTGAGGTGGTGGTACGAGATCGGCATGGGGGGCGCCGTCGACCAGGAGATCTGGAGCGAGTTCTGCGTGCTGAACAACATGCCGCAGGAGAAGATCTACTACTGGCTTCCGAAGGTGCCGGAGGCGCCGCCGAGGAAGACGCCGGAGTACTTCCCTAATCCGGATTGATGAGTCTAATAACGTGTGGGTTGGGATGCGTGGTAGGTAATCGTAATAATTATTTTACGCAAGATCGTTTACGGAGTGGGTTTTTTATGAAGACGTGCGGTGTGGGAGCGCCGCGCCTGCGACAGATATAGGGGGGTTATGTTCCAAGGTTTACTAGTTAAGAGTACATGGGCGTTGCAAAGCGAGGTACGAAAGAGTCTGTTGAGCCCCCTCTGTGTATCATTTCCTAACTACTTCAAGTACAAAGACATAAACCCCCTACCAGACGAGACTTCGAGATAATTCCCAGGTTGGGATTTCCCGCTAGGACGGCGAATAAACACAGCGTCATGGCAGCCAGGAGCTGTCTCGTTCACTCCAGCCCAGCTTTAGCACTATATCCCAACACATCAGTCTTTCTTGGTGTCTTCCTTGGTGTCTTCCTTGGTGTCTTTCTCGGTGTGCACTACAACAGTCCAGTCAGCTTTCACGCATTCTAGAGAGAAAGGTGTAGGAATAATTACCCCAATCGTAGTGGTGGCAGTTGTCACAGAGCGAGCTGTTCTCGTCAGACGAGAACTCGGTGCAATTGCAGCTGGCCTTCTTCGAACCTGAGCAAGTGGCCTCGTACTGGGGCATGTTGGGTGGATTGTTGTAAGGCTAGAAAAATGGATTGGTGTTATGTGTGCTGGGTATGGTTTCTGAGCAAGTAGGTAGCTTATACGGCTTGAATGTGATGTCGAGGTAAGAGACTTCCGACGAGGAGTAGAGGTACGGGTAGTTTATATACTAGTCGGTACCAGATAGTAAAGCTGTGCATATTCCAAAAGCTATGCCAAAAGAAATGTGAGGCATGATGCTATAAGGGCCAAGACAATCGGCGTCTGACACATGATCATAATTAGGTACCTAGCCCTCGTCTTCGACGGAGGTAGAGAAAATGAGGCTGTAGATATCGCGTACCTCCACTAGGATTGGAAAATGTCGCTTTGCATGCTAGACTAATGTGACTCTGGTTTGAGCCATAAGAGTCGGGCGTTCTTGGAGACAAAGTTGCAGCTCCCATTATCTCTTGAGAAGCGCAAGGCTACCAATCGAAGTACGACACATACATGCAATGCTTACACACCACGCAACTGCTATCTACAAAGTGCAAGTTTAGGTTATCAGGTGAGCAGATGGCCAATATATGGCTCCTATAATAATGTTAGACCGGTTTCGAAGTAAATGTGTGACACGACATGGAGATGAGGCGAGCCTTACGGAAGAGTAAGGGGGGTGAGTTAGTGCTGACAGAAGTTGAGTCGGCAGTTACCAAGGAGCCGCATTGAGGAGGATCCTCCCAAAGTCACAGATTTGCGTGCATTTTTGTGTAGTGGACTTGTAGAATCTTTTTGAATGGGTCCGGAAGGCACTGCTAGGAAAATAAAATAAATGGGGGCGGGAGGGGATTTAAGGTATGAATAGCTTCACTGTATAGGTGTAGGTGGGCAAAAATAGAAAAAAATAAAAAATAAAAGAAAAAACAAAAAGTTTGTGGTAGGATTGAACCCGCACCCTCGGGCGTCCCACAGTGGTTTTCGTTCTGAACCCGCACTCTTTGGGGAGCCCTGGTGGTTTTCGCACCTCACCACTGAGCCAACCTAGGTTGAAAACCCAGGTACCCAGGTTCTCACCCAGGAAGTGGTAGTTGTTGGTTTCCGGGGACCTATAAGTTTAACTTCGGTGTGGAGGTTCCTGGGTTCCTAGGATAAATGGTTTCGCCGGTGAGCCTGGTGATGCCTGAGGCGCCAAATGTGCATATCGTGATCGAAGAAATAAGGTTACAAGCTTACGTAGGTACCTATGTATCTTTCCATCTGGTACTAAGTACTTGGTACAGTTAAACATGGAGGCAATACTAGGTATGGTCAACGAGGTTGCCTACGCTGTATATATTGCAGCTGTGCGTCTTTCATGGCCTACGAAGTAAGTGTCTCTCTAGGTACACATAGTACACAGACTAACTATCATAGAGGCTAATCCATCGTGTGCCTTCCACACAAGCTATCCCCTTCATGTCTACAAGAGCCCCTGGCATGAGCAATAGTGCCTGATACCAGGTTATATACCAGGAAGGCAGGCGATCGAACAATTTAGATGGTCACACTTCGACCACCTGATAATGCCATAAAACCCAGATAGGCACGTGTACTATGCCTCTCTATCACAGCAACCCACCGGCGCCTCCTCAATCTCCGTAGCATGCTCCTTATAGTACCTCACCATATCCTCAAACTCCCTCGTCCCCTCCGGCCAACAACCCCCATCCTCCATCAGCATCTTCTGCAACCCCTCATACTCAGGGGTATCCATCTTAATGACATACGTCTTCCCCGCCACGTTATCTTCTAAAAAAGCACTGTCAGCCTGGACAGCGTTCCAACTATCGTGAGCACGCTCGCGCATGAAGGCTAAGCGCTCGGCGTGGGTGGAGAGGGCTTTGTAGGCCCGTCCGTCGTCGGAGTCTATGCGGATGGCGTAGACCGTGTAACTGCCGTTGGGCTTGTTTTCTTGGTCGTGGATTGTGTAGAAGGGGTATTCGCCAGGCTGCGCCATGGTGGTAATTTGAAGAATACAACACGATGATGGTTATAGGTACATAAAGGTAGGGATTCAGAACTAGCAAATGGGTTGAAGTTGGCGAGAAGAGCCAGGCCTGTAGATATTGTAGTTTCAGCGCTGACTCAGATGATCTACAATGCGGAGGGCTCGAAGGAATGCCATGCATATTCACACTTGGAGTTCAACACTACAAAAATGAAACTAAGGCAATTAGATGTTACTACTCAAGATGCGATACACCCACCTCCCTACCCCTATTAGAATCTCTGCAGTACCGCAAGGCCTCTTAAATGCTTATACTCAGGTTCACATTTTAGCCATGGGACAACGTTGGTTAGGTAGGTATCATTGATTTGATTGTTTTAAGATTTTAGTCGATGACTGGCTAGATGTTTACGTAGTAAGCAGGTTATAGCTATCAGTATCCAGCAAGTCATCTCACTCCGCAACTGCAAGAGTCAATCTCTTGCTTTCCTTCGGAAGATTAGGTAGGTAGATTACCATGATATTACCGAGGTCGAAGCAATAGCTCGCCCTCCATATTTATGCTTTTTAAAACCCTCATTAATCCCAACCCATCGAATCATCCGTAGATAAGCCAACCCTCACGATGCATCGCTGCCTCCTGTGTAATGGGGTTCCCAGATTCAGATGCCACATGCCATATCATAAGCAGTTCTCCCACCTCTTTTTTTTTTTTCCCCATGCATTAATTTTCCCCACCCAACTAATCCATCGCCCATCTTCTCATCCAAAACAAACCCCCCTTCCTTACTGCGCCGGCACAACACAGTCCACCTCCTGCACAAACTCATGCGTCCACTCCGAGCCCGCCGGCAGATCCGGCAACGCCGCGCACAGCGGCCTGAAGCTGATCCCCACACAGTCCGCCGGCGCGCTCTCGCCCTCGTACACGTAGCGCACGACCGTCATGTTCGACCGCGTGTAGCCCACGAACCTCTCGCAGGCCGCCCAGCCGCCGGGCGCGGGACCCCCCAGCACCACGCTCCCCGCATCATTACCGCCGCCCTGCCTCACGACGCCGACGCCGAGGCTGCCGCCGCCGACGTTGACGCTGACGCCGTGCTCGCCGGGGTACGTTGCGTCGGACGCGTCCTTGGCGAGCACGTTGATGCCCCAGGGGAACGACGTGCCGAGATCGTTGAGCACGTCGCTGGCGGCGGCGTCAGAGGTGCCGTTCGTGTAGAAGGGGGCGGCGCCGGCGTCGGTGGCGCTACCGATGATGGCGATGTTCTGGCCGGCGCCGACGTGCGCGGTGCCGATGTAGTGGCCCGCGATGGAGGGGGTCAGGTCTTTGGACGGGTCGAGGAGTTGTACTTGGAGGTTGTAGGCTTTGGCGCGGGAGAGCGCGGGGCTGGTGGTGGTGGTGGTGCGCTTGAGGGGGGAGGCGCTGGCGAGGGCGAGGAGGGTGAGGGTGGTGAGGGAGGCGAGCATTTTGACTGTGATATTTTTTGGTGGTGGAAGGTAGATGTGGTGGGATGTGAATGTGTGATATCGAAGAGATGTCAAGGTATATTTAATTAAATATTAGAGAGATGTTATAATTAAGATATGAGTGTGATTAATGTGTGGTTGTTGATGATCAATGACAATGTTCCCTCTCAGTAACTGGCGATCGGTTTTATTTATGTTTCTCGGTGGCAACGGCGTATGACCGAGTGTGTGTGTGTGCCTGAAAGCGAAAAAAAAAAAGAGAAAAGACACAAAGCTTACAAGGTAGTAAATCCCGAAATTTCAATATTTCGTCATACATGCACCCTCACTCATTCAAAGCTAACAATTCGAACCAAGCATTGTGATCGACACGAGGTCGGAGCGCTGCAATCAATACGAAGCTGCGGTCAGCCTCCAGGCGGAAAGTGGAAACAACCAACCAACATCGGGCGGCGCGATCTCGAGATCGTTGGCCCACGTTAACCCGTTCAGCTCCGTTCCCTCATTGGCTAGGCAGCAGTGGTAGTGGTCCTTCGCAAGCCAATTAATCTAGCGTTCTTCAGAGGCTGAGCCCGCCCCTTATTTGCAGAAGGGGGGGCTGACGGGTGTGCTTACGGACCTGCGCCGCTCGGCTATTCCTAACTAGCCGCCGTGCCTCGAATAAATAGCGGACCGTTTGGTCGATGGAACGTATCATACATATATTTATTTCGGTCAATATTTGGGTATGTTACGAATTGCTACGCAGGTTGGGTTATTGTTACTACCGCCGTCGCCGAGCAAACATGTTTCCCCGGAGCAAACGAGACAATTCCCTCAGGTAAATTCAATCAAATGGTTAGACATCATATGAATCGGGCTACGGAATCGGCGAAACTAATCGCACCCATATGCAGATTTCCATAGTGTTAATCGGTGATAGGTCGTATGTACGGCCTTCACCCCGCTACCCCTGAACCCCTGGATCGTATACCAGAGCCTCAATATATCCTATTCTCAACAACGTCCTCGGACCATCGCCGTTTATGTATCCAACCAGATGCGCCAGAATGATATTTCAATTTTAGGTATCTTATTCCCGACTATGGGAATTATATGATCATCTATCATGCCGCTACTTTTACCATCAACAAAGGCTCTTTGACCTTAGCGTAGCTCGCAACCCGCCAACACCGTAACGCAGCCAATGTCCTTCCAATGATGTTCTCCAAGCTCTTTCCCCGGAGAGCCCGGTACTGAGCATGGCAAGTTCTGGCGAGCTGCCTAGGTGACTTACTAGCTCTTCGTGCAAAGGGAAGTTTCCCAAAGATGGAGAATACATAGCAAATGAGCTACGGTGTAGCTGCCCCTATATCACTATCTAGTTTAGATATGACTCAACAAGTGCAGCCAGTTCATCGTCACACTTCACGAGCTAATCTTTCGCGCGTGCTGCTTCTACCTAAGTATACCACGCCCATCATTTCAATCTAATGGGCCTTCATACTGCCCCGATTAGTTGGTTGGGTGATGGTTACAATATCAAATCCGCTGGTCTCACGCATAAACATGCCTATTCTAGGCCTCCATCTCGGCAAAGCTCATATTGATTACTGGGTGGCCCCTTTATCAGCACTTTCTTCTGAAGAATATCTAGGAACTTCGAAACATCCCATTTAATGGAAGAGTTGCAAACCAATCAGAGAAAAAATGGCCAATCAAAACACATAATAACGAGTGGTGTCGCATACTACTACTGCTACTACTACGGAACTCAGCTCACGTTAACCTAAAATACACCACAACCTCCCTATCCCTATCCCTATCCTAATCCCAAGGATATAAAGTGAGTGTACGAGAACCTCACCCTCATTTTCCGGCCACCTTCCCTCCCCACCTTGACTAGGTATGCATCCCCGTACCAGGACTCAGTTATTGATGCAAGGCTTATCGCAATGCGCGATGTAATTGCTCTCAGCATCGTTGCGACACTTTCCGCTGCACGCGCACAGGAGTTCGACACTTGACGGCTGCTCGTTCATGCAGACGAAGACAGCCTGGGACACGTCGGTTTTGGGCTTGCCATTGACGCAGAGCTCCTGGAGACCGCTGCAGTAAGCCTTGCTAACGTCGTTGGGGGCGAAGTCTAGAGAGCGGTTAGTAATGAGATTTCCTTCTAGGGACGTAGAGGTAAGTGGTAGGATATACGTACTATGGCCGCTAGAGGTGAGCATGTACCCGCAGTAGGTATAGCCTTTGCCGCACTTCGGACCACCGCCCGGAGAACTGCTTACTACTGGAGCGGGGGCGGTGCCTGTTGACGATGACCCCCCAGGAGAAGGGGGTTCACCGGTGGGTGGAAGAGGGGGCGCCACCGAAGAACCCGTGGGGTCAGCCCGTGGGTAGAGTCCCGTCTTCGCCAGAGCCGAGCTGGCTAGGAGGATAGAACTGAAAAGAGCGTATAGTCTCATATTCAAAAAGTGATGTCCTTTAGGTTCTTCTATATGTGTAATGATATCTTGATTAAATGGAGGAAGGTTGTTTGCTTGGTTCTCGGCAAATCTATAAGCACGCCACGATCTTATGACCTTTTATAGGTCTTCGCACAGAGGGAGTATAAGCCAACTGGAGATGGTAATGGAACGTATAGTGCTGACGGAAACGATCGTTACAGGCAACAAAAGCAGAATGACCTACACGTCTAGGATACTTGGACACGTCTTGGTGGAACATGTTCGTGATATGGCTGGATACCTCATATGGAAGTGAAAGGCGAAGCATCGAAGACGTGGGAGCTTGCATTAGATATTTGGCTGGATATATCCAAGATGGACTCCATAATCCGTTCTAGCATGTTTGTGCGGCATCACGCAGACACACGACGAAGTGCAACATCGTGGGGTTCTGGTTTGGGAAAAGGTTCCCGTATAGGATGGGTGACGAATTCAGTAGCACCCGTGCTTCCCCTGATGAGGTTGAGGCGTAACACCCGAAGGGCGAGATCGTGGCCTCGGCGAGTTAACTGTTGCGAACCTAGGTAATAATACTAGGTACTGGTTACGTATCTAGTATTGTACAGGATCTTGATGCATATGCGTTGTTCTGCATAGTCAAAGATGAGATGCAGCTAATGTAGCGAGATCTGCACCACAGAGAAGTCATAGTTCTAGAATTATCCTTGACTTGAATCAAGGAATAATCCGGAGGCCAGCCCGACGATACTAAAGATTACACGCTAGGACAATAGGTCATAGTTTAGCAATCATTTCGAATCGGGAAGATAGGATCGATCCGTCCATGGATATGGATGTTTGTGAATATTGTTTACCACCCATATTCCACTACCCGCCCAGCCTACTATGTAAGGATAGTCTCATCTCGGAGGGTTGAAGATGTCTCGCGGGAATTAGGAGACATTCGAAACGGAGATTTTAGATACCCAGGGTGTAGTTGGTAGTAGTATAAAACAAAGATTGTGAACCCTGTAGTCCTCAATCCTAGGCTGAGCTGAGATTAACTATTTTGACTTGACGATATTCCATGTATGCTGGCAACCTGCGAATACATAGTATCAAGGTAAGTTGGAAATGAGACACGAACAAAGCCAACAAAGCCAACGCCTTTAAAAAGTAAAATGTGAAGAGGTTAATACACTTTACTTGACTACGCTGGTTATGTGCATAGAGTTAAGTTACATGCATTTACCTAACCTCTGTAACACATGAGATGGCACTGACACACGGCAGCAGCCGCTCGCACGTGCAGATAATGTCCCTGCTTCCCTGCCTCCCTGCCTGTCTTTACTAGGTAAGGCCCCGATCGGAATCTTTCTTAAACTGCCTCTTACTTAAATATCCCTACTATAAAGTGGGTTTTTGGTCATAAAAGTCATCAGCCACAACATAAAAACAACACCTTACTTAAAACAGCTAGGAAGCTATTTGCACAAATTCTGTAAGATCCCTGTAACGATTTTAAGAGCCTCTTGGCAGGTATCTTTTAAATTGGGTCAAAAACTAAACTACATCAAGTAAAGCGTCTCCATTTTTCTCAAAAATAAGGCCTTTTTTAAGAGGCGGTTGAAAGGTAGGGTCTTACGTTAAACTCGACCTTACAAAGTGGGTCAAATATGCATTGTTTTTTGAGAATAAACACTTCTTTTAAATAGATAAAGTCCATTTAAATAGATAAAATTCTTAAAGAAAAGCTTAATTATTAGTCAATTTTATAGCGTTCTAATGAATATTTGTTTATAAAGGTGGCTATTAAATTGAATTTTATTTGAATTTATTTGAATTTATTTGGATTATTTGAATTTGAATATTGCGGTCGGTAACCTCAGAGGTTGAATTCTGGCTCCAAAGGTTCAATTCTGGAAGAGAATCGCAGGGGATGAAAAGATACATTCTGGACCCATATATTCTTTATGCATTCGAATGTACCTCTCCACTTTCTAAGAGGCAGTTTAAGAAGGATTCCGATCGGGGCCTAAATATGTACTACTAGTAACTAGTAGTTAAACCCTTTATCGATAATTCCTCCGACTTCTGCAGCGTAGTGCCCCGCAGTGGTCGCTCAGTAATGTACAATACAATACCTATCTATCCAGTACCCCGCCGAAGATTCCGGTGTTCCAATTGCATTGAACATTATCTTAAGCCGCCCGAGTTCTATGTATGCGCTTCACAAGTTCATCCATTGAACTTTGCCATCTCGATTCTACTACATGTACATACCAGAATAACGAGGCTCTAAAGTTACACAGTTTTCCAATTGAAGGCTTGAAAAAAAATCGTTAAATCTAAGCGCTCAAAATCCCCCACAACCGCCATCCTCAACGGCGCATAGATATTGAGACATACATACCTAACCTACGTACTTACATATCGCCATCTATACAAAACTCTCAACCTAATATCAATTCCATCACTAACAACCAACACTCTCCCAAAATGTCAACCCCAGCAACCCACCCCGTGATAACCCCCTCCTCCTCCTCCACCTCCACCTCCACCAAACCCCTCATCCGCGTCGGCACGCGCAAGTCCGCCCTCGCCCTCAAGCAAGCCGACTACGTCGTCACAGCTCTCCGCCAACTCCACCCAGCCGTCGACTTCGAGATCCGGGGCATGCACTCCTCCGCCGACATAGACAAGATCACCGCCCTGTACAAGTTCGGGGGCAAGGGCCTCTGGACGAACGAGCTCGAGGCCGAGCTGCGCGTCGGCGAGCTGGACATGATCGTGCACTCGCTGAAAGACATGCCGACGGTGCTCCCCGACGGGCTCGTGCTCGCGTGCGTGACGCCGCGCGAGGATCCGCGGGACGTGGTCGTCGTCAAGCAGTCGCTCGGTGACAGGTACAAGAAGCTCTCTGACCTGCCGGCCGGCGCCGTCGTCGGGACCAGCAGCGTGCGGCGGATGGCGCAGATCCGGCGGCGATACCCGCACCTGCGCTTCGAGGACGTGCGGGGCAACATCGACACGCGGCTGCGCAAGCTCGATGCCGAGGACGGCGAGTACTCCGTGCTGATCCTCGCCGCGGCGGGTCTGCTGCGCATGGGGTTCAGCGCGCGCATATCGCAGTACCTCGAGAGCGGCACCGAGGGCGGCGGCATGCTGCACGCCGTTGGCCAGGGGGGTCTGGGCATCGAGGCGCGTGGCGATGACGAGCGCACGCTGAAGCTGCTGGCGCCGCTTCAGGACCACGACGCGATGCTCGCGTGCGAGGCGGAGCGCAGCCTGATGCGCACGCTGGAGGGCGGGTGCAGCATCCCGATCGGCGTGGAGACGAGCTGGGTCGGCGACGACGGGAAGCTGAGGCTGGCGGCGACGGTGGTCAATGTCGAGGGCACGGAGGCGGTGGACGCGGACAACGCGGCGGTGGTCAAGACGCGGGAGGAGGCGGAGGCGTTCGGGAAGGTGGTCGCGCAGCAGCTGACGGATAGCGGCGCGCAGAAGATCCTCGACGTGATAAATGCGGACCGCGAGGCGAGTCGGGATAGCGCGCAGCCGTGGGTGCCGGCGTAGAGACTTTTCTTTTTTTTTTTACTTTCCTCCAACAGCTATGAAATCTATACCAAAAAGAAAACATACCTAGTAGCATATTCGGGAGCATGTACTTTCTAGAGACTTGGGTTTATAAAAAATAGAAAACGTTAGATGACTGATGACTGGGACGGATATGCTTTATAGAAATCATGATGATGGGCAATCCCCATCTATGCAACCATCTTCTTTTTTTTATGTAGGTAGAAATCTGTGCAGATATGATATCGCACCATGGATGATGAGGGCCACCTATGGTCTCATAATACCCCAAACGAGTTAATGATACAAGGTTGAGCCCGTTCTCTCTGCTTCTCGTTCAGTTGTTGAAAATATGACATGTCCCGTTTCCGGTGAACACCTGCCTGCCCTTGTTCCTCTTAAACCATACCCTCTTCTCCATCCTTCTGACGGAACTTTCCAAACCCTTTCAAACGGACTGCGATCGCACAGAACCTCCCCCCTCTTCACCTCCACCTCCACCTTAATGCTCGACCCCAGTAAACGCCTTATACTCCTCGGGATCCATCAGCGCCTCGAAGTCCTTGACGCCCTGCTCGTCGACCTGGACCTTGGCGATCCAGCCGCCGCCGTGGGAGTCGTCCTCGGGGACCTGGTTGATGGTGCCGGGCTTCTCCTCGAGTGCGAGGTTGATGGCGGTGACGGTGCAGGCGATGGGGGCGTTGATGTCGGCGGCGCTCTTGACGGACTCGACGGCGCCGATGGCGTCGCCCGCGCTCACCTGTTTGCCTTCCGCGGGGAGCTCAACGTACACGACGTCGCCGAGCTCCTCGGCGGCGTACTCCGAGATCCCGATCACGCCGGCGGTCTTGTCGGCGTTCAGGTCGATCCATTCGTGGTCTTTGGTGTATTTGCGGATGTCTCCTGTGGTGTTGAGTCGACGGTCAGTATTTGGATTTGTTTCGAGCGTGGGGGCGTGCTTGTGTATACTTGGAATTGTGAAGGGTAGATGTGATGATGTTGAGTGGTTTTGGGGTTAAAGATTGGCGACATCGGAGAGTTACTACTTACTTATCGGCGAGACAGAGAATGCTCGCAACGAGGCCGGTTGCCAGTTTGATGTTATGTATGGTGTTTGTGCTAGTCTCGAGAGAGTGGATGGTCTAGCTGCCCGAAGGCATCGCGCAATTGATGCCATATTTGATTTGGTTATTGGAGTGTGTAGTGAAGCTTGAGAATGTGGAAGAGAGAGTTTGTTGCGGTTGCGGTAAAAGCTTCTTCTCCTTCCTTTTTTTTTCTTTGAAGCTTTGTGTAACTGATATCCGTATCAATGTATCGTATCGATGATACCACCACTAGATAGGTACTTTGAAAATTGTTAGGTAAGGCTGGTACGATTATCGAACAAGGGACGCCGAAGAGTTATCCGATATAAGAGTTCACACTGTACAATTTGTATGTAGGATGGCATTGTGCTACACAGTTCTTGACAGTGTGAGCTACGCCAGCTAGCTACTAGTAGTAGTACATCATTTGATAACCGATTAGCCAATTAGAGATACCTGGTAATGACAAGAGCCCCGCGTCATGATGAAACTCGGCTTGACATTTTAAACCTCAATTGATAAGAGACATTCATTATGAGCATATCGGTGAATTGAATTGATTGGCTGAATATGTTTCACGATTGATTGGTCCTCTCAGTAATTCATGCGTTACCTTTCGAACCTGTCTAAGTTAGGTGCCCCTCGTCAACAACAGCAACAACACATTCATATGTACATAGCATTATGTAGGTATGTATTAGGCACCTATCTTACAAATATGAAAATTGAAAACACTCCATCTGGCACCAATAACAACAGAAAACGTCAACAACAACTGCCTAGGTTGCTTTCTGCTTGTCTGCTGACAATAAAATCATCCAATGTCCATCTCCCCATTCAATAATTCTACTACTTAGAGATATCTTGTGGACAACATCGAGGAACAGACTAATCGGGATCGATGATCTTGTCTTCCAAGGTGTTGCACATAATAGGCTACTTGACTATTATGTATTGTTACTATCGTTACTACCACGGTTTCGTGTTTCCCATTTTTTGCGAGGTGAGGTTTCGCGTCGCGCGTAGGATGTGTTGAGCGAACATCCCATCCATCCTGGTGTTCTAGTATCCTATTCGTTGATTATCGTTGGCGCCAGGTAAATAGGTCGCTATACGGATGTGCATACATACAACCCACTTAGGCGCCCTAGATTTTACAAGCATATGAAATCAATCATGTATGAATAAATAGAATTATTGAAACAGAGACATCTAGAGAAGAAGAGCTTGAATTTACATATGTAATATTGGATTCTTCAATGTACAAGTGCTCCCCGCCGTTGTATACATATTAGTTACATAGCCCTGGAATTCTGTAATACGGTACCTAACCCACCCACTATTACAACCCTCACCCCACCAAACAACTTCTACAATACATGCTCCGGCAAGAACACCAGGCCTAAGCTCAACCAAATTGTATGTACCTCATTCGTACCTTGAACATGGTCCCACTGGCGACCCCGTCACATCTCCCGGGATCCCGCATCGGTAGCCAACCTGACATAATGTTACCCACATATTGATACTTTGCCAGCCCTGTCCAGCAAGTTCAGGCTGTCCAGCAAGCCTTAGCAAGCCCAGTGCAGTGCCTGCTAACATTGAAGAGCATTGAAGCTTTACAAGCTCTCCATGACCCATTCATCATCACGCTTCATCCATCCAAATCTCCATTTCAAATCCTTCTACGCTACCACGGACATCTGGACTGAACCGCTCCAAGTACAAAAAGGTACAGGTATGTATGCACAAATGCTAGCTACTAAATAAACCCTGCATTTCCCAAGTGAAGAGCATTGAAGCCATTGAAGGATTGTTCATTATTCATATCACATTATCACCACTCGGCACATCTGGCCTCGTCCCCCGTTTCCACCCCCCCGTTTATCCCGTCTCTCATTCCCCCCGTCTCCGTCCTCTCCTTTCCCTTTGGTTTTTTTTTTAAACGCCTTACCAGCCTACCAGCTGCATCCTGGGATCGACAGCCTTAACCTTTAGAGGCTGGTAATCGATTTCCATCTTGCATAGCGTATTAAATCGACACTTACCTTACTTAACCTTGGTACCTACTTCGTTTACTTGGTAGCCATCAGGACTAACCCGTGACCATAGATAGGTAGTCGACTGGTCCAGATATCATCATACCCCGTCGGATTGATCCCTTCTATCCTTTCGTCGTCCTTCGTCGCCCATTCCAAGACAAATCCCGATGAAGCCAGACACGGGGCTGATCTGAGACCTTCTCAATCTTTTCACTTTTAACTTCGTTTTTCGCATTCCTTACCTCTCCATTAATCACACCCCCACTTGATTAGATTCATAGTCAATACCTCGACTTCTTCGTCATCTTCTTCATTGAAAAAAAAGTCTTCAATCTGGATTCTTCGACGTTCTCGGCGGGGTCTGGAGCCCAGTTCCACGACGCCTTAGATATAATGGATCAAGAACCCCTCGACATACCCGCACCTGCGGCTGCTGCACCTGCGCCCCACGAGATCCCCGACGATACCCTCGGTGGCATCGAAGGGTCTCCGCAGCTATCAGGTGATCCAGGCATTCTTCACGAGCCACATCATCGACAATCGCAGTCCCTCGACCGTGGCCTAGCCAACAACGCACACTCAGATGACGTCGACCCGAACACTCCTCCATACGAAACCCATCCATACGAACCTCCCCCTCAGTCCATACCCAGACCAGCATCATCCATGTCCAACACCGGCGAAAGACAATACAGCGATACCGCACCACGGGATACCAACGGTGCGGATCGCAATACCCGCAACCATGTTGTGATCAAGGTCGGCATGGTCGGCGATGCACAGATTGGCAAGACTTCCTTGATGGTGAAATATGTTGAAGGCAGCTGGGACGAGGATTACATTCAGACACTGGGCGTCAACTTCATGGAGAAGACGATTAGCATCCGAAATACCGAGATCACCTTCAGTATATGGGATTTGGGTGGTCAAAGAGAATTCGTGAACATGCTACCTCTGGTCTGCAATGATGCAGTTGCTATTCTGTTCATGTTCGACTTGACGCGAAAGAGCACACTGAACAGTATCAAGGAATGGTATCGTCAAGGACGAGGGTTCAACAAGACGGCCATTCCGATTTTGGTCGGTACGAAATATGATCACTTCGTCAACTTTCCTCGAGAGGACCAAGAGGAGATCTCGAATCAGGTAAGGTTAAGGTTGACAGTTACATCCATTCATGCAGCTAACAGTTGTACTAGGCAAAGAGGTTTGCCAAGGCGATGCGAGCTGCTCTTATTTTCAGCAGCACGAGCCACAGCATCAACGTCCAGAAGGTTAGTGCATCTATTCAAACATTGTAACCATTTTGAGGCTTTGCCTACCCACCTACTAGTGTTTTGGAGTAACAAGATGCTAACCACTTTTGTTTTTTTTGTTTGAATAGATCTTTAAGATTGTTTTATCCAAGGCCTTTGATCTCAAATGCACAATACCCGAGATCGAAAACGTTGGCGAGCCCCTCTTACTCTACCAGTCTGTTTAGTTTGGACCGGTTCCCACGATAGAGGTCTTTGGTAGGTTACGTCTAGACCGCCTCGACATACTTTGGCCATGGAGCAATGATGTGTTGCCTGTTGCCTTACCTTTACAAGTCTTGTTCACGTACTTTCACGTGTTTTATGATATTGAATGGCCGTTATGACAACGTGAATCCCAAGTATCCATCGGATCTCAAACAATTAATTCGGTGTCTCATCTAAATAACCCTCAGACAATCAATCAATCACATCACCCTCACACTATCTGATAGAACCAAATGGGAATACACAACTACTTTACACTTTTTGACGACATGCCTCCGAAGAGTTGACATGACAATTCCACAGTACAACTCATCAAGAAAACCAAATTACATACATTTCCTTTGTACCATACGTCGCTAGACGTGTTCCAATCTGCATATCGGCTGCAAATAATTTTGCATTAAGGAGTAAACAACGGCAGATTTTCGACGAGGGAATGGCAGGAGGAGAGGAGGATAAATGCCAAGCATGCACACACACACGATGGGTCACCAGTAGCTATTGGCAATGGATTCAGAGAGAAAAAAATAGGGAAGCGGATAGGTAGGAGGTAGGGGTAGCGGACGAAAGGCACAAGGCACAACGGAGATGGGAGAAAGAACGCTACAGGATTGTAATGTTGTAATTCTTTTTTTTGCTTCCCTGCTCGATCGATAGGTACACATTTTCCTTCTATCTTTCCTCGCCTACCTAGTACGAATGGGTGGGTGGGTGAGTGGGTTGTGAAGAAAGACGGATAGACAGGACGAATGTGAGTTAGGTTAGAAAGTAAAGAAAGTAAGAAAAGAAAAGAAAAGAAAAGAGAAAGGAAGATATGTAAAAGTGCAGAGAGTGTATAATCACTAGTGTGTTTTGCCGCTTCTGGGAACAATTTTCGATCTGTTCTTCTTCTTCTTCATTTTCGTCTTCTTGCTTGTGCTTGTGGTGTCCGTTTTTGCTTCTTCTTACCTTGAGTGCTTCCATCCATCTGCCTAACCTACTAGGTATTGTACATACATACTTAGGTACTTACTGTACCTGGCCTGGCCTGGCCGATGTGCGTATGTATAAGTATGTGTCGATCTGCCCGTCTAGGTAGGTAGGTAGGTAGGTAGGTAGGTATGCTTTACTATACCTATATAACTAGTTATGTCACACCACACTAGGTATATCTACTGTATCTACTGCATCTATTGAATCTGCTGCTAGGTAGGTAGGTAGGTAGGTAGGTAGTTACTGGGCAGGTAGATAGATAAATAGATAGATAGATAGATAGATAGACACGCCGGTGTACTAGGTAGTTAGTTACCAAGATCAGTAGTCGGCAGCACAAGAGAACCCAAGATTGAGCGAGTGAGTGAGTGAGTGAGTGAGTTGAGTGAGTTGAGTGAGTTATGAAAAGGGAGTTTGCGCAAACTAACCTAACCTAACCTACTCCTCCTCTCTCTCTCTGTCTGCCCTGGCTGATGTGATATCAGTACTAAGTACGGCATATACCTAATCCCCGGGAGCATGACGTTTTTACTGTATATTTGTTTTGTTACAATTCCGAGAAAACCAACAACATACATACCTACCTATCATAACACAACAACATACATACCTATCATAACACAACACCACATATATAACTCAAACTCAGCATAATCACAATACCTAGTATCTCTCTCACCCTCTCCTCTCCATTATACCTAATCAACATCCTAAATAACTAAATCTACCACCACCCCCAAAACCCCTATTTAGAGCCCCGCCCCCTTTCTAATGCAAATAGTGTAAGCACCCAAGTACTAGGTAGGTAGGTAAACCGAAGAACTCCTATATCCGACCCCACGTGCCATCCCATCCCATCCTATCCTAGAAAGATGAGGGGAGAGAGAGAGTTTCCTAATGCCCTGGACCGTCCGTTGGTTGTCTTTTGCCTAGATAGATCTATATATACCGTTACAGTGTTACCCATAGGTAATAAGGCAACCGATCCCCAGAGCCCTAAGCAGTGTTGCGCCCCAGAAAACGAGAAAGAAAGATACAAGTACAATATTAGGTAACCACAGCACACTAGGTACTTCCTTGTGACTTCCTCATGCCCTCGGTCCTCTCATTTCCCCCCACTCCTTTAAACTCCCTCACATCCATCTCATCTCATCTCACCCTCTACCCATCCTCCCTTCTCCCCCCATAAATCCCCCCCCTCTCCATACCCTCTCCCCTTAAGAATCCTCCCTCCCGCCCTCTCCCGCAGTCTTCTTACTAGGCAAATCACTCGCGCTCGTCGCTACCCTCGTGTCCTTCTTCCGAATCATCTCCTTGTACTCATCCTTCGCCCTCCGCTTCCCCTCCACCGTCTCATCACCGCCTTCCGATATATCCCCCGTGTCTACGGGCGCCGGGTTAACCTGCTGCCCCGGTGGCGAGGTGGGCGCTTTGTTGGCGTCTGTGGTGCCGGGGAGCTGGCTGGTGGGGGTTGTGGAGGAGGGGGGTGGGGAGTCTGAGGAGGAAGAGGACGCGGCTTCTTCTTCTGTAGAGGAGGAGGCGGCAGGGGATGAGGTATCGGGGAGAGGAACGTTCGCCTCCTCGGAGGATGCGGGGGCTTCGTCGGTGTCGTCGTTGTGCTCTTCGTGTGCTTGCGCATCATGCTTCTTATGCGCACTTTTAGAGCTCGAGCCCTTGCTCGGATTGGTGTAGATCAGCCATGCTAGGGCTGGGACGGTGAAGCCGACGGAGCCTATGAGCCTGTTTTGTCGACTGTGTTAGCTAGCTCTGGGTATTTCTATGTACTAGGTGGCTTAGGTGGCTTGGGACAAAGGGAGAGCTGGGTAGGTAACAACAAAGCCATTGCCTTCAATTGCTATCATATAGCTGTAGCTGCGCAATTGAATGCCCAGCCAGGTATGTCTTAGGTGTTGTATCCCGGTGAAATGGCGAGAAGGAACACTCACCAAGGCATTTCACTCGTCTTCTCCGCCCCAAAGCTGCCGGGGTTGCTGCTCCCCGACGCATAGCCTCTCCGGACAGCCGACCGCACCGCAGAATATCGATTTGCGGGGGCCGCTCGTCTCGCAACGGAGCGGACGGTAGAGGTTGCGATACGAAAAGTCGACATTTTCCTTGTTTCGTTCTCTCTATCTCTGTTTCTGTCTATTCTCTTCTCTTCTCTATTCGGCTTAAGTCCCCTAGCTAGCTATGTTTCCACGACTCAGTACTTAGATATGTTACTCCGGTACTAGCGAGATGATCAAGCTGTCCGATACAGATGAGAAGGTTGGTAGGTATGTGTTGTACAGCCGTAAGCGCGAGTAAGAGATGTGCAACATGTGCAGGAAGAAGATACCTGTAGAAAGAAAAGGAAAGTAAGAAAGAAAGAAACACCTCGGTTAGTGAAAACTGAGTAAGGTTTGGTATGTAACTTCTTATGTAAGTCGTGTCCTTTTCTTTCTTTCTTTTTTTTTCTTTTCTTCCTTCTCTGGTATGTAGCTAGCTAGCTATGTAGGTAACTATGCGTTACACACTTTTTCAACTAACTGCCCGATCATCGGATAGCCTATATCATATCCCTGCCGAGACAAATCAACGAGACAAATCAATAATTTCGAGCATGCCCAGGGATGTAGGCCCGGTGAAGAAAATCGAGGTTGAGCTTTCCAATGTAGCAAGCAGCTGGAAGATAGCTAATAAATGAAGATGTTACACCGTGACTTTTAACTTACCAAGTACTACTAGTAGTACCTACCTACCTCTATCTATCTCAACCCTCTTGACTAAATGGCAGCCGCACAAACTCAAAATAACCAAATCCATCACCCTTGCGCTCTCACAAAAAAAAAGAAAAAAAAAAAAAGAACTCGTTACGGCGCATCGTCCCTGCCATTCCAATTCTTCGATGTCATGTATTGTTCACGATTCCTACCTCTCCCGAGCTTGTGTGGGTCCTAGACCCAGTTAAATGCACCTAATATCCATTTCCTATACGTCATTATTTTAGCTTCGTCCACTGAACATGGTCATAGCTCTTTACACCCCTAGCAGAGCATTGAAGTTGTACAATACCATACGAACCCCTGAAATCAACAGTGACAGCATGCGTATTGCAGTAGTGTAGGTTGGTCTTGTAGTCAATTCATCCGTAACTCATCTAGTCATAACGAATTACTACTCAGGTAGTCCTCTATTCATCGTCATTGTAGCACACCACTCTTGTCGCTTCCTTCTTTTTTCCCTCCGCCTTTCCCCTTACATGCTCATCTCCCTATTCTCATCGCGCACCGCCTTGAGTTGCCGCTCAAAATCCTTATTAACCCATTCCCAGTATTGCTGCCAAATCGGATTTTGCACCGACGGCTGCACCTGGCTTTGCCCCTGCGCCCCACTCGGTTCTGTATTCGTTCTCGGGAGAATCGTCTTAGTTTTCTCTACCAGCAGAAGGGTAACGCGAAGGACGCTCTTGATAGCTTCTTCTTGCTTTTCAACCTCTTGCTTCACCGCACCATCCCTGAGCTTTGTAGACAACGTCTTGCGATAACATTCAGCCACACGGTCCAGGCGTCGCGTCGTCTCTTCGCGGTCAATCACGATCAGCTTACTGAGCATAAGGTTGCAAAGAGATCGGATATCATTTTCATCGTTAAGACCCGCAATAACGCGGTCATAAAACTCGAGCGAACTGACACGAGAAAAAGCCGTCTCCATCAGAGCGTACAGAGTCTCGTATGCGCTCTATCAAAATTGGTTAGCAATTATTATAGGTCTAATCGAATCATGCAAATCATGGCTACATACCTTGCGAACTTCCAGTCCGTCATCGACGAAGTGCTTGAATGGACCCATCTGAACTTCGCGGATAAGCTCTGGCTTGATCACAGACTCTGCCATGACGTAAGGCACTAACTCGCCGAGATGCGGTAGAATTAGGTCGGGCTTGTTATGGGCCGCGGAATTCAGTGCTGTCATGCCTAGGCGGCGGATCTCCATATCTTTGTCGCTTAACACTGTCAACAGCATGTCATACAATACTGTCTTAAGCATCAAATCAAACGATTCGTCGCTATCTGGCAGTGTGTATCGAAGTGCCTGTACAGCTACCGCTCTAAATACCGGCGATGGGTCCCTTAGGAGTTCCTGTTTAAATTAGCATATGCCTTCTTAGTTTCGGTGGTGGTTCAAAACTCACTTCAAGCTTCGACATATAAGTCTTCGGCTCCATGATAGCCAGGCGCCCTATGCATTCTGCACAAATTGCCTTGTTGTCGTCGAGACTAGACGCCGAAAATAGCAATTGCCAGATTTCGCTTTCATACGAACTGATATCAATGGAGGATGCGATTGCCTGATGGAGTATCTCGCGGATGGACTGGAGAAGCAGATATTGCTGACTTCCTTGTGTCTTGATTGCGTTTAGAATGACTGGTAGAAACACGGACACGTTTCCTGCACCTGCACGCCCCAGAGCCACTGCGGCAGACACCGAGACTTTATCCGGCTCATCGTGGAATTGCTCCAAGAAGATGTTGGGTTGTAGACGAGACTTGGGTCCAAGTCGTAAACCGATCTCTCCCAAGATTGCTAATGCGAGGCTTTGTCGAGCAGTATCAGGCGGTGCTAACTTGCTGGATTTAGAAAGCTCGTCAATGAAGCTCTCCACCTTGACGCCGACTTGGTCGCCACTTGCGACAAACAAGGCGCCAGCAACTTTACCAATTACGGTCGGATCGCCTGCCACGCCAACTCGTAAGACACCCTCCATCAAAGGCTTCCCCATGCCAGTCTGTCCAACGGCTGTGACAAGAGTGACGAGAGACTCTAGCGCCAAGCCGGTAACATTTTTCTTGAGTAATTCACATAGGGGATCGATGAAAGCGGAAGTAGAAACTAGTTGCGAGTGCTCCAGTTGCAGCTGCGCAACGATAAGTAAGGCTGGACCCAAGAGATAACTATCGTTAGTACTAATCACGGGTAGTATAGCCATCACAATATCGCCGGCTGTCGCTGCCTTGATACTTCCCTTAGCCGCTGGGCTTAGGATCAGCTGCTGCAGTGCTTGGATACTAGCACCACGAAGAGCACGGTTTGCTTTTCGAAGCTGGCCGCAGAGCTCCGTTGAGACATTTTGGATCCACTTTGGATCAAGACTGCCAGATATTAAAGAATGTGCTGCAACGTTGTCGATCGCTCGGACGGCATGGAGGCGAGTTGTTTCGTTCCGTAGTCGATCCAAAAGTAGATCCAAGCCAGCTTGACGCTTATCGGTAGGAAGCAGTCCGATTCCATCAGCAGACGATGTCCTTGAAAGCAAGGTTCCAAGAGCCTGAATAGCCTGCTGTCGCACTTCGGTGTCGGTGTCAATTGCAGAAGCACGATCAAATATGATCTCGTATAATTTATATAACTCCGGTTTGTATTTCTGAATTGTAAGCCTTGCTCGAGGCGGAGTTATGGCCTTGACTAGTTCCTCGGCCGTGCGGATAGCCTCGCTTGAGATCTTGTAGAATCTGTCATGTACAGCAGAAACTACGCTGGCAACAATCTTTTGGAGGTAAGGCTGGAAAAGACTTGAGGAGTGAGTCTTGGCTATGTCACTCGTGAAGTGCAGAACGGCCACGCGTAGAGTGGTGGAGGTGGCGGAGGCAGCACCTGATAAAGATATAGATGTCGAACTCGCGCCACCTGCCATGCCCTTGGTGACGTCGATAATTGGCTGCATGACTTGATCAAAGTAGTCAGCCAGGCCACCGTTTTGTACCGAGATCAAGTCGTCTAGCAGGTTGACGATTGCTTGCTTTGTGGCGATTTGCTTGCCTTTCAGCAACTTAGTCGCTGCCTTAACTATCTGCGGTGTTATTTTGGAGAGGTCAGCGCGCGGTCCCGTTGGCGGAACAGCCTCGCGAGTAGGCGAAGTCAGTCCAGTTGCTCCTAAGTAAGGAGCCTTGCTGGTGACTACAAAACCACCACTGCTCTGTCTTCGGCGCTTTCTATTAACTCCGAGAGAATGCAGGGACTCCTCATCACCCGAAATAGAGTGGATTACACCCTCTCCAGTCTTACGGATCAGAAGAGCCACGGCGCTGATGATCTCCAGTCGAACACTCTCTTCTCTTTCATCAAACCGCTTGACTAGCGGGGATGCGATCTCGCCGTATAATGTCCCCGTCTCTAGGAGGTCCGTACTTCGCGTAGAAATTAACGTGTGTAAAGCCTTTGCAGCTAATCTGCGGACCTTCCAACTCGCGTCATCATCGTCATCAAAACCCGCGTCGTCTTCATACTCGTCGTCCTCATCGTCCTCATCATCATCTGAGTCGACATTTCCATCCTCATCCATATTTTCGTCGTCGTCGATTGCTGAGTTAGGGTCGAATTTCAAATAACGGAGACATACTTCAATTACCTGCTCTGTATATTCTCGCATTTGAAGGCCACATGAATCCAGGAATGATTCAAGCGCAACCAATGCTGATTCTCTTACTTCGTTAAACTCGGGGTGGAGTTCATCATTCCCTTCGCCGATAGCATCGAGCTGGCTCTGTAATTCCTCTTGACTTAAAGGGGATAAGACAAAACGAATAAGTTTAGGCAAATATACACCGAATTTGTATGGAATCGAACGAGAAAGTGATCCCATCATAGATATATAAAGGCGGCGTATAACTGGATTGAGCTTAGGTCGTTCCAAGGCTTTCTGAATCCTGTTGACGAGGTTACCAAGAACATCATCCGGGAGATATGGCGCAAGAATGGCAAGTGCAACAACAGCCCGTTTCTTAACGTTGGACGGCATGGAGCTCTGCTCTAACACCTGAACAACCACCTCTTGGAGTTTTTCGACCTCTAGCGGCTGTAACATAGGCCCGTAGCATCTAACCACCTCGATAAGCACGTCAACTGACTCGGCGGTAGGACCCTGATTCTTATCCAGTATGCCATAAGATCCAGCAGTTGGCTTCTGGGAGGGCTTGGACGTGGTGGAGTATCCGAGAATTCTGGGAATGAGAACGCGACTGATCACACCATAGGTTTCAACCACCTCTCGCGAGGGGGTAACACCGGGTACAGGTCTCGGAAGGCTAGTGATAGCGGTACGCAGGGCAAGAGAAGGTAGCGAACTATCGACCGCATGCTTTATCTCGATTACACTGAGCTTCTCTAGCATTGGAGAAAGCACAGATAAGGGAATTCTAGCCACCAATGGGCCAATACATTTGATGGCTAAATTTTGCACCTCGCCATTTTGATCATCAAGGCTCTTAACAAGATTGTCAGTTATGCGAGATGAGGTGTTGTAATCGTGGGACAAGAAGTCGGATTTGGATCGAATTAGGATCTGATGAAGATCATTCAAGGACATGAACCGAAAATCAGGGTCTGGGTCAGATAGTTTGGATAGAAGCGAGTTAATCGTTTGGGGAGTCGGGTTGATCACGGTGGGAGTCGCCATGATGATATACAGGTCGCGTATAGGGCGTGTTGGTAGTAAACTGAACTTAAATGTTAGAGATTTCAACATGTAGGAATTTTATAAAATGAAGGTACCTTTATGGCTTGACGTTAGGCTGCCACAAATTACCTGCCAGGGAAAATCTCGCTATACGTAGCGGCACGATGATCGAGCTTGTGAAGAGTTGAATTCCAGGTTGGCGCGACGATTGTGGCAATTAAATACCATTCAAGTACATAAGATGTTGTCGAAAACCCCAGATGCTCAGTTGCCTACCTAGCTAGGCACCTGGAAAGCAACAAGAAGGTACCGAGGTTTAAGGTAGAATAGGTGAGATGATTGAAAGAGATGGAAGAGAGTAGAAATGCATAAAAAACAAATGGAATCAAACGAAAGATTCCAGCTCTAGAAGCATCAATGATGCTCATAAAATGAAAAGGTTTCCACTAAAGACAATACTCATTAAGTAAGTAGATAGCGGCTCAGTGTCAAAGGTATTGTTATGTATGTGATTGGCAATGCTTGGAGAAGATGGACTTGGATGTTGGAATCGAGGAATGAGCATTGAAAGTTGAGTGAGGTATGGTGGGGATGGTGGGGTCTACCTGCCTATCGGTTATATGTACCCAAGTATCTACTAGGTACCTAGGTAGATGTCGAGCTACCGGCTACCCAGTGCGAATCCACATATGTGGATACATCCCAGTACCTAGTAGTTATTTGCAGCTTTAACGTGGGGCTAACTTCAAGCTCAAATGTTGACAGCACTGGTGGAACCTTTAAATACACGGCCGTTAGTTACAGTATGTGGGTTACTCCGAAGTTTTGCCAGCTTCAAGTTAATTACTTGAGAAGAGAACAGCATATTACGTGATCAGCTTCTGGTTGCACTTGCTCAGCCTTTTCTAGGGCAAATCTCTCAGATAGGGGCAACGTATTTCAACATCAACTCCAACTCCCTGAGAACTTGGAATTTTTAGATTAAGTCCTATTGGCTTCGTATTGGCAAGATTACCTAGGTAGGCATGACAAGAATCAGATCCAAGAGCACATGTAGTACTTGCCATACGCATGTACTGTCAATGGTGTGTGTCCAGGTACGTAGGTACCAAGTAGGCGCCTAAGGTTAGGTGGTGGTTATATAGTTGTGTGAAACAGAATGACATAGATATAGTTGGCACTTGTCAAGACTGCTACATTTTTCTGGTCGTTCACGTCTTAGTGACGAACTCCTAGGTAGGAGTCTTGAGTATCAAGCTGTCTCAGCCTCGGATTAGTTGTCCTCGACATACCCTTCCTCTTTATAAACTAGCATGTATACCTGTATTCCTATGTACGGTTTTTTATGACACATCCTGTTGAGTGGGTGTGAAATAATGAACGCCAAAGCTTGGTGGTATATCTAGTAGTGACCCCTTTGCCATGTTTAAGGACTCGATTCCTTCTTATAAAACCTCACAAACTCGAATCATCTTAAGTGTAATGTGTGGTCATAATAGGAGTCATGGAACTCGTCAAAAGGGGCAGAGAACAAAAATTACAATATATAAACCCCTTTATCAATCCATTCTCTATCCACTCAACTTTACACTTCCTCTACTGCAAACATCCAACGTAACCGCAATTTCTCTCACAACACAACTTCCTAAATATAACCCTAAACGCATCGCCTTCAGATATTCTTTTTATTTTTATTTTATTGAAAATGGCGGGCCCCGAGGACGTCAAGACCCTCTTTGATGTGGCCACGGAACTTACCAAAAAAAGCGATGAAGCGAGTAAAAAGTTTCGAACCGTAGCGGCAGACAAGAAACCCGCCATCATACCGAAAATAGCCGAAGCAATGACCCTACTCGTAGAGCTAGAGAAGTATCAGAAGACTATTATGGAGTCCAAGTGTTATAAAGATATGATGAACGGAACAGTAACGATGAGTGAATACGAAGCAATTAAGGACGACGTCAAAAAAGCCGAAGAAAGTGCCACGAAGCTTTCAGATAAGCTTTCCGAGATCCTGAATTTGATGGGCTGATAAGTTGTCTCGGATTTTGGTGTGGTGGATCGGGAAATTGAGATATTGGTATCTGTTGGGGTTTATGGATGCACTCTGGGGGGCAGGATCTCGCTCTTCAAGGGAGATGCGTATTTCGTAACTAGAATCAAACAGACACTGCATTAATATCAGCTCTTTCAACGTACCTGAATACCATGCTCTCTATGATAATTTTATGACGTCCTTAAATACTTACAGTATACGCCCAAATCATCACTCTTGGTGGCATTATGAAGAGATTCTAACAGCGACGTATTTTACCTTCCCTTTTGATGTGTAGGTACGCTTTCTTGTATGATGTAAGGAGGCTCATGTACCAGTTCCTAGATCCAGGGCCACCTGCCTGCTTGAAAGTCGACTCAGAAGGACTATGAGTCCTGAACTCCTAGGTACTTCAAACTAGATCCATAAAAATTGATAAAACTAGGTATTGCCAGAGTTAATTTCCCAACCCTTTGATGTAAAATTAACAACATATTCGAATACTTACGCATTACACGGAGCTTCTATCATGTGGTTAATATTTATTCCTCATGATCGTTGGGCCCGAGTTACTCCCGACTCACCTAGCGTATAATGTATATGCCTAGACATACCCAAGATCTGACTTGTGTAGTACAGGTCATAATACGTAGTTCGCTTTTGTAGCAGGATACGCGAACTCGTTATAAGAAGCAGTACACGCTTCCAACTGACCGTGGGAGAACCTGCCAGACATGAGATAGTAAACAGTCATGACGCCCACCACATCAGCCGTAATGGAAATATCTCCATTATATAAAGAGGTGCCTCTCGCCCATCTTTGACTTCCTTCAACACCCCTTTCCTGAAATCAACTCTCTACCAATAAACACTGAACTATCTTCATTATAACGCATCGACTACACTTCGCCTAACCGCCTATACTTTACTTCTCTTCTCAAAAGACTCTACAACATCCAAAATGGGCGCCTCCGACAAGACTCCGGAGGAGAAAATCGACGACATCCGCCAAAACTCAGAAGACCTGCGCGACCTCGTCCAGAAGACCATCGACAATCTCCAAGCGCTAACGAACCCCGAGACACAGCAGCGAGTAAAAGACCTGATGAACGAGCGCGATAGCGAAATGTCGGAGTACACGACCAAGTGGGAAACGATTCGCGACTCGGAATACGTGAAGGGTCTGAACAGCGGTGAGCCGAAAGACGAAGACTGGGAGACAATCAAGGATGACTGTGACGAGATCATCAAGCTGGGTGACACGATTACAAAAAAGCTCGAGGAATGCCAGAAGATCATGGATGCTTAGATGGAACGGCAAGAGGAGGAGGATGAGGAGGAGGAGAGTTGAAGCGGAAGTTAGATATGGAAATAGTGAGGCATACGGCACAGATGACAACCAGGGTTACTGGAGGAGCTGAATAAGGTGGGGGAAAGGAGCACCTTTAAGAAGACTAAAGTGCCGTGCATAATGACTAGAACAAAATAGGTATACACCGCTAGGCCACTATTCAGAACTGAATACACCACATTCTATAAGAATATTGATTGCCCGCTGTGTATCTATCTCATCGTGGGCCCGCAAACAGTCACACAAGGTGCCAGATACCTAGTATTCATGGAATAGTTAGGTAAGTACTAGGTAAAACCTGGTACAACGTGCAGGTAGACCCCGTTCAATATTCTTACGTGTAAGCTATCAAGTACTCTACGTTCACATCGTAGTGATACTTGTTGACAAATATCAATCTCTCTGATCTCGTGCCAGCATCAGGCACTGGTCACAAAGCATTATACATCATTCCAGGTATCATAGCCATGGCCCGGAACAACTACACGCTATTACACCTGACGTGTTATGCTAAGTGTGAAGGTGTACAAGTAAACGCACTACCCGTCAGAGTATCACGTGGAGCCCCTATTTGCAACCACCCATTAAATCACATGACATAGATCCGACTCAATCCAACGACACCAGATCCACTCTACAGACGCAGCCAATCACAGTTCAGCTATCATCTCAACTTGTATCCTTCTTGGTTACTAATAAGGCACGGAACATGCGATCCTACGCCGTGAAAGACCATCCGCTTCCGTCTGCCTCCTCTCTTGGCGGAGGAAGCGGGGTTTGCGCTCATATCTCGCACCAGTCTCACACGATGGCAAGTTGGAACTCACAGCGTTTTCTCCTCCTCGCATCATAGTTCCATCAAGATATAACAAACAACAATGGAAGAACCACCCTCACCACCCTGGGGCTCGCTTCCCGTGGAGAGATATCTTGTGGTTTGTGGTTCCCTCCCTCCTTGACTGATGTACCTAGCTAACTCACTTCCCCTCCCCCTGCCAGACCAAATGGGACCACACCTCCCCCCTCTCCCCAAACGACCAGCGAAAACAGCTAATCTCAGCATTCCTCCAAGACCCATCCAATGCTCCATCGCCCCTCGACACCAATGTCCCCGTATCCTCAGACTTCGTGCGCGACATCCTCGCGCCCTGGCGCCCGCAGAAGCTGCGGCGCATCGCGCAGCGGTACAGCGACGGGAACATGATCAGCGACTTCATCCTGCTGCGGACGTGCTACCGCGACAACAACGCAGATGACGCCAAGCTGCGGGATTGGTTGGATGAGGACACGGGCGAGGGCTTTTCGATTAGTGCCGACGATGAGTGGTGGTTGGTGCTCGACGACGCGGCGTTGTTTGCTTTTGACGACGGTGAGGATGAAGATGAGGATAGCTGGAAGCAGGTGTACGACGTCCTCCCCGAGCTCGCATCGTTAGGCGCCCAGCCCGTGCCGGTCGACCTGGACTACGTCCGCGAAATGGCGACCATGCACAACAGTGAGCCGGAGCAAGAGGACTATGAGTTCTGGATCCAGGAGAACGCAGCGTCAGGGAAGTGGCTTCTGGTGCTTGACCAGTATGCGTTTGAAACTGATGAGCTTGGCTTGGTGTTCCGTGACGCCAGGGGAAATGTCGTTAGGTGGTCGCGCATCAAGGCGGATATGCTGGGGGACCTGTTTATTCGCTGGTCTCGGGGGATGCTGCCTGAGACGAACTATTGGCTGGACGGCGACGTTGGGGAGGACTATGAAACTAACGGACGTATTATGCGGGAGCTGCTGCCTAAAGTCATGGCTGACGCTTGAATGTGTATATCTCTAGATAGTTCATCTAGTAGAGCTAGAGCCTGGCATCTTGTCACTCACGTCGTCTTCCATGCCTTTACAGTACGATAAGAAGCTGAATCCGACGCTGGAATCCTAGAATTCAATCATGCTTTAGATTCTATACCACGTCAACCACTCAGATAAATTGACCATGATTTTTAGGTGTGACCCAGTGGCATAGTTGGTTTCTTATCTTCAGTCTTGCCTAGCCCCTGAGATTTGTGTCATGGAATAGGTACCTAAGTAAGATAAAATTGACCTTCTTCCGTTCGATATGTCATGAGCCCTCTGTTGAACTTGTCTCATTACTGTAGTGTTAAAGTGTTCACAAGTCTGGGCCTAGTGGACGTAAAAAGGGGGTACAGTTCGGTATGCATTTCATCCCTTGAACGTTGCACCACCACATCCAAGATACTGACACTACGAACATAATACTAAAGTCATGCATATGTCGGATGCGTCATGAAGCTGTGTCGGACTTAGATCATGAAATATTCAGTTGAGCTAGTCCTTCAAGTTCTCTTGGGAGTCATCTACCGAGTGTACTGAGTTACTCCCAGGCGACGACGAGGGTAAATACCAAGACTCGAATATGAGCGGGAAATTACTCAGACCAGAAGACCAGCTGCTGATATACCGTCGTACAGGTCATAGCCTTTGGTGCCAGTTCTCAGTATATAAAGAGCTTCCCCCTCGCCGCTTCTTGCTGTTGATCCTCTCTGCCTCTAAACTTATCTATTACCATCAACCATCAACCATCAACCATCAACCATCAACCATCAACCATCAACCACATCGTACCAAACTTTCGACCTACCCCGAGCAAAGACACAGCTTTCTTTTACGACACAACCACCACGACCAGTACACTTACTTATTACCGATCTTCCCCTCTCAACTCCTAGACACCCAGAAAATTATCATTCATATACCCTTAACCTCGACCACAACCGCCCGTCCATCATCCACCCTGCCAATAAACCCAGACCTTTCCCACACTAAACAAGTAACCTCCCTCAAGATGACCACCGCCGAGTACACCAACGCCGAGACGCGGATAACCGAGATCGACGCGCGGCAATCCGCCATCAACACCGCAGTCCACGGCTCCGACCTCGCCGGCCCCGAGCACGCGGACGCGCGCTGGGCGCTCATCCAGGAGTACCAGGACCTGAGCATCGAGAAGAAGGCGCTGAAGGAGCGGATGGAGGAGATAGAGGAGGAGGAGAAGGCGGAGGAAGAGGCGAAGAAGAAGGCCGAGGAGGAGGAGGCCAAGAAGAAGGCCGAGGAGGAGGAAGAGGCCAAGAAGAAGGCCGAGGAGGAGGCGGCGAAGTAGATGGGTGGCTATCTATATGGAGTGATAGATGCCTGGAGGGAGAGGGCGGGTGAAGAAGAAATGAAGAAATGAATGAATAAGCATCCTCAAAAGATATAGAGAAAGGGGGGACCCAGGGTTGAAGACCTCGTTATGTACCTAATGCCCATATTCGAGACATGCCGTATCTTATGTAGAGTATAAGATAAGAGAATACTACCTAGGTTAGGTAGTTTGGCCCCCCATCTATTTTCAATTACTTCCCAAGGATAAAAGCGCCTGGGTGAACATCGTGTCAAAATAACTCAACCGTCGGAAGTTGGGGCATTTAAATACCCCGGATGCCTCCTAGGCAGGCAAGTACCTAACCTAACCTTGGTAGGTACGGACGTAAAGTTAGGACAGCTTGAGGCACTTACCCCCTTTTCCACCACATCCGTTCTTCGTTGTCTTTTTGTCACACATAAACGATCATGGCGCGGCAAACGGAGTACCAGCCAACCTACCTACCTACCCATGTAACGTGTCAGGACATTGAAAGGGAAATACTTCGTTGCGGGCTCTGAATGACATGTTGTAACTAGGCTCTATATCACAAGGTGTATCTTTTGCTGAACTAAAGGCTACAGCACACCTTGATAGGATGCACAAGATTAACGCGAGCTACTACCACGATTGATGCAGAAGCTGTATTGAATGAGAGAGAAGAGTGGTATGAACACCCGGGTAATTCATCAGTTAGGTTACATAAGAATACATACGTACTAACCCTTGTGGTATCACGTAGCCATTTACAAGCCGCGTGGCTTTGTTTTGATACAATAGTACAGATAGATCTAAACTTTGTCATCAATCTTGACATCGTGCTTTTCCCTCAGAAGCTCTGCCTGTTGCATCAAGGTCCGGGTCTCTTCCTCGCCCAAAGCCTTCATCTGGTCGGCTGATGTGACCAGCTTGCTTTTGTAGACGTCGCCTGTGATGTATGTTCCCTTAAGCCACCTGTTTCCGGAGTTTTCGTCGAACTGCTTTCGTCCGTGCAAGATGCGCAAGTTATCGAACACCACACACTCTCCCGGCTGCAGCTTGTACTGGTATACCCAGGGCTCCTCCTCCAGTAGCTGGCGGAATACCGAGGCAGCCTTGAGCCAACTGCGATAATAATCGCTGCCCTTTTGAGACTTTATAACTCTCTGGATAGTGGACTGGAAGGGCGGAGACCAGAACACTAGGTTGGAGACCCTGTTCGGGGGACCCTTGGGCAACACCGCGCGGATCATATTGTAGTTATGGCCGTGATTGACGTATTGGTAATGGACTCGGAATTCACTTAGTAGCCCATAGATCTTCTTTGTCATTTTAGCGATTAGGGAACGAGCCCTCAAGCCATCGCTAAACAACGATTCACCACCTTCGCACGTGTTTTCGAGGCAGTGTAGAATCTGGACATGGGGTGATTCACGTGTGTATAACAAGTCCGCATGCAATCCAAGGGAGGCACTTGTGTAAGCGATGTTTTCAGCATTCGGCTTGGAGCGCACATCCCAAGTTCTGCCGTAAAAGGTTTCCTGTAAAGGCCCGATCTGATTGGCGATAGAGACGACAGACTCCTCAGAGTGTGGTACATTGCGCAGAAAAAGTAGCCCGTAACGGTTGAGCTGGCGCAATCCAGAGAAGAACCCATCACCACCTGCCACCCATTCATCGTAGTCAACAGTGACCTGTTCCTTCTCGAAAGTTGCGCTGTCCCACAAGGTCTTATTAGGTATTTCATCTAATGGCTTGTACTGATTTGCTGGTTGTGTGAGTTTTTCAACTGAGTACCGAGAGACGTGATCAGAAGAGTTTAGGAAATCGTTTTCCCAAACGACCTCAACCACATCGTCCTCCTCTTTCGAGATTTTCTTGATGGGAAGCGCGGTTGGCACATCAAGGGTAACGAAATTCTTTTGGCCAGAGTGAGAGTCCTTGCATATACTGCACTCGCAAGAGTCACGGAGCCAGTGGCGGTCCACAATGACAGGGTATTTAAGACCTCCTCCACTGATAGAGATGATTTGGTCATTATCTACTTGAAGCGATAGGGGTCCCTGAGATGTGTCTGGTATGGATTCCTGAGCTGGTTGTTCCGAGCCCGGTATGGAATCACTGGTGGTAGTCTCATCAGTGGTGATCTGATCATTGGTAGTTTGATCCTCGGTAACATGATTCTCGGTAGCCTGATCAGGGCTGGAATCCGTGTTGGGGTCCGTGCTGTACTGACGACATGGGCCTAGAAGAGATCTGACATTGTGCTTCGCAACCAGCGACACAAAAGGTTTGGTTGGTATGGTTGAAAAGGTCCGGCCGATGTTTGGCGCCAGCCTGTACGTCGCGGAACACAAGTGACGAGCCCTCTGGTTTAGCAAAATTCGAGACATTTCTGCTATTGTTGTTAGGATTAGAAATGTTGAATATGCTAGATGTGAAAATGTAAAGAGGTTTTTTTTTTCTTAATCTTCAATAAAATATTCCAATCCAGATGAGTTGATAAGCCGATAAGATAAATCTATAAGTGGGGTCATAGTTATCCGAAAATGACGGTGGAATGATCAGATTGGAACTAACCGCGGTAACCAGAGTGGGACTAGACGAATTGACCAATGAAAGCTCAGTATCTGCAAAACCATACGACGCAAGCTTTCCTTTTTATGGGTCACTACACTAAGAACTGAGAAGCCTCGATAGGTTCTAGATACCTAATATGTACATAAATATAATACATATGTTGTACCCATATGAAGTACACTAGGTACATAGTACTAGGTATACTAGGTAGGAATTCAACAACACCAATGATTCAAGTCATATCCGTATGTCTGCTTCATGATCCTCTTGCGGACTCAAAGGCACCAGCGCGGTCATCTTTATTCCCCGTAGAGCACGATGGTGTCTTCGACCTTTGATGTGTATATTCCACTGATCTTCCGTTGCGAGGGATATGCCGCAGATGTCGCAAGTTTTCACTTTGAATGTGCGCGCCGAAGATCCGCCAGCATTCTCAAAGGCTGTTAGCACTTTTTTTGCTGTATCGGATACCTCCGTTGGCTTGACCAAAGCTTGTCCGTCCAAGAACCGCTGGCAAAGGTCGGTTGCCGGCTCCAGCACGTCGGCGGAGAAGGCATCGGCGTTGGAGCTGTCTAGAAGAAACAAATAATCCATTGCTTTATGGTCCTTGAAAGCGGGTATGGATTTATTCCGGATCCATCGTAATTGGTACTTTGCGTACTGTCTCGTCGCAATCCTCGTCTCTTCGAGTCCGGCTTCTTTCAGTTGGTTCATCTTCGCCGGTCCTGTCCCGGCTCGTTCGCCGTCAAGAAATGGCTCCATTTGCCTATATCCAATAGATTGCCATATACCACGGGTAAGATCCACTGGTTCTCCCTTCTCGGCCCTCAATTGTCGGCTTTCATGTAGGCTTCTTACCTCGTCCATTAGACCATTTTGATACATCTTGTCCACTCTCTTATAGAGACGGTCGTTCAACACCTCTGGCTCGGTGTACACCCAGAACATTAATGACTGCCAGGGGCCACTGTCCGAGCGAGCTAATGCTTTTTCTTGCTTCTGCTCAGCGTATATATCTGATGCGCGTCTACCAGTAGTGAGGAATATTTCCAAGGAACGCTGGATTTTGCGTCGATCATCTGGGTGCCATCGGTCTGCCATGACGGGATCAACCTCGCGAAGACGGTCCAACATTAAACTAGTAGGCCCGTCTAGGATCTGGAATTGGGTTTCGTTCTCTCCACGAGGTCGATGTTGCAAGTTGGTATCATCAATGCCCTGGGAACCAACTAGATTATCTTTGAAGAGCAGGGAATGCAAGTAATAATGAGTTCCGCCTACCACGATGGGAAGCTTTCCTCTGCTACGGATTTCACGAATGAGTTTATTTGCTTCGTATGCAAAGATATCAACACTCCATGTTGGCTCGTGGTGGTCAACTGTTGCTAACAAATGATGGGGAACACCTTGTCGCTCTTCAAGCGAGAGTTGATTGGTGATGACTGGAAGCCCCTTGTACATTTGCATAGCATCGGCGTTGATGATCTCTCCATTGAACTTAAGCGCTAGATCTACGGCAAGCTGGAGAAATGATTAGTGGAAGTGGACGTATTGATAATTGCATTTGCTTTTGGCAAAGAGGAACAAGACGAACGTCTGATTTGCCAGTACCAGTTGTGCCTAGGATGGCCACAAGAGGTTCCTGGGGAGGATGTGTTGTAGCCATTGTCTGAGCAAGTTTGTCGAGGACGTATGCGAATTTCTGTCGCAAGCGTAGCATGAAAAGATGTTTGAGAACATAATAATATATGATTAAAAATTGAATGTTTAGCTAGATTATTAGGGAAGAATATGAATGGCTTTATGCTTTCTTTCCATTATTAAGAGGAGAGAAGATATTGTGAATCTGTTCGATTGTTAAAACTTGAGCTTCTTAAATGCCAAGACCTTTAACATTGAAATAAATGAATGAACATTCAAAGTTCACATCTCAACTTGAAGTGCATTAGTAGGAAAGCCACGGATGTGGCTGTGCTGGATGAGCAGGGCTCATGCTGCTATTCCAAGTTGGGAATAGCACTGAGGCTTCTTTTTTTCAAGGGTCCAGCTCGAAAGTTAAATGATCCATGGATTACCTAACAGTGGAGTGAATCTTGGAAACGATCACGTGTTCATGGGCCCTGTAAATATACATAGTACGTACTAATAACTACTAGGTACCTAGTACCTACCTAGCCTAGTAGCTGGATGTGGAGAAGCAACATCTGGAGGTCAAAGCTTACTAGTCAGGCTTAGCTTAGGTACTCCACCTATCGCATAATGGACACATAGTTCAATTTGGGGCAATTTTTTTGATGCCAGATCTTTTTTGCCCTTGCGATTTTTTGAATCCTTTCCTCTCCTTTTAAACTCGACAGGTCCTAAACATCGCGACACCCTCGACCACCAAACAAGAGGGCCTTCGTCGCTCATTGCATCTACTTTTTCCCCTTCTATCTTCCTTTTTCATTTTCTATTGTATTCTCCAACACTTTTTTCACGATGAGTAGCTGTAAGTTCATCTATTATCTATTCCTCTCTCGCTCTCTGCCTTGATTCACAAAGCTCCTAAAGCTCCTAGAGCTTCTATTCGAAATTCGCGACTTAGTCCAATTTTCCTTGCCATTGAGCCTTGAGATGTAGCTAACTGTTTTTCTCCAGTGCGGTTCCTCGATCTCGTCAAGCCCTTCGTGGCATTCTTGCCCGAAGTTCAGCAGCCCGAGACCAAGGTTCCTTTCAACCAAAAGTTGATGTGGACTGGTCTGACACTGTTGATCTTCTTGGTCATGAGTCAGATGCCTCTTTACGGTATCGTGTCCTCTGACACTTCGGATCCTCTATACTGGTTGAGAATGATGATGGCGAGTAATCGTGGAACGCTGATGGAATTGGGTATTACCCCAATTATCTCGTCTGGCATGGTATTCCAACTTCTCGCTGGCACCCACATGATTGACGTCAACCTCGACCTCAAATCCGATCGCGAACTCTACCAAACTGCCCAGAAGCTCTTTGCTTTCATTCTTTCCGCCGGTACCGCGACTGTCTATGTCTTCACTGGTCTCTACGGCCCCCCCTCCGACCTGGGCGCCGGTATCGTCTTCCTCCTCATCCTCCAACTTGTCGTGGCTGGTATGATTGTCATTCTTCTCGATGAGCTTCTCCAGAAAGGGTACGGCCTTGGAAGTGGTATTTCCCTTTTCATCGCTACCAACATCTGCGAGTCTATCATGTGGAAGGCATTCTCTCCTACCTCGATCAACACTGGTCGTGGCCCTGAGTTTGAAGGCGCCGTCATTGCTTTGTTCCACTTGTTGATGACGTGGCCCAACAAGCAGCGTGCTCTGCAAGAAGCTTTCTATCGGCAGAACCTCCCCAACATCATGAACCTCCTAGCCACTCTGGCCGTCTTTGCCGCCGTTATCTACCTCCAAGGCTTCCGTGTCGAGATCCCCGTCAAATCTTCTCGCCAGCGAGGTGCTCGAGGCTCCTACCCCGTCCGTCTCTTCTACACCTCCAACATGCCCATCATGTTGCAGTCTGCTCTCTCGTCCAACATCTTCCTTATCAGCCAGATGTTGTACTCTCGCTTCTCCGAGAACCTTTTGGTCCGCATGTTCGGTGTTTGGGAAGCAAGAGAAGGTTCTGCCCAGCTCTCTGCTATTTCCGGCCTTGTTTACTACATGTCTCCCCCGCTCAACTTCCGGGATGCCGTTCTCGACCCTATCCATACTGCCGTATACATCGCTTACATGCTCAGCGCGTGTGCCATTTTCTCTAAGACTTGGATTGAAGTGTCTGGTTCCAGCCCTCGTGACGTTGCCAAGCAGTTGAAGGACCAAGGCCTTGTCATGGCTGGTCACCGTGATCAGAGTATGTACAAAGAACTGAAGCGTATCATTCCTACCGCTGCCGCTTTCGGTGGTGCTTGCATTGGTGCGCTGTCGGTTGCCAGTGATCTCATGGGAGCTCTTGGCTCTGGCACTGGTACTCTTCTTGCCGTCACGTAAGTAACAATTCCAATAATCATATGTAGTAACTTATCAGCTAACTTCAAAACAGAATCATCTACGGCTACTTTGAAATCGCCGCGAAGGAAGGCGATCTTGCAGGAATGAAAGGAATGATCATGGGATAAGCCCTATGTTCTGGTCCTATTTCTTTACAAGCCGCCACGTCGGCGCAAGACCACAGATAATGCAATTGTTTCACGCTGTGTGTAATACCTAGGGAAAATTAAAAAGTCATGAGTGTTTCCACAAAAAGCGGCGAAGCTATAAAAATGCATAAACGGGCGGTCTGCGGTCTGCGGTCATTCGGGTTGGGGGGAGTCTTTTTTCTCAACGGAATCCCACGGCTAAGAGTGTAATAGTTAACGTATCATTATTAGTGATGAAGAATATATAATGTACACCATACCTCACCATACCATAGGTATTCAAACTCGTGCGTTTGTGTGTGTTTTTTTGACGCTGCATGCCAACGCCAATATCATGCAAGACTACCTAGATAAGTATCAGGATGTCCATGCAGCCTAATTCATACTTCGAGGAAGTAAGTACCTTGGAGATACTACTAGGTATGACAATTGAGGTAGAGAAGAGTGCTACATACTCTGTAGTATGAACCAACCGGAGAATGGTGTCTGTCACGTGGACCCTAGTTAATTAAACCCTCGGCTTTGATCGACGCCTCTAACTACGTAGTTAGTTATGGGTCACGTGCCTTTGTTCTGACATACATTAGGTAAGTACCTAAGTAAGGGGCTTCAACTACGTGAAGTCGCGGGGTGTTGACTACCTACTTACCCAGGTAGGTAGGTAGGTATTAATGTGGTTGATTGATTGATTGCTGGCTGGCTGGCTGGCACTTGGTGTGGCGAGTGTGTGGAACTTGTGTATTGGTAGGTAGGTCGAGGTTAGGTAGGTATCTAATATACATAATTCCATACGTGCTGGTCTAAGGTTGATTCGTAGTTGAGGTTGGAGGTGGAAGTTTCGATGTACTTACTTACTGTAAGGTTGTCGGCCAAGTTTCTTTCTCAGCAACACGCCTATGTATGTATGTACCTAGGTTAGGTGGTAGGTTACGCGACTCACCATCGAGGCCTGGATCTGGTATCTGCACTGCTTAGGTACGTATGCTATATAGGTATACCTAGTAGGAGGTAGGTACCAGGTATATAGCAACAGACTGCATTCTTTAACACCCTTGTGGAATACATACACTTACTTTAGCCTCAACCTTGGACGGATTGAACGACAGACGATATGTTTCAAGGAAACCTTCGACGTATAGGAAGCCTCCTTCTCTGAGTAGATCCCATCATTATCCCTTTTTTTCTCTCGCGTAGTTACTCATCATCATTAATCGCAGGCTTAGAAGTAGGTTTGCTTTTTCAGCTACAAGCCCCCAGGATGCCCACTTACGACGCTGGTATTATCAGCCTCTATTTTCAGCGGCCTCTTCCGCCTCTAAGAGATGCTGAATTATGCTTTTATAGCATTCCTCATAGTCGTCTTCCCAGTCGTCTCCATGGTGGTCTTTACTCTTCTATTTTCAAGCCAAATACAACGCCGTATTACCATCCTCATCTCTTGCTGTGGTATCGGCTCCGAAGTCCAATAGTAGTCGGATTGAACCATAGAAGCCGGAATCGATTGCCAAAGTCAACACGGTTCTGCCCTCTTCATCTGTAGCTTCGATATTAGCTCCATTCTCGATTAATACTTCCACAATATCCACCCTCCCACATTGTATAGCCCAGGACAGCACAGTTTTGCCACCTTTATCTGTGGTTTTGATATTGCTGTTTCGATATCAACTCCTTTCTGGAGTAATAGCTTCGCAATATCTATATGCCAACGAGTTATAGCCCCGATCAGCGGGGTTTTTCCTACTACGATAAAGTCGCCAACCCCGAATCCAAAACTCATTTCGATATTATTCTATTTGTAGTACTTTATAGTTTCATGGAAGTGTAATGGTGAGAGCTGGTATTGTTCGGGATATGTCGTAAGACTTGTACCAGTAGAAGTCATAGAAGACTGTCGGCGAGACAGGATATGATATATATTTACCTAGGTAGGTTGTATGACTTCGAGTGGTAGCTATCAGGTATGGATGTGGCTTAGCAATCGTATCAGACAGTCTGAAAGGCTTTCCCCCTTTCGCTTTCTTCCAGCTGCCCCCCAATTCTTTGAGTAACATAAGATAATTCAGCTGGCTGGTCGTCGTTATAGGGTTCTTCCGTCCTTTTGGTAGGTATAGGTGCCTACACGTATGCATGCATTATTAGTCCCATGATTTCACAGGTACCTGTACGAAATATAGGTGGCTATGACGCATAGCTAGTATGAGCTCTACGCGAGCGAATGCAGTGACAGTAATTTGTTGCACGCAAACCACAAACCATCTTATCCCACGATCCCAAAACGAGTGCACGCGTAAAAGCTCAAGCTCTAGTTAGCATGTGTTTGGTGTGTTCCTGTTCCTACAAACTGGTATAGGAATTAATACGGAAACATTACCTTATCCAAAAGCCTTCGAAACCGATGGCTTGGGTGGGCCAATGGAATCATCAACATAGGAGGGATGCCGTCCTACGCTGCAGCCCCTGTGCAATTGCACACTGACCAATGGCCCGTTACAAATTGCAAGGGCAGCCGCCCGCGTGTTTCGCATAGATGTAGCCTAGACTCGACATCATCACCATCATGATATCCCTGTCGATCAGTTCAGCTCCCACTGCGGTCCCGGAGACCGGTCGTCCGGTGCCGATGTCTGATACGGCGCAAGCAAGAAGCCACGAAGCCATTCATTGTCCTTAAGAGCTACTTGGCCTCCCCTACCATATTATACCTGTACCAAATCAGGACCGTGGTGCCTAGTTTAATCTCGACCTCTGCCTTGCGGGGAGCGCGTGAGTCTGTCGTAACATCGTTTAAGTACCTCGGTACACGGTACTATGTAGTTCCTGAAGGTAGAGAATCCGCCTAACCTCCCGTGTCACTATGTTGAAGATACATACCGAGGCGCCCTGGGTATGCTGTCATTAACTTGCAGCTCATGGTGCGTTAAAGTGCAACCTCGGTGCTAAAACCAATCTAAATAATTCGGCAATGTTCTCAGATTTGTGGGCTATCTGCTCAATGGACCTAGGACTCCAGTTGAACGTTGAGATTTCTTGTTCATTAGGTACCTGTCTGCGCGAGTGTCCGTATTTGATCATTATCAAGGCTGAGCTTGAAGATCAATTTCCCAACGCACCTTTTGGTCATATTAGCCCCGATGGTCAAAGAACGAGCTGATCCTTGAATACCTGCATTTAGCTATCCAGAGTTGTGTTCGGTGATATGAGTAGTTGTTGTGGTTCCATTAAGCCATGGCAGTGTAAACTGTAAGTGAATATCCGGAGATCAATATGCCGTCAATGAGGCTGGTGCACCTCCAGCCATTATTCAGGATTGAATAGGTAGGTACTTTGAAAGCAATTTGTTGCAGGTGCCTTAGGTACCATAGCTCCACTAGGCATGTCCTAGATATTGGCACAGCGCCGTCATAGTCAGGAATAAAGTACCCGAGCAAGCTTTCTTCCATCTTTTGGTTGTAGTCTTAAAGTTACCTGCAGCAAAATCAAACAATGTTCAAGTGTTGTAGAATTCTGTATCAAACTTTGGGATATTATCCTAACCTAGCAACGAGTCTCTTAGTAATAACCGCGGAAATAATAATCGAGAATTCTACGCAACTACAGAGTGTGAAACCCCTAAAATCTCACCTGACGCAATGGTTTAACCTACCTAGGCACTCAGCAGGCAGGACCTGCCAAGTACCTATTCACATACTAATAGGTTAGGTACTAGGTATTTCAATGTTCCCACCGATCAAACGCAGAAAAGACCTCATGAAGAACCCTAGGGTAGGTAGGTGGTTACGTGTTACCTACCTGATCTAGCAGTTGCCTACTTTGCCACTTCAACTATGCGCTAACGTTAATGGCTTGTGTGACTGAGAACAAAAATTAAATAGAAGGAGAAGTTAATTTCACATAAATAGAATATCAAGTCACGAACCTTCCCCGGGTTTCTTCTTTCGGTGATGTTTCCTTAATGCTTCCCTCATCAGTCCTGTTCAAAGGAGGCTCAAGAACATGGCTCCTTAGATATTACACCTCATGACAAGAAAGTGCGGTCTGCTATTTACCCGAAGCTTACGAAATAGTCTTAGTTAGTGGGAGCGCCACGCATGCTGCGAGGAGCTGACATTATGTAGTTATCATGTAAGTGTCCGTAGCCTGCTATCGCATCCTCTCGAGATGTTATACCTAGGTTCTATAATATGACAGCAGACTTCTGACATGCCGGGCTTACTGGTCAGCCTGAGATGTGTATATTTGACCGCTCTTCACTCTCATGATATGTTGTAAGTGTTAATTGCGTAGGTAGGTACTGATAACTGGAATATTTATCGCTTTATATAGGGGCCGAATCATGTGCTGCATCCTAAATCATATGGTCATCATGATCTCTCTCTCTCTCAAGTATTACACTACCTCTTAGGTATTAGGTAATGCCTATTCTACATCATTAAATAGCAAGACATATAACCATCTAAGTCTCTTATCTCTATAATAGGATGAAAAAGATAGTATGCATATCATGAACTTATACAATTAAACTAACGTGTACATGATGAACTTTTACCTGAATCTAATAATCTCTCCCGAGTCCTCATTATTGAACTTCGTTGCTACTAGTCGCGTGCCTGCCTACCAAATAATTGCTTGCTACCATCGATTCCGTTAATAGTATCGTTTAGTGACAGTTCCACTTCATCAATGGCATGATACATTTCATATCAAGTTCTCATTATGATTACTCACATTCATAACAGGCTCAATTTGCCGTCTCCGAATCTTGCGTGCGAATGATGTCACTGCTGAGGTGGGACATATCATCAAGTGACCTTAAAACGTTTGGCTATACTTGACAGTCTTGATCATATCAGCCATCAAAGAGTAGGCTACTAACCTAGGTACTTGGTCGACATTCATGTTTCTCTGGAGACGAACGAAGCCCAGACAATAAAATTTAATTCACTTGCGCGAAGCCTCTTATGTTAGTGTGCAGAAACCTGCTGTCAACTACCTACTAAGGTAGGCAGGCTAGGTTATGGATTTGAGATACAAAATTGGGTTTATAGACTACCGACCGTAGTGCACATTATAATGCTATCAACCCCTATTTTTAGTGGGACATTACGCCAAACTGGTAAAATGCCTTAGTTATGGATAGTCGATTCGGCCTTATATAAACATAGCCTTGGAAATCTTGAAGCAAGCATTTCTTTAGGTATATCTATAGATACTGAGCTCAACTATCCTTAATCTAGTAGGTAAGGTGTATACCGATGTATAGGTTAGGTATCTGTAAGTACCTAATAACTATGGAACTACTTACATGTAACTCTGAACTGAGGCTTCTGCAACACGTTATGCATAGCGGGATTGGAAGTATAGGAAGCAGTTGAACTTGCATGAAAAGTAACGAATGGGGCTTGATGAATTTCAAAGACCTCGTCGAGACTCTTCCAAGGTTATGATAGACTTTATAATCAGTTTCGTATATCATTCTACGCTTGGTATGTAAGGAGGCTTGAAGGACGATAATTGACTACGCCACCAATCAGAAGTGGTGTTTGCTGTCTGGTTCTCTTAGTCTCATGCATGCAGCTCGGAACCCCCGCATAAGCATACTACTATAGTATGGACCGGGATAGGTGAATGTGATCACCACCCCTCATCTACATGCCTAACCTAAGTCGGTATGCAAGTTGCATGGACAAATATCGTGCCTTGAGGCGGCTTCTATCGCAATAGTTACCAGAAGAAAACCGATGGATAGGGTTAAAGAGAGAAATATTAGAGCAAGATCCTTAAAGTATTGCTAGGGCTCCATATATAGAAGCCCAACCCTAAATATATATATAAGCTTCATCCAGCAGAGAGACGAAAAAGCATCGGCTCCATCAGTGACAGATAGATCATAAAACTCATTAGTTCTCCGCATTGAAAGATGCATACCTGCCGTGACATGCGCGTAAGATACTCAAGTGACCATTCAGTGTTCAACTCAACACACCCATCTCATGGCGGGAATGCTACATATGTATATAAGATGATATGATGACAATTGGATGGATGGAAAGATTTGAGATCAGGTGGTACCTTTGAAGATTGAAGATGAGATATGTATGTACATATGCCACACAGCTACAGTTACATAATATGTACTTATCAGTTGTAGTACACGTGTAGCGGTCTGTGCAATGTTATCTAACATCGTACTTTGCAGCTACCATGTAGGCGGTAAGTCACGATACGAAAAGTTTTTTTTTTCTTCTGAGATTGTACATACAGAAATGGGTTCTTCTCTGATTATCAGAATCAAATAAAGTAGGTACCTACATATGTAGGGTAGGCATTATGTATATATCTACATGTATGGTACCTATAATACTCCGATGTCTTTTATGACTCACCCGGACAAATCAAAAATAGATACATGTGCTACTTACAATAAGCATTTGAGATGATAAAGACTTCGTGGGTTTAATGTTGCATTGGAGATGCAGGATCAATCAATGATACATACTATGTTACCTACTGCGACTACATACATGTAATGTACTATACTATGTAACTATCGTGTAACACCATTGGTACATACAATCTCTACAATACTCACTGCACTGACTGCAGTCTGCAGTAGCCTGTAGGTGTACTAGGTGCTGCGCTCGAATAAACTCTATCAATTGATGGTGGATCTCTCTCGCGTGTTGCCAATGTAGCTCGAGCCTCGACCAAGGAATGTGTGCCTTACTAAACCTTGGAATTTACTCAAAATGCTCTAGGGCCTGTAGGGTTGCCTACAGAGCTGGGTACGCTATCAGGAACAGACCAGCCCGAGTTGCCGAATTGTGAACAATTGACCACTCAGGGGCCATTGCGACTTGAGCGGTCGGGAGACTTTTTTGTCGTTTTTGTCAGGAGCGAAACGTTTATGATTCCACAACCCCACCACACAAGGAACCAGCTTCATATGTGTATACCTGCGCAGTACTTGTTTGAATTGGTGTAATACTAGTATGTTCGATTGAACCGGTAAGTAACGTCCGAGTAGCAGTGGATCCATCTATCTTCCATGTATGTAGCTCTCCAGGGCTATGTCACTATGTCGCTATGCCACTACCTAGTAGGCTAGTACTAGGTATGTATGTATGTCCCTACATAGCTCCACAGTACTTATCATCCACTTTCCATAATCACAGCATATCTGCAACTTTTTATGCTATCTACTGCCCCACTCCGCCTCCCCAGAGATTCCCGATTCGCATGCAGCCATCTTTTTTAAAACATTATTCTTCCCAATCCCATCCCCAGTCTCTCTTCTCTACTATGAACCATACTGAAACATAGCGTCGTCAGTCCTACATTATCTATCACCCAAGCTACTACCGTTTTGCTGTCAGTAGCTATACACAGTATCTTATTAAATTTATTCTTCAATTGGCTGTAGAGTTGCGTTCACCTCTAAAAAGCCCGTCTGGTGATATCATCAAGAAGTAATTCGTCCACTTTGGCGAGTGGGGCGTGGGAGACGCGGAAACATGAGCTTTGCCTCGTGTACATGGCCAATATGGCGGATTGATGATTTTACAATATGTTTCCAGTCCGAGTAAGTCTCTTGTTACAATTTTCTTGGGAGCCTCGTATTTCGCTGGTTATCTGCCTGCTGTTTTTGTATTCGTCTGTCTCACTCACTAACGGCATCCTTTGTACCACATCATAGTTATCTCCAAATCCTCTTCCCGCTCATTCTAGTATCCCTATCACTCCTTCACCTTCTAGTACAAACCGTCTATCGGCACGTTAGATTAAAACAATCCCATGGCTATAATCAAGTACCCGACCATCGAGACCACACTGAGGTGCCACCCGAGGAAGATGACTGCTTGAGCACCGACGATGATGAAGGGATATCCATTAACGCGAATGGCGGTGGCCGGCTCGCCCTGGTTAAGACAACATCGAAAGGTTCCATTGTCCAAGCCGATACCCCGCCTGGTCAGAACCTGATCGTCGCCATCGAAGAAGTTGCAATTTGTGGTTTGGTAGTCGCCAATATCATTGCTCTAGCCACTGATACCTATGATGGCCGTGGGCAACTAGCAGGAATAATGGGCTTGGTCACTTGGGTATATGTTCTCGTTCTTGCAACACTACGACTATTTTTAGGAAACACCCAATGGCGCGTTCCACGACTCTGGAATCATACTGCTTTTATATACGGCTTCCAATGGCTCTTCACGCTAATCATATTCCGTTCCGTTATCATCCATGATAACTCCAATCTTACAAGAACTCTCATCATCGTGGAATTTTGTCTAACGACACTGCTGTTTGGTATGGCTTTGAACACTAGGAAGGGCAACAAAACCGTTATCATGGAATGGGAGGGCAATATGGAACCATCCCGCGAGCCTCTCGCTTCTGTACTCTCCTTGATGACATTTGCATGGATCGACCCGATGCTCTGGCAAGGTTACAAGGAACCTCTCGATATGAAGCACGTGTGGAATCTATTGCCGCGCGACAAAGCCGCGACTGTTCTTGCTAATTATCGGCAAGTGAAGAAAACAACATCCCTTGCCTTTCACTTGACCAAGTACTTTAAGGGCTTACTGATTATTCAATGTGTCTGGGCCACGATGAGTGGCATACTCACCTTTGCTCCTACACTTCTTCTCAAAGCTATTCTTGAGTACGTCGAGTTGCCGACTATGGCTCCAAGGAATGTCCTCTGGCTATATGTCATTCTACTTCCGGTATCGGATATCATCCGTTCAGTTGCCGATGGTCAATCCCTCTGGATTGGTCGAAAAATTTGCATCCGAATTCGTGCTATAGTCATTGGAGAGATATATGCTAAAGCCCTTCGGCGCAAGGCAGCAAGTGGTAGAGAAGCTGTTCTTGGAAACACAGATGCAAGTGGCGCAAAGGAGACGAAGTTTGAGAAGTTGAAGAGAATTTTGAGACTCAAGAAGGATGGCAAGAAGTCCGATGTGCAGAATGGCAATGTTGTTAAGAAGGATGCATCCAAGGGACCAGACGAACAAGCAAACTTGGGCACTATTATCAACCTCATGTCAGTCGACAGCTTCAAGATTTCTGAGTGCTCTTCGTATTTGCATTTCTTGCTAGCATCTGCACCCTCACAGCTTATTGTGTCTATTGCTCTGCTTTATCGTGTTATGGGACTTAGCGCCGTGCCGGGCCTGGTCATAATGGTCTTCCTTTTGCCCATCAACATCCTCTTGGCGAAAGGGTTCAACTACACCCAGCGTAAGATCATGGCTGCGACGGACAAGCGGATACACACTACCAACGAAATCCTCCAGAATATTCGAATTATCAAGTATTTCGCCTGGGAAACACGCTTCAGCGAAATTGTCGACGAGAAACGAAGAAACGAGCTAAGCGCGTTGAGAAATCGATACATGATCTGGGCACTTGCTGTTGCTATTTGGAATACAGTGCCAGTTTTGATTACCTTTTTCTCCTTTTTGGTCTACACCAAGGTTGAAAAGAAGCCTCTGTATCCATCTGTTGCCTTCACTGCCATCTCTCTCTTTATGCTTCTTAGAGTGCCTCTAGACCAACTCGGAGATATGATTGCACATGTGCAAGAAGCCAAGGTTTCGGTTGATCGAGTCGAGGAATTTTTGAGCGAGGATGAGACAGAGAAATATGAGCAGCTAGGGCTGGAGAATGTAGACGAGGATGGCAACAAGGTCATTGGTTTCAGAGATGCTACATTTATCTGGGGCGGCAAAGACGCAGTTGCCGCAGACGGGTCCACGGCTTTCCGTCTTCTGGATCTCGACGTTGATTTCAGAATAGGCAAGCTCAACATTATCGCAGGACCCACAGGCTCTGGGAAAACTTCAATGCTTATGGCTTTACTTGGCGAAATGACCAAGGTCAATGGTCAAGTGTTCCTGCCAGGTGGCCGCAGCCGGGAAGATGTCCGGCCAGATCCCGCCACAGGCTTGACTGAAACCTGTGCCTACGTCGCTCAATCTGCCTGGTTGGTGAATGCAAATATCAGGGAGAATATTCTGTTTTCTGCGCCTTACAACGAGAAAAGGTACAGGGATGTTTTGGTGGCCTGCGCTTTGCAACGAGACCTCGAAATTCTTGATAATGGTGACGAAACTCTGGTTGGCGAAAACGGCATCACCCTCTCCGGCGGTCAGAAGCAACGCATTTCCTTGGCCCGTGCTGTGTACTCGAATTCTCGACATTTATTACTTGATGACTGTTTAAGTGCAGTTGACTCGCATACGGCTAAATGGATTTTCACAAAGTGTATCAAAGGCGAGCTGATGAAGGGTCGAACTTGCATTCTCGTCACACACAACACCACGCTTTGCGCGCCCTTATCTGAATATGTTGTCCTCCTCGACAATGGTAGAGTTGATGCTCAAGGACCGGCCAATGATGTAATTGCTTCCGGTAAACTTGGCGAAGAGATTCGAAGTAAATCACGACCAGGATCTTCCGATGCTTCACGTGTTCCATCGCGGGTGCCGTCTAGTGTTGGAGATGAAAGCGACCAAACCCTCATAGATAATGGCGGCCATGCGACATCGGGTGTTAAGTCTGACACTAGGCAAGAAAACCAGAGCTCTCTAAAAGAGACGAAAGCTACGGGCGCTGTCAAATGGCAAGTCATTGGGCTCTATCTCCGTGCTATGGGTACTTGGTGGTTCTGGGCTATTGCTGTTGTAGTATTTGGGTGCCAGCAATTCAGCAGCGTTGCATCAAACCTATGGATCAAGGAATGGGCCAATCAATACACTTCGAGCCCCGAAAACATTTCCCTATCTGCTACACACCTCAGCATGTCTTCACAGCTTCACACCAACTCGTGGTTTTCTCCATCTTCTGTTGCGGCAACTATCAACCACGTTAAGGCTACCTCATTTATCACTCCCGCCGACTATTCGGCGGCAGATGTGCCGGAAGTCAACGTAAATTACTACCTCACTGTCCTAGCGTTGATTGGCATTGCTGGTGCTATATTGGCCTTAACCCGAGATATATGGTTATTCTTTGGGTCGCTTACTGCCTCGTGGAAGCTTCATAATCAGCTTATGTCCGCTGTATCTAGGGCGAAATTCAAGTTCTTCGATGTGACTCCCCTCGGACAGTTGATGAACCGATTTAGCAAAGATCTCGAGGCAATTGATCAGGAGGTTGCACCTGTAGCCATTGGTGTTATGAGCTGTGCCGTGGGTATTATGATTACTGTGGTACTAATAGCAGCCATCACCCCGGGATTTCTAGTTGCAGGGTTTTTCATCACGGGCTTATATGTCCTGGTTGGCTTGTTTTATCTTCGAGCTTCAAGAGACCTCAAGCGTCTGGAGTCAGTGAACCGAAGCCCTCTATTTCAACAGTTTGGCGAGACTCTCTCGGGTGTAACAACCATCCGCGCGTACGGTGACGAGCGCCGATTCATTCGGGAGAATCTTACTAGAATTAACACACAGTCTCGTCCGTTCATTTACTTGTGGGCTGCTAACAGATGGCTCGCTTTTCGAACGGACCTTTTGGGCGATCTCGTTTCGTTCTTTGCTGGTGTTTTTGTCATCCTCAGTTTAGGAAAGATCGACGCTGGCTCTGTAGGTGTATCTTTGAGCTATGCTATTGGATTCTCCGAGAACATTCTATGGCTTGTTCGACTATACGCCATGAACGAGCAAAACATGAATTCTGTGGAACGTGTGAAAGAATACCTCGACATCGAACAGGAGGCTGCTCCAATCAACGAAAAGAACCGCCCTCCTCAGAATTGGCCCGCACATGGCGCAGTTGAATTTATTGGATATACTACAAGATATCGCAAAGAACTTGATCCAGTCCTCAAAAACGTTACCTTCAAGATTGACCCCCGCGAGAAGGTAGGCATAGTGGGACGAACTGGTGCCGGAAAGAGTTCCCTGACCCTAGCAATCTTCCGTGCTCTGGAGGCAGAGAGTGGCAAAATCTTAATCGACAACATCGACATTGGCATGATCGGTCTTCAAGATCTCCGAGAAGCAATCACGATTGTGCCTCAAGACCCGACCCTTTTCACGGGTACCATCCGAACAAACCTTGACCCGTTTAATGTTTATACCGACGAGGATATATTTACTGCTTTGAAAAAGGTTCAGCTCATCGGGCCAAACGAAAGGCCCCCTTCCGCCACACGGGATGCTGGAGTCCTAAATGACCAGGACGCCTTAAGCCCTACTACGCCTTCCACAGGGAACAAGAACATATTCCTTGACTTGTCTTCCCCAGTCGTTGAATCTGGTACAAACCTTTCCCAAGGCCAGAGGCAGCTTTTATGCCTTGCCCGTGCGATGCTTAAGAATCCTAAGGTGCTCGTGATGGACGAAGCCACGGCATCGATCGACTATGCGACCGATTCGAAAATTCAAGGGACTATTCGGGACTTAAAAAGCACCATTATCACTATCGCGCATCGGCTTGCCACCATTGTTGACTACGACAAAGTACTAGTTCTAGACCATGGCGCGGTGGTGGAATATGGCCACCCGCATGAACTTCTGCAGAAGGAGGATGGAAACTTCAGGAGTATGTGTGAGATGAGCGGAGACATGGACGTTCTCACCAAAGCGGCCAAAAAGGCATGGGAAGATAAAAGACTCGTGGACGACGAATAGGGAAAAGCGCACGTACACATATCAGCCCAGTTTGAACCGGCTGCATGCGACAATGGTTTTTGGAGCGAGTAACGAGTTCATCTTTGGGATACGCCATGCATACTTATCGTGGGTAGGCAGTAGGCATTGGTTTAGTGTGTACCTACCCTTTTAAAACACGAAGTGTTTTTTAAAGTGTTGACAGCAAGAAACGGCTTGCCCATGCTGTGACGCTTCTGTACAGATGTATTACCTAGAGAGCATCATTTATGCCTGTTTATATGTTACGAATATGATTTCTAAATACAAAATCTATCAACTTATAGTTTATATGAAATTTGTGTTGTCGCGCCCTCGCAAGATGCCTACATAGATCAACCCCTGTATGGGTGAAGCACGTCGTATATCTGAATTTCAGCAGCAAATCAGAAAGAAAGTCACTGTACTTTGATCCGGAGCAGTGGGTGCGCCATTGGAAGTACTTGACGGATCATCCGCTCGGATCCTCCAAGCCCATACCAAGTGGTTTCTCGACTCGGACAATTCGGACGGTAAAAATGACCGCGGTGCTATCTCCACTATTCCCTCTTACCACCGTACATAGTTCGCGGCGGAGCAATTATGCGGTATGCTATAAGATTAGGCACCTACTTACCTACCTATGCATAAAAATCGAGAATTGACATCATAGGTCATTGCATTATTTCTAGATTGTCAGATTCTCGTAAGATTAGCGAATAATCGATCCAAGATACCGGAATTTCGATAAATTGAGTAAGGCCTGGATTTACCTACCTAACCTAGGAGGTAGATGCACCGGAGGTTGTCAGCCCCGGGACGGCATGTCCCTTTGTGCTATAGATTGACACATCGACTAGCAAGATCCTTCGCCTCGTGCAAGATGTGTATTTTGGGTTACACTTCTGTCGTGAAAGGGGCAGTGACGGACTGCAGGCCTTTAAGTCCGTCTGCACTGTCCTATCTCCTGTATGATCTTGAGACCTTGGGGATGATATAAAGGGGAGTGCATTCACTCCATGAGAAGGAAATTGTCATCAACAAAGCCAAACACATATCTCGATCTCCTTGTCCTACTCAACATACCAACATACCTACCGAATCAGAAAAGAAAAACCCTAGGCCTTACATACTTGCCATGGCATCCAACAAGACAGTAGTCCTCGTCACTGGTAAGTCGCTAGCCACTATTTGCATGCAGTCAAACCCACAACCGGAACAAGACCTAAATATTAACCATCGGGGACCCTAGGCGGCAACAGCGGCATCGGCTTCGAAACCGTGCTCGCCCTCTCCAGCGCCTCGCCCAACCTGCACATCCTCCTCGGCAGCCGGTCGCTCGAGAAGGGGCAGAAGGCGCTCGAGGAAATGCAGGCGCTGTCGCGCTCGCGCCCCGACGAGGTCGCGCTCCAAAGCCCCATCTCCGTCCTGCAGCTCGACGTCGCGGACCGCGCGTCCATCGCGGCGGCGAAGCAGGAGATCGCGGCGCGCTTCGGGAAGCTGGACGCGCTGGTCAACAACGCCGGCGTCATGGTCCACCACACCAAGGACCTCGAGGAGGTGCTGCGCCTCAGCTTCGAGGTCAACACGTTCGGCCCGCTGTTCCTGACCGAGGCGCTGGAGCCGCTGCTGCGCGAGGCGGCGGCAACGGCGGGGGCGGGGGGCGCGCGCGTAATCTACGTGACGTCCTCGCAGGGCTCGATCTCGGAGAAGCACGCGCGCAACGAGTCCGACCTCCAGTACCGCGGCTTCCTCGTCGCCGAGCCGTACCGCATGAGCAAGGCGGCCGTCAACATGCTCGCCGCGTGCCACCGCGCGAACTTCGGGGGGTGGGGGTGCAAGGTCCTCGCGCTGAACCCCGGGGACTGTGTGTCGAACTTGACGGGGGCGGAGGGGCTGAAGGCGAGGGAGAAGAGGGGCAGCCAGAGTCCCAAGCTGCCGGCGGGGGCGATCAGGGACCTGGTGCTGGGGAAGAGGGACGGGGACTTTGAGAAGAATGGGATTGTGGAGGTGGATGGGGGGGTGTTGCCTTGGTAGGGCTGGCGGGTAGTTGCTATTTGGAAGTCGGTTGGATGTCTCACCTCTGTGGATCGGGTATAGCTGTGAAACTTATCGTATCATAAAACCCTGAGGATGTATTTCCTTGTTGCTTTGGTTTTCTTACTGGTGCATATCGTTAGTTAAGGCTTATGTTGTAGGCTACCCCTGACTCCATGAAATGCCACTCAGTAATCATTCAGAGGGTAGCCTGTAGACCCCCCAGAACCTGGCTTGTGTAATTCTCATTCCATTCAGACGGCGAGTTCCTAGGTAGGTAGGCCCGGTCCAGTTTAGCAATACACATCTCCCATACGCGATATAGTTATCTCCTCCACAAGTCTTATCTCCGAAGGATCAATCGTATGATATGATTCTGTCGTGGAATAAACTGTTTCTCCAAGCCAGACCTCATCTTAAAGTCAAGTGCCGTGCCGGGTCGGGTCGGGTCGGGTCGGCCCGTATCTCAATCGGAACCGAAACGAACGTTCGGTTTCTCTATCGGCTGATGATTGACGTTTTTTCATGCCACGAATGGCCATCTTACCATACGATTCGCGTCTAGCGAAGCCGTCGACGGAAAAACTTTCTACCCGGAGCGCAAAACTCGGAAATGTTGATGAAGGGGTAGCAGAATATCGAAGTCATGTCAATTATCAACCTTTCTCTCAATTATCTCTAGTTACTAAGTTACCCTGTAGGATACCCCTATTTGCGCCCCGCCCCCCCAATTGTTAGCTGCTAGAAAGCCCTTGTCAAACAAGAGTCATGTGACTTCAATAGATCACGTGAATCGAGGCCTACCCTGCCGGGCGTTTGCATTCTCATTCCTCCCGTCGTTGGGTCGCATACCCACCTATAGGTAGGTTAGGTGGTTTATCATCCGCTTTGAACATGCGGCCTCTGTCTCAAAATTTGTTGCAGGTGCCTGAGGCTCATGGCCCCATAGGGCCTGCCCGTCATATATTGGCACTCCGCCAGTGTCGTCTACCTAGATAAAATAAAGCAAGCTTTCTTCCATTCTTCTTCCTTCTTCTTCTTCTTGGTTGCAGCTGTAGGTACTGCAAACACAATTATCGTACCATCTCACGCGAGGTTGGATGCTAAATATATATATATACTGCGGTGGGGAGTCAAGATAAGCTCATTTTCCGACTGCCCCCAACTTGGCCGAGCGACCCGCGGTTGAAGAGATGTCGGCGATGCTCGAAGTGCCGAGAAGCTCAATCATATTCCGCGATATCACAAGACGGGGCTGGGAATTGATGTCTGAGTTGTGCTACTATAATCCACGCGCCGTGTGTCCAATCAAAGGTAAGGCGTAGGTGAATGATACGCCGAACGAGGCGGCCCCTAATGTCTCACTGCACGAGGCATTGTCTTGGGTTAGGCAGATTCGTATTTTTTCACCAAAATTCCTGGATATCCCAAAGCCGCTGAGGTGTGCACTTACCGAGATAGGTATCATCTTGCAATCATGTTGCTAATTATATTTCTATGTAGGCCTCCAGAGATTGACATAAGCACCTAGATGCGCCTGATGGTCCTACCTAGGTGCTCATGGTACAGAGGAAATGAAATCTTACATTACTTGGCGCATAGATATTAGGTGTAGAACGATGGCTCCATTTACGTCCGACTCCAATTCCTCTCACACAATTATTCTTCATCCAAGTAACCCGATGAAATGGGTTATGTGGAATTCCCTCTCACGCCCGTATGCCGCAGGCTACTGATCGCCTTCTGCATTATTGAAACGATAATGCTTTGCGCCCTGGCACTGCGAATTGCATCGCGTGTAGTTCAGAGAGTCAAGTCGTACGGGGAAGATATTCTCATAGTCTTCGCTGCTGTAGATGTCACGGCAATGCTTGTGCTATTTGGATTTTGTATGTTTCAATTCACGTTACTCGTATGCCAGCTTGGATCTGCTAATCTGTGCCTAAAGTGATAAAGGCCGGCGAAGGGCACCCTGATTCAGAGCTTGTGGTGAATTATACCTTCAGGGGAAAGGTAAGAAGAGGTTATCCTTGACGGCGCATCATGCTCATAGGGTGCCGAAATAGAACATATATCTTACTAGATAATATAGGTACTCATAGCCGAGGCATTTCTCTATATTTTCGGAGTCGTATGCGCCAGACTTGGGGTCTTTATCTTCTATCTAAGAGTCTTTCCCAACCAGACATTCCAATTACTTACTAAGGGTTTTATGGTCATCTCGACGTGTCTCGTTATCGCCAACGGACTTTGGGGCGTTTTCACCTGCAAACCCGTGAGCTTGAGCTGGGACCTAACGGTGACTGGGGAGTGCGACGACACTATGGCTCCTTATGCTGCGGCGACCATCGTGAGCATCGTCTCCGATGTTGTTTCTATCATATTACCTCTGCCGCTGATATGGCGACTACAAATGAAGCGAAGCAATAAGATCAGCCTAACCTGCTTATTTGCCGTTGGGTTGAGGTATGTGCATATTCGCTATCGCGTTTAGTAAGATGGAGAGGACACTAACGACATGTCAGCACTGCGTCTTTGGCTTCATGGCGCTTTTATGTGCTATACCAGTAGGTCATCCTTATCGTCAGGTCATAATCAAAGGTACCTACCTATCTAGCTACAGGTAGGTAGATAGGTAGGTGGGTATCTATCGTCACAAAAATCGACTCTATTACCATCGAATTGCACACGCACCATGGATAATATATTAACATTCTTTTTCACAGTCCGACAGCTGATCTTCGAGCAATCATTATTTCCGCGGCGGCACTGGAAATCGAAATGGTAATAATCTGCTCGAGTGTGCCTATAATCTATCCCTTGCTTCTACGGAAAAGCCAGAAATTAGGCGGCGGCCGTTGGGAGAAGTTTCGACAGACAAAGGGCCCCACGTCTCGGGTCATTCGCACATTTGGATCATCCACCCGGCAAGAGAGGAATTTTGACCGGCTGGACAGTTTGATGAATTCTACAGTCGCAACGTATGAGCTCGACATGGCATCTTCTAGGGCGGTACCCGGTACTGGTATTGGGTTCACCGAGGAGTGGTCAGTGGTTGGCACTTCCAAAGTCGATAAACTTCATGTTGGTGATAGATCCGCATTGCAGGATGCTTAACCAGGTATATCAACGCCGACAGTTCCAAATCATAATGCAACATAAATCTACCATGAGCGTCATGAAATTGCCCTTATACTTGCCCTTTCCACAGCCCAACCAGCTAGAAACAATGAATGGCCTACCAAGTACTCATATCTATACCTAATTGTGGCGTACCTAGATGTAGCCGCCCTAGGTAGGCCGGCGAAATGCTTGTTCCCTGTCCCATCCCGTTGGCCTGTTGTGGGGGATTGTAGAATGTACCTAAGTAGGTAGGGACAAAGAAACCAAGAGTTCTACTTATATTCCAAAGACTACTTTAATCATATACCTACCTGGGGAACTGAAATAACGTAACTACCCAGGTTAGCTCACTCCTTCCTCAGTTGCGGTCTCACGTCTCTGTTGCGATACATCACCCAAATCAACTGAAGAATCAAGCTTCCGTCATGGCATCGAAACCAGATTACGTTTACACGCGAGATTACCTCGACAGCAGTCGGTAAGCCTAGGCACATCATATAACCTTTAGAAAGAAGAAGAAGTTGATCTAACTTGCCACATCATGGGTCTGCGGCATGAACTTGATGCATTATTACTTTGTCGAGCTTTTCGGATGTCTCACGCACTCCAAAAATTCCGATTCAAGATCCCAACTTGAGGATTGCCGATGTAGGCACAGGCACGGGGTTAGCTTTCACTTGACATTTATTTACATTGAGATATTTTACAGTTTCAATTGCCGCCCAAAGCTTGGCTTCCCTCCAACGCCGATCTTCGCCACTGGGGCGTCAGAGATGCTGTACCTACCGGATGACCTGGTCGGCGTCTACGACATCGTCCACATTCGATTCTTCGTATTTGTTCTTCAGAATGACGCCGTCAAGGGAGTCTTGGATAATCTCTTTAAGTCACTAAGTGAGTCCTCTTTTCCCCATTCCCTTCGTGGATAAGTGAGCGTGTGTTGTTGGTACCTAGATGTAAGACTTCCCAAGCGCTATGCTAAAGTGGATATATCCCTCAGAGCCGGGTGGCTACTTACAGTGGGGAGACATCGACATAAACTCCGGGCGTGTGCAGAAGGTCGAGCTCGGGGTCAGGGGAGATGCACACGAGCAGTTGATGAACCTGACGCTTGGCCACGATGCCAGGCTGCAGAGCTTCTTGGGTTCCGCCCATACGTCAGCTCTTCTCAGAGGCGGGACTCGAAGAGGTCGAGGCCGAGCCCGTGATGCCAGGCCAGATCTTGCTTTTGCGATGCATGAGGGGAGCCTGATCAGCCACGAACTCATCCCCCGCCAGACTAGCAATGAGAGTGTGGCGAGGGAAGTCGGTCGTCTGATACCGCAGGTTTGCAAGGAGACCAGAGACGGGGCCATGTTTGCGTTCAGGCGCTGGCTGGTCGTTGAGAGGAAGCCTGCGCTATGAGATGTTGAATAGGGCGGGAGCCCGTGTCAATAGACATCACCGTATTCGCACTATCCCGTACTTGTCCCTGAGACTTTCTCGGAGTCGTAGTATGTATCTAGGTAGTCTCTATTTGATTGACGCCTGGTGGGGTTAGAGCCATAACATCTATCGGTCGTGATGATTTCTCAATTCGCCGTATTCTTTCTCATACATACTATGAGGTACCTACGTAATGCGCAAAGACGACGAAAAAAAAGAGAAACCCAGAAATGAATTGAAAGATAACCTGGGAACAGAAAATTACACGATTGAGACGATTGGGGATTAGATGTTCCGTCTCGGAAGAACCATACTCCAAAACTACCTCGGTAGGTAACTAGCCGTACGGTTTCGAATATCGGATCGTACCATTTCGCTAATGATTTTTTTTGTTCGTTGCTTCATTTCTTTTTCTTCATCATCCGTTTGTCATTCTATAATCCGCTTTATCGGAATTGTCGAACTTGCCGACGGGAACTCGACATACAATCAAGAGAAAATTTCGGCCCGGGCGATGGCTCGAATATCGGAAATGCCGAAAAAGAAAAAAAAGGGGAGGGGCCCGCCTGAATGCGGCAACCGATCATACGACTCCCTCCACACACACACGTGCCACCATCACTCGATTATCGACGCCATCCCATCGTTTCACCATCTGTTGATCTCCGTTCTCCGACGTCAACCCTACAGAGCCTCCCGGTTTCCACCGTCGATTTCTTTTACTTCCTCGCTTTTCGTGCCGTGGAGCGGTCTTAGGCGAATCCCGGCCCGCCGCTCTCCGATCCCGTCTTTCTCCGTCCGGGTTTAGCCTTTCTCCGATGAGGCTCAATATACTTCATGTGTGTGTGCTTACACCTCGCGGCACGGCGCGATGCCGTTAATATCCGAGTTTGACATCGTTCGACTAGTTGTCATGGGCATCCTCAAAGACCCGAATCGTATGATTTCGGCAAATACTGGTAAATAATTTTATTCTTCCCGAGGTCATTTTTTGATAACGGGAAAATTTAAAGAGGTTTAAAAACACGTTCGCATCGCCGAGAAGCCCCCCTTTCCTCCCTCTTTCCCCTTCTCGTTCTTTTTGCGATTCTAATTTCGGGCAAGATTTCTTCTGGAAATATTTCGACTAACCACGGGCTAGAAATATTGTTTGCAAGATAATCATAGCAACTGTTCCCGTTTCGGTTCACCAAGACCCAAGATGACACAGGCACCACTGAGGCAAAAGTTAAGGTACCTGGCAACTGTACAGAGCAAAAAAACGTGTCACTTGAGCTTCTCGAAAGAACAGATTCGGCTTAATGCATAACTCACACCACGTACTTGCACCCGTCTCCGAGCATTACCTAGCTAAGCGACTCCTCGTTCATTCACTGGTAGCGCCCCATCGCCCACTCAGGACTGTTCTCCGACACACGCTACGGGATTGCTTCACCATACAAATTGAAAGAAAGAAAGAGGTTGGCTGGTAGTTACGTGCTAGCCATGGATCGAGCGGCATATCATCGAACCCCATCCCAGCCAATGACTTGAGAGCCTTACAGAACGATAAGGTGCCCGCTGTCTACCATCTGGATAGGTCGTTGCTGTCACGAGGCGGGACCTAGAAGAAGCAGAACACCATCGTTGTTGCTCGGGGATCTCTTAACATCCACCTGAGACTACCTATGGAAGCTACATACACCCGTAAGTCGTCTTTGTTCCATGTAGTTAAATCCCCACGTGCTCCTAGGTAGATAGACCCTTGACAGGTACCTTGACAACAGCGTTATCCCATTCACCTGTGCAGTCCTCTTAACTAACTAGGTTAGGTTATGCTGTCGATTTCATCGCTGGTTTACACGTGCCACCTACCTACGCGGTGGTTTGCGCTTACATGGGGAAAGCCGGGCCCAGCCCAACACCATCTAAGACATAATAGTCGGTGAGTATTGTAGAGTATTGACTTCAATATCAAATCAAGAGTGACAAAAAACCGTGCTGTTAGTCAAGTCCACGTAGGTAAGTGTTCATATCAAGGCGGATAATCACCATAGCTCTCTCTCAACAACTATACCAATTTCCATATATCTTTACTTCGTAAGCGACGCAGAAAAAAGGGCGAGGCTTTCTTGGCAGGCCGTCTTTTACTGCGGGAGTAGGGCGGAGAAACCAAGCACAAGTACAATTCTCCTTGAAGAGAACTAGACTAGTCTCAGCGATATAGACGCCCAAATGTAAGATACCTATAAAGCATGAGGCGCTAGTACGCACGAGATCGAGGATTGGGTCTCCGCCATTAAAGGGATGGCAACGAGGAGAAACCAAACGCAGCGACGCCGACCCTCGTACAATGGGCAGTGAGCATGATGGAACCTCGGCTGCAAAGCGATTGGAGAGGCGTCGTCGCATCGCTCCAGCGTCCGAAGAGCGATATAGACCTAAAACAACTACCTATGGGACTTTCTTTAATGGCAGTGGAGCTACGTACCTGGATGCGGCCCGATTTCCATGAGATCATGAGTGGTAGTGCGTCGATTACCGCGGTAGGAAAACTAGTAGCGGAAAGGACGGAGGAAAAATAACGCCTGCTCAAGTTAGCTTTCACCAAAAGTCATTGCGTCCATATCCAACACAATAAGCCAAATAAAAAATAAGCACAGCTACAGCATCGTAAAAAATTTCCATTGACGGCCGATGCCCCAAACCTGCTAGCTCTAAAACCTGCTATGCTCAATTATACCCTTTTCTTTTTTCTCCCCTTGCTCCTGATCCACGGCGCCTTTTATACCGGGCTAAGTACTGCAGGTAAACGAAGACTCGAAGAAAATACAAATAAATCCCAAGTCCATTCCGTTGAAATTTGCCACCAATAAGTGATACTTAGCACTCCTAACCCTAACCCTACTTGGACCTGCCTGCCTCCACAATCTTTTTATTTGCTCTTTCGAGCTTTTCTCTCGCTTTCCCATCTAAGAGATTGAACCACGCGCGCATGTGTGCCACGTAGGCCGTCTCTTTCTCTCCGTATTCGACGGGTGGGCCCTTGATCTGCGGAGGTTCGTCCTCGTGGTCGAAAATAGCCCAGCTAGACTCATCGTTTGTGCGCAGGCTAAACCCTTTATTATGTACTGATATGACTGTGAAATTGCGAAGTAGTATGACGTCTCCAGCTCTGACAATTGGCAATGAGTCTTTATGTGGTCGGTAAAGCAGTACTTCGACAACCGAGTAGGGGCCAGTTGTGTGGTCCGTAATCGTAAAGGACATCATGTATTCGCGCGGGCCGCCTTTGGCTCGCCGAGGGTCCGGTGGTTGCATCATGGCGACAGCAATGACATTCAACTTCTTTTGTAGATATTGACGCAATACCTTCAGAGACGTGTAATCCAAAAGTTCGCTGCGAAGATGACGAACCAGCATCAGCTTTGCTGCCGTCATCGAACTAGTATCTTCTTCTGACTGGAAAGACCTGTTGCCTAGGGAGGTCCTAGCTGAGCGGACACCTGGGTCTTCCGTGTCAGGCATGTAACTTTCGTCCGAGGGCAAACTCTTCCTCTGCGAGCTAGCATTCCTAGATCTAGTGACCTGTCTTCTCATACTTCTCCTAGAGGCATTTGCGGCTCGCGCAAGCTCTGCACTTGCATCTACTGATTCGTCCTCAGAAGAATCATCGACTGTGAGTGACAATGCATTTCCAGGTCTGGTATCCTGTTGTCTTATATCTTGCCTGGAAACATTTGCGGCTCGCGCAAGTTCTGCACTTGGGTCTATCGACTCATCCTCGGATGCTTCATCAGGGAGGGTGAGTGATAATGTATTTCCAGGTATAGTGTCCTGTTGTCGTGTATCTCGCCTAGAAGCATTTCCGGCTCGCACAAGTTCTGCGCTTAGGTCTACCGATTCATCCTCAGATACTTCATCAGCGAGGGTGACTGATAAAGTGTAGTGATTTTCAGCCAGTTTCTGCTCCTGTAGTGGAGTTGCAAGGTCTGGGGATGGAGGTCTCGAAGTTATATCCCGAGTTTCAAGCTCTGCAAGAGCACTATCTTCGTTCTGGTCGAGTTCAGGCTCATTTTCTAGACTTGCAGATAGGTCCTCGGTTACATTATCCTCTGTATCGAAGTATGTCTCGCCTGATTCCTCATACTCCTCCAAGATGCTAGCCTGTAGTTCGTCGTCGATTTCCATTTGTGACCTAAATGAAACGCTACCGCCGGGATATTCTCGAGTATCTGATAGAGATACACTTTCCGAAAATGCCCCAACTACAGCTTTTGAGAAGATTGACTTTGATGGAGATGTCCCTTCCAGTTTGGTCGATTCTGAATGGGGTTCAATTTCGGGAATAGCATTAGACCCAGCGTCAATCTCTACTACCGTATCTATGGATTCAGCATGACTGCTTTGGGACCTGTCATCGTTACCAACTTGAGTCTCAAAACTCAAATCAGGCGACATAAGTGAGTGGTCAGGCTGTGTGGTTTCCACGGCATCTCCTTCAGGGGTCTTTTGTCGTTGTGTTGGGGAAATCTCAATCGATTGCTCTTGCTCTTCAACAGGAGCAATAGCGGTTTGGTCAGTTGGTGACTCTCTTGTGTCGGCAAAATGTTCTGTAATGCCCGAAACTTCATCAACATCGGTTTCTACTGGCTTCGCTATGCTGGACGCCTCATGTGTGTCCACGTCCATCGAGATCACCATAGGTTCAACGGGATTGTCTTCTGTGAGCTGCGTGTCTTGAGGCGTCAGGAGTGGTTCGGTTAGTGTACGAGATTCAGTGGTGATAGTCTCTCGCATGACGATATCCTTTTGTCCTTCGTCGGTGGGTTGAAACTCGAACAAATGCGTCGCCTGCGGAGGAGACGACGATGCAGTGACTTCGGCCCGATGTTCTTCACGGATGGCGATTGGACGCATAGTCGAGGTTGAAGTAAGGTCTGGCAAAGGAGGCGATGCCTCGGTGAGTTCCTTATTCTCTTGCAGATCTGGATTCTCTTGCATGTCAGGATTTTCTTGAATGTCCGGATTCTCCTGGATATCCGGGTTCTCTTGGATATCTGGAGACCCCTGCATTTCCGCTCCGTCTGATTGTGAATCATCAATTTGAGATTCGGCTGCCTTAGTATCAGTGTTGCCCATAAGCATATCGTCTTGCGCCTTCTCATTCAGTGCGGCTTGAATATTAGCGTTCGATTCGCTTTCAACTGCTTGGCTCAAAATCTCAAGCCCCTGAGCTGCAGAATGTGAAGCATGGTTGACCTCCACCTTATCTTGAACCTCGACGTCTTCCTTGATTGTCGTATCGTCCCCATTTTGAACGGATATATCTTGTGAATCGACTTTAGGGGATTCGACAACATTTTCATCAATGCTGACTTCCATGGCGTCTTGGTTTTTTCCGAAAGACTCTTGGTTACCTTCATCTTGTCCAGGCGAAGGTTCAGTCTCCGGTTCAGCAGGTTCATCAGGCTTGTCAGGCTCGTCGGGCAAGTGACTTGGCCCAGTCATTCCTTGCATTTCGGTCTCCTCTCCTATTTCCTCTATTTCTTCTTCGTCGTCCTGGTCGTCCTGCACCTCATCTTCCTCACTTCCTTCAGCCTCATCCTCATCAGTCAATTCCTCACTTTCACTTTCACTTTCCGCGCCCTGCTCAAATACTTGACTTAACAACGTATTCGATACTAAACTAGGCCGATTCTGTGATAAAGGATCCGGAGACTTATGAGGCGGTGATTGTGGCAAGGGATCACTGTTGTCTTCTCCTTCGTCTTCCCCCTCGTCTTCAGAAGATGATATCAAATCGATGACCTGGGGAGCAGCCTGTGGTATATTTCGAAATGGTTGCGGAGGTTCCTCATCTGCGCCCATTTCGTCATACTCACTTTCGTAGTCCATATTTTCTGCATCCTCATCCTCCTCATCCCAGCTCTCACCTTCGTCAAACTCAGGTTCAGCGTCGCGTGGTCGCAGGTCTTCGTCGTGGCTGTCGTCCTCGTCATCATCTGGTCCAATGTAATTTCTGGCGTCATAATCGCCACCCATCTCATCGGCATCATACTCGGGTTCATCATCGTCGGAGCGCTCAGCATTAGCTTCATCCTCAGCCTCTACATTATCGTATGGTAAGGCATCTGCACCACTCTCCTCGGTAATGTCCTCTGCAGCATTTGGTGGCGCTATGACATCGTCTGTGTCATCGCCCGGGTCATCGTCCGAGTCACTGTCATCAAGAACGACGGGAGTGTCGGGAGAGGCGCCTTCCATACTACCTAGTCGATCAGCAGGTGGTATCGACGTCGCCTGGGATGGGTTGTTGACGGTAGCCCATGGAGAAGCCCGTGCATCCGCCACGACGGGAACACCTGAGCCGAATGCGCCTTGCTCGATATCCATAGGATCATGAGGGTAATGGTGGCCCCCGTCTAGATAGGATGTAGGATAATCAACATGTGTAACTTGGGGGGTTGGCCTAATTTGTTCGTCGTTCTCAAAATCTAAAGGCGGGTAATCCGTGCCCTGAGGGGTAGCTTGAGTTGGATAGCCGCTTTCATCGACTGGTAAGTTACTGCTAAGGCCCTGTTCAAAATTCTCGATAGCTAGATTACTTGATTCACATGGCGAACGTGTACGGCTTCCAAATGGTGAACCTCCATAAATGTTTGCGAGATTATCAGGTAGTGGCTCAGTGACAGATGGATAAACGTCAGACGTAAGTCCAGAGGGTCTAGGATCCCAATGGCTGTGGAAATCATTACTTGGAGCTCCAAACCCAAGGTTGGGTTGAAATGAAGCCAATTCGGAACCATTATCAGGGGGTCTATCGCTAAGACCGAATGGTAACAGAGGTACAGGTGCTGCACTCGGCCATTCACTGTGGAAATCTCCTTGGACGCCATGATCCACCATACCTTGCCGAGAGTGACCAAATTGCTCTTCTAGGGTAGGTTTCAGGTCGTGTTGCACGTCTCTAGTATGTACAATTGTTGGTGTAGATATTGGCATAGGAATTTCAATCTCCATAGTTTGACATCCTTCATCGGTCATCTCGGGCCTAGGTGATGAGCTAGGAAGAACTGGAGCGGGCACAGGTGTGGCAGGCGCAGCCGGTTCTGGGCTAGGAGACTGGCTGGTATATTTCCAAGCGCCGCTCTCACGACCAAATCTGCTTCTTTTTCGGCCTCTTCCCCTCACCCCGCCATCATCTTCAAATATGTCATACCCATCCTCAAACAAGGAGCCATATGACATCCGGGCTCTCTTGATGAAGGCCGGAGACTCAAACTCTCCATCTTTAAGTCTTGCGATCTGCGACTTCCTTGGTGGTGTGAGTGTCCCGAGCCGGAGGATTGATGAGTCTTCCAAATGGGTTATCTCGAACGGCGGTATTTCAACAGGCTCTTCGATAGAGGGTTCGACAGGAGGCTGGGTTTCTATAGGGAGGGAAGCAAGGTCGACAGCGATGAGTTTGGTTTCGCTAGCCTCAGATAAGGTAACCTAGATTTAAATAAGCAAATAATCCACTAAATGGTATAAGTAGGTATGTTTTAGAATTCATTACCTGCAGCAGAAGCTTGTCGGAGAATTTCAACTGCCAGTCGAGCCCCGCGTTGGGCAGGCTCTGGCGTTTCTTGGTTTGTTCGGGCTCCCACTCGGCTCCATCTAAGCTCACGAGGACTTCATCGCTACTACTTAATCCGCTTTCTCCAGCAGCCTTGGCGGCTGGTCCACTCAGGTTAATGCGAACCTGCCCCTTACTTCGACGAAGACGATAATCGGGTTCGGCAAGGATAAAGGCGAAAGTGTTTTTGACGAGGCTGTAAGGCCATGTGATGGTAACAACACCACGCACGGCGCGAGATGCAGGATCGACGAGTTCGGGGTTCAAGTCAGCGATGGGAGTTTTGTTTGCCGCTTCGAGTCGTTGCAATGGATCTAATCTGTTTCCAGTGTCCATCTTGTGGGCATAACTTCGTAGAAGCGCGATGGCCTTTACGTCGTTTGTTCACGTATGAGAACGAAGGATTTGGTGACGCATTCCTAGAATAATTCGGCGAATAAGTTGTTGTGACAGTGTCAAGATTTAAATACTAGGTATGTGTTATCGAGATGGCGTTGTATATATGTTGGCATTTGGGTTGGTGTTGAAGTGAAAGTAAAAGTAAGAGTAAAAGCAAAAGTGGAAGTCGAGATAGAAGTGGATCAATTGAGCTTCAATAATTGAACGTGTCTGCCAGTTCTGCGTGTTAAACAGCTGAAAGCATTGAGCTCAAGTGGATCACCAATCTTCACGCGGCTCTTGGGCACGCTAGTTATTGTATTATGTAATCGCTTTTATCCCTGTCTGGGTACTATCAGCTCGCATAATTGGCTATAGATCTATCAATAGTGGGGGCTATCACTCCACCATTTATAGGTATTCAAGCAACAAAGTACTATACGCCGTAACAAAGTAACAAAGTAACAACATTGAAAGTAACAAAAAACTTGAACATTTAAAACATTGAATTTGTATAAGTTTACTATGAATCTGCATTGTCAGAATTGTAATTCATGGAATGGCGCAACATTCCATCTACTTGTCCACCCTAGCATGTTTTCATACCTGCAAGATTTATTCTTGTCTGACTGGATGTTCATGAATAGATCAAGTCACAAGCTAAACAGCCATTTCCTACAAGACAGGACACCATTCCTGGCATATCTACTCAAGCATCCATTTACGCATTCAACGTAACTATTAAATGTCAGGGACCTTATATCCTTCCATCTACCATTTACTCCGCGTAAGTGATAGTCCAGTTGCCAGGGAGTTGGTTGAGCCCTTAAATCCCCCGTTAGCACTTTCAAGACAAAAGCAAGAAGAAGAGTTGCTCTTACATCCATCATATCTCTCTGGCACCGTCTGGTTGAGTGTACACCGCGTAGCCTCGTCCGAAGTCTGTGATATCAACTCAGCGCACTTGTCGTTGCTGCACCGCGCATCCAACGCCCGCTGCAATGCGTCGTCCTTCCACCCGAATACGTAATCGCCGTGTTGTCCGTAGCCCGACCTAACATTTAAATATTTTATCATCAGCTTTGTTTTTTTCATCTCTATTCCCAATAGGCTCCCTCCAAGAGAGAAGGGCCAAGGAAAGGTGGCTATGAAGGTAAGGAAGAACCCACCCATCACCCATGCTATACACAAACGGCTGCGACCCATCCTCAGGCCAAAAGTCAGGCCTGTTAAACTCCCTCGTATCCCACATAACCTCATACATAAGCTGCGGCAACTTAACGGGATGGCTCTCGGGACACGTCCCTCCGCTCTCAAAAGTCCCGGTTTCGGGGTACGCAACATGACTCTTGTGGTCCGGCGAGTCAACGTTTACTCCGTCCCAACAGGTCGGAAACGTGATCGTTGTGCGGATCCCGCCGGTGCACATGGTGGGCGGTAGTGCCGCGGTGTCGTCGCCCGTGCAGGGCGCGCCTCCGAATGGGACTTGGTTAACTGTCGCGAAGCATCGGTGGCATAGCTGCCGCTGTTGGCCTTGCGATTGGCGGAGGGTTGATTCGCCGACTAGCATGCGGAATCCCTATACGCAGACATGTGATGTATTAGCAATTTTCCCACAATCTCCTATTATCGCTCTTGGTGTACAAGTTTATCGTAAGGACAACGAATAGAAACAGGTACGAAGTAAGCGGGCAGCCACCAATAGGTAATAAAATCAAAAAACCCCACCGGCTTAAAAGCCGTAACGTTCGTCTTCCCATCATACGGCGGGATATAATACACCGTCAGCCCCCCATCTGCCTTGAGTCCCATATTCACCAGCTGGGGCACCCGCTTCAAGCTTCCGTTCCTCGCTTTGAAGAACAGGTTCGCAGTCCAGTAGTTCGAGAAGTCCTCGGCAAAGGTACACGACGTGCAGGTGGACTCCTTCACGGGATCGTAGTCGACGGGCGGCATGTTGGCCCGGAACGAGTTGCCGCCGCCGACCTGGTGCATGTGCGGCGATTGCTCCATGCCCGGCGAGACCAATGGGTCTAGTCGTTCGATCGTTAGCTTTGAGCATGAGAACCGCATCATTTGTTGTGCGTCGACGGTGACGGTGCCGTGGGCTAGGAGCACCGCGAGAGCGGCGAGGGAGCGCCACTGCATCTTTTCTTCATTCAATTCCTCTCCTCGCTCGTGTAGTTATTCCCGTAAACCAAGTAAGATATAGACTCTAATAGCGAAGATCAGAGAAATTTGAAATTACAACCGAGAACCTAGAAGATAGAAGAAACAAAACAATTGCAGCTCGCAGATTCAACCCTGGAGTACTTCATAACACCACAGCAATTCTCAAGATATGCCCCCCGAAAAACAATCCGCTTGGGGCGAACTGCCGCATATTAAGCGAACAACCGGGTAATATCCTCACTTCCTTGAGGATAAAGGGGCAATATATCCCAAAAATGATAGTTCATCGTGCTTTAATTGGAGGATGTGGGAATCGATAATGGCAGACGTTCTTTTATATATACTTACTTAGATACGTAGGACTTTTCTGTAGAAATAAGGCCTTGCTTGTGTATGAAGTCTTCCAAAAGGTGAGTATCGTACCGGTTGGAGAATAATTAGGATGTAGATAAGTTGCTTCCTAGGTTTCTACGTATACTCTATATCAATACAAAATACTAACGCCCTTCTACAGACATAGTTCACTTGGCCTAGATCATTCATTCCCATTATATTATCAACGTTAGCTACCTAGTCTAAATAGTCATGTAGCCTATCATGCTACCTAGGTTAGTAGGTACTTACTTACACACGTCGAGTGAAGAATGAATCCATGCATAAGATAGATAGAAATTATGAGAAATTATTACATGATTGAGAGTAACTCTTCAAGTTAGAATAGTTTCTCAAATTGCTATCAATCTTACGCATAGATTCATTAGATGAAGTTCAGAATAATTATCCCGAATAAGGGGTTCCAGCTACGGTACCTAGGTACCTAATCATCAACTCTCTACCTCTACCACTACCACCGCCCCCTCGTATCAAACCCATCTCTCAACACCTCCCAATCCACGACCCCCGGCTTCAAATCCTCCATCTCAGGCGCCTCAACGATCCATCATCCACCAGCACACCACCCCCCTTTCCATATTTAATCTTCTTCTTATACCACTTCCTACCCCCATCTACATCTCCATCTATATCCCAGAAATCACCTCCCACCACAATCTCCTCCGTCCTCCCTTTACCATCTTCATCTTGAAATCGAACCCAAGCCCGTGTCTTTCCCCCTTCCATTTCAACTACAAACTCCTTTTCTGCTTTTTCTTGTACATTGTCATCATCCTCATAATCATTACCACCATCCCCTAAATCACCCCATCCAAAACTCCCTCTCGTTCCCTCCGGTCCTCTAACCACAGCCACAAACCCCCTTTTCCCTTTCCCTTTCCCTTTCCCGTTCCTATTTTCATCTCCCTCCCCCAACCCACCATCAACACCAACACCAACAACCCTCCAAACAGCAACCTCCCACCGTCCCCTCATCCCCGAAAACCCCCCCCTCGCCCACCCCAACCACCTCGTCAACGCCGATTTAACCATCCACCCCTTCCCGCCCGATCCAACCAACTTAACCCCCAACACCCCCCCTCCCTCCCTAACCAACCACCCCGTCGGTCCCGCCGCCGACCCATGCGCATGGCTATTCCTCCCCGCCCCCTCCCTCGCACGCCGGATACACCGGCGCGCCATCAACCCTGAAACCCTTCCGCGAGCGTGCTGTTCGTGAGCCCGGGGTGGGTGGCCGTCGAGGCGGTGGGTCCACATGCGGAGGATAAGTTCGACCGCTGTATCGGAGCCGGAGTGTGCTTGTGTCTCAAAGGACGATGCGAAGGGTGACATGACGTTAGGGAACTCCGGGGCCAGGGCGCCGAAGGCGTTCCACCGCGCTTTTAGGGTGCGGCTGATTGTGCTCGCCCTCGCCCTCGTTTTCCGGGAGATATTAGAGGCGTGGTGGTGGTGGTGGTGGTGGTAGTGGTCCAGCATCCCCGCAATAAGCACCCAGCTATTTCCATCCTGGGGTTCTACTCTGCTTGGCCCGGCGCTGCAGTGGCGGTCCGACAAGTTATCAGCGTAGGTACAGCCCCGTATCGCTGCAGTACAGCTGCTCGACCCCCCCTTTCCAGCCTCCGACGCAGCTGCGTTGCGTCCATTCCCGCTTCCCCTCTTCCCCTTCCTCCCCAGATACCCACTCACCAAGCTCAACGGACCTTCCAAGCACCACCGCACACAGCAGCGCGCTCGCCTCCAGATTATGCCCCCACATCCCATGCCTATTCCAGTCCAGACGCGAACTTACACGCATCAAGTCCCTCTCATCAACCTTCGCAGCACTAGGTAACACCCAGCGCGCGCCTATACTGCTCCCAGCGCTTACGCAACCACGCGACGTCGCCCGAGTACAGCGCGTACTCGTACGTGCCAAGGAGCAGGTGCAGATGATACGTGTCACTAAACTCGCCCCTCGCGCCCAGCGGCGGGCCCGCGTACGGGAACGAGCCATCGCCGTACTGATGTTCGTAGATAGCGTTTAGCGCGTTGCGCACGGCGAGCATGTCGCGCGTCGACGCCGCGATCCCAGGGATCGCGATGTGCAGATCCCCGGGCCAGACGATCTGGTCGCGCTTCGCGCCGTCGGTGGTCACGGTGAAGTTGGCGTACCAGAACCCGGGGGGGGCGACGCGTTGTGGCCCCAGTCGCGGTTGGCGGGGATCAGGGCGGAGCCCTCGGCTAGGCCGATGGTTGTGAGCTGCAGGGTGTAGGCGCCGGCGTACCAGATCCGGTTGAGCAGGCTGCCTGAGCTGTGGAAGTAGCCCCGAGTACGCCCGGCCGTTTGTTTGGGAGGGGAAGGAGGTGCAGCTGGCCCATAGCCGTGTGTGATGGCAACAGAGGGTTCGGGGTACCCGCTCGCCTCTTTCGACGTGTAGGGGTTAAAACCAGCAGTCTTTAACACTTCTTGTGCGGACAGTTGGAGATACTCGTGAACGCGGCTTAACCGAGACAGATTCCCCTCCTTCAAGACAGGTAGGTACCGTTTTAATATACAGCGTCAAGTACTTGAACGCGCCCCTGTTAAACTCGGGATCCACGCACAACGGGCCAGTTCGATTACCAAGATGGAACGGCAACGGGAGGTCCCATTCCTCCTCGTTCGTGGCATATGATTGCCTGCCCGCAAACAGGGACGATTCGGAATGTGCGAGGTTGAGTACAGGCTCGTCGGTTACAGAGTCAACTTCCAAGCAGACGCTAGATCAAATATGATATCAGTAAGTTCTCTAACTCATTTCTGATATCCGTTTCTTTGTAGATACCCACTAGGCAACTCGACAAACCTACCGACCAGCAATGTTCTCCTGGAACTCTACCGTAAGCAGCCCCCCCGGGCCCAATCAAGATCCTCCCGTCATACCTACTCATGTCTACTGGTGAGCAGCGTGTGGCCAGTGTTTGGTGCCGTGACATTTCCTTCGACTTTCCAGAATCGCGCTGGGGTGATAAACGATTTATTGGCTGGAGCTTTGATATGTTCGTTCCATGGGCCCGGGAATACCGGATTGGTTGGAAGTCTATGGTAGTCGATGCCTGACGAGACCACCTTGGGTACTAGTGCTAGCACCAAGATGCCCGAGAAAAGCTTCATTGTGTATGATGCTAGTCAAAAGATGGGAGAAACATGTGTGACATAACTACCTAACGGTCCTAACCTAGTACTGTGTCTACCAGGTACCTAGGTAGTGTCGGGCTTCGGAATATGAAGCCCACGTGTGCAGCCATTTTTCGGTAGGCTAAAAGTTGCCTTGTTTTACGTTATTTCATGTTCGTAGCCACTACTCAAACGTCGTTGTGTTCTAGAAGGCTAGAAGGCTCAAAGAAACTGTAAATTTCGATGCCTCCAAGCCAAACCTGTGAAGTACTAGGTATTATAGGTATGGTACATATGTATTAATACGTTCAACTTACATGTATGTAGTACTGGGCATGTGGTGGCATTGAAGTATGTAATAATTACCTACTGTCTTTCATCATCATTTATCTCACGAAAAGAGACAACATTAAGCCATGAATCTCACATGCACGCGTAAACCGCTGGGCATCAACTATGTACATGGGTTAGGTATCCATATGGGTACATCGCACCTGGGTGCGAAATACACATCAACACTGGTAAAAACTTGCGAAACGGTCAATTTTAGGGGCTAAGCTATGAGCTCAACGGATTATGTCGTTTTGCTGGACTTATTGCGTGCGCAATAGACAAATGACTATATCTGGTAACGGTCCGCCACTTGACAGAAACCAATCCAGTTGTCATATGACCACTTGAGAGGGCTAATATTGCTGCTCTGCCACTTGGGAGTCACAGCATGCAAAGCACTATATCCTTTTCTGGCTTGAGCCATATCATCGGTGAAATACCAACGGTTGGATAATGCCTCTTGATGTGGCTCGGCTATCAAGACACACCATGCGCCCTGTGCCAGCCAAGAGGGTTGGAGCTTTCAAGCTACCATTAAAGACCCTCGTACAAAAATATAACTCTTCTCTTCCTTCCAACCACTCCTTATCCCAGGCTGGAGCTTTAAAGCTACCAAGTGACCTGTCTTTCCTTCGTCTCACGTGGTTGGCCGTGACTGAATACACCTCATAACTCGATTAACGCCGTCCTCATTGGGGGTTGGGTAGGGGTGTGTGCTACATGCAGGGCAAGGTAGGGGGAATGGAACATGATGTCGGTGCTGTGACTATGTGCTAGATTTTGCCCAATGAGTTCGAAATATCGAATTTGCCTAAACCTTTTCGTCTCCTCGTCGAATTCGCCTGGCTAGGACGTCACACCTTACATGTCCATGGTATCACCGCCGTTGGCGAAGTTGAAACCGCCGCCTTGCGCACCGTTGGTTCCAAATCCGAATGTGCCGTTAGCCTGGGTCTGGGCAGTCATACCCTCGTCGGCATTCTCGTCTTCGTCAGAGAAGTACTTCTCGATGATGTTGTATGACTTCATGTAGATCTCCTCGTTGGCATTGTTCTGGCAGTCGTGAATCTTCTCCATGCCTCCACATTCCTCGATAAACAGCGCGTAACGGTTGATCGATTCAGGGCCCTCGCCGGCAGCCTGCTTGTCGAGATCTCCTACTTTTAGGATGTTCTCTAGGCCATCTAGGGCGACTTGAATTATCTTGTTGTCTGGGCATGCAAGGAGGTCGCAAAGCGGCTTAATGCATCCTTGCGCAACAAGGTACCTGATCTGTTCCGGTTTCTGCAATCCACCGCTCGTAGCGTTGCTAATAGCCCAGCAAGCCTCCTTACGTGTCTTCAAGTCACCATTAGATAGCAGGTGAATCAAGGGGGGAATAATATTGGCATCAATGACGGCCTGAATCTGTTGCGAGTTGCCGGCCGTGATGTTCGAGATAGTCCAGCAAGCTTCCTTGCGGATGCCATCTTTGTTGGAGCTGAGAAGAGACAGTAGGCATGACAAAGCGCCACAGTTAATGATCACCTGTGTCTGAACGTCATCACCAGTAACAATGTTGCCAACGGATCTCAATGCAGGCGTCTGGACGGACGTGGAAGCATGCATGAGGAGTTCGACCAAACGACGCGGGATACCAGCTTCGATGACGGCCTGAATCTTATCGTTAGATCCATCAGAAAGGTACGAAATAGCCCAGCAAGCATCAATCAGAACCTCATCGTCGAGCGAGTAGACCAACTTGGCAAGAACTGGTAGCGCAGGGGCAATCTATAAAAGAAAAATTAGCATTAATAAATTGCGGGGCGGGGGTTACAAGTGCTAACCGTGTTCCAGTCAGGCTGAGGCGTCTTGCCACGGCAGAAATTGCTCAAGGTCCAAGTGGCATTTCGGAGCATGCTAAGCTTACGGCTGTCGCCAAGGAGGTTGAGAAGCGGCTTGAGAGCACCGCAGCTCAAAACATAGTCTCGGCAAGCAGGGCTATCACCGGCAATGTTACCCAAGGCCCAGACAGCCTGCTCACGAACATCAGGCTCGGGGCTAGAAAGCAGCTCAACAAAGATCGGGACGGCTCCGGCTTCGATGACCACCTGAGTTTGAGTAGCGCTTCCAGATGCGATGTTGGTCAAGGCCCAAGCGGCCTCGAACTGGACAAGGGTATGAGGCGAGCGAAGGAACTCTACGAATCGAGTAACCACGCCGGTCTTGATAACCTCTTCGATGGGAGGGTTTCGCTCTTTGGAAAGTAGTTTTCGGAACTTAGTGGTAGCTTGGATTTGTAGATCGATCTGCTCGGAGAAGACACCCGACACCATCTGAGGAAGGTCCTCGTTGAGCTATTTTGATTATATTTGTCAGTACGAAAGTTTTGTGAAGGGCCGAGAGATCATAGCATATGAAAATGAGACACGCCACATCAGCTTAAAGAGGGCGGGGAGTTTCCTTCCTAGATCACCGTGGGAGAAAGGAAGGATTGAACAATAAATAAAAATAAAGCGAATTAAATTAATCAACAAAACAGGAAACAGACGAGGAGGTAAAAAAGAATGAAAAAAATAAAAACATACCTGGCTTTCGGTGGGCGCAGTCTCGTCATCGCTGTCAGGAGCAGCGCCTAGAGAGGCACCAGGGCGCGATTCACCACTGCCAATACCTCGTCGCTTGGCCAAGTTTTCCTCTCGCTTAGCCTTGCGAATTTCAACGGCTTGCTCCTCACGTCGACGGCGAAGCTCATCGGGCTTGAAAGTACCCTTCGCCTTGTAGTTGGTGCGACGATGCTCGGGGATGAATCTGTCAGCCATGGTTGCTGATGTTATTCGGGTGCGTAAATAGGTACTTTTTGTACGGGTTGGTATCAGTGGAGGAGAGAATTAAAGGCAGGGAGAGGAAGGCGGGGTGAATTGTTTTGATGACCCGGCACTCTTTTTAATGGTTGAAGGATGCAAATGATAAATGCGGGAGACAAAAATCATGCAGAGACCACAAAAAGATTTGGGGTATCTAGAAGTGGTAGGAATTTGGATTTAAATGTAAGTTCAACTTCTTTTGCGATGCTGAAGTTGAATGGAAGTGAATGTTGGAAAAAGATGGAGGAAGAAAAAAACACAAATGGATTGGTCGTGGTGGGGGGAAATTGTTATGATGCTGGAAACAGCAGAAGAATTTGGATTAGGATCGATTTGGTCGCTCTTTCAACTAAAGCTCAGGCAGGGTGGGGACATCCTAGTTCTTTTCAACCTTCCAAGGGTTGGGAAGAGACCAATGAAAAGTTGTGAAAAGCTTTGATCAATGATCCACTTCCATACACACGGACCAACTAACAGTAGATGTTACAGTACACTGCTAGGTAACAGTGTTAAAAGTTGTGCTACTAGTAGTACATAAATGATACATCAGGAGCCACCTGACCATCATGTGACACTTGCTGTAGCAGACTGAAATGTTCCAATGTTCCTTTTCTTTTCTTTTAGTGCTGTTCATACAGTACTGGGTACGTATTATGCACATTGTACCTATTGAATGTATTGATTTATCCAGGATTCCAGCATAATAGGTAACTACTAAGTAGGTACTGTAAGTATATCGACGCGCTGGAGTCGCGACTTCATTATACACACTTTAATCTCTGAATGACTTCATCCACCCACTCCATTCCCTCGTTTTTTCCCATTCAAATCCTAACTTTCTATATGAATCAGTTCGATAATACTTCTAAAACAAAATCACTCTGTCTAAGCACCACATGATGATGCCTTGTTTCCCTCCAACCCCATCAAGCTCCATGGCATCTTCCAGAAATGGCGGCCGCGAGAGAAAACTTCCTGAAGGATATGTAACGATTAAAGAAATTTGCGAGAAAAAGATCCCTCCTGGTAGGTTTGTTGGTGTTATCGGCTTGGTGAAAGATCGTAGGGCTCCAATTCCAGTGGGGACAAGAAACGGTAAGTTCTTATATTTATTTTCTGATCTTATTGTTCCCTTTCTCCTGGCTAATCTTCTATCTCTTACTTGCAAGACTGGAAGTCTTCTATTACACTTTACGATAAATCTGTGGAGGACCAAGATGTAGGACTCACCATGAACATATTTCGACCTGAAAATGAGATGCCGCAACCAGGCGCCAAAGACGTCGTTGTAGTATCGTCTGCTAAAGTTCAGACACGCCCTGGCGATGATAGGTCCTTGTTATCAAACAAGACGACAGTCATCTATGTCTATTCGTCTGATCAAATCCCGAGACCGCCAGAGTCTGCCAAGCAGGCATTACTGCCTCTCCAGCGGAAGACTGACCGGCCTCCTAGCGATGCGGTGCATGACTACGTTTCCTGGCTCTATGATTCCATTGACAAGGATCTCGTGCCTGATGTCCATACGTTCAACACAAACGTAGAACAGTCTCGCAATGTCAGATCTAAGTTTCAAACGTTAGACAAAGTTAAGGACGGCCAGTTTTACGACATAATCGTCAACGTAGTCCGAGCTCCTTCTCACACACTGGGGAAAACTACCATCTGGGTCTCAGACTATACGCAAAATGATAACTTTCGCAACTTCCCTTGGGGCAGCGAGGAAGTTTCGGTGGACCAGTCTAACGCCCTGAATACCTTAGCTGATTGGTCTGGCCCTTACGGAAAGCACTCCATGCAGTTGAGATGCTTTGGCCAGGATGGAGATTTCATTATGGATCAAGTTAAAGTCGGACATTGGGTCCAACTACGAAATGTTCAAATCAAGTTTAACGAATTCGAAAATAGTCTGGTAGGGTTTTTGCGAGAAGACCATGGAAGCTGGGACACGGGTCTTCGGGTCGACGTGCTGTTAACTAACGATCCCGACAACGCTAGCCCAAGGCTCAAAGACGCCATCAGGCGCAAACGAGATTATGAGGAGAAGAAAAAAAAGCAACGAAAAAATCTGGCTAAGAATATTGCTGCGAAGGCTGGCGGCAATGAGAATGATGGCAAGCGCAAAGCGGAAGGCCAACCGGAAGGGCAGATGAATTCCAAGAATCGCCGGGCGGAGCAGAGAGCCATGAAACTGAAACAAGCCGAAGAGAAAGAGAAAGAGCGCGAGGCACGACTTGGCCTCAACGAACTAGGTACGACGAATCCTCGCATTCTAGGTCGCATTTTTGCTTACCAGAGTTGTAGTCAAATGCGAAAGCCCTGACCAGCCCATCTCTCCAGTCTCCTTCATTACGGAACGCAAGACGGGGAAGACAACGGTAAATGGCCAGGAAGTGACCCTTTCCCTTCCCTTTACATGTGCCAAGTATCGGGCCAACGTTCGAGTCGTGGACTTTTACCCGCACAAACTAGAGGACTTCGCAGTCGGGCGGAAGATACGTGATACTGACATGTTGTCGGATCACGGCGGCGATACCGACTCAGAGGAGGACTCGGAGGATGATGACGACAGCGAAGGGGCAAAGACATGGGAGTGGAAATTTGCCTTGAAACTAGAAGATGCAAACCCGAAGCGCAAAGACGAGGATAATACAATCTGGGTCGTAGTCGACAACTCCGAGGGGCAGACACTGCTAGACCTCGATGCATCAAAGTATGTCCTCCTCCTCCTCCTCCCCCCCACCTCTTATCTCTTCCCCAACAGGCGAACTAACTAACCTGCCCTTCAGTCTGAATGCAAACCCCGAAAGATTGGCAATGCTGCAAGAGCAGCTCTTCAAGCTCTGGGGCAACCTAGAGGAGACCCGGCGAGACCTCACCCGCGATGCTCCTCCTCGTCGAAAGCGCATCGCCGCAAAGCAACCCCCTCCGTCCTCGCCCGTTCACGGACCATCAACGAGCAACCAAAAACAACCACCGGGGGCGGACAAAAACAACAACATTAACGAAAAAGAACCGGCAATCTCAAACAAGCCCTTCTCGTGCTGCATCCGCGAGTACGGGGTCTCGATCCCCGAGCAGGATCCCAGCAAGGCGAACGCAGGGGACGGCAGGCGCTGGGAGAGGATGTTTGGCTTGTTCGGGACCAGGATTACCGCGTTGACGGCATCTGAGCCTGAGGCTGACGACTAATGGGAATCGGAATCGGGATCATTGCATTGGGCACATGGGATAGATATAATGAGAGGCAAACTCGCTAGGTTAAAGGTAGCATCGTAGTATGCTGTATAATAAAAATGTTATTAACGACTGTATCCTTTTAGGGGTTTTGTCAGAACATATCTAAGCAGGACCGCTACGTCGAAAAGTGAATGATTGATCTTTCATTAGCTAATTGTCTTTGGTTCAGGTATGTTAGGATATCTGACATATAGGGGGTTTTTCATCCGAGTGAAGGTTTAAGAACTACGAATCATCCACCTTCAGTTTACCTCCTACCTAGGTTAGGTACCTATGTATAAACCCAAATGTATGCATAGGTATGCAAATACGCATCAACATCAACATCAACATCACCATCACCATGGAGTACCTAGGTAGGCAGATAGTAGTTGGAGGTATTAAATGATGCGTATAGGTTAGGTAGTTAGGGTAGGTAGGTAGGTAGGTAGGTATGTAAAAGCATCCATTATCGCATACCTACACGTAACTATATCCACACGCGAGCCCTCCCAGACCATGAAACTTCGAATGCCTAACATGCAACCTCCGCGGCTCACTCACGCAGCCCGTGCAGTCGGTCTACGCAGCCAAACATATTGTAGGTAGGTAGTAGCAGTAGCGGCTACACGACACAGCCCTGCACATGCATACATACCAACAACGAACATACATAGCCTTGCAAAAAAACAGTACGTAGACACTACACAGCACATACACACACACCTACATACCTACCCCGGAGGATAGATAGCAGGTATTATGATGTATTTATGCAGGCACCATCAAAACAACCACCATTAAAAACGAACACAAAAAAATAGGGAATCTTGGAAGCAAGGCAAGCAAGGCAAAAAAAAAATAGGCAGCCACTCGTCCTCGTAGGTAATATAAGTAACTCCTTTAGCAATAGCAATTAACAAGGCCACCCTTCATTTCATCTCTCTCTCCTCTTCTTTTGTCTTCTCTTCTGCTTTGCTTTCCAGCTTACCTACCTAGATATCCATCTTATGATTAGAATCCAGGGGTCTCACTGACACGCGCAAACTTCAACCTACCACCTTCGGCGAGAGGCCTAGCAGTGGTGGTGGTGCAAGCAGGCAGCGATACAGAACATATAGAAATGCATCCATGCAAGGTGCGCAAGAAAAGAGCAAAAGAGAGCCAAAAAAACAAAAAAAAGGGTTCAAGCCACCTTTCCCCGTCATTCATATCGATATCGAGTCCGTTACGTGCCAAATCAGTTCCAACCCCATGAGTTATCTACCTACCTGCCTGCCTATGTAGGCAGACAAATAGGCAGACAGGTAGGTATGTGATGTAGATAGTTACAATGAATAGAATCAAACGCCCATCTACCCCCTTCTTTCTTTCAATTCTTGTCTTTTTTCTTGTGTCCATCATTGATTAATCCCCGATGACCTCATCATCCTCCATAGGGTCGTCAGCAGTTCCTGCCGGCGGTCTCTCCTCTTCATCATCATCGTCCTCGATTGGATCCTCGAGGAGCTCTCTTCGTCGCAAGTCCTCGACGGTACCTTCCTCGGGCTCGACATCCTCAAAGGGGTCATCGGCTCTCGGGAGATCATCGTCGTCGTCCTCGATCACTAATTCCGCACTGAGTGCTGGCTTCTTCATCGCCTCTTTCCCTTTGCCTTTAGAGACGGGCTTCTTCTTGCCACCTCTTAGCTCGCGAAGGTGGTCCTCGTCTAGGTATGCTACAACATCTCTGTAGTTATTTCCGAGCTTCGTCTTATTGCGGTTGAGACGCTTGCGTAATTTGCCAGCGTCTGGACCGCTGTAGTCGATGTTCTTGGCCAATATGGCAAGGGTAAGTTTACCGGTAAGTTCGCAGAGAATCTTTTCGGCTTTTAATTCGGCTGCGAAATGCTCTTGCTCGGTAAGCTCCTCATCTTCATCATCCTCGGGTGGTAGTTCATCATCTAGAGGGTCCTCATCGTCGTCAGGATCATTGAGCTGTTTCTTGGCACGCTTTGCGTACGCACGCTCAGCTGCGTCGAATATGGGGATTATTTCTTGAGTGATGAGAGCCGATGGCATTTCCTCAAGAAGAGGCCGTAGCTTTCGGTATTTGGTTGCTTGTGGGTCCTCTACCTTAGATCGGAGAAAGACAAACAACCCACAGAGGTCACAGGCAGTGCCGACTGCGAAGAGACGAAGGTCATCGTTGAATCCACGCGAGGAAAAGGTTTGAATCAGGTTTGTAATGTATTCCTTGCGTAATAGGACCAATTGGTCGACCTCGGCATCCGGGATATCCTCATCATTCTCAACAATGTTCCGTAATCTTCTTACTTTCCACATGAAGTAGAATTGGCACGCCTTAATGGCAAATGCGACTATTTCATCTTCCGGATCATCTAGGTCTTCATTTGATTCGGTTAGCAGGCCACGATGCACGATGCCGGTGAGAATCTTGATAGCTGGCTGGTCGGAGTCAATCGACGTTCCTGGTGTTTCGAGGACATCGACGCAGTCAGAAATGCTGGCCAACTTGCTCATCTTCATCAAGGTTTGCGAAAGTTCCGTAAGCGCCACACGGTCAAGATTGCCTCTAGCTGATAGCTCGCAGATTTTGTCTATACTTCGTAGAGAGTTAAGCGAGTTGTCCCAAAGCACGGCGATTTTGTTGTCAGTCAATTCCTCAAGTTCCTCATATTGTCTAGCGTGGATCAATGCCGCAGTTGCCTCGTTGAGTAGCCCTTGGTCAACATGACGGTTGAATTGGGTAGTGATTTCATCGAGAAGTTTGTCGTACGTTGCCGAATTCTGACGTAGCTGTTGGAACACTTCCAGATCAAGGAAATGTTCTAGTCGGAGTACGGTGGAAGCCATCGTAGGATCCGACCCAAACTTGTTCAAGAGGCGAGGAATAAGCGAAGCCAGCTTCATGCCAGCGTCATCTTGTGCGTCTGCGTCAAGCCTACCAGTTCTTTTCTTGTGCCTGTCATGCTCTGTTGATGGCACCAGGCTCTCCCTCACAGCGGCGGCGAGCACCTCGAGCAGAATTGCCTCCTCTCGCGGTTCAGGGGCAACAGCTTTCTTTGTGGCTGCTTCAACCGAGTGTGTCTTTGAGCTCGCCCTTGATTTTGCGCTGGTTGAATGGTCAAATAATAGATAGCCAGCAAGAATTTGCCAGTTGTTGACTTCGTTGATCTTTTCATAGAGTAGTTGCGTTGCTAGTGCAATTCGTGACTCTGGCATGACAGTATTGGTTACATCTGCCGCCACATCTAGCCCGTGTCGAATTTCCTCTTGTTCCTCATCTATTTGGGCATCGTAAACAGCGAGGTTCTCTGCGAGGGCTTTAATATGAATCCAGTCCTTTCGAATTGAATCATACTCGTCTTCTTCATCATCACCAAAGACTTCGTCCAGCACTTCACTACCTCCAATTTCGTCTACTTTGTTGTCGAATAGCTCTTCAACTAATGCCGTGAAAAATCCGACAACAGCTTTGCGTACACGGGGTTCAGAATCAAAGAGCAATTTGCTGACGGAGTCGACTTCTTCGGGTTCAAGCATGCCGGATGATCGGAGGATATCGACAACCGCAATTGCTGCGACTCGTACGGAAACATCAGCATCTCTAGTAGCCATTTCAACCAAGCGGGGCCTAAATCTGTCTATGAAATGGGCCAGCTTCTCAGCATCTCGCTTTAGAACTCTCCCTAACTGCTTCAAAACTTCTAGTCGGGCGGAGACAGAGATATCGGATAGTAGCCATCCCAGGTAACGCAAATATTCGGGAGACATGTAGACGGTGGGGAGCGTACAGACCCAGGTACCAAGCGCTTCAATGCATTCGGCGCGAATCTTGGGGTCTATATCACGGTATCGATGGACGAAGACAATATCAAACAGATCCTTCACTTTACCGTCGATAAATTCACGGTTCTTGTTCGCCGTATCAAGCGCCTTTTTCGTGTTCTCAACAAGATTCTTATTCTTGCCTCGGCGATTAGACTCGGCCTGCAAGGCTTGGTTGGATTTCGTAATTCGATCATCAAGTTGCTTTGTCACCTCAATGAGGGAGCTTAGTATTGCTAGTCCTACAGTCGTTGCTGTATGTCTGAAGGGGCGTGACGAAGAGGACGACATGATGCCGACCCATCGTTGAATGTTGTCCAATAGCTCTTCGTCACTGTAGAGAACATCGGTCTGGTGTAGTAAACTAAATAATGACTCGAAGAATCCAACAAGGAGCTCACGGAAATTCTTGCTGCTCTTCGCCCTCGATATAAGAGGGTAGTCTGAAATGCTGGTCTATTTATGGCTCAGTTAGTATACGGGAGACGTAAGAATATGTGAGCAGGCGAAATTAACACACCTGCTGATAGGCCTCTTCTAATTCTGACAGTCTGTTGGCAGAATTGTCTGGGTCTCGAATATCATCTTCTGTTAGTCGTTGCTCACAACCAGCGGCGAGCAGAACGCAGTTGATAACTTCAGTAAGGGCTTTGGCATCGTCTTGCTGGTAACGTTGAAACCATTGTGCGGCAACATCGTCGGAAGACTCGCCAGAACCGAATACGTCGGCTAGTATAATGTTAGCAGGTCCTCACATAGCTACACATCCGCATTGCTATATAAAATGTCTAGCGCTCACCATAAAGGCCGTCTCCATCAGGATGGGCAATAGTAACTCTGACAGTCTTCTTAGGTCGGTTTGGAAGCTTGACTGCGGGCGCGCTCGAAGCGGTCGCGACGTCCACTGGTGCGCTGCCATTAACCTTTGCGCGCTTCATCGCTGGCTTCTTTGGCCGAGACTTGGACTTGGATTTAGATCTCTTAGATCGAGAAGCGGACTCCTCAACATCGTCATCTTCGTCGTCGGGGTTGCTTAATTCTTCTTCGTCATCAACTTCGGCAGGTGACTCATTCTCGGCATCTTCCTCGTCGCGATCGGGGCCTCTCTTTCGTTTAGAGGCGGTAGGTTCGTTTTGTGAAGAGTTCGGCTCAGGAGAGAACTTTTGAGGGGCTCTGACAACGCGTCCTGATCTTCGTCGCGAATTCTCTGGAATAGACGCGGGCGAGGATGTCGCGTTATTATCTGAAGTTTCCATGAGGGGCAATCTGGATGGTGACATGTGGGAAGTTTAAATGCAATGCGATGCGACCATTATTGATTTGGAGGTTCTCGATTGTTCAATTTACTACTAGCGTAAATATGCACTAGAAATTGTTGACTGGAGAAAGGATTACTGGGAAATTCCAGCGCGTCTGGTGGTTGGTGGGGAGCGTGTTTGGATTCGCCAAAAATTCAAAGTTAAAAGCCAGGTCCCAACTGCTAAAGGGAATCATCTACTAGTAATAATAGACTACTACTAGTAATAGGACACCTAGGTACCTGAATATTGTACCTTATTATTGAATAACCGAGGTTTTGCCTGTAATTAGTGGACAAACAACGTACTGTACTTAGTTATTGTTTGCATATCTCTGAATAATTTCATGCTGTCAAGATACTAACTTGTACATGTCTAACCTAGACATATCCAACTATTCCATCTTTCAGTCCCTTTTTCGTTTTCTTGTTCTTCTACTCACTATTTAAATATTAATTATGAACATGTCACTCCGATCAATTCAGTAACAAATCCAAAATATTATCCAAGTATCCAACTACCTAATAAATACATATCAAGAAGTTTGAGTTTATCTCATGCCCGCAACTAGTTATGAGATAAGCATCAATGACAACTTAGGGAAGCGTTCTTCAAAATATACTATATACTAGTGCCTGCTCTATCGCCAATATGAAATGCATTGCGCCAATTAACTCCTCCCAAAATAATACGACATGAAATCACCATTTCCAAAATCATCTTCTGTCGCTGGAGAGGGCCGGATAATTGTGAAGCTCTCGCCAAATCATGTCTCCTCACTTGAGAGTATTACTTATCAATACCCGCTAAAACTCATCTCTCCGGCTTCTAGCGCTGAACAAGGCAGTGTATTGGCATTTCTCTTGTCCTACGGAGGAGGTCTTGTGGCCGGTGATAGAATACACCTCTTCGTTGATGTGCAACCTGGAGCAAGACTCAGCATCGTCACCCAAGGACATACCAAGATATTTCGGTCCATTAAACCAGATATCGTGACACGACAGGATTTGAATGTGGAAATCAAAGATGGCGCGGCGCTCTGTCTTCTTCCCGATCCAGTTCAACCATTCGAAAGCAGTGTCTATGAGCAGATTCAGATATTTAGACTGACTGCTAACGCTTCCTTATGTCTGTTGGACTGGGTTACTCAGGGCCGCACTGCTCTCGGTGAAAATTGGAGTCTAGCTCGTTGGATTGGGCGCAACGAAGTTTGGTTTACTCCCCAAAACAAAAATACCCAAGACCGGCTTCTAGTTCGAGATACGGTTATCCTTGACAGCGCAAATAGACCAGCTGGGTCACCTTCGCTTCAGGAGTCGATGTATGGACATGCCGTGGTGGGAACTTTGATTCTCAGGGGGCCAATGACCAAATCTATCGGGGAATTTTTTCTTTCAGAATTTGCTGCATTGCCACGAATAGGTGGTCGAGATTTCCGCAGCGCCGAAGCACGCCAGAAGGACGAAGCCATCCTTCAGACTTCTCTTGAGAGTTGGCGAATTAAGAGGTTACAGGAAGAAAAGGATAGACACATACTTTGGTCGGCAGCTAATGTGCGGGGCTGCATCATTGTGAAATTCGGTGCAGCAACTGTTGAAGCTGGTCGAAATTGGATAGGGTCAATGCTCCTTCGAGAAGGCAGCATTGAAAAGCACTTTGGTGAACAAGCTCTAATGTGTGTTCGATGATACAGTGGTTATCAAGTCTTCACAGCGTACCAACCTAAGTTTTGGGGACATAATGCCCCCTTTTCTTTCAATCCTACACGACGGGTCGATAATTAATCAATAATGAATTATCGTTTGTTGGACAGCTGTCAACCCCATATTTTCACACCGATAAGATAACCTGGACAAGTACTATGTACTACGTACCTCTTGTACTGAACGATTCCTGCCCCACCATAAACTTTTCCCAGCTATTCAACTCTAAATAAAGTTATTAGCGTTTAACATTTCACGTCGTTCCAAACCTTCAGTCTCGCATTCACTCTTACTTTTCCTTTTCCTTTTACTTTTGCTTTTACTTTTACTCTTATTTGTAAACAAATAAACATTGAACTATATAAATCATCATTCATCTCTTCACTCCGAATACAAACACACCCACAACCCAGACTCATTATTAACCATCATTTATGATATAAACATCATGCCTCCTCGTGGTTCATCCGCTACTGGCGGAAGAGGTGCAAGGGGTGGTGGACGGGGTGGAAGAGGAAGAGGTGCAGCCAGAGGTGCTATTTCGAGTGTCGAAAGTGCCACTCCTCAGGTTGAGGCAGATACACAGCCCACCCAAATTCCATCACAAGCCCCACCCCCCGCTGATGGAGGTGACGCATCGATGCAAGATGCGCCATCAAATCCATCACCAGCACAAAGCCCAGCTGTATCTATCCCTTCCAGTGCCAGGCAGTCTATGACACCTAGTGCTACGTCCTCACGCGCTACTGGCAGATTCAGACCTAAGAACGTTCGACGTGATGCCGCAGAGCGAGCAAGACTAGAGGAAGAGAGAAACCGAGATCTAGCCATGAAGATTAAAGAAGAGGAAAAAGAACTACGAGCGGAGGAACGAAGGGCACAACGAGGCCGAGGTCGAGGAAGAGGAGATAGAGGCCAGCGCGGATTCATGCGGCGAACTGTCATGGCATCTGGCCCCTTCTCGTCGATTGATCAAAGTACGGTTTGCTTATACTCAAGTTATGCACCTTTCATTTCAAGAATCCATGTACTCACTCATTACTAGCAAACGTTAAAGGAGTTGGTAGAGGATCAGGAGGAGGAGGAGGAAGAGGAGGCGAAGGCGGCTCTTCCTCAAAGGCCCATTTCCCTCCCGATTTTAACTCTTCCAGATATCGACCTAGGCGGGATCATGAAGAACGAGTTAATATTGATCTTCTTAATGAACTTGACCCATCTAATGAAGACGAAACATCTCGTCAACCATCTCGCTTCTCGCAAAAGTCGTTCGGCAGTCTTCCAGTTGGCCTTCCCCGAACGCTTCACGAAGATGACGAAGTGAAAGTTAAGACCACGGCAGAGCTTGAAGCAGAGGAACGCCAATCATCCGACGATGAAGACATGTTCATATCCCGGGCAGCTAAGGACTTACTACATATTGGATCGGACCAGGACGGGGATAGTTGGCACGCGGCCCCTAGGAGTGAGGGTGGAGTTAAGGATGAGCCCGGCACGGGATCAGATATGATGGATATAGACATGGCCGACATACCGGAAGCTGTTAAGCAACCATCTTCTCCAGAAGTCAAGAAGGCGACCATCAGTAACGAGGATAGTGTCGCTATCGCACAACAGAGACGCAAAGAAAAAGCGGCTAAGGATCCTGAGATTTTGCAGACCGTATACGACTTGGAAGCTCAGCTACAAGAACTTAGCTTCCGTCCCCGCGCTGAAACAGAGGAGGAGGGCAACACAGACAAGGCAGATAAGGCACAAGAGAAAGACGATGTGATGTACCTCTTCCAACTACCACCTATTCTCCCACCACTAGTCAACCCTTTCGAGGAATTAGCCGAGGAGGTAGGGCAGAACGGTAACTCGAACACTCGCAACAAGATGAAGACCGAGGATGGCGCCGAGAAGGAGAAGAAGGCGTACAATCCTTTTGGAACCCTTCCGCCCGAGGGCGGTCTCATCGGCAAACTAAACGTGCGCCAGTCGGGTAAAATAGAGATGGACTGGGGCGGCACGCCCATGACTATCGGTATGGGAGCGGACACCGGATACCAGATGTCGGCCATGGTGATCGAGCAGAATATCGACCTCCAGAACCCAGAAGCCAGCACCGGCACCGCCTACGGTATGGGCGATGTGGTCCGCAAGTTCGTTGTGGTTCCGGTGTGGGACGAGGAGGAGGATTGGGATCCTAGCCTTGATGGCATCGACGGCCTGGACGAATGATATCAATAATGAGTATTATTTAGGATATTATCCTGTACATTGGGCGTTAGTTTGTTCCTGGGCGCTATGATGCTGTTACTAGAACTATTCACGAAAAAGTTGGACTGTGAATGAACCTCACCTGCTAGGTAAGGTAGGGTCAATGTACATGGGATAACGTTTCCAAGGTTGGCAAAGCTCTCGTTAGGTGGCCTTCGGCTTTAGGTGGCATAGAACGAGATACAGTATGTATTTTACAAGAAGAATATGATGATGATGGTGTTGATACCCCCCAATAACATGAGTATTAACGTTATTATGAATATCTAGTACTCGGATAATCTTGAAGTTTACCTAACTACCTACCTGGTAAGCAAGTACCTAGGTACCAACTACCTACCTACCTATCATATGGAACCTTCGAAGCGAATACAACCCTGGGCAGAAAACCCATCACATCACATCCCAAGTGCTCGGTTCCGGCCCCGTCCCGGTTCCGCGCTGCGCATCCTAGGTATGTACTAGGTAACTAACTAGGATTTGCGGAGGCCTTTTTTTTAGAGCTGCGAGCACGGATGCAACGTTAGTTAGCCTCACCCCGTGTGAGACAGCTGGCCTGGGACCTGGGTACTGTACCTACATAGCTTGGTGTTTCAGTGGCGGATCCTGTCGGTGACGAGGCGTTTGTAACTGGGTGCTTACCTGGGTAGGTAGGTAGTATATGTATACATAGGGAGGTAGATTAGACGAGGCTTGAGACTCGAGAGGGTTGTTGTGGATGTACAATACAAGAGGTAAGTGAATAGGTAGGTAGGTAGGTAGGTAGGTTAGGTATTCAAGAACAAGTACTAGAGTTGGTAACTCCCTACGGTGGTGATGGGATAGGTACGGCATAGTAGTTGGTGGGGGATGCGATTGGAGCGAGAAGACAGGCAGGGTTCCAAGGTTAGGTACCTGCAATGCCTAGTTACCTAGTAACTACCTGGAAGAACCAGGAAGCTGGTCTAGAACAAATAAATATCTACCTGGGTGGCACGGCCCGGCGTTGGGTCGGGTGGGTGGACTGGCGAGACTGGGATGCTCGGGTTATATACACTACACTACCTAGGTTCAATCGACTACCTAACTACTTAATAACTATCGCCGTGATTGTTTGGCTTCGTGGAAAATGCTAACTACCTACCTACCTATCCCCTTCCATAATTTATCTTGTTTTTTTACTTGCATGGTATTAAAAAGGTCCCAGGGCTGGCACGGAAATTGTGGACTATGATTCCGGCTTTATGGTAATTACTAATTAGGTATTATGATAAGTGCATAGGTAGGTAGGTAGGTAGGTAGGTATAGGAACTTTGGAAGTCGCTGGTGGTGTGCCAAGACGGCGTCTGATGCCTCTTAGTTAGGTACTCCAGGACGTGGTTTCTTGCGGCGCATAACTAACTAACTAACTAATATCCATGTGACTTTTATGCTTTCTCGGAATAACTACCTACTGCTAGTAATATACCTACCTATGTAAGTTCCAAGGTTGTTGCCATGATCTAATAGACCCGGGGCGTTGTCAATGAAGATGTTCAGATATATCTTCTTGTAGTAGTAGACACAGACTTGGTAACTACGTGAGACTGCGACAGCGATGTAAGGAATATAGGTAGACGATGAATTTATCCAGTATGTACATAGTAAGTTATGTATACATGTAGTTACTGAGACTCTCGAAGAATGATACCTAGGTACCTAGTACCTAAACCAACCCAACCCAACCCAAACCTTGGGACTTTCCTGACCCCTTTATTTACCCCCAAGCCCCCAATCCTCCAACGCCTTGCCAGCGAAAACGAATAAACAAGAAATCTAGGTGCTGCCCTCCCTCGGCGAACTTTCTCCCCAAAGGTCTCCTTTAGCGAACGGTAATAAAGACAAGACAACAAAGCAAACCCCCAATACCCCTTTGGCCTAGGCTAGACGTGTTCAATAGCCAATGGTATATACCCATCTTTTCTTTTCCCCCTATAACTCCCTTTACCTGTCTCCTGCCCAATATAGTAGGTATATGGTATATAGCTCAACCTGCCTGAGCTTTTTCGGCCGTTAGGGGGTATCTCTCGGGTCCCTGTGAGATCCCGTATTCGCACTTCTAGATAGATAGATAGATGTATGTATGGAATCGAACAAAAGAATATAAGTGTGTAAAAAAAGTGTTAAGAGAAGTGTAAGTGTAATGTTTCGATGTCGTTTGTTGCGACACCGAGATCGGTAGTTTTGCTCCTTTATCGTAGAATTGGCCACGACAATATCCATCAGATATGGCTGTTGTCACCGCGGCCGCCGACTCTGCCCCTGTCCCATCTTCCACCGCTGATACGGCGACGGCGCCGGCAACCGCGGCAATGGCTTCACGATCAAACTCGCGTTGCTCGCCTTACTCGACAGCGTCGACCTCGTCCTCCCGAGCCCGAGACCCAGATCCTCATTGGACGACCCCTGCTCCTGCTCCAGCAGCCACGTCCCCCCCTGTCCCTGAAGACGGAGCGGTAGCGGTGGTGTAGGCGGCACGGGAGTCACGTTGCCCTCGATGAATAAGATCTCGCTTTTCGCGTCGTCGCGGCGTAGGAGTGATCGGTTGTTAGAAGTAGTGGATGTAGGACTCCGGGACTCGAAACCGAAATCGTAACGTGATCGCTCGTCGTCTTCGCTGGGCGCTTCGAATAGCATTGACATGTTGTTGTTGTGCGTTGGCCGGGAACGGGAGCTCTTGCTGCCGGCTAGCGTTTCGACGTCGGAGATGGAGCGGGATCGCTGGGCTCGGGTATCGGATGAGGACTGTGACCGCGAGCTTCGACTCATCATGCTCCCGGCATCGGAAAGAGATAGGGACCGGTGGATGGTGCCCCTAAACGGTAGGATAGATAGGGGGATGACCACGTTCCTGGCCTGGCTTCCGGACTCGACGTCAACGAGGGTTTCGTCGGTGGATTCGAAGGCGGGCGTCTTCTTCGATCGGTTCGTGCGCGAGGCTGGGTGGTTTTTGCTGAACGGGTTCGTGATGCGGCTTTCTCCGGTTGAGCCGAAGCCTTTCACCTTCCAGAGGCGGAGGAGGGGGCGTATGGTCACGAGGCTGGAGGCGATGATGGCGACGCCGGGTTCGACTAGGGTCCATACCATGGCGTCGGTGCCGGCATCTGTGTGGTGATTATGCGGGTTAGTGACCGGTTTCATACCTACCTAGATATGTGTCGTTTTAGGATTGAAATGGGGGGCTCAGCACTTACGCAGAATATCTGCCAGATCCGTAAGATCAGCCAAGAACTTAATCCTCACCAGCGTCGCGACGCTCGCGAAAACTCCCAGCCCCAAAATCACAATCACCGTCAGCTTCGCCTGCGCCGTCATCTTAACCCTCCAGAGCATTGGGATCGGCAGCAGCGCGTACAGCCAATCCGTCAGTATATTCATGACGCTGAGCGCATACGCCGCGTTCACGATCTCGTCGGCCGAGACGCAGTGGTTCCTCGGGTTTTTGAGTAGCGTGTAGTCCCACTGCGCGGCGACGGGGTTGCACTGGAAGATGTTCCAGAAGAAGAGCACGATGCTCCAGACGCTGACGACGAACAGCGTCCCGTAGATGGTGTAGCGGTACCGCCGCTTCTCGGACGCGAGCCGTAGCAGGAAGATCCCGATGCTAACCTTGATCAGCCACATGTTCGGGATGTAGGTCGCGGTCGCGAGGGCCTGCGCCTGAAGCGCGCGGATCTCGTGGTGCTGGTCCAGCGAGCGGTTGTGTCTGCCTAGCCCTTCGCGCACGCCCCAGAGGATTAGGGCGCAGGAGACGGTGTAGTTCGCCTAGTCCGGAGTATTAGAGCGAGTTATGAGATACGTTATATTGCGGTAACTCGTTCCAAAGTCTAAAAACGTACCTGAGCAACCAACATGATCCAGTCATCCCATTGGAACCCATTCGTCAACCTCGCACGCACGTATGAGCGTAAGAATACAGATAGCCACGAGAGCGTCAACATCGCGGCAACGGTGACCACCAGAGCCTCGCCATTGCTGTCGGTAGGTGCATTCGGGTCCTGGGCTGCCATGATAGATCGTATTCTATCAGGCGCCTAGAAACAAAAAGAAACAGAAACGAGCTCTAAGGTATGAGGGTGGAAAAAGGAGAAAATCTAGCAAGAAGCCGAAAGGGGAGAAGAGAGAAGATGCCATGCGGGCCGGCCCATATCTATGTATGTAGGTATGTCTGTATCCCATCGGAGGAAAAAGCGAAAAGAGCTGCCGGCACTCGCTCGCTGATGGGGAGGTCTTGTGGGGGTGGCGCATTATGTGAAGCCAGAATACCGGTCTTCATGGGTCTTGTGTATATTGCACCGAGGAGATGGTAGGTCGAGATAATGCACGTGTACATAGGTATGTACATATCTCGGGGTAAGCCTTGCTTCACCCTGGATAGAGAGAGAATATGTGTATGTGTGCATGGTGTATGACAAGTATACCTAATAATACATACAAGTCGTACATACATAGTGTACAGACTCGTAGTTAAGCGAAGCAAGTAGCTCATAAACTCGTGCGAATTCACCCAATCGGGCAGTGCTACGCCTTCCTCGTAACTTGGACTCGTAACTCTCAAGTCCAGAATAAGAAAAGAAAAGAAAGATCTCGCTGGTTGGTCGGTCGTTCGAAAAGTCTGTGCGACCCCGGAATGATAACCGACGGCGAGTGTAACGGTGCGAGTGACCCGGAGACTACGACCGATATGAATCTCTGCAAGTTCTCCCCTTGTCGTGATACAGAAAGCCCCTGCTTTAAGAGAAACCCGATGACAAGGAGGGCTATATGGACAAGGGGAAGGTATGCAGGTAGGTATTCATGTACCTAGGTAGGTAGGCTACCTATTGACGATCCCCGGTGTTGTAAAACAAACCACCCTAAGTAAGTAGCTAGCTCTTTGCCTGAATAGTAGCGTGTCGATGATGCTCTGTCGCTCATAGTCTTTAATAGTGCTAACCCCAATCTCATTACGGAATGATGCTGCATCTTGCAGTTACTGAAAGCGGCGCGACCTACTCGAGAGTCTCCGACATGATGCCGGTCATCATGTGAAGCGTAGGGAATGCGAAAAGGTCCCTGACTCTCGGTAATAGTTGATACCCCAGATACGCCAGCATATATAACGGCGAGTATTGCAATCTCGCCTACATCTCGTTTAAATCTATCACGCCCAGTTGTTAATAGTACTGTGCCTACCTGAACATATTTGATATTAGGATCGATCCCAGCATCACCTCCTTCACAACCTGATCTGGTTTTACAACAGAAATTCTCCGAAGTAAGCCATAAACTACACCACCACAGTACAAAAATCAGACGACCATCCCGTCTGGTGTGTGTGCCTCGCATCAACCTTCATTAGGCTAGCACTCCCGAAGATGTGCATTGAAAGAGAAACCCACCATTTGGAGGAATTGGTAGAAGCTAGAACATCTAGAACATACGAAGCCGTGGTTGTGAAACATAGAGCCCTTTAACAGCTGCCGCAGTTGGAATGGTATATATGATATATGCCAACTTCTGGTAGCCAGTAACAAGGCACTATCAGAACGCAGGGGGGTGATTGCTTACAGAGGTACTGGGGTAGCTAGCAGCTACCAGTATCTACCTACAGTAGGCATGCAATCAGGGGTTAGCAGCGCCGATGTGAAGTGGGTATACGTGTGCTACCCCTGACGGCAATTCAGCAATCGACACGCTTACCGTCCGTGAATTGATGGGGATTCACTTCGGTTAAGCAGATCTGCAAGATGTTTTTACCAGTAGAGCCATAGCAATTCCTGCCAGTGACTCAGTTGAGAAATATCAAATCTCAATTCATTAAGAACAGATCGTTTAGTCCGTCTCGATGCGATTTGAGTCGAAATACGGAACTTCAGGTATAGACAAATATTGAAATATCTAACCTAGTTGCCTACTATCAATTGGAAACATTCACCTTACTCCTTAGGACGGGGGATACGTGCCTTTCTAGAAGAAGGCCCAATCATCGGTTTTCCCATCACAAATCAAGTTGTACCCCGCATGTTTCATATTTTCTGGCGAATCTAAAGGCTGAAGGCATAACGGTACCGAGGTAGGTAAAGTGGCGGTGTCTGTTGGAGTTCATCTGGCTTGTGTTTGAAGAGGACGAAGTAACCCCCATTCCCATTGCATACTAGGTAAGGGGGGTTGGCGTCACAGGAAGGGTTTCTAGGAAGCTTCTATTGCAGGGTCTTGGCCTTTAGTGATGGCTCTCGGCGTTTTTTTTTTATTTTTCTGCATGTCTCACAATTTTCAGCCTTGTTTAGAGGTGTGGGTGAAGGAAATTGGCGACGGGAGGATCCTCTGTGCTAGATCAACCACTGTATTTACCTACAATAGTTTCCTAGTAGCCGAACCTATCGCATTTCGAATCCGGTAACAGGCTCGTGATGAGCCAGTAGATGCACAAACCTGGTTTGACGTTGAAAGAGACCCTTAGTGGAGCCCATTACCATTGCGGCCATCGAATCGGATGGATTGTCACGGGTCGTTTGGGATCTGCGACCAACCTTTGTATGGACTAGGTACGGCGCAAGGTTGGGATCTAACTACATATGAACTCCGCCCAGAAAGCAATTGGAATCGTCTGAACTCTTTCCGTGTTCTTCTATACATATATTAGACTTGTTGCATCTTTGGCTCTTCACTAGAGTCACTCACGATTCTCGGGCGGAGTTCTTGGCTATACCGCTTTTTAAAAAAGGCTTCGGCCCGTCAACGTGACATAGATGTTAGTATATGCGACCCCAAAGCTGGAATTGTTTACCAACAGCCGGAGAATGCCATCGCATAAACATGGAAGCCCCTAAGAAGTCCCCTAAGATCAATTGATGTAATGAGTGAGTATCGGGACTGTGTACCCCAATCGGGTTATGGACTCCTGTAACAGGTAATCTGCACCTCAGATCAATTCGTCACTTCAATGTTGTATATAATTCGCCAATCCGTTTCGTTCACTTCTTTATATGATAGGTATAGGTAGGTAGGTAGGTAGCAAAGTTGGAGTCGCGGGATGACTCGTCATCTGTTCTATCACATCAATGCAATATCATACCTCCAGTACCTACCTACAGAAGTAACTGACAGTAATTTGTCAATACTTCCAAGGCAGACACACATACAAATATCTCGTGACAAAAGGACAACTGCAACGTACATTATTGGCATTGTCCATCTCAAGTTTCACGGGATGCAATGGAGGTATTGTAATTGACAAATAGGAAAACAGCGGCGTCGCGGTTTCGAATGGTATCGTCGTATTGACAGTTACCATGCGCACGAATCAAATGGCCACGCGGTCTTATTTCCTGTTATGGTATTTATTTGACGTTCTCAACGATGCGTTTTTACGAAACCGAAAATTGGATATGGAGTAGCAGGAGATTGATAGATCGTTGAGATGTGGGATTGAATTGAATTCTCATGTTTGCGATTGTTTGAATTGCGTTTGTGAGAGTTGTGAGATTGTGAGACAAGAAAAAGGTTTATAATGACAAGAACCTCGTTGTCTTAACATAATCGTAAACCAGATTAATATGCTCTTATATGCGTTTATAGGGAAAAGGGAGTGACATTTTTGTGTGTAGATTTAGAGTTTGTATGCTGCTAAAGAGTCGATCGTTCAAAGGAAGTAGATATTCCTCAACACGAATATATTTCCAGCTATCGTCATCTCCTCATTCACGACCATTACAACTTTTAGCATCAATGATAATACTCGTAATTTACAAGTAAACACCTACATACCGATCTCGTAAACTGGTATGCACAGAATCCAGCCATGGCAGAGACCCTCAACTACCTAGTGCACCGGTACGGCGCACACGAGCTTCAACACATAGGGGTCTGGGACGTGGACATTGAAGACAAGAGCAAGAGCAAATACTGGATCATGTGTGTGTTTTCCCAATCCCCATCCCACCCCTCCCCGCCCAGCCCACTCCGACCAAGATCTTTCAAATATAGAGGTTACTTAGCGCCATTCAACTAACTAACACCCCGCACCCCCGAACCACAGCTACATCCACGGCGGCGCCTGGCGGGACCCGCGCATAAGTCACCAGACCTTTGCGCCGATTATATCGCGCATCGTACAACCACAAACTAACCCTCCTCCTTCCACTCACCCTCACCCTAACCCTTCTACCCCCAATTCCACCTCTCTCTCCCCCTCCCGCTCCACCTCCGCCCCTACCTCTAGCCATGCCAACCCCGCCCCCAGCAACGCCAACGCCAACCCCACACCCGCAATAGCATTCATCGCAGCCTTCGCATCCCTAGACTACCGCCTCAGCCCGCACCCCTCCTTCCCGCAGGACCCGGCGACAACCCCCGCGCGCCGGTTCCGCGGGGCGCGGCACCCGGACCACCTGCGGGACGTGCGCGCCGCGATCGCCTTCCTGCAGCGGCGCTACGGGTTCGGAGACCGCTATGTCCTTGCGGGCCACTCGTGCGGCGGGTTCATGGCGTATCAGGTTTTGCTGGGGGCGGAGTTCGCTGCTGGGGGCGAAGGGGAGTGGGAGGGAGGAGAAGAGGCGGAGGAAGAAGAAGGCTGGGAAATCATCGCCTCCCCCTCCCCCTCCCCCTCCCTCACCCCCCCCCAAGCCGTCTTCGGCATCGAAGGGATCTACGACCTCGCCGGCCTCAACGCCCGCTTCCAAGATTCCTACACGGAATTCCTCAGCGGCGCCTTCGGGCCCCCCTCACCCTCCTGGGACGCCGTATCCCCCATGAAATGCGCCTCCTCCCGGCGCTACGGCGACCTGTTCCCCGGTGGATTAGCGGTGCTGGGCCATTCCCCCGACGACGAGCTAGTCGATATGCCGGAGGCGGACGGGATGGCGGCGCGGCTAAGGCGGGACGGGGTAAAGGAGGTTTGGCTGGATAAGGGGTTAAAGGGCACGCATGATGGGGTTTGGGGGGATGGGAGGGAGGTTGCGCGGGTGGTGGGGAGGATTTTGGAGGTTTTGAGGGCAAGGGAAGGGATGAAGGGAGCTGATCGACCTACCTAATGGGCTTATACTGGATGGATGGGTATTTTATCTTAGGTTCTGGATGGTGTATTCAATGGTATTATGTACTGGTAGGTAATCAGGCAGATTATCACATGATATTAACCCGTGCTCTTGACGGACTCCGTCGCTTCCAGATGTGCCTAGTAACCCCTTTTTATCACATTCTCATATCTTCACACGAGGCCAATTGTTCCCATCATCACCACTATATTTCTTGATATTTCCTAGTCGTTTCCCCTTAACATAGGCACCTAGGCAGATCCCTATCTCTGACCACTACAATCACCACCTGCATAGAGACCTAGATACTTAGGTAGGAGTTTTACCAGCACATATCTAGACGAACTCATTGGCGCAAAACGTAACCGATCGTCCTCAATTCAGCAGCCCAGGACAGGACCACAAGCGCCATTATAATGCCTACCTGCCTAACTTACACCAATTATCGCCTTTGATACCCCGTTAGCTGTTAGGTTTCCTTTTCCCCTATCAGATCCACAATCCACACCCTACGTATCAATCAATCTACCCATTGACGGACTTAGAGTTCCAACTTACTTCGGAAGGCATATTTACTTCATTTACCTAGTTTCACCAATTCACCAACTCACCAATTCATCAATTCACTTTCACCACACACAAAACTCTACAGCACAACCACTCAACGTTTCGAAAACACGGGTCAGTCAAATGTAGAGGAGAGAGAGATCCAGAGACCCTTTTCGAGATCGAGATCAAGATCGCGAGATTCAGATCGGAGCCTCGGAGGGAAAAGCTTCATCAAATGTACATGTGCGGGGCTCAAAAAATGCTGGTATAATACATCATCCATCATCATCGTCCGAAATTCCCCTAACCTACGCACCTACGTACAAGAGGTGGAAAAACGCCGGAGATTTCTTACTTTTTTCTCTCGTGTCCCTTCCCCCTCAAATGATGGCGGCTATGGAACAAAGCCGAAAGAGAGCCCCGTTATCTATTCCCCCCCCCTGAGATTGAGGTGTGTGTGAACCACTCCCATGTAATCCCGCAGACCATCTCGTTTATGCTATGATGCGCGTGATTAAACCGGTAGCGACGGTTCGGCCACCCTCACGGATGTTGATGTGCTGGCCGGTCTCGACGGCGATGGGCTGATGTAAGGTGGCGACCATCTCAACGTTGTCACCGGGCATAACGGCCCTAGACTTGTCCTCGACCTCCTCGGGGAAGTGGAGCGCAACGGCCTCGTCGGCAGTTCGCAGGTAGATCTGGGGGCGGTAGTTCTCGACGAAGGGAGTGTGTCGGCCACCTTCCTCCTTGGTCAGGACGTACAGCGAGACCATGAATTTGGTGTGCGCCTTAACGGAGCCGGGCTTGACCAGCACCATACCTCGTCTGACGTCCTCTCGTCGGATACCTCGTAGAAGCAGACCTGAGTTGTCGCCAGCGCGCGACTCGTCACAGGACTTCTTGAAGGTCTCGATATCGGTGACCTTGGTTCGGATGATTTCGGAACCCTTGCCAATCAACTCCACCTCCTGATCCCTCTTCAGGGTACCTCGCTCCACACGGCCAGATGCGACAGTTCCACGACCGGCAATGGAGAAGACATCTTCGACGGACATGAGGAAGGGCTTTTCAAGGTCACGCTGGGGCGTGGGGATCCATTCGTCAACAGCTTTCAACAGCTCGTCAATCTTGGCGTTTCCAATATCATCTCGCTTGCCCTCCAAGGCCATCAGGGCGGAGCCCAAGATGACGGGAGTCTCGTCACCCTCGAAGCCGTATTGGGTGAGCAGCTCACGCATCTCCATCTCGACAAGCTCCAACATTTCAGGGTCCTCAATGGCATCGACCTTGTTGACGAAGACGACGATCCTCTGGACACCTACCTGACGGGCGAGGAGGAGATGCTCTCTTGTCTGAGGCATTTGACCGTCGGAAGCAGCGACGACAATAATGGCACCGTCCATGTTGGCGGCACCTGTAATCATGTTCTTGATATAATCGGCGTGACCAGGACAGTCGACGTGGGAGTAATGACGGTTGTCTGTGGAGTATTCGATGTGCGCCGTAGAGATGGTAATACCACGTTTTCTCTCTTCGGGTGCCTTGTCAATGGCGCCATACTCGAGGAAGCTTGCTAGCCCTTTCTCGGCCTGTCTCTTGGTAATAGCGGCAGATAGGGTAGTCTAGTACATGACCACCGATCAGATGTTAGATTCATGGATACTTTTTTTCAAGACAGTAGTAAGACAGTAGTAAGATCATTCTAAGTGGCATATATATATTTGCTATGTTGCATGTTTGTAGCATACCTTGCCGTGATCAACGTGTCCGATGGTGCCGATGTTAACGTGAGGCTTCGTTCGTTCGAAGACGGCATATGAGCGGGTGATGTTGAGGGCTGCGGCGACATTTTGCTGTCGCACAGCGAATCGTAACGGGTTGGCATTGGTACCAGTTCTGAGAGAGTGATGGGAGGCACGTAGGAACGGCGCAAGTGTCCGTGAAAACGCCGACATCTTGATTGGAAACCACCCTATCACTAAAAAGAAAAAAGAACCCCAACTCAGATATAAAAAAAAAGGTAAGGGACTGTGGTAAGGCGAGTCCGAGGTTCGTGGGGAGGACTGAAAAAGATTAGAGATTAGAGATTAAAAAAATTAAAAAATTATGGCATAAAAAAAAAGAGTTCCCGATGTTAGTTAGAAAAATTTCATTGGTTGCTGTCTCACCATGCTCATTGGCCACTTACAGTAAAGCCCCTCTATTCCTTATCCATCAGTTCCCTCTTCGATAACAAATCCTTCGTGATCAGTAAGTTACCTACCTCGGGTAGGGTACCTATTAACTAATGGCCGCATCTATGCACTTGTACATATATATTTATATACCGAGTACATCTACCTAGGTAGGTACTAACGTCAGCCACGACCACGACCACCAACTTCCATCCTGTATACACTTATGTAATATATTTGCACCATAAACCCATTCTGAAGCTTCTCTCCATCCCCTAATATAATGGAATGGACATAAAATTCATACTCACCCTGGACCTCTACATCATAACCTTCAGGTGGCACGCCCGGATCCGTCCCAAGCTTGAATGGCAAATATTGGCTTCGTTTATGTAATCGATTCTGACATAGTCCCCATGCTAGTAGCCACTCCCATGATACCTTCATAGTAGCTAGTACCCCCCCTGTCGCTACATATTTTGAGCAACTGTGAAGAGAATCAAAAATTGCCTGTCGAGTTAGGGAGCTCCAAGTCCCTTGGAAACTTCTCAGATCGTTCCTCGGCGTGTGGAATATCTTATCCCAAGACTCGAAATGGCCTTGATCAATCTGTTGGATCAATTGTTTTGGACAAATAGTATGTGTACCATCGTTTTCGAGGATCTTTTCCTCCTTTCCCTTTCAGCCAATGACGATGGAAATGTTGGAGTCAGCTTCTCCCGTCCCAAGAACCTCTATTAGCCTCTTACTTGATATCGTATCAAGTGATCGCAATCGTAATACCTTTGTTGCTAAAGTAATGCAAAAAATCATCCAAACTGATGTTTTACAAGTAACCCTTCTTTGAGCCTCCTATGAAGAAACTTCCACCACCTCATTTGGTGAGGCATCCATCTTCAAGAGGTGGCTTAATGTCTGGGTTTGGTATCTACCTAAAGCTGCTGAAAGGAGAAGAGACAAATCCTCCCGGGCATGAAGCAATTCCGGATATTCCTTTAGTTTGTGGTGCACAAGTTCCCGATCTTGGTTTGGATATCTTGAAGAAGCCTGACTAGATTGGAATAGTCCTGTTTCGTTCCGGCTTGAAGATTCGTGGTCTGTAGTTAAAGTGATAGCTGCCCTTCGCTATATTACCTAATTATTAATCGTCGGCTGTATGGACTAGGAATGGTGGTCGATGACATACTTTATCGTCGCAAGGAAACGAGCTGAAATTTCTGATCGGTACTTTGCAAGCATGTCCTCCATTTTAGCAAGCTTCCCCTTCTTGCGCATTGAACGCAACGAAATCGCGATGCTTTCCCGCTTAGAATCTTTCTGGGTCTCCAGACTCTGCAGAAGGCTCTGCAAGTCCTTTGACAGCTCACTACATTTGAATGCCAATTGTGCGAGTGCATCTTCGTGAAGCGAGTTCCTATCGAGATCAAGCTTGAGACCTTCAGTGAGTCTAAAATGGTCATCTGTTATAACACTTAAGTTGGCATTTTTTGGCGTGCTGCCGTTCTTGGCGATCATGGCAGCGCCGATGACGATTTCGTAAGTGAATTCAACAAATGATATGATATTGGAGGCTACCCCAATGGCGGCAAAGTGGGTAGGGTAGGGAGTAAGAGGTATATATGTAGGTATTAAAGAAGATCTAAGAAAGCAGACCAGTGTGTCAGGATTTAATTAATATATGACTACAGTGGATTGTACGTTCCATCTGACGTGTCGTCCCTGCCATTATCTGCTAGTTCAACTTCATAGATGTCACTCGTACCTAGGGTACCTCGGTATATACTACTAGGTATGTATGTACCTCAATGTTCCATTAATCTTACCGAGAACATCAAACTTCAAACGAAGCTTCCTTCCGTTGGCGTTGAAAACCCCCCTGATTGAACTTAAACGATATCAAACTCCAGCGCCTCCCCATACCTATCCAACCCCCACCTCCTCATCCCCTCCGCCATCGCATCCACAAACTCCCCATCAAACCTCTTCCCCTCCTCCACCCCCTCGGGTCTCCCCGCTCTCCACACAACCCAGTCCTCCGCCTTCGCCCCCTCCGGCGCCCTCAGCAGGCCCAGCGCAACGTTCAGCACCTCCGTCCCTTTATCCGCCTCCTTCTTCCCCTCCTCCTCATCCCGCAGGAACACACGCGCCCCACAATACTCGCAGAACCCGGTCGTCAGCGTCGACGACACTTTGTACGTCTTCACGGTGCCGAATTCTAAGGTAGTTGGTACGGCGGGCGAGAGGACCGCGCGCGGGACTTGCACCCACGGCATCCCCTGCGCGCCCGACAGCGCCCAGCTGTCGCCCCCGAAATCCATGTAGGCCTTCCACTTCCACTTCCCCTTACCCTCACCCTTATCCTCATCGTTATCCTTCTCCAGTGGCGGGGCCACGCACCGCGCCATGTGCGGATCCCCCCTAACCGCCTCCGCCGGCCTCGGGATCTCAAACGCGACGCCCCCACAAAAGCAGGCAACGCATAACCACTCCGTGCCGTCGGGGCGGATAGATAGCGCCTCGTCGGGCGGGAAGTCGTACGGCACGGTGCCGAGATGTAACGGCTTACCGCCGACGCCGTCGGGGAGCCAGGAGAGCAGGCCACCGTCGCGGGGGGACTTGTAGAAGCCGAAGCAGGTGACCGACCAGAAGAGGGGGCCGGCTGTGGTGTCGCGGAAGAGCGAGGTGCTGACGACCCACTGCGCCATGCGCGGCTCGAACAGCCCGACCCTCACCCCGCACGTCGGGCAGAAGAGCCGCTGGCCGTGGCCGCCGGCGCCGGAGCCGGGGCTCTTGTGCACGGACACGTTGATGCGCCCGTTCGTCCACTCCGGGGAGATTGTTTGTGGTAGCGCGACGTGCAGGCTGCAGAGGGCGCCGCGCGTGTACCGGCACGAGCTGCAGCTGCATATGTAGGCGTTGAGCGGGAGGATGGCGGTCGGGATGGTCAGGTCGAACTCCACGTTGCCGCAGTGGCAGCGCGCGTGGAAGGTTTGCTTCTCCTGGGGCTCCGGAGGGATCACCTTGTCCCGGTTGTAGAAGGGGATGACGACCGCGGGGAGGTCGGACGTGTTCGCCATGGTTATATGGATGATCTTAAAAACCTACTGGCAAAATGAATACGTACTTTCTTTTGGTTTATTTGATTGTGGTGATATAGGGGGTAGCGGAGAGGATGTAGTCTGACCGGCGGAGTTATATCCTATACCCGTGGACGTGGACGTGTGGAGTATGTCGTGTCCAGCTTACACACAAAAACCTCTATACCCTTTTCATCTAGTGATGAGCGTGTGGGAACGGGGGGGTTTCAGCTACCTTACCCACTACATATTTCATCCTAAATTCTTATAACGGCCACTCCGCTCTGATGATTACTACCTAGTAGGTAGGTAGTTCAAGAGACGGTCTCTATTTAGTTCTAGTTCCCCTGCCTCGGAACTTGAGGTCTGAAAGGAGATGGTAACCTAGTTGGTGCGTTGGAATAACTATACATCGATGGCCTCAACGTTGAAAGAAGGGTTTTTAATACTGGGGAATAGGTAGGTAGGTATACGTCTATTACTCGTGCGCCAACGGCACGGGATGTCGCGGTGCTAAAGCTGCAGAAGCATGCACATCGTATGCAACATGCAGTAAGATCCGCTTATTTGTATTGGGTGCCTAGAATGCGGGTTATTCCAGGCTCCCTAGGTACCTAGAATTAGTATTCATCATACTAATGATCCGAGATTCGCCCAACGAACGAAATAAGTATGAAATGAGGGGTTCTTCTCAATTGTGAGAGTCAATATGATACTGTACGGGTAAAGAAAGGGGGGGAGCGCGATGATCTCACGGGCTATTAGACGTATCAATAAACTGCCATTATAGCTGCTATAAAGAGGTAACTCAGAGTCGAAAATGTCGTTATAAAATTGGGATAGCCTTTCATATCCAAACCAGTAAACACGCGAGAACGCTTGCTATTCATGTACAGCACTTACAACTTTCCACCTGGGCAATCAACAATCCTCATCACTTGCTACACGTATCCTGGCCCCTACTCGCGTATATCGGGCTCCTCAGGCGCGAAGCCTGCAGCGGATTATGGTATTCAGAATCCTGCATCGAAGCCATGAACTCGGCGAAGTATTCCCTTAGGCCGCGGTAAGCCATCATAACCCCTATCTCCTCGACCGTCTTCCCGCTCAACATGTCCTCGTCCATCCCCGCGCCGAAGAAGTCTTTGCGCGAGTTCTGCGACGACGCGAGGTTATTGAGCGACTTCCACGGCTTCTCGTCGCAGTCACAGGTCGCCCACTCGCCCTCGTCGTCGGAACCGTACCGCGGGACCGGCGGCAGGACGCCGGCGTCCAGGTACGCGCGGATGTGGGCTATCGTGCACAGCGAGACGCAGGACACGGTGCAGTGGCCCTCGGCCTTCTGCTCGACGATGCTCGCGCGCGAGAACTTGCGCGTCATCTTGTGGGCGGAGTGGAGCGGGGTGACGGGGTCGAGGTGGTTGGAGAGGAAGAGCAGGGGGAAGCTGGTGTTGATGGGTTTTGGGGCGTGCGCGGGGTGGTCGTCCCACCGCATGGGCGGGTCTTTGGCTTCGATTTCCCACCCGTTGCAGCCGAGGTTGATGCCGGCGCCCATCCACTGCATCAGAGTAAACTATTAGCTGCCTAGTAACTACTCAGACGAGGTATCACTTACGAAATCGGCAAAGGAGGAATAGGAGGCCATCGCTTCGAAATGCTCTTGGAGCGATGTGAGGTTATCGTTAAGCTGTGACATGTCAGAACCTTTGGCCATATACTAGATAAACTGAAAAAAATCATCTTACCTTGTATCGCTTGTCACTACATGCGATTACCTTCATGGAATCGTCGGGCCAGTACGGGAGAGTGAGTTTGTGGCAGGGTAATGTCGGTGATGGGACCGCTATGAGCGAGTCCAACTGGCCGTCGATGAGTGCTTTCAGGAGTACAGCAAGGCTGGGGAAACTACCAATCGGCGCGTATAGAGACATGAATATGGACTTTCTCAAGTCGCTGGCTGTGATCAAGATGGGCACATTCGCATTTAATGGCAGCACGATAGCAGGCTCCTTCTCTAACAACTCCATAGCGTCATTGACGCGACTTTTGACGTCCTCGGCCTTGTCGCCAGGCTGGTAGAGCTGACATCGTGGTCCTGCTTCTGCGCAGTAAGTAGAGAACTTGTCCCATATCGCATCGGTGTCGCGGAGGGCATCGGACCAAACGGGGTTGACAAAGTGGTCGGCGTCGACGATACCGTCTAGAATGACTCGGCCAACTTTGTCCGGGAACATGGACGCAAATGTAGCTCCTAGGAACGACCCGTACGAAAAGCCCCAGTAAACAAGCTTGCCTCTAGTGCTATCTGTAGATTCTAGTTTAGCACCGGTACGGAGTCCTTCTTCTACGGTTTCTGGTTCGTGCTTGGACTTGGCGGGTTTGGCGCTGGGGGCGGATCTCCACTCGTCCCAGGCCTGGACGATCGAGAGCATGTCGCGTGCGACGTTCGGCGTGTTGGAGTACCGGAATATACTCCTGTCGCCCTCAGTCTCGTCTACCCGTTTACAGAGCTTGGCAAGCGCCTTGGATCGGGCGTTCAGTTTGGACAAGGCAACGTCGCTGGAGTTGATCATGCCTATCTCGTGCTCAGATAAAGCCCAGCCCATTCTATTCATATAGGCAATATTGCGACCTTCAAGCCCGAAAGGGTCGTCGGGAGCTGTGAAGCAGTCGGCTTTAGGGGTAGTAGCCCCGACGCCCCGTGGATCGAAGCCGATGATATCGTGGTCATTGCCAACGATAGTCTGGAGTAAGTCGCCAGTACTTAAAGTAAGAAAGACCCCGCTGCCACCGGGACCACCGGGGTTTATGAGCAGAGGAGATTCCGAGTAAGATAGCGGGTCTTTTGTACGGCTAATGCCAGGTTTCATGACTAGGGCTATGTGAACTTTTGGATTGTCCGCTGATGCATTCAACGGGCGGTGGTAGTCCATAGGCACGGTCAATCGAGCACATTGAAAGTTGCTTCCATATATTGCGAAACATGGCTGCCAGATGAGTTTCTGGCTCGGCTCGATCTAATCATATGAGAATACGGCTATGTCAATATGAGAATCAGTCGTGTCGTCAGGATGGCTTACGCTAGACCACTCAGTCCATCCTTCGGGATACCCTGAAGATTCCCGATGCTTAGGCTTAGACTCGGGACGTTGATGATGAAAGTAATGGTTGCTATGATACAAATCACCGAAGATAAGTATAATGCCGGATACAATGGATAGAACTATTACTACACCCAACCGCATCCACCCCCGGCTTGGGGGTTCAGACGATAGCTGGATATCGGACTTAGATGCATCTCTAAGTTTCTCGCCGAGGAGAGGAGTTGTGGATGACTGTGAAGACATGGCCCTAGTCTTTTTTCATGTTTGCTTCGGATGTTGTTGTAAAAGTGGAATTGATAAGAGGGATTGTTGAGATGGATTGATAGGATCCATGGATTGATGAATTGAAGCATCCGTTTAGTCGAATGCCGAGAATGTAGACATTAAACTGAATGGCTGGGTAATCTGCGCGTGTAACCACTCAAATTCATTTGCTTTTTTCATATTATTTTTCATTTATCTCATCCGTCCATCTTGCTTTTTCATCTTGCATCTCATTTTGTCTCATCTTATCTATTCGGGATCATATTATGAGCCATGTGAACTAATCACTTACGAATTGACTGTTACATTTTGGTGATTTATTCAGAGTTATGAGAGTTGTATAATTGCGTAGTGCACACATGGCCCGTGCCACATCGGACCTAAAGTAACTAAATGCCCCAGTTTTTCCCCAACTCCCCCATTCTCCACTTTCCCATGTCCACTTCATGTCTTCAGTGAATTATTTCTGGCAGACTAAACAGACCTTCATGGTTACCTAGATCATTATGTTAATTGCAGCTTATAAACACTTTTAACATGCTGAAAGTCACAAAACTAATCTTCAATGCAAATGAGAAGCGTTACTTTACTCCGTATGCTGCTGAACTAAAATCGGTCAGGCACAAGAGTGTTTCTGCTCTTTAGCTCATTCAGTAGCAGACCTTGGCTTTGCCTCAGCACCCTGGATGCGGCAATGGCCCGGCAAAGGATAATGAACTCCTATTATATGGCCAAGTATGTACGCGATCACTTGGCTCGAATCTTGGTATCAATCAAGCTCTAGATTACCATCCATTCCTTTCCTCGGCATTTCCCAGGGATCTCGCCATCTTTGATCTCCGACCAGCTGCATTGGTAATATGATCTCAGTCATCACTTATAGCTTCTATGAATAGCAACATGGACATCTAACGATAGATACCCGGTTTATCATTATGAGACTTTGCTGACGGGAGTAGAGGCATCTTGTATGATCTTCAGCATCGATACTCACCTATTTTTATCTCTCTGCGAAAATCAGATTGTCGTCGTGAATATCCACGAACGAAACATCTTCGCTCAATGCGAAGCCTTGCCAATCCAGCGTAGCTCTCACAACTTCTATCAAGGATTTTAATCGCGCCTGTGAAAAGGCAAAAATTACTCAGGGGCTCTATGAACAGTACTAGGTATTATAGTATCAATCCTAAGTCAACGGCGATAGATACTTTATCAAACAGTGGCCGCGTTTTCATATCTTCATCTGCTCTAGTTCAACTCCACTATTCCAACATCAATCAAGGCACAATTGTCGATTTAATCCCTACGATTGGCGAATCATAGGATCTCTTAGCGGTAAAGCTTGTCAGTTCTGGGCGCACTGGGCGCGTGGGGTGTAGGGATCCTGGTCGCTTGGCAGGTCTCAAGACTGACTGATCCGCCTTAGATTGATACTCACTTCACACACACAGCACGCAGCATTCTTCAATCTTCTTTTATATCGTTTACAAAGCAGTTAACCCCGAGCTATTATCGCATTGACGAACATATAGCGCTTGGCAGGTTCAGCCAAGAGCCTCATTGTCACGTAATTCCTACGGTCTTAGCTGCTTCCGCGGGTTGTTTCTTCCCATCCCGGTCGCGATGCTCTGTTTCAAGCGTAGATTGTTTACCTAGCCTCGCCTCCCAATGGCGGGTCTACTAAGTTCACCAGCGAGAAACCTCCCCTCTGCCAGTATGATACATCAGGCATCTTGCTTGAGATATTTTTAACATGGCAATCGACCAAGAAGAAACACCTTGGCACCGAGGAGCAGAGCTATCCCTAGTCGTTCGCTCATTTCGGCCGCTTGGCTTTCGAGGACCCGGCTTGATAGATTCTAATATCCGAGTATGAGTATCTGGTGCGTTTGTACTTCGGTGCATATATGAAGGCCGTCGCGGGCCCCCGAGATGAGGTTTTATTCTCACTCAGCTGTGCTCAAGTTATCGTCCGAACCTTTTCGTTTTCCAGTCTCTTCCCTTAATTTTTCCCAGATTTATTCTGTCTTTACTTCTTCCGCTGGTCGCCGCTGGTCGTTTTTATACTAGGTACTTATACTACTATCTAGCTATTTTTCACTCACTATCTCCTATAAGCCAAACGTAATATAGCCAAGAACACACTCCAAGAAAAAAACATCCCATTCCAAGAAAAACAAAATCGCCAAGATGGTCAGCTATCGAATGATTGCCGTTGCCGGCTTCCTGGCTAGTGTTAATGCCCTTCCTTTGAACATCAACCTTGGCGCCTACTCTCCTGCATTGTAAGTGATCCCAAGATCTATAAAGTTTGGAAGAGATCTAATAAGATATACAGGGTAGTCGGTGATGGTGAGATCTCGTTCGGAGGCGGCCAAGATGTGACGAACTTGATGAACGCTTTGGAGGGCGCCGCAGTCAACACAGCTACTCGAACGGCAGGGGGTGCTACCGAGAACGTCGCCGCCGCCGCCGCTCCCGCTAGTGGTGCCGGAAATGCTGGAGCCAATGCGGTTAGCACAGATGATATTGTGGCTGCCCAAGAATCTACACCTGAGGTTGCTCAAGTATCCCAGGCACCCGAGGTTCCCGCTAATACCGTCGACCCCAACTTGAGTGAGCAGGGTGAGTTACCACCTATGTCTACGATCCCATACAAGTGTAAATGCTAACAGTCCCCCAGCCAGCCAAATATCCGGCCTCCAAGGCATGGGCAAGGAAATCGCTCCCCGCGAAGACTCCGAGACCCCCAAGGCCAAGCGCGATCTTGCCGGCTTCGACCGAGCCCTTACCTTCGCCGAGGCCGCCTTAACCAAGGGCCCTACCATCCAGCTTGGCACTGGCGAAGGTGGCGCCGGCGTCGGTATCATCGTCGACAACAACGGCGGCACTGTTGGCGAAGCCGCTGCTGCTGCTGCTAAGAAGCGCGACGAGTCCTCCGCGCTGCCCCGCCGCCACACTAAGGTCACGCGCATGTACGTCAAGCGCGGCGTTCCTGCTGGTGAGTTGAATTCCTACCTACCTTCCTTCCAAAGTTTGAAATAGTACTATGGCATAGCATGCTAACTGGCGCCCCTGGTGAAAGCTGTCCAGACATCTAGTAAATTCGAAGCCCGTACCGTCCCCGTCGCTAAAGTCCCAGCTGCTATGATGGCCAAGCGACAGTCCGCCGCCACTACCCCTTCCTCCGACGTCATCGACTCCATCAACCTCAACGTCGACGACGAGCAAGGGTTCACAATGACGTTTATCGAGACGACTGAGGATGGCGATGATGATGATGATGATGCTGCCGATGTAGAGGATGACTTGGAGTAATGAGCCAATCTGATTGCAACAGTTTTGTATCTACACCAATTCAAAAAAGGGAAAGCGGTTTAATTCATCATCGTCGTTTTATTTGATACCACATCTAGGAGTCTTTGGGAAAGGGGGAAATGGGACTTGAGCGGTTCGGGCGATTTTCTTCCATCACATCACTTGTCATGCTATGTATGTGCAGCATGTTTGTTTTTCTTTATATCTCTCAGGTTGGGTTGCGTACGATAATGTCTGTCAAATCATCTACGGAGAGTGTGGGATGCCACTGATGATGGGCATATTGGTTGGGTCTTTCGGTTTATACGAAAAAGAAAATATGCTAGTTGGTTACTGCAGTAGGTAGTATGAACAAATTCAAATACACGACCAGCCTTTTTTTAGGGGGGGTCGGGACTGGAAATTAGGGGTTTTGACTTTCTCTCGCTGTGAGTTGCTTCAGTGTCGTTATTAATGTCTTCTATCTGTGAATATAGTAAATCTACCTACCTGATACTACTAGGGAGAATTAGCCTTTCGTAAATGCCGAAGACTCTTTCTTCTCTCCTCTACGTACCTTTTTCCATCCATTTTTTACAATTAATGCCTGGTACCTAGTTACCAATTGTCGCAATTCCACATCCGCGCGAGATATCTTCTCCCACAGCATCTGGTACCGTATGTAGCATAACATAACCAACCCCCACACAGCCCCTATCTAACCTACCGAGGTAGTTAGACAAGTAAGCATACGTAGCTACCCCCCCAGCATCAAAAAAAAAAAAACCCCCCCCAAAGTTTCAGCAACAAGCAACCCTGCGACACCGCCAAGCAAGCCAGCCAGCCCATATGCAGGCGAAGAGATCGCCAAGGAAGGAAGGAAGGAGTACCTAGATTTACGAAGAGAGCCTCATCCACCGATTGAACTTGCCGGGGTTCCACATATTTACATATGGGACCCTGTTCTTTCTAGTCTTTGTCGTTTTTGGGGGGGGGGATTTTGGAATATCGGTGGGGGGGGATAGGCGAGGTAGGTACTCATGGGTTGAATCCTAGTATCCTATATCGCACATCCTTTACAAAAGGTCTTTACGTTTTACGTACATACCTATGCACCTACCCACGAAGGATCTGAGTACGATAAGGTGTGTAAAATGTTTTATCACTTAGGTACGCCTGAGGAATATATGTATAACTCGCAAGCAAACGGACTCTACCTACAATATTCGAAATATTGGTGAGTAGTGGCGAAATTAACAAGGGTCAATACTGACTTATGCCGGAGCTCGTGATGGGGTTTCAGGAGTGTAAGAGTCTAATCGTTTAGATAGGCACCTAAGATATACTTACCTAAGGACCTAGGTATGCAGACTAATTCACAGGCGCAGACTTCACCCTTCACATTGGGTATCATGAAGGCAGGTAGGTACTGTAAAAAATAAATCAATAGGCACGCAGCAACTACCCATCACCCAAACGGTCACCCGTTCAGCCTAGATCTACCCTATACTCCCACGCCACCCGATCCCTTAAATCCCCCAGTATATCATATCATAAAACCGTCTTAGTCTATACGACTTATTCCGCCCCACCTCTTCTACCACTCTGTCAATCTAATGCCAGCAGATTCTTCCTTCTACTTACCATCCCAGTGTCTAAACCCCTCATTCTTCTGCTTCTGCCTCGTATTCCACCCCAGCTTGGCACTAATACAATTAACCCAATCCTCGCTCCGTCTGCCCGGTGGCTGCACGCTAGCAAAGGGAAACCGGCTGGCGCTGATGGTGACGTAGTCGCCGGGGAAGAGCTCGATGCGCTCGCGGCCGTCGAAGCTGGCCCAGCTGTTGGTGCGCGCGTCGTAGGGCACGCCGATGCGCAGCACGATGGTGTCGGGGAGGATGATGGGCCGGAACGAGAGCGTGTGCGGGCATATCGAGGTCACTAGCATCACCGGGTTCTCGGGGTGGCACAGGGATCCACCGGCTGCGAGGTTGTACGCCGTGGAGCCGGTGGGTGTCGATACGCAGACGCCGTCGGCGAGGACGGAGGTGAAGTGGTTATCATCTCCGAATATCTCCGTGTAGGACATTGCTAGCAATGTTTATTGTATCAGTTGTGTCGTTGATGTAATGGTTTGATGAGGTGGGGGGTTTTGTGGGACTTACTTGGGTTGGGACCCCGATCGACGACGATCTCGTTGAGGATCTCGTACGTGCAATCTGGTCTGTGAGTATGCGCATCATCCCGCTCTTCGCCGATCAGCTCTTCGATTAGATCTCGCTTGCGCTGAGGCCCCTGTCCATCCACAGACTCATTTTGGGTCAACTCATTTGGCCGTTTTCGACTTCGCATCACCGTTCCCTCAAACCGTAGCCGAAGACTGACTGTGACGCCATCTCTAAATGCCGTGGTGAGGATATCGTGGTAATCGTGGAAATCAAACTTGGTGAGAAATCCCAAGCTACCTAGGGAAAAACTGAGGACAGGCGGCACAATTCGCTGAAATAGCCAGCTGGCGTAAAGAACTGTCCCGTCGCCGCCAAGGGTAATGACAAAGTCGAACGTATGCGGCCTCCTACGGCACATCTTCTCGTTCCAATATCGTAGGCGATTATCCAGAACAACTTTTGGGGTTCCATTTTCCATCTGATCGGCGTCGGAGTACTCTGTTCGGAGCTCTTCCAACAAACCGGGCGCATCGAACTCTTTATTCTTCTCTAGACTCTCTTCCACGTAGACGGTGTAGCGGACATCTCTATCCTTGCTGAGCAACCACTTGGCTACTTCTCTTGTCTTGGGAATGAGCTCACGATCATAAACCTTAGTCAATAGGAATATTCTCCTGGCTTGAAACTTGAGTTTTATACTCCCTAGCTTTCTACTCAGTTCTCGGACTCCCCAAGCCATGTCAGTCAATTGTTTCTTGGTAAGCAGTCGACTGTTGAGGCTGTGACTGTGATCTAGAGGAAGTTTTCCGTTCCTGGCCGTGTTCTTGCGCAACGTTTCGGCTAGCTTCCCCGCCTCTGTGGTGCTAACATCGCTCTCTACTTCGGTGACAGATGTGGTCTCTTGTGGACTCGCATTTTTGCCTTTGGGCTCAACGTAGTCGTCCAGGCCAACCTCAGTAGCGAGGTCCTCACGTTTATAGTCATTATGGTCTCCATAGACGCTTTTTAGGTTATCATGTCTATGACCCTCAAGAAGTTGGTGAACTAGACACTGAGTTGCTGATGGCCTAGGCCCATACGCTACAAATGACGGAGAAGTCGCTTCTGTATATATAAGGGAGCTTTTCCGACGATACGGACTTCCCGGATCAAAGGTCACCTGATAAGGAGTTAAAAGGGGTCTAGTTGATTGGCGGAAAGAATAGTTGTGGGGAATACCTCAACTGCATTACTATCGTCGTCACTGGCGCTGGACTGATGATCATCGTAATAATGGCCCGACTTTTCTTCATTCGCACCATGCGACTGTTTGGCATTGGTGCTCCCGTTCATTGTTAGTGACTTAGTATCTAACAAGTAAAAGGAGAGAGTACTCGAGCAGGTATGATTACAAGTATGTATATATATTCTAATGAAGAAGAAACATTGACAGCATTAAATAAGAAGTATCTGAGTAAATTAGTGAGTGACTGGCACTGACTGCTGTGGACTGTGAAATCAAATGTTCTAAGGTTCCGCCTAAAGTCTTTTTTTGGTGAGATGTTTTAACCTAGGTACTTAAAAATGCACTGCTACTAGTAGTAATCAGAGCGCTAAAATAAAGAAGTCATGGCGTCAGCCTTCCAAATAGCAGGAACCTTGGAAGCTAATGGAATGGCTAATGGAATGGTGGTGGGGGTGGAGGGCTTACTGATGCCCCGCAGATCTTAGCACAGTCTAGCGCCGTGTCACCTGAATATGTCTCTACATAGTAGGTTAGATCTCATCTTAACCATTTATTCTACCTATTATATTGTACATTATATAGTTAACATGCTTCGACTCATGTGCTATCGGTCCCATTGACCCGCGTAAAAGTCCTGTCTTATCGGAGCATCTCGAAGATACTCCTGAAAGAATTTGAGTAGCAGCTCATCCTCTTCGACCTTAGGTGGCCTCTTGATATCTATTCGGGGCTTCCTCACAGAGGGATCCCTTGCTTTTGCCCTATCCCATTTTCTTTTCTCTTCCGCTGCCTCCGCATCACCACGAGCAATATTCTGTCGGACTGTATCCAAAAGCTCTCTCAAGGATGGTCGATCATCACGATGATCCGCCATGCAACGGGCTATTAAAGTACGCAACCCTATTTCATGATGTGTGAACTGAGCTAGAGCTTGGCTCCCCACTATGAAAGGGGCCCATGTGTTCAAGTTTTTGGTCCTGCCATCCGGCATACTTATACGGCACCTTCGGGGTTCCCATTCGTCGTCGTCGGTATAGTAAATAGTCATCGCATTGAACATCAGCTACTCCCGAGTTAGTGATGCAAAGGACAATCACGCACGACACTGGAATCGACTTACTAATCCCGTACACCAGATATTGGTATGCGGTCCAAAGGCGTTATCCTCTAGAGGTCTTACTCGGTTACGTTGTTCCTATACCAATGTTCAGTAACAAGCACGTCGCCTCATTATCAGCTTTACGATCATCGTCACTTACAGGTGCCTGCCATCCAGGCCTTCCCACATTGGCTACCGCAAGCTTCCTAGAATGCGAGTTAGAACATCTCCATACGAACATTCTCAGAGAACGCACTCTTGGTCAGACCACTAGCAAATAACGAATTAGTGGTTACGTTTTCAAAATGTCTACGCATAAAGGGTATTCTTGGACTGCTTACATCATCATTCCATTCTTGTGTGAGCCCAAAATCCCCCAACTGAAGCGCAAATTAGTGAGAACATGTTAACAATGGTTGGTTAGGTAAGTTGTTGCTGCTCACTTTAAACCGCGGGCTATACCCATGCTCTACCCCGTCTGACAAAGTCCTCTGAGGGTTGTCTATAAATACTAAAAAGGTAATTGTGAGAATCATCATTCTCCCGTTAGTACCTAGATATCTTGAAACTTACTATTTAGAGGATTCATATCAAAGTGGATGATATTCCGTGGTTCCTCGTTGGGCCTAATTTGCTCGCGGTAGACAGGTGGCATGTTGTTATTCATTATAGGTGGGTAAGCCATTCCTATACAAGCTCTGACGACTAACATGGTGAACGAAATCCTTCCAATCAGTGATTTAGACTAGATAAAACGGGAGGCTCATCAACTTACGGCAAAGAAACAATCTCCATAAAATCCGATTTGGTATGAATTCTAATCTTTTTCGACTATCATGAACGTCAGGGTTATTCGACTTGGCTTCGTTGATGCGAATCAAGAGCTCGTGTAGGTCGCATCTCTCAAAATATTCCATCACCAAGAGAGGCGTATCCCCATCCTCTGGTTCAGGGTTATTGAACATGTAGGGTTCCATAACGAAATTGGGTAGATCAACCAGTTGGACAAAATGTTCGGCGGTCGCAAAGAAATCCTGGCCCCCTTTTTATCAGCCAAGGCTCCTTTCCCCGACTTCAACGATGAAAACTCACCAGCATCCATATAATCTCTTGCGCGAAGTATGGATCGTTTATATCAGTTGGGTGCTTGATTGCTATATCCTGGACTCGTTGTCCTCGGTGGTTTCTTATAGACCATAGTGTCACTATTCCCGACCCTCCGAACCCCAAGACTTTCTGGCATTGTATATTCCCTGCATTCTGATAGAAGAAGTTCTTTACTCTACGGTAGGCTCCTAGCACTTCCCGGGGAACATCCCAGTCTGCTGGTCTCGCTCGGATGATCGGTCGAACTAGAGATAGGTACTACTGTTACGACTGATTACATTTTAGGATACTTAGGGGGGGACTTTACATACGATAAGGCTGTTGCGTCGACATGCTATTACTGACGTAATTATGATTGTATTAAATCCAATGGCGAAAGACGAATAACTACAGCGAAGGCTCTTCACAGAGCTAACATTTATGAGGCACGTCACGATTGAAGAGGACGAGCAGAGCAAAGCAGCAGTGAACGAGCATAAGTTGCATTGTTTACATGGCTACCATTTCCCAGCACATTTTGAAAGAATGAGTACTGCTTCCGGTGCAAACAAAGACATTCCTTTGCACGTTCAACGTGAGGCTAAGCGATCACTTAGGTACCACAGGCCAGGGTCCAAAACAAACAAAGGGCAGTTGATTTGTGTTCCAGGTTGATGATAGTTAGCCACTCGAATTTATGACTGAGATGAGACGTTCCATCGTCGCCAGAGTCGAGCGACTGCATTGTGAGTTTCCGGTGTTGAAATACCCATCTCAATATCCGCTGTTACTACTGGCGCTTTGAGAAAGGAATATACTTCGTATAAGCGAACTAACCTAGGTTAAAACCGAATGACCGTGCATATGAGATTCTCAGCTGCCTATAAACTCGTCAGTAAGAGCAAGTAGTGCTGCTCTAATATCTAACCACCCATAGTCTGTCTAATGAATCCTACAGCTTCGAACAAACACCGTAGATGGCCGCATTTCCTCGGCTTAGTCATCCTTCAACATACCCAGTACCCATCCGGCTCCGAGCAAACGTGACATAACCCGGCAATAAACTCCACGGTATTTGAACTTGCGATCGGGAATGCCGGGTCGGCGCATTTAGTATTAGCGGGAACATACATGCCTTGACAAACGAGACCCCGAGATCCCGGCTTTTCTCCGCTGGGCCGAGCTAACTGGAGACGCCGCGTCCAAAGCTAAGAATGCCGCAGCGCGGGGTCGTTGGTTTTGTTTTATTTCGGTGACGTTGTTACGCTGCTTGAGTAGGTACCTGGTAATCTATTACGTACCGGCTACTTGGGACCCGGACTCCTCATTTTGCTCACCTGGGCATATATAAAAGCGACGAGGTATTTCAGATAACTACCTAACTTAGGTGAATTAGGAATATCTTCGTTGAGGAACTTTTGCTCCATCATATACCTATGAGCTTTATACACAATTAACTCACCTCGTTGCCAAGAAAACCCTCATACCATACCGTGAAGATGACTGACCACGTGAACGTCGCTACCCTCGACGTAAGTTCCCACTCACCCACACTTCTCACCACCGCATGGACAATCCCGACGCACCACTAACAACCCCACCAAGTCGACCCTCGTCGACCGCCTCCCCGCATACTCCAAAACCCTCTTCGACGCCAAGGCCTCCAAGCAGCTAACCTTCTCGTCCATCGCCGCCTCCCTCGGGCGCGGCGAAGTCGCCGTCGCCGCGCTCTTCTACGGGCAGGCTCAAGCCTCGCCCGCCGACATCGAGAAGCTCTCCTCTCTCCTCGACATCCCGCACGCGGCCCTCGCGTCGAGCATGAGCGTCGGCTTCCCCGACAGGGGGCGCGCGGGCCCGATGCCGCCGGTCGAGCCGCTCATCTATAGGCTCTACGAGATCGTGCAGAACTATGGGTATGCGTTTAAGGCGGTGATGAACGAGAAGTTTGGCGACGGGATCATGAGCGCGATTGCGTTCTCGAGTAAGGTTGAGAAGGAGGTTGATGGGGATGGGGTTGCGTGAGTATTTTTTTTCTTTTTTCCCTTTCTTTCTTTCTTTCTTTCGCTGCTGCTTCTTGGGTTTCTGTGAAAGTGGGGGATTGTGCTGACGTGATGGTGGTAGTTGGGTGAACATTACTTTGAGAGGCAAATGGTAGGTTGGCATTCTTTGATTGTGCTTTGCGTGTTGTGTCTATATGCTAACGTGAAGCAGGCTGCCATTTACTCGGTTCTAAGCGGATGTTACCTCAGTGCCTCACAGCGCTTTGCTCGACAACGTCATTGTGTAAACTTACTGCTGTTTTTCTATCTGACTTGTTTCGACGGGATGGATTTGTAGGTTGCCAACTTGGAAAGAACAGCTACTTGTTGTATCTCAACAGCATACTTGTTTAACGTTTCTCTTGTGTCGCATGCCACCGTGTTGCCAACACGTAGACCTGGGTACCTAGGTACGTGATACTAAATCGTATATAAAAGACAAGACAAATCGTTTACTGCCTTCCCCCCGTTCTGGAGAAGAGCTCACCATGTGTAACTACCTAACTGCTCTGCGACTTCGACGCTCTACCAGGTAGACAACCATGAAACTCTCCACATACCTATGATGTTCTTCTCTCTGCGCGCAAGCTCAAGCTCCTCTGCAAATATCCAGTTGCTAATGTAGTCCCGTCCACTCGACCCATTTAGCTAGGTAGACCTGATACCGCTGGATTACTGCTCGCTCTCCTAGACGCCCCCCCCCACGCACATATACCTCGTGTGGCCACCTTCTCTCCGATACTAGATATACTCTCACACACCTATATCACGCTCACGCTCACGCTCACGCTTACCTACCAAGGAATCTCAAGTCCCAGCCCACTCAGGCTCGTGCTAGCGGCCCGCAGCCAGAAGTCCACCGGCACACCCCCGTGGCAGCTGCCGAAGCGCCCCTTCTCCTCGACGCTGCCCCTCTCCGACCCGCCGTCCCCGTGGATGGCGTCGATCAGGTCGCCGACGTCCTGGTTGCCGACGGCCGTGGCCGCGCTGTTCTTGACGACGAGCGCGCAGCCGCCGATGGTGTGCAGGCTGGTCCAGTCCTCGTCGTTGTTGGGGTCGGTGGTCTGCTTCACTGGACATCACATCGCCGGTTCAGTTAGTGCTAGGTACTCCTCAACTAGATGGTGGGTAGGTAGATAATGGCTTGGTGGTGGCGCGGCTAGGCTAGGCTAGGCTGGGTAGGTAGGTAGGTTAGGTATCTTGAGTTGGTCTGGTTTGGGGTGGGGGGTGCGGCTCACAAACCCACTCGCCCTTGTTGTCGCGGGCCCAGTCGCGGATGCCGAGGCAGTCCTTCCAGGGCGCCGCGTTCTTGCTGTCGAAGGGGCCGTGCGTGGGGTCGCTGCAGATGTCGAAGGGCCCCTGGGAACCGGAGGCGGGCGCGAAGGGGGCTTCGCCGGAGCGCGTGGGGAGTTTTGTATAGATGAGGTTGGTGGAAGATGTCGGCATGGCGGAGGCGGAGGCGGAGGAGAGGGCGAAGGCAAGGATGTAGCTGAGGCGGGACATCTTGAAATCTGATCTGGAAGATGGGCGCTGGTGGAAAAGGAGGGATGTATTGTTCGTTGCCAGTAGCGATTTTGCAAATTTATGTGCCTGTGCAGTTAGGGACAGTAGTGGTTATGATGTGAGAGAGTAAACTGTTCGAAGAAGAGAAAGGCTTCCCTGGTGTCTTTATATAGGTACCTAGGCAAAGCATCTCGAAGAACTAGGTACTCAGGGGGAAATGAGAGACGTTGGGTTGGTGATTCAATCTACATCAGACATGATCATGGACATCAACTTCATTTTTAAATCACATCATGACCCCCTTTTCATGTACTGTGCTCAGCTTTTGCTCTGATTCATTGCAACCCGAAGCTATCATGGTCATATAACCTGCTCATCCGTTACACCGTTGGTGATGTGAAGCAAGGGATCACATAACATAACATACAGCAATAAGCTGAAACCATCATTATGTTGCTCGATGATTGTGCTTTCATAATTTCCGCACGGTTTGTGAGTAGTACCAATGACAATGCGCTTCGCTTCAGCTCAGTCATGCGTCATAAACGATGACGTTGGAGGATGACTCTACCTATGTAGGTAGTACCTAACATCCAATCCCAGCAACACATGCTTATTCGTGAATAAGCAAACACTAATTGTCCGATACAAGTCCTACCATTACACTCCTACCACAATTCATCTTTACATCAAACATCCCGCTCGTTCGAATTTGACCGGCTGTCCTTGCCCGACAAGGATGGCACGTCCGTCTTCCCCTTCCCCTTCCCCTCCCCCTTTTTCCTCCAAAACGCCTCGACGCCCATCTCCCGAAACCTCTTCCCCTCGTAGTCCTTCGTGACCAACCAATTACTTACAAACATCACCAGCACCGCCAATATAATCCCCATCCCCGCGACCAGCGGCGCGATGATCGAAAACACCGTGAACCCGTAACTCACGCTCTGGAACGCCTCGTCCTCCTGCAGGCGCTCCACCCCCAACCCGACCTGCATCGCCGTGAGCACAATGACGACGTACCCCAGTATCGTGGCCAGCGTGCCGAAGTTGTCGCGGATCAGGTCGACGTAGACGGCGTGCGCCGCGACCGACGAGTACCCGCGCAGCACGAACCCTTTCCGCACGCGGTATATCTTGTTGAGCCGGCTTAGTCTTAGCTCGCCGTACCAGTAGCGCGGGTTGATCGCCGCGTAGGCGTGGTGCGTCAGGATCTCGCGCGCGAGCGTCTGCCACGCCGCCCACGTCACCTCGTGCGGGATGAGGCCCCTTTCAAGGGCCAGTCGGAAGTCGCTCTCGTAGGAGATGAGCGCCGTGTACGAGAAGAGGAACCCCCGTGCGCAGGAGGCGAGCTTGGGGTTGGGGGAGGGGAGGATGTGGGAAGCCCAGAACTCGGGGTCAAGCAGGTAGGGCGGGATGGGCTTCAGGAAGATCCGGTTCTTGTTCCACACGAGGTGCAGCTCGGGGTTCTCGGTGACGACGAGTTCGCGGGAGATGAGGATTTGGTGGTCTGGTGGGTGGTTAGTTCTCTAGAATTTCTTGAGAAGACTCTTTGGTTCTCTTTTCTTGAATGCGCTTCATCTGGCACCAGAGAAGACATGCTTGAAAAATGCAACGTGGAAGATAATAGAAGTTACTCACTGCACATCAATTAGTATTCGCAGCCAATGAGATAAAGTCTGAATGTACATACCGTAGTGGTCGCGGTGGCATTGGCCGGCCACATACCCAAAGCCAATCCTGGACGGCGTTCAATCTCTCCACGAGGAATTCCCGCGCAAGGAAGTCTGACTCTAGGTTTGGGACGGTTATTTGGTCCCCATTCGTACGGTAGGATGCCGGAAGCAAGGGGCTGAAATCTATCGCATCGTTGATGGCGCGATGCTCATCCTGTGGCCTAAGGACTCGAGTTGTGAAGGGGAGTGACGGGGTAGCCATAATTAATGATTAATTGGTAGAATCCAGTTCTGTAAAAATCGGTATACTAAGATTAATTGATCGTAAGCTTCAACACGTTTTTATACGTCAAACTCCAAATGTGCGTAAGAAAAATGAGGGGTGATGAAAAATGATTCATTCTCATTCATCATGCCACGGGCATATGACTATCAAGTACTTGTTCTGCACCTTGCTTGCGATACCGAGGGGAATTTTAGGGCTGAGAATGAAAATGCTTGGCTGCACCTCATGAGCTAACCGCTTCAATACTCAGCTAGCAAGGTTCCGAATGTCCTGCTTATTTTAGCGATCCAGCCTACCCAGGCTACACTAACTAGCCATCGTGATCAGCTAGATTCGGCATGGGTGTTGGCGCTATTAATATGTACGCACGCCGTTAGCTGGCCAGTCCAGCCCCTGAGCTTGGGCCTTAAGGCCGGGGATCTGTACCAAATCTGACCATAACGCAGCTTTCTATGCCTATTCGATGCAGGGGGGGGGGCTCTAGGCTGCATCATTTGCGGTACAGGCAGACGAGTTCTCGAAACGCGGTATGCGCGAAAGCCTGGAAAAGAGATAGCGATGGCTGGGAGAGAAAGAAATTCTGATTAGGCAGCGATATAATATTATTGATAATTGAAATTATGACTTCCAAGGTTACTTCGTAGTGCATGCAGTCATCACACTATTATAGTCCGAGATGAGGTTAACTATGTAGACATGGGCTTCACAGAGGCGTGAAATACATACCTAATCTTACCTACATAGCACCAAAAGTACATGGTATGGAATACTTTTAGTGCTGAGCGGCTGCCTGTAAGCAAATGCGATCGGCAGCGGGAGACTCAGCCGCACACGGAATGGGACTACCCTCACCCCATGTCATTCGTCGGCCATGGACTTTCTCATTCTATCCCGGTTCTTCCTAGGGGATTCTATTATTGGGAGCCGTCCCGGTTATCCATCATGGGTACCTACATTAACTGGGCCGCTGTCGGTATTACATATAACTCGCCATGTCCGCCCCCATTGCGGAGAAGAAAGCTTGATTTCAGCTGTGTTGTGTAGGAATAGTCTTTTTTGCTCAATATTCTCATCATGTCTCTACAGCGCTCCGGGACGCGGAAGGCGCCCTCAGGGCCTGCGCGACGGAAGAAGGACTATGATATTGTGCAGCAGGGAATCAAGGAGCTGTATCCACTTGATAAGTCCAGTGTCGAGCCAGAGATTGAGTGAGTTGAAATGTGAAAGTATTTAAATGAGATGCCTTGGTTCTAATATTGGTGTCTAGTATCGTCTTCGTGCCCGGTCTGGGGGCTCACCCGGAGGATAGCTGGAAGTCGGAGAGTACCAGCTTCAATTGGACCACAGACGGTCTGGTTAGAGATTTCCCCCGTGCTCGAATCTTGTTGTATATGTACGAGTCAGCATGGAACGGCTCTCTCAAAGTGAAGCAGTTCATGAGCAATATCGCCATGACATTGCTCAATGGATTAAGAAGCAAAAGACAGGTATGCGAATTTCGCGAAACTCGCTCATCCGTGATGAAGGGATGTGCTAATGAAACAATAGGGTCGCGTCCAACGACGTCCAATTATCTTCATTGGCCATAGCATGGGTGGCCTTGTAGTTGCGAAAGCCATCACTATCGCGGATGCGCGACGAGATAAGTTTCCCATCATGTTCGAAGCCATCGCGGCGGCCATCTTCTTCGGAACCCCTTTCAACGGCGCGCCAGTTGCCTCCGTAGCTGCCATGTATTCACACTTCGCCGAGAAGGCTGGAGCAGCTACCTCATCTAAGCTACTAGAGCTGATGAAGCCTGGGGAGGAAAGTCTTCGCGAGCTGAAGCACGAGTTCATGCGACTTGCTGGGAAGTTGAACCCCAAGATCGACTTGATGTGCTTCTACGAAGAGCAGCCGACCGACTTTTCTAAGATGGCTGGCCTGCCAAGTCTCTTCGGTTTGACCAAGATGGCAATTCCCAAGGAGTATGCCGAGTTCGTCAGCCGTGACTCTGCGACTCTCCCAGGTGTTGACGAGCAAGGTCTAGCTTGTAATCATCGAAACCTTGTCAAGTTTGACGGACCGAAGGACGATCGCTGGAGCCAGTTCGTCAAAGATCCTCTGAAGCGAATCATACATGGCGCTCAGCTGGCTGTCAAGAACCGTCTAAATTCAGTTCGTGATATCGACCGTACCATGATCAACAGCATCATGGAAGTGTTCGACGGCGCGTCAGTATCCAAGAAGCGCAAGACGCTAGCGCAAACATTTGCCCCATCTTCTTGGATCATGAAAGAAGCGGAGTATAAGCAATGGCTAGACGAACCTGCGTCGGAAGATGAGAACCGTGTGGTTCGCTCAGCGGATTGCTTATGGATCCGAGGCCCGGAAGGTAGAGGCAAGACTAGCGCGTCTCTGGCAGCTGTCGATGAGATCGAGATACTCAAAGACAAGGAGGATACAGATCAAGGGCAAATCCTTCTCGCATACTTCTTTTGTGACTCGACGACAGACTATTCAACCGCCGAGGACTTGTTGAAGAGTCTGGTGACGCAACTCATCAATCAACAAGAGACCCTGGCTTCTTATGCCAAGGCGTTTGCTAAGAAGAAGGGCGAAGCAACCAAGTCCCAAGCACAAGTGACGGTAGAGAACCTGTGGCAGACTCTTCAGGACATGCTTACGGACGAGTTTATTGGCAGTAAGGTTATCTTCGTCTTGAATAACCTGCATGCACTACCTGAAGACTCAGATTCAACCATCAAGCTGATGAAGTACCTGAACGCTGAGCTGCAGAACATGAACAGCACGGACACAAAACGTGTATCCACAAGATGGATGATCACAAGCAGAGAAGCCCACAACATAGGCGACGCACTGAATGTTGAGGGGGTCCGGCTGATCGATCTCGAGGACGAGAAGTACGGAGACCAAGTGCAGATGGCGTTGCGAAAACGCGCCAAGGAGCGGATTTCGACACTGGAGAAGGAGAAGAACTACAACAAAGCCCTGTCGTATTTCGCGAGCAGTCTCATTGGGCGACGTGCTACAAACACCCAATGGATCGACATCACCTGCGTCCAGCTCCAGGAGCTTCCACAGAAGGAGAGCGACCTGAAAGTGCGCCGGGTGCTGGAACGAATGCCTCAAGATCTGACCACGCTTCTCAACAACGCATGGCTGCAGATCTTCAAAGCCAACGAGAAGGATGTGGAGAAGATCAAGGAGATGCTGCGCGCGCTTGTGCTCACGTACGAAGACCCCACCGAGACGGAACTGGGCGTGCTGGCCGGCCTCTCCTCGAGCGAAGAAGAAAAGGCGGAACTGCGCAAGTTCGTCGAGAAGTGCAAGCCACTCCTCGTGACCAAGCGGCCGAGTAACACAATTTGCTTCCTCAACGTCGTGGTCAAGACGCATCTTCTGGAGAATGCGAAACAGCTTCTCGGGATGTCTAACGAGGAGATGAAGTGGCAGCACGGTGTTCTTGCGCTCCGGTCGTTCTCCCATGTGAACGAGTGTTTCAATTTCCCGAAGAAAGAGGAGCCGGTTGAGGAAGAGAATGAGGAAGGGAAGGAAGACGGAAGTGAAGATGGGGATGATGAAGACAATGACGACGATGACGATGGAGAAGACGACGACGAAGACGGCGAGGATAGTGATGAGGAAGATGACGACGATGATAATAGCGAAAGCGATAATAGTGAAGATGAGCCGGATCCCGAAGCCGATATTCTCCACGATCTAGCCTGTAAGTTATACTTCAATGCTCTGAATTGCTCCTACATTTACCCTATACCGAAAGCGTCTTATAGCTGAACGATTATTTACTGACCTTCATTTCATCAGTGCCATATACTGTCAAGTATTGGCTTCGTCATGCCAGTAAAGCCACGCGCGAGATCGCCGAAGATCTTAGTCTAGAGCAGGAGTTTTGGAAGCCGGATTCGATTATACGCCATCGCTGGCTCGTGGAATACTGCCGTATGACCAGCACCTTTGACGACTTTGATTACAAGACGTTGACTGGTCTGCGTAAGTTTCGGTCTCCTTCTAAACTGTTTCTATGCAAAGTTTGCTGATCAGAAATGCCTATAGATATCGCTTCTTCCGTCGGATTCAAAGAGCTCGTGGTGGCGCTGATTCGAAATGGCTACGATGGCCAAATCATGACGCGTGACTCATTGGTTAACTCACCGGTAAGCTATAGGCATATCTACCCCCGAATAACTGTTAGCTTATATGTATATCCAGCTACATCTTGCTGCATTCTTCGGACGCCCCAAGATTGTCGAGGAGCTTCTCAATAAAGGAGCTGTGATCGACGACGCCGATGAAATCCAGGAGCAGACGCCTTTACACATGGCAGCCTTCGGTGGCCACATTGAGGTCATGAAGAAGCTACTATTGAGAGGGGCAAACCCTAACGCTACATCTAATGACATAGGCCCTGTGGTGAATGCCGCGATCTCATCCGGCAACCGAGCCTGTGTCGAACTGCTCGTTGAGCGTGGAGTCTCCTTGACGATAGACCGAGATGACCTCGAAGCACCGCTAGCTCTGGCCGCTCTATTGTCCGATATTTCGATGTTCGAATATCTGATTGAGCAATACGCCTCTAAATTGCCTGCTGAAGAGTACAGCAAAGCGTTCGTCAAAGCCGCGGAGGCAGGCCGTATGGAAGTCTTCAATAGGCTACTCGACTTCGAGCACACGCAAGAATACTTCCAAAGGGCCCTAGATGCTGCTGTAAGCGAATGGAACTGGGAAGTTGTCACAACCCTGCTGGAGAAGCGCACTGAGCTTAACTGCGATGGCGTCTTCTACCAAGTAGCTACGGGTACTGAGCCTCAGGACAAGCTTCTCGAAGTGGTCTGGGATTATGCCCATGGCTCCATAAGCCGGGAAACCCTCAACAAATCCTTGTATGATGCCACGGATAGAGAAAAGGAGTCAACAGTGGAGGTGCTTCTGGAGAAATATGGAGCGGATCCCAACGCTACCGGTGAAGAGTAAGTCAATCACGTGACGGAAACAACGAAGCGACAAGACATACTGACCGAGTTATAGATATGGCAATGCTCTCACAGCTGCCGCGTACGACGGAACCATGAACATCATTCAGCTACTCCTCAAGGCTGGTGCCGATGTCAACGCGCCCGAGGGATGGGCAATTCAAGCAGCCTCTACTGAGGGCCACTACGATGTCGTCGCAGAGCTCCTAAAACGTGGCGCCGACGTCAATGCCTTTACCCATAACGAGCACTTCGCCGCTGGAACCGCGCTCCAGGGGGCCTGTGAGGCGGGGAAGACGGACATAGTATCGCTGCTCCTTGAGCACAACGCAGATCCTAATATCGGAGGAGGCTCTGACGCGCCGCCAATTCTTGCAGCTACAACTCGCGCAGAAGAGGACATTCTGGAACTCCTAGTTAAAGCGAAAGCTCGCTTGGACGTTCTCGGTGCTTCGGAGAGTCCATCCACACCGCTGATTTGTGCCGCTGCCTATATGCCCCAGTCGTCGCTCCAGATCCTACTTGACGCTGGCGCTGATATCAACCTCCCCGACAACGACGGAGACACGGCTCTCATTGTCGCTGCATCTAGGGGAGACGAAGAAGCCGTTTCGTTCCTGCTCAATAACGGTGCCGACATCATGCACTCGAACAAGGAAGGCAACAATGCTCTCCAGGAAGCAGTTCAAAATGAGAACGAGGAATGCGTGAAGGTTCTTGTCGACCGCGTTTCGCAACTGCTAGGAGCTCTGAGAACTGCCATGGACTCTGGTAACAGTGCTGTTACTAGTGTGGTACGAGGTGTGTTTAGCAAGGAGCAAGCGCTTAACTACGACGACGAGACCCATGAAGAAGAAGCCCACGAAGACCGGGCTCTTACACCAGTCCATGGATCAGGAAGCGAGGGAGGAAGTAAGACAGGAAGTGAGGCAGGCAACGAAGCAGCCGAAGATGATAATGAACAGCCAGAATCTCCGGAAGAGCATTCCGGTTTCAGCAAAATATCCCAAGAGCTCAAATCTGCATTAGCCAACCAGGCCGCCCTTTGGAGCGAAATCACAAGCAAACCTTCGTCGCCAGAAGACGGCGAACAGGAGCGCGAACCTTACCAGCCAGTTGAGCAGTACGAGGAGCAACACACTCCACCCCTTGAACTGAACCAAATATCCTATGACGCAGAGCCAGTTCCGGAGCCAGCTCCAAGTGTTCAACTCTCCGACCCGGTCGCAGAACTCCCCGCTCAAACATATATCAAGAGAAAGCCGGCCCCTTCATCGCGTAGCAGCTCCGCGCAATACAACCGCACCCCGTCACCGAAGCAATCCGACCTCTCTTTCGGCGACTTCTCCATGCCACCACTCGGCGGCAACGGGCAGAACATAGTCGCGTACCAGCCCATCCAGGACTCAGCCCCTCCACAGCCGCAAGCAGCGCCCGCCTACCAACCCCCACCGAACCAAAACACGTCTCCGCAGCCCTCGCCTTCGTTCCAGGCACACTCGTACACGCAGAGCCAGTCGTCGCAGCTGGCGAACACGAACCAGTACCAAGCGCCGGGCCACTACTCCAGCGGCAGCCTACCGTACAACAACGCCAACGCCAGCCCGAACTACGGGATCGCGAGCCAGTACGGGGCCCCGCCCCAGCCGACCGCCTCCTTCGCCGCGTACAACCCAGACTCGTATAGCCAGCAGCAGGCGCCGCCGCAACGGCCGCCGAAGCAGGAGCTATACTACGGGCAGCAGCAGCAAGGGGATTCAGCGGCGCTGGGAGGGTATCAGGGGCAGGCTTACCAGCCACAGGCGCAGCAGGAGTGGCAGCAGGGAGGAAACTACGGGAATGGGAATGGGGTGTACGGGGGAAGTGGGAATGGAAATGGAAATGGGAGTCAATGGGACCTGGCGGCGCGGCCGCCGCTGAAGCCGCAACGGTCATCGTTTTTTTCGGCGGGAGGGGTCAAGAGTACGCTGGATAAGGCGAAGTTTATGGGGAATGGGATGTTTGGGAGGAAGTAGGGTGTAGGAGGTAGGGGGTAGGGCTAGGTATGGGAGATTGTATGATACGTGGCTATGAGGGGCATTGGCATGACTGAGGCGCATGGGTATGTACTTACGTGATGGAAAGGTTGCTCATTGAGGTTGGTGATTTTGTGTCATTGGATTGTATTCTGGTGTTTTTGGAGGGTTTGTCTCCGGTGGAATCATCAACGTTGGGGTGTATGGTGGAAAGACTCAGAGGATTGGTAAATAACTATTCATTGTTAGGTACTTGTCTAGTTTAGGACAGTGTCCATTGATACATATGCTGCATAATGTATAAACACATGCATAACTCTTGGCGAAGCTGATGAACTGCGGCGCACTTGCCATTCCCCTTGGTTGAATGGTGTAGGTTAGTAACTTGGAAGGAGGAGATTTTTAGATACGCCCTTGCTCACGTGCGTACCTACCTAAAATGGATTCCATCCCATCTTTCCAGCGATCTGAATGGATGGTCGTTTGATTAGAGTTTATAGATTCCGTTTGCTACACGATCGATTTCCTGATTAATATGGGGTTGACCGGGGGGGCCGCTGTTTCTATACCACTAGTCCCGTGAGTACTACCTATATGTATCTACGTACCTAGTATCTAAGTCCTAGGTAGACAAACTACCGAACGCGATAGAAGTCATGATATTACAACAGAGAGCAAATACTTGCGATTCTTCCTATATAAAGAGTTGGTGTGCCGATGCTATTCTGGCTCGCATACCAAGTTGGAAATATTCAACTTGATACTATCTTCTATATAGATCCCTCTTATTCAAGATAGTCCTCCCGCTGAAGAGTAGAGCAGAGACTATAGCGTTTTTAAAACGTTAGTAGAGTTTTGATTTATCGTGATTGAGTTGTTTTCGTCGTAACCACCAAGAATTATCACGCGTGTCGCGTCAGTCGCGTAAAGTGACTTTCAACTCTACACCCCCCCTATCCATGCACTGACACCCCACCAGCTGCCTGGGTATCCATTCGATCTTGAAAATCGGCATCTACTCTATTCTAGGTCTTTTTATAGCCTCTAGATCTATTCATTTTCCTACTTTTAGTGGGCCGCTTGCTAAATTTCGAAAGTACCTGCCTGAACACCTTACCATTGACCGGGATTCAAAGGTCACTTTTAGAGCGATTTCCAGCCCGCATAACCATTCAGAGCACCATGTTTCCATTCAGCCCATATGTAATAAGGCGGTTCCTGAAAAATATGCAGGTAGAAGCAATATGTACCTTCTACTCTCAGTCCACCCATCCTAGTATTCAGTGTTTCCACCACCTCTTTCCCGCTCGTACATATGTCTACATTTCTTTCCACTTTCAATATTTTTCTCTTCCGTACAATCAATCTACAAAGTACAGCCGCAGAAGCCCCATACTTCAACCTACAACTCACCCATATCACCATCCCATCTACAACCATTAACACCCACACTTTTACTTCACAAAGATTTGTGAGCCTACCCTACCCCCATCTACTTTCGCGCACATCAATTTTCTTCTTACAATAAACTCGCCTCCATCCACTTACCTCTTCTCTAACATCGTCACCTCGTGTCTCTACTTCCGTCTCTCCATTTATCTTCTCTCCATCTGCTCTCCATCTCTTCACTAGTACCTCACTAGTATCCTGACAGTCTCTATTCTAAATACTACGGCTCATACTCTTCAATAGCTCAATAGTAAACACTCATCTTTGAATATGTCCTACTATAACAACAGCAACATGTCTACGGGAAATACCTCCGATATGGGCACTGTTGACGAATCCTATCCGCCTCTACCTGAGTGGCAGCAAGCCAATCAGACAAACATTCAGCATGGCGCTGGATTTGATTTCAACCAAACTATCCCTACTTATCCCTCTGGCGAATATAACGGCGATCATACCGGCGAATACCCAGTCAGCTCTGTTGGAAACCCCGCCTTCAAATACTTCGGCGATACCCAACAGAATAATCACACGGACAACCCTCAAGAGGTCGCCCAAGAGTACATTCAGGCACCCAATGGCATTTTCCAGAACAACGCTTACGGTTTTGGTCATCTCTATAACCCCGACCTCAGCTATTACAACGCCCATCCATACTGGGAGGGCTACGGTAATATGCCAATGAACAACGAGATATCTAACAACTGGATGAATATTGATCCCCTCATTCGGAATCAACAGCTGGAATCGACGGACCCACTCACATCCAACGGTACTATATCGACAGGCCATAGCGGCAGCTACGCGACACCAAACACCATGAGCTATTACAGCCAGCATATTGATCAACACCGAGCACGGTCTGGCTCTCGGGGAACCTCGTCCTCTCATACCGTTCCGTACACCTCCGTCTCGGGCTCACTTACACGTGACGACTCGCTCACCACTTCGAGCTCCTTCTCGTCTACCGGCACACACAACATGCCGGCGCGATTACTCAACCCACATTCGCTCTCCCAATCAGGGACGGCCGCTGCGAAAGATCAGCCACTAGAGATTATGGATAATCTTGACATTCACGAAGAGTCATCAATCGGAAAGACTCGAAGTGGTAAGAAGTATCAAAGCAGTAGTATCTCCTTGGCAAAGCGGGCATGTGTTAAGAAGTCCTCTGAGAAGCGCATCAAAGCTCGAGGCCATTTGGAAGCGATACCGGCCCCGGGATCACCAGCGAACTTAGTCATACCCGAAGCCCAAGAGGATATCACCCCTCACATTGCTGATACAAAGAAAGCGAAGTCTAAAAAGGCGAAAGGCAAGCAATCTGGCAAGAAGGAGCCGGATTGTGAAGCATTGTGTGATCTTTTCGAACTTCCCTTCACTGCCATCAGCAACAACCATAAATCTTCTGCCGATATTGCTTCAGGCTTCAATCCGTCGCAGGGAATAACATACGTTCCCGAGCTGAGACGTGAGCCCCGTAAGTGATATTCTCTACTTAAAATTTTCGTTCAGATGAGATCTAGTGGTTCAATATTTGCTAACATCACCTCAGTTATTATTGGCGCTGGCTCCCCTCTGAGTGACTTCGATACCGGCATCGACCTGTTGAAGCCGATGGACCAATTCTACCCTGCTGGTGATGTGAAACCACTCGCCACCGCATTCCGACCTACCGTTATCCCGGTAGAATATTATGGAAACCCTGACTGGGAGCGAAAAGGCTCGGTGCGACCCATCGGATCAAAGGCACGCCGTGGGCCTAAACGATTGAAGCCCACCAAGGCGGAACAGAAGGTGGCCATATCATACCAGAAACTGGTCAAGGAGACCTTAAACCTTTACATCAACGACAATTAGACTCATGACAGGTCATAGTCCTGTGGAATGAGCCTTAAACACAGGTAGCACTAGACGATTACGTCGTGCTGGAGTATCAGGGAGGTTCGGAGTGAATTACATTGCACACTTTATGGTGATGGGAAACCTTTGTACATATGAACCACAAATAGGTTCTTTGATTTTAGTTTGCGAAGTCAATTGATGGTTTATTGTATTTAACTTGCAAGTTCATTCCTCTTTTTCATATTTCTTGAAATACCCAATTGTGTCGTTTTTGACAGTGGCTCATTGCCAATTTCTAGTCAATAAGGTAGAAGAGACCTAGTACTCCCTTTCTAAATCGACAGAATTAACTAAACTATTTAAACCCTCTCTCTGGAGACACTCGTTGTGAAATGGACTTCTCGGTGATATGTGCCCCCTTTTCGGACTTGAAGCTATGACGTAAGACAGCTTCGGAGAATACAGCCGCTCGTCACGAGATACCGTCTACCAGACGGTTTCTGGGTGTATATATATATCAGGACTTCAGGGAAATATTCTCACGCTAGTAATGCACTTCGCTATCTACTGGAGCACTGTCCATAGTTGTAATTCCCTCTTCCTGATCGAGACTGTGGCGTCTAGATAGAAGCACCTATTGTCCTGCAGCTATCAACAATGGAAATATTCCTCACGCTAAAGCACAGTATCAGCCATTGCTGTGAGACTCTGAATGGCATACTCACTAGCGCCGTCCGTAAAATTCATATGACCGGCAACAGGCCAGTGCAGAGTCAGTCGTTGCTGCGGATATGGTGGTCTGGTCTCAATATCTGCTCAAAAGACGCCTTCTAGACCCTAATATAGGACTTCCATTGTGAATGTTATCGCAGACACGGTATGGGCCACCATTGATTCCATTATCTGTAAATCTGCTCAATGGAAAAGCCGATAGATACTGTGCTACCTTGGAATCAACCGCAGGAATCACCTTGCTACGTGCACTGTCCTACCGCTGCAGGATTCGACTATAAATACCTGGAGCCTCTGCCATCTTTCTTCCTTTCCTTCCTTCCATTCCGCACACGACTCCAGACCGGGAAAGCAAAACATAAAAGCTAATAAACTACCATCAACCAACCAAACACCAGCCAACACCAAACCTCTCAAGCTCAACACGATAACTGTTGAACTCACAAGTAAGTCTGCCATCTCTACTTCTCTTCATCTGATACACTTCCCTTGTCGCGAATCTACTTGATGTCCTACTTCTGGTAAGATCGCTACAGCTGTTGAGGATCACCTTGACTTACGCTACCAGTCTTTCAGACATAGCCCTGACAACTTTCCACTCTAACATCAACCGAAACATTATTGTAATATTTATTCACTCCAAATTACTTTCTTTTCATAGTGTGCTAATTTGGTTCTTTTAGCAACGCACTTTTTGTCATCTCAATACAGAAAGACAAACTGTACTCGACACTGTCGATAACTCATCACCGATAACTCATCTCAATTTCTCCTCATAACCTACAACCTTACATTACCATTATCAACCATCAAGATGTTCGGATTTATCAAGAAGAACTCCAAGAACAACAAGGCCGCCAACAAGAAGCCTGTTGGTAACGATCCCGCGGGCTATGAAGGCCAAGAGCAAGACTACTACCAACAAGAGATTAAAATGGAGACACCATCTCGTCCGGCTTCGCCGAAGTTCACTTACCCGCGGAAGGGATCGAAGCCCCTTCCATCTACCATCAAGAAGGAGCCGACGCCATATATGCCACAAGAGCCACACTACCACAGAGGAGAGATGAAAGTGGAGACCCCGTCTCCTCCTGCCTCGCCGAAGTTCACTTACCCGCGAAAGGGATCGAAGCCCCTTCCATCTACCATTAAGCAGGAACCAACGCCATATGTGCCACAAGAGCCAACGTATGCGCGGCACGGAAAAAGGGTTTCCGAATATGCTCAACAAGCCTTCTATAATTCTCGAGAGCAAAGCTACGACCATCAGGAGAAACGAATTAAGACGGAACCAGAGGATGCTGACGAGCCATTCTCGTACGCGCGGAAAGGGAGGGGGGCATTTGATGCCAAGAAATGGGGCTGGTCTGGTTGAGCGAAGGCTCACAGTCACTCGGCTCATCCACTTTAACGCCAAAGGGATTCTCAGTACTTGATGGTAGCTTCTGGGCGCATGTGGAGGGACTTTTCACTGCAGGAAGGGGGGCCTTAGTCGGTGGTTCTTGGGGCTGGAGGGATATTTCTTGGGGATCTGGTTTCTAGTGTGTCTAATAAACGAGGACACTCACGTTGTACTTTGGTCGGAAGAGGGGTCTCGTAAATTGACTCTGTTAACCCACTACTATATTCTTCGCATAAAAGTGATGATAGGAATGTTGACCACGTGATACTTATATAAGGCACAAAGTGATGGATGTGCATCTGTAGATATTCTAAACATTGAACAATATAGCACCGGCGTCCGGCAATCCTAGCCCCGATCACTCATTAATCTACCTAGGGTACCTACATACCTAGTAGTATAGTAGGGTATATAGTAGGTACATTGTTACTGGGGATTTGTAGGCGAAGTTCAGCCGTCCAGGGGTAAGGTACCTACCTAATACTCTTAACCCCGCCGGTATGTGACTGAATACCGCGGGGTAGTGAAAGTACGTCACTTTGATAGGAAGGGGATATTGTAAGGAGAAAATAGGGTTTAAGGTGAGACTTACACAGCTGCCTCCAAATAGTAACCTCAGGCTGTGGTTTAAGGCGTTTAGGTGTTAACCACCTTACGTATGTACGTACCTAGGGTTATTTCAGACAAGCCCTCCCCGAGAATATAGATGTCGCCCATTGATTAAGTTTTCCTTTCGTACTTCTCTACCAAAACAAAATTATACTCTTCACTCACAAACAACAGTCCGCGTAAACCCCCCTTCCTGGGGGGGGTTTACACCCAAGGATCCCATAAGAACAGCGACCAAGGTACGCTTGTTGAATAATTCTACTTCCAATCACTTGTGAACTTATTAACAAGTACTTTATAGATTATTTGAACACTTCTGGCCTCCATCACTCTTCTTCTATCTATAGCCCAGTCCTATGGCCAATGGCTTCACTCAAATCTTTCAACTCCCTTCACGCGACTCATATGACACAATACTAATCCAAAACGCACGAAAATAATTCTTTACTGGACAGAGAATCAGAGGAATTCACAACGACTACCGGGAAATGTCACTATACTAGCCACCCTCTGAGCATCTTTGGACAAGAAGACTGATCCACAAGAGGTTCTATCAATTCTTTAACTATTTTCGTTAACCTCGTTTCTCAAGGTAAAGCATACGTACTACGTTGGACGAACATAAACTCCAGATGAAAGTCTTGGAATTCCTTGCGAATCAACATATGAATCATTCTTCCACAATAAATGATTCATTGATAACGCCGCAGCTGTCGACACATGACGTCTGCCATGATGCAGACTGAGTCTCACCTTAGTTTGAAAGGTGATTGGGATTTCAAGCAGCAATTTCAAGCAATGTGTGGGCGCGTCGCGGGCACATCTAAAGGTGACGTTCAGAATGACGACGAGAACGATGCGAACGACGAGGAAGGAGTTGGGGAGAGTCTTGTGAGCATTACTCGACACAACTACAGTTGGCTAACAAACCGTTTGGACCCATCACCCTCCAAATTATGTCCACGAATACACCATTCCTACTTATATCAACCGACTGGGAATCTTCCTCAACAATTCTGGTATTGTCCTTACCCATAATCACGAATACTACTTTAATCTGCAAATGGAGACTCCCATGGTTATTTCTAGATGAACGGGAACATACTATCGCATACAGTCACCTCACAAATACAGAACTCCGACAAATGCATCGACTATTTGGTCATCCTGAGACTTAGCGTGTTGGCAATATGAAGCTCACCGCTTCAATCAACACCAGAAAATCGCGACGGTCGAAATGGTATATTTCTAGCGCAAAGCCTTCATTATCCCAAGCCGAATTTCGACTCGATGGGCTGTGTACATTTCATACACCCGCCAGAAAGAACCTTCAAATTGGTTGCCTAGGCAGTAAGACGAATATTCATCCGACAACATGAAAGTACACCAGGTCCTATCCATTGATGCCAATTCCCGCTGGCGTGCATCGGCTGGCCTCAAGAGAGGGGTGAAAAACTACACCAACCATCCGTATCACTTCCTCGCTCCTAATGCGTCTTATACTACTGCGTCTTATACTACTGCATCATGTCGATCAAAATTGGCGAAAAGCTTGGATTGCTAGGCGAGATGCCTACCAAACGGGTGGAAAGTCAACTGGAACCTCCCCTAAGCGAAGCTTTCTTTTGAAGGCGATGTATCAATGACGAATAGGATTCTAGCAGCTATTCCCGTATGCCGCCGCCAATGCCACGCCCGGTGGGTGGTGCCCTGTTGCAGGTGCCTCAGGCACCATAGGCTCCACTAGGGCCATATGTTGGCACTCCGCCACTGTAGTTAGGAATCAAGCAAGCTTACTTCCTTTCCTCTTCTTCTTGGTTGCAGCAGTAGCTGCAGCATGCCCTTTTCAGTTATGGATTGTAACCACCCAGACTAGCGGAGGAGATGATTGCTCGGACTATGCCCTTGTCGGAATCGAGAAAAGCTAGCATGTGGAATGTATGACGCGATAGCAATCGTAGCATCTCCCTATCTGGTCAGAGCACATATCTGGCAATAGCTTGGTTTGCATACGAGTGGAGATCCGGCATGAAGGAGACCAAGATAACGGACGACATGACGGAGGAGGAATGGCTTATTGTTGAGGAATGGAACTAAATCATTCCCGAGGTAAATGGCGGCCTTTCAATGAAGGAAACAAATATCACCGATGATATGACAGGAGAAGAGAGGGCTAGGGTAGAAGCGTGGAACAGGATCTACGCCCAGGCAAAGGGGGACCATAACCGGGCCCAGACGGGGGTCCGGCGCGGCGCCGTAGCCGGGCGCGTAAGACAGAGGAGCTAAAAGGGGCGAGCAAAAGGATTGAAAAGTTCGAGGCTCGAAACGCACAGTTCTCTGCCCAAGTCGCAGAGATGCGACAAGATGTTGCTTCCAAGGGCAGCAGCTCAGCTGTTTCGGTCTCAGCCACCCTTTCTCTTCTGTCAGTCCAAAGAATGGAATTGATCATTAGTAGTATTGACCGTCTAGGTAGTAGGCACACATACAAGCGTACCTGTACTGGGGAGATGTCCGACAATCTGGGATGTATTTTGGCTATAGATCCTTGGCAAACATGCTGGGTGGCTTGGGAGTCTGACAGATGTATTAAGGAGTCTGGAAGGAATAAAGAAGGGTCCTTGTATGTATCTGAGGCATCTTCCACCTGATGGTCCGTGATCTTTCACGGAAGAAATGCATCATCTACAACGTGCTGGGATCTGTTGAGAGGCGGAAGCTGGGAGACGCAGACCAACATCGTCATTGTGCGGGGATCTCTAACATGTTCTGAAGGCTATGGAGGCTATGGAGGCTACATATACATGTAACCAGTCATGGTTCTATCTAACCCATCTTGCATTCACTGGGTAGACCCCTGACAATATAAGTGCATGTGAAAGTGCTCTGGTTGGATTAATTCATACACCGTTCTCAATGGCTGGTAAGGCAGCTATATAGCACTCTAAACTCATCTGACTCTCTTGATGAATATATATACAAGTTTCAAACCCATGAATATAGGTATATGGAAATTTCTAAGTGGATGGCAAGAAGAGAACGATGGAAGTAAAATTGATCACGTGTAGACGCACGTGATCTAGACATGAGACTGTGCGACTACCCCTATTCTTATGTAATACGTTTCCTCGCACCGATGTACCAAATATTTGAATTTCAAACTTATATGAAAGACTAAGCAATTCATATACATATCTAAATGAATACATACATCTCACTCTTATTAGATGTCACTTGAAAATTGGCATGGTCTGCGTTTGTACGGTACATACGGAGGACGCTCCCAGAAGTTCTTTCCATAGGTAAGATCGACTGCCAGCTGCCAGCTCTTCCCACAGGTGCTCAACATATGCTGCACCTGTCAGTGCCAAGACAGAGCACTGACTTGCCGGTTGTCAAAGTCTCGTGACAGCTGATAAGCTACCCCTGAGCAGGTGTAGCTAGCAGCTGAGCAAGTAATACGCTGACCGCTTTCCAGGTGACAAGCTCTCCTGACAGCTGGCAGCTAAATTTTCCCACGAAAAATAGCTGAGTACAGTGGCCGATAGGTAGTATCCGCCCCACATCTGTGGAACATATGTATAATGTACATCTCTCGTAGATTCACCAGAACTTAATCTCTAACACAACCAATATAACTCTTATAACTTGCATTTACTTTAACAGTAAGAACCAAAACTAGGTGTTATGCCCGCCACTTTGCTGATACTGAAGCATGCGAACATGCCCCTGAATGTTGCATAATGTATTGAGGCAGAACATTGAAGTTGTATGGAATGAATAAGCGTATCTACCCACATGTGACTATGCTAGGTCACATGACTTAGGATCTAGATTATTTTAGCTGATTAGCGGTACCTAGGTACATATCTCGCCTTACCTGCCAACATCGTCATGGACCTAGACGGCAACACGAAATAACTGAAGCCTCCTAATATTATATTGGGAATAATTAAAAGATTAACGGCTGTAACTATTTTCCATTGGAATCATTCATTCATTCAGCATTATGTCAGAGAACTCAGCACCAGTACAGCCTCCCACTCGTCTGATTTCTCACTTCGCAAATCGGTAATCGACTGATACTCCAATGCCTAACTACTGACCGCTAACTGCATCATTGAACACAGGGAACGAAGCAATCAACCCTCAGGATGGGTAGAATTATGGGATGCTGGGGACACCGAATACTGGGATCGGGGGAAGCCTTCCCCCGCTCTCATCGACTGGATCGAGTCACGCCCTGAGGTTCTGTCCCATTCTACGACATCTCCTTCTCGGTTAAGAGCACTTGTACCGGTAATTTATTTCCTCAAAATTCAAACTCACTACTTACTTGTGGGTCGTTCGCCTGAGATTCGGAGCCATTAATGACACATCCTTGGTATCTACCTACATAGGGCTGCGGAAAAGGCTACGACGTCGCCATGTTGGCCCTGCACGGCTTTGACGTCTACGGACTGGAAGTTTCCAAAAAGGCCGTGGAAATCGCAGAGCAGTATGCAAAAGCAGAGCTTCGTGAGCCATCTGCGCACAACTTCGGCTCCGCGCATGAGAGCCGGCAAGGCAATAGTTCCGCTGGTGAAGTTAAGTTTCTAAACACCGATTTCTTCAAAGAGGGTTGGGAAAGGGATATTGCCACAGAAGGCTTTAAGGGCTTCGACCTGGTTTACGATTATACCGTAAGTTCCGGCCCCCAACGAAACAGTTGTGGGGTAAGTCGGGACTAACCTACCCTCATAGTTTCTCTGTGCGCTGCCGCCAGACATGCGGAAGGATTGGGCGCGTCGCATGAGCGAAATTCTCTCTCCGACCGGGGTCCTAGCGTGTCTTGAGTTCCCCCTATATAAAGACTTGAAAGCGCCGGGACCGCCGTGGGGACTCAGGGGTGTTCATTGGAATCTTCTAGCGGAAGGGGCTGATGGGATCATCGGTGATGAGTCTCAGAGGGAGACGGGAGAATTGAACGGGAAGTTTGAGAGAGTGCTTTATTTTAACCCAGAGCGATCATATGAGAGTGGCAGAGGAACTGACATGTTTAGTGTTTGGCGGCTTAAAGCGACGAAATGATATTGATAGCTTTTGTTCTTAGTCGCGGAGACGAACATGTGTACGATGGCAATACACGAATCTATCCTGTTGATACCCCTGATACTTTAGATGTAACGCTACTCTTTGTCTTCCCCGGAAATAGTGTCTACCTAGGTTTGTATCATTGATAGATCATTTGAGGGCTGATTCATGGAGAAGTTGTGGTTAGTCACGTGTCAAAACGTACCAGTATATATGACATATCATCTTCATGATACGATGTAGACCTGACATGAAGCTATAGACACATTACTTAACATACCTACATACCTCACCCCATGCCCCTTTACCCATGATGTTCAATTTCTGGGACTCTTATGTCGTCTGCCTTTCCTTCCAAATCACCTACCTTTAAAGCTATCAGCACTATATTCTATCACGGAAGTGTACCGGTCAGCGTTAAAGGTGTCTGCTCAGAAGCAAACGATGGATGAACAGAGTATCGAATGCGAAGCAGGATGCATCGACATAGAGGAGTTTTGCGGCCGCCTGGCGGAGAGCCTACTATTATGCCATTCCGTCGAACCACCCCCCGATCACATCCGAAAGGATTACCATCCCGCTGACGAATGCACATGCTTCAAGACCGAGTTCACAGTCCATATAACCTCCAAGAGTCCGGGCATATTGTTCCTAATGCCCAATGCCATTATGAAATTCCAGCCGGCGTTCCCGCCAAGCAGCCAAGCCGCCAGCCTTTCTTACCTGAATGAGCGCACACGCATCCCGATTCCTACCGTCTTCCACGAGTGCATCGAGCACCGCCATCCTTTCCTCGTCACCTCCCGCACCCACGGCCAGGACTTGAGGAGCGCGTGGTCTGCACTCTCGGGCGACGCCAAGAAGCGCATCGCGATGCAAGCAGCCGCACATCTCAGCGACATGCGCAGCCTGACGTCCGACCGCATCGAGGCCGTAGGCCACCTCCCGCTCCACGAGCGCGCGCTCTTCGGCGCCGCGGGCCAGAAGCCGCTGTCGTCGGACGACGAACTGTGGGACCGCCTCCGACAGCCCCTGGCGTCGGAAGATGTTGACGAGGACACGCTAGCGCTGCTGCGCGGGAAGATGCCCCGCGGAACCCCCTACACGTTCACGCACTGCGATCTCACGTTCTCGAATATCATGGTCAAGGACGGCAGCTTCGCGGGCTTCATCGACTTCGAGCGCGCGGGGTTCTTCCCCGTCTGGTACGAGTATGTGATGTGTCGCCATGGGATCGACGAGGAGGATGTGGAGTGGAAGAAGCTGCTGTCGGGGCAGATGGTGGATCAGCATCCGAAGGCGATGAATTGGTTTCTGGCGCTGAAGGGTCTGGGTGTCGAGCCGCATGGGGGGGAGACGGAGAGGTGGGTGAAGGCTGTGAGGGATGGGAGTGAGGAGTGTCCGGTGATGATGCGGGATTGGTAGGTAGGTTGGAGTCGGACTGTGGTTGTGGCTGGGGCTGTTGGGGTTATGGATGTGGAAGGTAGATGGATATTGAATATGCAAGTATTACTAGAGTGGTGTTACGTGTACTTTACCATATAGAGCACCTAAAATCGGCTTTCCGCCTATCCTACTACCCTACCAATATCACGCACTGATACTTGTTTCTCAATTACGGTCATGAAGCTACAGTGCATGTTAAAAAGGGGGGCGGTAATAAGGGGTAGTAGTACTTGGGAAGAGAAACACATATATGATCAACGGGCATCCGACTATAAAAAAGAGTCTTCACTTGCGCATTTTACATCGACATGATATGTCACATACATGTATTGGAATAAACTAAAGGAACTTAATGAAAGATCAATCATTCACCCTCGGCGTAGCAGTATAACCCGACATGATATCACGAAACTTATGTCACAGAGTCCTAGTCACAATCTCTCAAGATGCAGAAATTTCCTCATGTGAACGAAACCATTTCGTCAAATCAATTGCACTCCGAGCCACCTTGTAAGGCTCGTCGTGGGTATCATCGTAACGCCATAAAACCGTACAAAGGTAGACCTTTAATCCCTCCATCTGTCCACGTTCCATCCTCAGCCCTTCGTATCCAGCCACAACCAATATAGCCTCAGGAGCTCAGTTCCCGTCTTATGCAGATGGCTCCTTCTGCTTCTCCATCTCCTCTTCTTCGACCTCGTCGGCCCAGTTGGTTGTGGAAGCCTGTTGGTACAGGTTTTTTAGGACTGCATGAGGAGAGATAGGAGTCCCCAGCTCTTCCTTTTTACCATCCGCCTGAGCTTCCGAGGACGACTCAGATTCAGGAGTGGGGGTGGGGGCAGGTTGTGCCCGACGAAATGTGCTCGCAGTTTCTGCGCCCGCGACACGAACAGCCGGCGGCAGCATCGAGAACCTCGACTTGGGTCCGGGTGCTGCTCCGGTGTCCATCATATTGTTCCTGGCTTCGGCATGGCTGTATCCGCTCGCCGGAGGCTGGTGGTGTAGGCTTTGTTGGGAGCCCGACCGCGCCGTGTCGTTCTTGCCAGTGGTTAGGGGTGTGGCTGTGCCGTACATATGTCTCGACACAAGGACCTTGGGTCGGGGCTTGTCCTCCACGCTTATGCGACCCTCCTGAAGTTTGCCACTGGCCTCGTTCTTGGACTCGTGAGTAAGGCCGGAGGCGGTGAAATCCTTCTTCAGTTCAGGGTTATGTGCGGGCTTGTTTCCAGCGTGAATAGATGGGAGCGAGGGCTGGTTGCGAGAGACTTGGCGTGCTGGCTCGGTCGTGTTGGCATGGTGAGAAGGTTGTTTGGAAGTCGAGTGGGAGTCGGGCTTATTGCCTTGAGCATTGATTGTTGGCTGGCTGTTGCCTGGCGCATGACGAGAGCCGGCTAAGCCAGTAGCAATTGGCGCATGGCGTGATGCAGCCAAACCGCCACCAACATGTGCGTGTCGGGAGCTGGCTAATCCCCCTGTAGCCTGCGCATGGCGAGACTTTTCCATGCCAGCTGCGATCTGAGCATTTCGAGATTGATCCATGCTAGGAGCAGTCTGAGCATGGCGGGACTTTTCCATACCGGGTGCGATTTGGGAATATCGAGCCTTTTCCATGCCGGGTGCAACTTGGGCATGTCGAGACTTTTCCATACCAGGTGCGATTTGGGCATGTCGGGACTTTTCCATACCGGGTGCAATCCGCTGCTTTGTCGTCGTCTCTTGACGTTGCTTGGGAGGTTTAGTGTCCTCTTTCTGGGTTTGCTCATGACGGCTGACTAGCTTCGGGATGATAGGCATTGATTGCTTTGCAAGATGTTCGGTCTTTGAAGGTTCGGCCTGGTTGTTTGTGGTGGTGTCTAGGTAAATTGAGTCTAGCCGATGTCGTAGATCCGCAATGCTGTGCTGGAGGATGGTGGTCTCCGACACCTTATCAGCTAGGACGCCTTGCATGTGTGTCAAGGCATCCTTCATGCTCGAACTCTCAGCTTCCAGGATCGCAACCCTCGTCTTCAGGGCTGTGATCTCGGTGGTATGGAGGGCGGTGGCCTGCTGAAGACGAGTACCGTCTTGGCTTGGCTGCTGATCATGGCTAGCTGCCAGCTGGACTGGTTCGTTGATGGTCTGCATTTCTGATGGAGTTGTGATCTTGGCAGAGGAATCCATTGCTTTACAACAGATGTTGAAAGCCTAGGTCAATAATCGTTAGTTAAGTGAACCGCGAAGACAAACGTAGGCTAAGAATTATAATAACGTACGTCTATGTATAGAGTCGATATTGTTACAGGCGCGACAAGATTAAGATCGAGGGATAGCTGCACAAAGCATGTAAGTTGCGGAAGAGTGTGACAGGGAATGAATAATAGTAGGTACGATGAGAAATTTTTTGGGATAGTGCAATTATTTCCAGTGTAGTGAAAAGATGAACAATCTTCAAGTGTTAGATTAGGATAATGGTTGGAAGCAAGAGGTGGGAAATGGGAAGTGAATGTATAAGATGTATGATGAGAGACGCGCGTACCAGTCAATGACCACAGTAGGCCGATGTTTTTATTGGGACTTCTACAGAGAAAAGAAAAGGGAAGTTGAACAGTAGATACCTTTACTGGTGAAAGTAAAGAAGAGAAGCAAAGTATTTGGATAAATTGGTGGCTGTCCAAGAAGCGCCGTGTAAGGGTGAAGGAGAAAATGGATTGTGGTGGATAGTGAAATAGTAGATAACTGATGTATGAATGGTACTTACTGGAGAACCCTAAATAGGGCGTGTTGTTTGGAGAGGAAAGTCAAGGAACGCGATGTTTGATGCAAAGCTGTGTGAAGGTTAGTATTTATTGAGGACAAATATGCGTCGGTAGGTTAGAAGACAGGTATCAACAGAGGAAGTGAACTTACAGTAATGTCAAACGTTTGAAGGTAATTGAAAGCCTGTAGAGGACTTAATTAATGATCCAGTGGGAAAACCAAAACCTTCCAGACTTTGGCAAGTTGGAAAAAGCTTGAAAGAAGGAAGGCCGAAGGTGAAATCTGGCAGAGCGTGCCAGATTTATATAGTCGAAAGTGAGCAGGCTTTTTTCCGACTGATCGCACTGTTAGCTGCCTGAGGACCCATTCGGGCAAACGTGTCAGGTAGATGAATGGGAATGTGCGCAAGTTTTATTGAAATTTTATTGCACCCTGAATGAGCACAATGGTAGACGCCTGAGGACTGTGTAAACCATTCACTTAAACGACGCGCACGGATCAAGCAGTTGCGCTCATCAATCAGCCAGGGAACAACCTGACCGGCAACCAGGGTGATGATGTATCCTTTTCTACTCATTGTAGAGAACATGACTACTGATTACAGACCTCGACGGGCCGTTGAGAGGTGGAAGTGGGATAAATGTTCAAAATAAATGATCTATGAAAATAAGAGTCCTAAGACAGCCTTAACTGCTTCATGGACTCGTTTTTATGACATTGAGTGTTATTTTTATAAGAACCAATTTGAATCGCGGCTTTGACGAGACTAACTGGCCGTCCAATGGCTTAACAGCCCTGGATTAACAGGATCCGGAGGTAAATAGATGGCTACCAGTCGGCTCTTATGAGCGTGATAGATGTATATATATCTAAGAGAAGGCGGCCTGCTATCAGATATACTGATATAAACGAGAAACACTTAATGAGAGATCAACCATTCTACCTTTTGGCGTCGCGGTATGTTCTGACACCAGCTCAGCTGGGTTCGACGATGGTCGTCAAGGACGAAGACATCCCCCTGGCCTTTGGACAAGGCTTAATTAAAACAAAAATGATATCAAGCACGGGAAGAATGAATGCCTACTGATCGTCCATGTAGTTGAATGGAGGGAATATAAATACTAGAATTGACGTGAAATATATATAATACGGCTATGTACCTGAGTAGAGAGGCAATGAAAAGGGATAGATACGAAGACTTGCGGCGCGACAAGTCCCTCTCCGTTGCGACTGAGGGGTAGAGAAGTACTTGAGATCTAACGACAGAGAGCTATGCTCGATACATAGAAGATATGTTAGTTCTATATAAAAACATCAAGTACAGCTATCATAACATTGTCGTGGTCGGGTCTTGTCATGTGATCTCATCACGTGAGATCACCATGAAGCAGGGCCGTACGTCACACTCACACGTTTCCTTCCTTCTTTCCTTGTGCTTCAACAAGCATCATTCTAGTACCATGACAGTAAGACAAATTTTAATTATTTAATATGATTAGATTGTAGTTATTCACTTCAATTATTAAAAAGTTCTGATTGTCACGGCACTGCAATGATGCTTGTTGAAGCACGAGGAAAGAATGAAGGAAAGATGTAAGCAAGTGTGATGTACAGCCCTGCTTCATAGTTAGAGATATCACGTAGAGAAATAACGCGTGACAAGGTTCGTCCCAAAAAACATTTTCCCAAGCACTGAATAGTAGAATGTAGATCACAGAATGAAACGGCGTCAAGACGGCGAAGAACTTGACGTCGAGATTAACGAAGGATCCTTCTTTCCCAAGAATGTTTGCTCTGAGAGTCACCCATAACGGCAAGAAGCCGTCAATTGACCTTGTCCGATGTCTAAATGTGGAAAAGGGCATCAGCAGTCTGGGTGCTCTGGCTATCTGAGGAAAAAAAGAAGAAAAAAGGAAGGAAGGAGAGTTGTGAAATTTGGCGAGAAAATCTTTTGGGTTGGTTGGGATGTCGTTGCACGGACCATCTGGTCATGTGATGTGAGGCTAGCTCCGACTTGTACAGTGCAAGTTGTCGTTAATGTAGTAATTCGCACTAATCTTCACTTCAACTTCAAGCGCTGGAAGGAGACAGGTACTTCGGTACTTTCTTTTTTAGCGTCTGCATGTGTTCGATGGTCAGCATTCAATCCCGGCGATTTAATTGGCTGTCGAAAAAGCCGAGGATAGAGATGCGATTGGACCGAATTGAGTTTGGGATCTTTTTGGATCATTCTCGTTCCGAAATTCATCCATCCATTCTACCTTTTGCCGTTAATTGACGTTTATGAGCGCATCATTACCAGTTGTAATCAACAAGACAAGATCTTGAAGTATCATATTGATCTTCATTGATATTCGCTCGTGGTCTAGTTCAACCGCCACCCACGACGCCGACAGCATCATCACTAGACCAGGCGAAGGCGGAATAGAGTCTGCAAATCATCCCACCATTCATCCCACCTTATTCTAGCAACGATGAACGCACAGAGAGTTGGCATCCGGGCGTTGCGGCAAGGTAATTAAACAGCTCCCATCCCATCTTTCTTAAATAGATAAATTTTTAGCTACATGTGTCAACCATGTGTCATTCATGGCTTGCGATAGCTTGTTGATTGACCTGTCAAACCCATGGACATTGGTGACTAACAATGCAAAACAGCCGCCGCAAAGCAGCCCAGCGCCGTCCTCTTCTCCCAAAACCTCCCACGCCTCTCTCTAGCAGCAAATGTCTCCAGCCAACAGACTAGGTAATGACTCCCCTTACCCTACTCCTATTGCGATCGTAAAGAACGCCACGAGATGAAGAAGAATCTAACTAACCCACCCCGCCCACAGAACCGCCGCGACCCAAAAACTCACCATCGAAGACAGCCAGTCCCTCCTCGCCTCGCAACGGCGCTCCCGCCCCGTCTCCCCTCACTTGACCGCCTACGACTACACGCAGACCTGGTTCGGCGCCTCGATCTGGACGCGCATCACGGGGCAAGCCCTCAGCACCTCCTTCTACGCCTTCTCGCTTGCCTACCTCGCCGCGCCGCTGACCGGCTGGCACGTCGAGAGCGCGACCCTCGCCGAGGCCGCTGCCAACCTGCCCCCCTTCATCAACTCCGCGCTCAAGGCCGTCGTCGCCTGGCCGTTCTTCTTCCACACTGCGAATGGTATCCGCCACTTGGTTTGGGACTTCGCGGTGGGCTTCAAGAAGGCGACGATTCAGCAGACGAGCTACGGTGTTCTGGGTATCAGTCTTGTGGGAACGCTGGGTGCGGTTTTCTTGCTGTGATTGGACTTGGACTGGATCATCCAGGGCGAAAGGGAAGGGTAGGTGGTTAGTTAGTACCAGGCAACTTCTAGGGTCACAACGGGGGCTTGGATGATGCGGTTGGGTCGCTAAACCCATTCATTAATAATAAGCACCTACCCGGGTAGGCACATGAGCAATTGGTCAATTCAATATGGCAATTGGATTGTGTCTCTAAGTACCTAGCTACGTAGTCACATTCATACGGAGACTGTTACTGTTGTACGAAAAGGATAATTCATTATGGTTCACTACAGTTCATGTCACTTTACGAGATCAAAACAACAAGTAAAAGTCTTAATGAGGGGGGTTGAGAATTGCGCTGTATTGTATTAAGAATCCCACTGTCGTGTGTGTGGGATCCACGCGGGGCTACACATTTGTGTATGTATACCTATAATCCGCGAAATATCAATGTCAGTTCCTTAGTAATGAGTTAGTTCATCATGGCTGGTAGCTCATGGGTAGTCTCGGCTTCCAAGACTCCTAAACTCCTGAAACGTATGCAGACAAATGATATATGTACCATAGGTAGGCACAATACAATACTCCAACGCCCGTATATTCTCATCGCATGGGTATCATCATCCGGACACCTGCCTCCCCAATTCCTCTAGCTCAATCGAAGCCCTCAATCGGTGTAGGTGTACTTAGTGTCTTCCACCTTTCCCTTCATTGAGTGTGGCGCGTCTCTAGTATGACTCGGTTTAGTTCATGGTTGCCAAGTCTTAGAATACGATCGCCGATTATATCACCCAAGAACGACTTGATTTGGCTGGCTTCGCTTTCGGTTGAGTGGCCGTTAGCGCCGTCCACCATCGTGGCATCGCCGTCTTCCACCAGACTCTGCACAGCTCTTAATATAGCTGCTATGAGAGATTCGTACTCCGTGCGGCTGAAGTCGTCGGTCTTTTGCCCCAAAGGAATGAGCATGTTAGTCTCAAACTTCTTCAGGTTTGGTAGTAAGATAATTCGAACGACTTCAGGACCGCCAGCTGATGTAAGTGCCCAGAGGGCTCCGTACCATACTGATGGTGGGTTGGTGGTCTTGAGGATGTTCTTCAGGCATGTGCGGACAAGCTTCGGTCGGAGCGCCTTGTTATCTTTGGCGTATTTCTGGCAAAGCTGGCCGACAAGGCTCCCAGCAAACTCTCTAAGTTGGTACTGGTCGCGGAGTGCGGCTTCTCCGACCTCTCTTCCGATCTTACGACCCAGCACGCATGTGAGGGCTGGGGCACATAGCGAGCTTGCGTATGAAGATAGGAAGATATATTTGTTGTTGATCAAAGCCCTCGTGAGCTCCATCATCTGTCGCAAGACGAATATGTCGTCTAGATGATGCGTGACTTCGTTGGATATGAACTGCACGAAATAGGGAACCAGCTGGTGTATGCTAGATTCCGAGCTGACAGACTCTAATGCGGCTTCTCTCAATTTCTGAACCTCAGCATCGGGGCGCTCATCCATTACAGCAGTTTGTATTTTCTCGAAGTACAATGTGAGTTCTTGAGAAACCACGTGCCTTACTGACGGCTTAAAAGCTGGGTTATCTTGACCGGCAAGAGCGGCCAGGGCGGGGTTAGCGCCAGGGCCTTTAGGTGCCATGTCTTGTGCTCGCGTCTCGGCTGTCGATACGTTCTCAGGGCAGTTAACCAAAGCGCCTTCATGGGCAAGCCAGTGCTCTGTAGAGAAATGTTAGCATTTTGCAAAAATTGTCATAACAGATCTTTTCATATAACTTACGAGTGAATGTGGAGTCGCGTGGGATCTTGGGGAGAGGGTAGTTGATCATCTTCTCAAATTCTTGTTCCTCGTCTTCCACGTAGTACAACGCCTGTGAGCCTAAGCTCGCCTCTCCGTATTTCAATGGTCGGTTGGTTATGTAACCGAATAGAGGCTCGACGTTGAGTGTTCGCAATGCCTCACTCACATCGTCGACGACCATGTCTGATCGCTTTGAGGCTCGCATGTACCGAAGCGACTCAATGATGATCTGGCCAATTCTGTACTCGACGTCCTGAGATAGGGTCCGCAGTTCTTCTTCACCAAGCTTAGAAATTCCCAATGATTCCGCAACATCTTTGACGTTGTCCGAGTTCCACAGAAGTCGTTGCTCTGTGGCAACTCCCTTGTTGGCGGGCTCCTGAGTAGGGACACGAGCGTTTCCTTGTGCGGCCATTTTGATTAAGAAGTTGAGTGGTAGCTGGTGTCGAGGTAATTGTTGTGATGGAAGATGAGGAACTTTGTGTTCTTGATTGGGCGATGTCTGCTGTGTAGTAACAGTCTATCTTCCCACAAGATCCAGAGATCAGATTCTCAAATCGAATGCAGATGTCTTATGATAGACTCTGGGGAGAAAATCTAGCAGTTGATAAGTTAGCGCAAAATTTCAATTAAGACGCGTTCAGGACGCGTTTAAGACACGTAAGTAGCAGGACAGTTTACTTACTCGCGAGATTGCTGTCTCTGACACTATGCAATTTATGAAGACACTCGACCAATTGGTGCGAGCGCGAGTGGTTGTAGATGCTGATCTGCTAACGCTGATGTAAAGCAGAATCTAGTGATTGGTAGACGATGCTTTTTGCACTTCCTTCAATGTTTAATTGAAGAAGAGATAGCTCCGAGGTCTGGTTATTTGTTAGTATTGAGGTTTGGATGAAGGCAAGGTCAGATTCGTGAGAGTTCTATGGCGGGGCAAGAAGACTTTGGCGGGGTAGTGGAATTCTGAGCTTTGGATTGGGCTTAGGAAAACAGCGACAGGGAAATGCTACATACCTATTTGTTTACAGCCACTCGATGAGATGAGGAGTTTTAAGTTGCCTTGCGATGTGTATCGGAAGAGGCGATGAGAAGATCTCAGACGAGAAAATCAGACTTATGATTGATGAGATTGCAAAGGTGAGCTCAGGATTGCTTCAGTTCTTGATGATTGAAGGTGCTGGGCGTGGTTTCTTTGCAAATTGTCTGATGGTCTGAATTTTTTTTTCGTATGTAACGAAAAGCAGGAAAGAAGGATGAAATCTGGCAACCTTCCTCGGTATTTATACTCGACGGGAGAAGGTTCTAATCAGTAAATCCTAATCAGTAAGGGCCCGTGCTCTGAATGGTTGAGAAGATTGAATGGTGTTCTGATTTTAAAAACCGCTCATTGGTTGATTAATGAATGGTTTGGTGCCTGGACTTTATTTTTGCAAAAGTGAATGGTGCTAAAATACAGTCAACCACTGTGGTGATAATTCGCGGAGGATCAGTGAAGTTGGTCCAAGCTGCGGTGTGGTCGCGACGGTGATGACCTCAACCGACGACGAAATGAGAAAACAAGCAGTAAGCTGAAGGGAGAGAACACCCAACTAACCTTTGTAACGGCAGAATATATCTGAGAGGCCAGTTCCAATGAGATATGTGAGTTGAATGATGAATTAGAACGTAAATAGCGATGGAGTGAACGAGGCTGGTTAATGTTTTAGGAGGAAAGAAGTTAACAGTTCAGCCTTGAACGCGAGAAGCAGTCAAAAAAACCCAGTGGGTCCTCTGATTCAATTCTCCGATTGGCTGATCCCGACCTGGGGAATCGACGCTAAATCGTCTTATTGAGAACCACGCTAGGCCCAATCCGGTTTGATCCTGATTTTCCATTGGTCAGACCTCTGCTAGCTCCACTTTCGAGTCCTGATCTGATCCTCCAGATTTATTTCTGGCCAATCACCGTCCGGAATAGAATATTGGTGCGTCTATATATTTGCCATTCTCTTTTTTTTGGGCAACATTTTATTCAAGATCACAAGTTCGCTGGCCTGGCGACGCGTGATGCAGTGCGGTACATATACGCGTAGGACTATTTGATTGCTCGTGCCTGGCCAGCCTGCACAAACATAGTTGCTATGAAATCATCCGTCGGATGCATTCCGTTCTTGATATTTCAGACCACCATGTCCTTTCTTCGAGCGGCATGATTCCATCGCGGATTTGAGGTATACATCTCAAAGCTGTCAGTAACGATAAGTCTCGTTCGTATAGATAGCATCCTTTGGGATCGACGATAGGCTGTTCAGTATCCAAAACATCTTGGGATCTTGCCTCTTTATATCTCCTCTATCGACTTCTCGGCCTCTATCTGTATAAGCTTGGAAGTAAAGCATGCCAAACATGACTACAATGAAGCCTCTCCCGGATGAAATTTGCTACGAGGAGTTATGATTCGATTCCGGTGAAATATCTGCGTATGATGAAGCAATTGAAACTGCAAACATCCGATCTTATATTCCCGACAGGCTTTTCCGCCAAAGAATCGCCCTGGATAACCATACGACATATTACGCGACTTGTTGTATCATTTACTAAACAGACAGGCGACAACGACGTTATCAAGGGACAGCTATACGTTGGAAGGCGATCACAGATAATACAGGCTGTATTCCGGATACATATGATATGTCTGATGTAATGGTCGTCAGAGTACTAAGGATTGTACACAACCCGCTTCCCAATTGAAATCAGCCTGCTCATCAACTCAATTAAAAGCTCACGACAGCTAGTAATACGTTTCTTTGCATCCTTAACCTTTGCCTGAAGTTGGGTTGTTGCGCCCATCAGTACGAGGTGGCTGCGACTGTATTTTGAAGGGGCATGGGAGTATCCAGCATGGGTATGGCCTCTGATTTAGCTTCGCGCCTACTATGTACTTATGAAAGGCCTCACATCCATTTTGACCTTGTCTAGATCTGCTAACGTGATTGACAAGTCTGTATTCCTAGCCGAGAAAAATAGTCATGCTGGCAATAGATACCTAATAGGAAGAGTGATGCTAGGTGTAGATTACCTCCCTTGCGTGTAGATTAGTTTGAGGAACCGAGCTATATGAGTGGCAGCTATGCAGGCCGTTGGAAGTTCCACATGTTCCGAGGTAACTCCTCTCGCGACAATTTCTAGGGAGCAAACGTCTTTAAGTGGGAGTGCCTGTGAAGATACTAGGTCAAGCCCGTTATTTCTTGTGTAGCTATAACCTCCCAGGTGGATGAGTAAAAAACGCAAAATCGGAATGTTATGTTATTTTTTTCATCAGAAAACACCTGCCAGTCGCTTCGTCATGCTGAAAAATCATAAAACTGAATCTAGGAAAATGTAGATTTAATTGAAAAAAAATGGCAAAAGCTAGATTCCGGATTCGAATCCTCAGCATTTGACCTGAACAAGTGGCTATACACGTCCTGTGTCTTGCCGCCCTGCGTTGGATTCGAACCCTCGACCTTTCGAAAAGCCTTGAAAGGCTTTTCTATCTCTTCACGCCTACTACCGCTGCGCCAGGGGACCATTTTCCCAACTCAGGGCCGTAGATTGGAGGTACTGGTTAATTTACAACTGGGCTATATAAGTTTTACCTCAGGACACTGAAAGATACAAGGTACTTTAGGAGCGACGGTGTACCAATCAGTTTCCATCAGACTAGGTACCTAGTACTTCTTGCCCTCAGGCTGTTGTTCGAATATTTACGTGGCTATCCGCCCCACACCTGTGGTATATATGTACCTAGGTAGGTATTGTCTACATCTCTTGTAGCAACCACTAGAACTTACTCTCTCATACAACCAACTATATGACTCTCATTATCTGCATCTACTTCAATACCTGTCATGTAAGCAAGTTCAACTCATCGCGATAGATCCAACGAAGCCCGCGGAGAAGAATCGGGTCTGGGGTTAGACCGATGATATTTGAAATGCTACAACCGAAGGCCTTGCCATTCTACCAGACTGGTATTTAGAACGTACGTCCAGGAAAGAGAAAGAAGAGCCAATGCATTATGCTTGGAAGTTTTCCATTTCTGGAAGCTTGCTTCGGTAGATATATTGCACCTGATTTGATTACGACAACGTAAGAGAGATTAATCTTCGTCCTCTTCTTTCGCAAGTCACAACTCCTAATTAGATAAATCGCTTGATTTGACAATGAGTAATAGATAGATTGACTGACAACAACCAAAAAAGAGAAGAGAAAATCAACCGAAACGATGTTTTATGTATAATGATGTGGGTGAAGACTAGGTACATACTACGGATGGCTCCTATTTCGCGGGATTTGAAGTTCAAAGGCCTACAATCGTTAGATAACCTACGTACCTCCCCCCAGGGGCCTGATGAAGTGAGTCACCTCCAAGCAAAACGGATCGTGGTCTGTATGATCAGCACCCCCCAAACCACTATGCTACTTATAGAACTTGTTGCTCGCGATCCCGGACGCCAGGTCAGGTGACCACTCGTTTCGTAGGACTATGATCCTACACTCCCACGTATAATTTACCGAATTAGGTTAACCGTTGTTAATCATGTCAACCAACGTTCAAATTCCACTTTTCATATGAGTACACCCTTAGTAATAACTTTCATGTAACCAGGATTTTATATTTCACGATCACCACCTACACCTAGGTATTAATCTATCCATATACCTAACTAAACAGCATCTTTAGGCATCTATCTCGTAGCTGGACCACACTATGGCTTCCAAGCCCACCAGTGCCATTGTGCCCGATTGTGCCAACCCGTTTGACACCCAGCTCAATCTTCAAGTCATCCTGCGCGATGATCCCCACTACGGTTCCCGCCGGGACTCGTACTGGGCAGTCAACAGCCGGCTCGCGCCATCCTGTTTCGTTCTTCCGAACTCTCCGGAACAAGTTTCAGCCATTCTCAGTGCGTTAGTTGCGCAGAAGCGGCAGTTCGCCATCCGATGTGGCGGCCACTCACCCGTTCCTGGAACGAACAACATCGCGGACGGCGTCACAATCGACCTTAGCTTATTGACTGGGGTTACGGTCGACACTGACTCCAAAACAGTGAGGTTTGGCGCAGGGAATACGTGGAGAGACGTATATAAGGAGTGCACGAAGCACAAGAGCACTGTCGCCGGAGGAAGGGGTGGCGATGTGGGAGTCTCGGGTCTTCTCCTCGGTGGCGGGAGCACGTGGATGTCGGCGAAAAACGGATGGGCTGTAAGTTATCTTCGAGTTAAAACTCAACAAGAAACTGCATACATACGGTTGGCGCCCACTATAAATCGACGCAAGACTAATGAGATCCGTTCCAGTGCGACAACGTGCTCTCCTTTGAAGTCGTCCTAGCGGACGGGCGCATCGTTACGGCGGATAAAAATTCCAACTCGGATCTTTACCGAGCACTAAAAGGGGGGTCGAACAACTTCGGAATAGTGACCAGCTTTACTATGCCGCTCTTGCCCTCCGATCGCATCTGGGGGGGCATAGGCGTCACCCCCACCACGGCCATTCCGGAAGTCATAGATGTAACGTGGAGGTTCACCGAAGAGCAACCTCAACACCCAGATAGCTATCTCATGGCCGTCATGAGCTACTTCCCAGCTCTTGGTGGAAACGTCGCGGCAACTGTGGTCTACCAAGGCGAGGGTGTCTCAGATGGCCCTGAATTCAAGGGCTGGCATGAGCTGCCCAAAGTCATGGATACGACGAAGGAGACGACGATTTATGATCTGTCCTTCGACATCACGCTCCCACGAGACTATCAGTAAGTAGCCAGTCCTCTTGCAGGGTGCCCACACCCATGTCATATCGATCACATACGACATCCTAACATGTATAAAGCAACGCATGGTTCACCCTCTGCTTCAACAACGACAAGCGCATAATGCAGAAAGCAGCCCAGGCGCACCAAGCTTTCGTCAACGAACTAAGAGCCTACGTCTCTGACGGCGACTTCATCAGCCAGTGCATCTTCCAACCCGTCCCCACCATCATCGCGGAACACTCAGCCGCCGCAGGCGGGAACGTGATGGGCATTGAGCGAAACAGCGGCCATGCCATTCTATTCCACTACACCGCCATGATGAAGACATCCGAGCAGGCAGCGTACGTGTATCCGAAGCTGCAGGCGAGCTTCCAAGTCATCCGGGACTATGCGGCTAGCGTGGAAAACGGCCTGAATAGCTGGGTCTATTCGAACTACGCGGACAAAAGCCAAGATGTGATAGGCAGCTACGGCGCCGAGAATATTAGCTTCATGAAACAAGTGTCCGAAAAGTATGACCCAGGCCAGGTCTTCCAGAAGCTATGTCCAGGAGGATGGAAGATACCCGACTCAAAGTGATGAAGAAGGGCATTTCATTCCACTGCTCATTAGGCAGGGAAGCCTTAAGTGAGAGAATGTTGAGCTACTTCAAACATGATAGTCAGCAATTCCACATTATGAGCTTTCAGATGAGAGAGGATACACATTCCTTACGCGGTTGTGAAAGATTGCCAACAGGGGTATCACGTGATCCAAGGAGCCTTCCGGTGAAATTACGTTCATCGCCACGCTGCCTCCCTGACCATTGTTAGGACTGCCTTCTCTGATATCTTACTAGCACTCTTTATTCATACTCGCCATGACCTTAGTAGATATCGGTATCTAATATAGTCCGAGCTTCCTCATTTCCCATCGCTTCGGCATCCCCAGCGAGCGTGTACACTGTACTTGGTATGTATTTGTCATGAGGTCTGGATTTTAGACCCGGATATGGAAATGCGAAGCCCTAATAATTTCTGGGGGGTTTCGTAGGGCACTTTGATAGGATTCCTGACCGGCTTTAGTCCTAGGTCCATGTCGATTGCCTTGCGTATGTTGTGTTACCCTGGAGAAGTATAAGAAATCTATTTCTTTTTTTACCTGCCTATGAAACTGTTTTGTTATATCCCCCCGTTACAGGCACTAGGTAATAACTGATATACCGTACTCGTACATCTTGACATACCTTGGGGAGTCCGAAAGCATGTCCAGCGCCAAAGAGTCAGCGGCGTCAGCCATGGCGTCGCCGGTGTAAGCGCAACAGATCGCGGGGAAGGCGGAATGCCCCGTAGGAACGCCTCCACACCATTCTGACCTAAGGTCTCTATGAGTCCGGGTGTTCTTCTGTGCTGGTTCCGCGCATTACCATTCTCAAGCCCCCCGGCCACATCATCACTAGGGGCTCCTTTGCTAACTTGGTGACTTCGTTCAAGGAGACATTCGTCAGGACCATGACCAAGAACTCTCACGCCAGGAGCCATTGTGAAAGAAAAGTATTGTAAATGTCACGTTTAATGATGTTCTGACTATATACGGGTAGACAATTAGGTAGGCCACGGTCTACGGCCCTCTTTGGTGATATGTTGCTAACCTACAACGTAGAGGAGCAAAGATAAAGTTCGTTACACTACATGCAAGTACGAGACGAGGATCCAGGTGGTCAGACTGGCTTCCTTCTGATATGTTGTCGAATATACAAGACACTAATGAGTGTTTAATTCGTCCACCTTTTAGCGTAGCGGTATGCTCTCACATATGTCGTGGCTACCTACCTAACTAGGTAGGTACAGATTATCGGATAGTGTGTGTTACCCAAAGTTGCTTCATCTCCTCTTCCCGGAATGAGCACCCCTAGCTCCTTTATAAGCCCTGTTAACCTATATTTCTTGAATATTAAACTCACACACCCCTTTATAGTGGTCATAATTTTAATGTCACTTCAGCTTCGTGTCATTAAGCCTGGGTTACTGATATCGTAGAAATGGTCACCACGAAGTTTCAAAGCTTGTTTACAATGTCGCAGTCCGATGTCGACTACGGTCGTATCATAAGCAGTATCCTCGTATCTGCGGTCTTATACCGGTCATGCGTTGTTATCTACCGTCTCTTCTTTTCTCCGCTTGCTAAGTTCCCGGGACCCAAGCTCGCGGCCGCGACATCATTGTACGAGGCCTTTTTCGATCTCTATCAGTCCAACTTCCCAGATGTTCTGGCAAAGCTGCACGATGAATACGGTAAACATACCAATGTACTTGTTTGTCAAAGTTCAGTAACTCTAATCATGGTTTTGGAGGTCCCATTGTTCGCATCAATCCCTCGGAGCTTTCGGTATACATCATATTGGAGCCCTTTTTTCTGATGCTTCCGACTAATATATATGCTAGTAAGTACGGCCGACTCTCATTCCGGACACCACACCTTCTGGTCAAGAAAGTAACTAAAAGGGGTCATATGTGGATGACTAATGGGTTCCAGGATTCGCGACCCAGACTTCTTCAACGAGGTGTACGTTTCTGCCCGAAAGCGAAGGACGAACTTGGTCTGCAAGCGTGTCGGACTCGGGATTGACGGTAGGCCAGAAACTATCCTAGCACGACTTGCTCGGAGAATATCTAAATGCCAGCCTGTATGTAGGCGCGATCGCGGCGACATACAGCCACGAGCTTCAGCAGCTAAGAAGAAAAGCGGTCGATAACTTCTTCTCGAGACAGAGTGTCAGCCTTCTGGAGTCCAATATTCACGATGAGACCAGAAGGTTAGATGACAAGTTGCGTCTCCTCGCGGGAACGGATACAGTGGTACGGCTTGACTACGCGTTTACGTGCGTGGTTGGAGATCTCATAACGCTGTTCACCTGTGGTGAGAATCCGAGGTTCCTCGAGGCGCCCGATTTCAACCCGGAATGGTAAGTTACAACAGATTGGGTTTGGATCAAAGTCGCACGTATTAGCTCATCGGGATTCGTTAACAGGAATGAGAGTATGATGGGCGTTTTGGCCATGGTGCCATACGCGCGACACTTTCCATGGGTCAACAGGTGGGTACCTACTATCTATTCTAGTCATGCATGTTTCATTATATTCATCGCTTACCGTTTATCTGTTTCGAAGTATCTTTGAAATGATCCCGACAACCGTTCTGCAGAAGATCAATTCCCGCGCCGGTGGGTTCAGGATGTTCCATGCGGTCAGTCACTGCTCTTGAAGCCCCTGAACGAACTCATATACCTGCTAACCACCTCATATACAGATGTGCAAGCGGCGGCTGGAGGAAGTGAAGTCCGATATTGCCAACAAGCACGCCCTTGAGGAGTCCGACAAGACGTCGGTGTTCCACCACATTCTCCAGAGCAACTTACCTGAGCCTGAGAAGGACTCGGGCCGCTTACAGAGAGAAGCGTTCGCAATTTTGGGCGCTGGAACAACCACGACAGCCAGCACACTCTCTATCACGACATACTACATTCTCGCTGACCCGTTGATTGAGAAGAGGCTGCGAGAAGAGCTGAAGGACGTTACAGGAGATTTCCCCATGCAAACCCCCAAATGGGCAGACCTCGAGAAGGTCCCGTATCTGGCAGGTTGCATTAAGGAGGGATTACGGTTAGTACCTACCTACCTAACTACTCTGCACATCGCTATAGTGAGCCACTACTTAAGGGTGGTGCTCATGCTAACAAGGTGATCCAGAATTGGCCGCTTTTTCAGGCGTAGCACCCGGGCCTCGCCAGACTGCGAGCTGCAGTACAAGCAGTGGACTATTCCGAGGAATGTAAGTCGCCTTCTATGAGAACCTTGAAGCTACCTACGTCTCATAAAGCTTGAATTAGACACCTGTCGGGATGTCAGTCTGCCACATGCACATGGACCCAGAGGTGTATCCCGAGCCTGACAAGTTCATCCCCGAGCGCTGGATGGGTAATGTTGACCCTCGCGCGACTCGGAATTTCGTCCCATTTGTTAAAGGATCTCGAAATTGCTTGGGCATGAAGTAAGTAACCTCGCTCCGACTTATCTTAGTGGTCGCGGAGTGTTGATAACAGTAAATTGAGTAGTCTGGCATGGGCTGAACTGTTCATTGTGCTGGGTGTTCTCTTCCGGCCCGGTGGCCACAAGATGAGTTTGGACTGCGATGAGTCGGATATTGTTCCTGTCCGCGATAGCGATGTTGGTATTCCAAAATCTGACAGTAGAGGGCTTAGGGTTCGCTTTGGGTAGGTCTAGCGGTAATGTGAGGGTCTAGCAGACGGCACTGGTATGGGGCATTTCAACCTTCTATGGATTTCTTCACCTATATACCTAGTTAACGTGGCTGATTTACTTATATGCAACTTTACGGTCATTGGCTACTCTAATGGATGTGGTGATGTACAAAGCTAGAGCTGAAAATGGCCCCACATCAGACACTTGAATATCTCTACAGTATACGCCAGATCATAGTTAGAAACTCGAGATATTCGGGTTAAATTGAGCGATGATATGATCATCTCGGGAGCGGGAGAAGTTATGTGTAAGTGGTATTACGTTCTGGAAGTTCTTAAGGGGTTGCATGGCCAAACGCCACCTCAGGTGGGTAGGTATCCAATATGAATCATAATGATGTCGCTGCATACCAAAAGGTAAGCACACTATATTTCAACTAATACGGCGTATAGGAAAAGCGGAACACTGCCGTGCTACTACATAGACGAATCGCATTTAAAAAGCAAGGCAAGTCACTCTAAACTCAACTCCCTTCTTTCGTATACTATTAAGTGCCCAGTTCCTACTGAAGCCTCATTACCTACACAAACCGCACATCTTCACAATGACCTCCACCCCACCACCAGACATCCTCTTCTACGACATCGCCTCGGGCCCCCCAATCCACCCCTTCGCCCCCAACCCGTGGAAAACCCGATACGCCCTCAACTTCAAGCGCGCGCCCTTCACCACCCACTGGGTCGAGCTATCCCAAGTGACCTCCACGCGCAAGCGCCTCGGGCTCCCCCCCGTGCGCTTCTTCGCCGACGGCGAGCCCTTCTACACGCTGCCCGCCATCCAGGACCTGTCCTCCAACTCCACCACCGTGGTGGGCGACTCCTTCGACATCGCCCTCTACCTCGACCAGAAGTACCCCTCCGCCCCCCTCCTGCTCCGCCACCCGCCCGGCCTGTACGCCGCCTTCAACGCGCACATCGACTCCGTCTTCCCCGGCGCCGCGCCCCTGTGCTCGCAGAGCTTCCCCTTCGACCCCGCGACCGAGGCGCAGTGCAAAGCCGAGTTCTGCCGGCGGGCCGGCGTCCAGAGCTACGAGGAGCTGGTCGTGCGCGGGGAGGCGCGGCGCCCGGTCCTCGATGCGTTCAAGGTTAAGTCGGGGGAGGCGGCGAGGTGCTGTCGGTTTGAGGAGGGCCCGTTCTTGGGAGGCAAGGAGCCGGATTATGCGGATTTCGTGGTCGGGGGCTGGCTGATGTTCTTGAGTTTGGGGGTCCCGGAGTGGGAGGAGATTCGCACGTGGCATGGCGGGCTTTGGGGGAGGCTGCATGATGCGCTGGAGCCGTATCGAGGGACTTGGTAGCACCGGGGCTGTGACAGTTAATTGGTGTAGATATTGACGGCCTGGAGTTGATAACGCTGTTTCTCTCCTCAGCTGCGCACGTCTGGTTCGACCTCTGCTCTTGAGGGTTCTCAACGCAACGCCGAAGATTTCACTGCCTCACACACAATCGACCTGTCCGCCTACGGTGATAACATATCTGGTTCCTTCATCAAGAGAGTCGTAAAATCGAGGGCAACCGGGGAACCCACGAAATCCAACGTTGATGCTACTATAAGGAGATGCCCACGCCTCTCATCCAGCGATCATATTAACAGGAAACGTCACAAGAGATGAACGAACAAGCTAAAGCCCTGGAACACTTGAAGTTTAATGGAAATGACAATAAACTGAGCTGAGTGCCTAACGCTAGACACCATGCGCGCTATCCATCTAGACGCTTTATATCTCGCCCAAGAACAAAAGAAACAGTATCATAACCTCATAAGGATATCCCGTTTTTCCATCCTATAACTTCCATATATCCTGTCGCATCATCGGCAATCTGCCAGCCTATATTCCCCCTTATTCGTGTAATATCCGCATCATACCTAAAAAGAACCTTCCATACCGCTTCAAAGGTACGATGCCAGCTAACCATAAGAGATCCAACCACCCAAAACAAAAAACCCAACATCCCCATCAATACCGCGACCGCGCCCTCCTCTTCCCCGCCGGACTCTTCACCCCCATAATCTTCGACGCAAGCAAACTGCTAATAGTGTTCTCCGCGAACCCTTTCACCCCACTCGCCTTCGTCTGCCTGGGGTCCTTGTCAATAAACGCGTCGATCGCCGCCGCCCCCAGCGCCGCCGTCGCGATCCGCGCGCCCTTCTCCCCGGTCCAGCTCCCCGGGTCCTTACGCAGGCGGAACGCCGTCAGCCCGCCTGCTTCGAGCGCGGCGCGCGCGGCGGTCTGCCACCGTTCGGCGACGGCTTGTTTGGCAAGCTTGGAGGTTGCGGAGGAGGAGGAGGCGCGGGCGTGGGGGCGGTGGGTCGAGGAGGCGGATTTGGAGGGCCGGCTGCGGTGGCGACGGGGCGAGGGCGAGCGGGAGGGCGAGCGGCTGACGGTGTAGGCGCGGCCGCGGGGTGGCTGCTGGCGGTAGTGGGTATTGTTATGCCGCCGCCCGCGGTCGCGCTCGTACTCGGAGTCGGAGTCGCTGCTTAGCGAGCGCGATCTATTTCTCCGCCGAGTGTGTGGGGGGGCGTCACTGTGTGCTCTGGAGCGCCTTGGGGGCGGTGGTGATGGTGATAGGCTAGGCGAATGGCGGCGGTGGTGGCGACGCCGGGAGTCGGGGTCGCGGTGGGAGCTGCGGTGGGGACGCTCGCGGCTAGGGGAGCGGCCGCTGCCGCCACCGGATCCACCGCCTTGTTGCCCTTGCGTTGCGGCGTATAGGGCTGCAGCTTCGCTGATGAACTTTAGGCCTTGTTGGCCGATTGATTTTGTGCGTTTCACGCCGGGACGGTCCATGAAACTTTCGTCTTTGCGGGGTTTGGTGTTGTTGGGCGCCTTTTTGCTGTCTCTCTTGCCATCTCGATCCCGGTCCCGACGTGATGGGGAGTTGCGCCGGGATGCTCTAGGGGGTGATGGCCGGCGATCGGCTTTGAGTGGTGGGGTGTATGCTCTGTCGTGGTTTGTGCGCCGTGGAGGACTCGTGGTTCTCGGGTGTCTTCTAGGCGGGCTTACTCGTCGGCGATGATCGGGTTCTGGAGACGGGACGCGACGAGGTCTGGGGTTTGGGTTTAGAGAAGCCTCGGATGTGCCAACATATTCGTAACCGCCACTCTTAATGGGCGAGCTAGAATGTCGATATGGATCGTTGAATACATATGGATCTTCCTCCTCATACCGACTATGACGGTTGCCTGGTCGCGACGGCATGTTGTGCGATGATAATAAGGATATTTATTTTCGAGTGATGGTTACTCCAACAATAAATTAAGCAGGGAGTAAACGAATGTAGAGAACAGCTGCGCGACTTTTAAAGACGTAGGTGAGAATCAGCAGGGTAGTAATGACAGTTGGAGACCTCTGTAGGGACGTCTCTGGGCCAGTTAAAGAGGCGCTTGTCATGCACGAAAACTACGCCCCAACGTTTATTCTATGCAGGAATCGTTGATTTTTGGTTGGACATGTCCCCTTTCGCAAGTTCCAGCGCTGGTAACTGATGTTGTCAGATTCCGAAACTGTAGCGAATAAGTGTCGTGAATCTCGAAAACCTTTACAAGGTTGCATGTGAGGTGATGTCAAGTAGGTGTGTACCCAGCTTCTTTTGCTACCTGCCTACATATGTAGTGCCTACCCATACTACCTAGGTAGGTAATACGTATTGCAGAGGGGCAGTGTGGGCATAGTGGGATGGGAGGCCTATGACAGGCATAGCTGTGTACTAGGTAGGTAGCAGCTTGGGTATATTCGAGCAGCCTAGATGGCCTAGAGGGCCTAGAGCAGCCAACTATTTCGTAGGCCACGGAGCTTACCAGAGCTGTTAAGCGCTAGAGCTAGACAGGCATTTTGCCACCTTGGACGATAGATGATGAATGATGTAGGGATGATCCGCCCCCACATGATTTCATACCGTTTCTCTGCCGTGTGCCAGCACAGCAGACAAGTACTGTAGAACAAGGTATGAGCTGCCGGAGGAATCCTTAGCTCCTTAGCTCGATCTCTCGACCATAGAAGGACTTTTTCTGTATTTGATGGAGTAGTTACATAGTAGTATGGATCTTAAATAGGAAAGTTGGAACTCGAAATGGAATAGCGATCGAAGCTGAGCGGATAATTCCAAGGGTGATCCCTAGCCCGACCTTGGCCGGCGTTGGTTCTCGAGTTCTCAACACGGCGAAAAGCGGTTGGTTCCTAGTCCTGTGCATCGCTATGCATCGTTGTGTAACCCACCGTTTCTACCTAACATTCGGCAGAGATCTTATCATTAGTATTAATGGTACCTAGGTAGCAAGGGATTTGACCCGCTGATGACAGACAGTCACGATAGAAGTCACACATAAGTGTAGTGTGCGATCGTAACATCTTGTGACCATGGTCATTCGAGAATCCAACAAACGAAGGATTGGGCGTTACGTTTAATTCTGGGCCTACCTAGGATAGTTACTGTTGTGTTAAAGGTAAGAACCTAGGATACTGTGGTGTTAAAGGTGAGAACGTAGGTTAGGATACTGTTGTGTTAAAAGTAAGAAACCTGAATCAAACGCATCGGATTCAACCGATGCTTGGAGGTAAGACCTCGGGATCATCCTTGGTCCTACTTGGCTTAGCTCATCCCGATCTATCGTTACATTCGTAGTATTTATTCGCTTAATTGTTTGTGCGTTCCGGCTATTTCCTACGCTGGTTCAAGGATGCATAACATCGACTGTACTGTAGTTGCCGAGACGCCCGGTTAATTAATATCCATGGATGCCTGCATATCAATGTCTGCATAACAATGCCTGCATGTCAATTTAAAACAGCAAACTTCTTCTACGACGGTACATACAACATCACCCTACCCTACCCTACCAACCTTTTTTGAACGGGTAAACACCAAAAATGCTAGAACTAATAGCCACACAATGAATCTCCCCAACTATCGAAGACGAACATACTCTGTCAATCTCAAGATATCAGCAGTCAAACAGACGACTGAGTATAGTCTTCAATATGTAGGACTTTAGCAATCCTAAGCTGATTTGTAGCTATTAATACCCAAGGTACCCAAATAGAGACAGCGTCAGCAGTATGGAGCTCCCCATCGCATCGCAACATGGTCTCACGCTTGGGTAACTGAACAAGACGGCTAAAGAGCATTCAACCCCCTTGCGATATTAATCCCAACACCTCTCTCCAGCCAGCGGCCATTCGACTCCCTATAATTCCATGGCTTAAAGTAGTAATAATCTGCCCCCGGAGTGTCAAGCCGCTTCCATGCCAAGGCCTAATGCCTTCGTATTCATAGGTAGCGATGGTGGAGGTAGATAGGTATGTAGGTCCAGAGCGACGGGGAATAAATAGCTATATATGATGGTCTCATACGATTTCGCGGAACTGAGATGGGGCGTAGAAGTCTACTTAAAGACTGCCTAGTACCACAGACCTTCCCTCAGCACTCAATCGTTCAATAAAAGTAGACGTTATCATTTCACTCCATCGTAATTCATCATCATAATGCTCTTCAACACAATCACCCTTCTAAGCCTCGCCGCCCTCGCCGCCGCCATGCCCGCGGAGGAGCGCTGCCCCCGGGTACGGTGCATGGACGCGGTCAACAAATGCGGTCAGTCCAAACCACAGCCCACTCACCCCCTCGAAAACTAAAACCGCAAAACTAACATCACCATCCCAAAGGCATCAAATACGGCGTCTGCTACGACATGTGCACCGAGAACCCTACACCTCCACCGTGTCCTCCGGCCGAGGCCCCATCCACCACGCCTATACCCACACCAACTCCAACTCCAACTCCAACCTCCCCCGCGACACCCTGCAACGAAGACGAGACGACCTGCGTCGAGTCCTTGCGGGTCTGCGGGTCGCCGGCTACGGCCACCGTGACTTTTGGCGGGTAAGTTGCCCCTCTGAGTGTCGGTGGCGATCAGGATTGGCTGACTAGTTCTGTTCTGGTGAAGATGCTTCCCGGCGTGTGGCCCGTCGCCGACGTTCTCGCCGCCGCCGTGCCCGGTCGCGACTACGACTTTTGAGGTGACCCCGACGGCGTGAGAGTAAGGAATTCAGTAAGGGCGCGGTTGAAGGGAATTGGGTCGTACGCGCGCATCGTCTTTCTTCGTGGAGCTCGCTGGCCCTTGTGCAGGTTCTACGTCTCCGCCTCTCACATTCTCCCAAGCCTTCATCGTCTTTTGCTTGCTAGGTAGGTAGGTGCTGAGGTTTCGCTTTGCATTGTAAAGGAGTTCGACGTTGTTCAGGGGTTCGTTTCTAAGGTGAAAAGGGGGTACATATGTAGGTAGTTCATGTAGGGAAAAGTTATTGCTTCAATCCAATTGATTCCAATCCAAGTCAAGTCAAGTCAATGCCATCCATTGATGCTTCACGCGATGCAGAGGCTCCAACGTAGTGACATTACACTGAGCATGACACGTGTCAAGTGGGTAAGTAAGTACTTCAACCTAAGTATAAGTATATACAAGCCTTTCTTTATATTCCTAGGTACCTATAACTAAGTCATTGAGTACCTACCTAGTAGGTACCAGAATATACATGCGCCAAAACCCCTATATACAACAGAACGTCGGGTTATCAAAGGTCTCAAGAAAAGAAAAAAAATATCGTCTCCGCTTCTACAACAATAGCACCTCCTATTAGCCCCCCCCCCAAAAACATTATCACCTCCCTCCTCCATTCCCTCTCCCTCCTTTCCCCCCCTCTCCCATGCTACATATAACACCCATCTAAAACATCAAAAAAGCCACAAAAGCAGCCAACGCCCCCGTCGAGCCCCCCCTCGCCGCGAAGCTCCCTCCCTCCGCACCACCCGTCGCATACGACGGCGTCGGCGTGGCCATCGAGACCGGAGGCAGTGGCGGGGTCGGGATAGTCTGGTTGTTGTTGTAGCCGCCGGTGGGGTAGCTTGGGGGTGCGGTTACGGGCGTGCTGCTGAGCTTGCTACCCGTTGAGGTTGTTGAGGATGAGGATGTGGTCGGGGGCTTGTTGGTGGGTGGGTGGGTTTGAGTGGTGGTGGTGGTTGAGTTGCCGGTTGGGTAGACGGGGACGGTGTGGATGTGGGTGGAGGAGGAGGAGGAGGAGGATTTGCTGGTAGATGAGGATTGGTGGGTCGAGGGGATGGAGTTGTGGTGAGTTGATGTGGAGCTTGGGGGCACGCCGGTCGGGTATCCTGGGGTGGTGGTGGGCGTGTTTGTGCTCCTGGGGGGCTTAGCGGTTGATTGAGTGCTAGACGACTTATGGGTGGAAGTCTGATGTGTGGAGCTTGGGGGTATCGCAGTTGAATGAGTAGAGCTCTTGTGTGTTGAAGACTGCTGCGTAGAGCTGGAGCTAGGGGGTTGCGGGATAGTTGGGTAACCCGGGCTCGTGGGCGTGTTTGTGCTAGTCGGGGGCTTGGCAGTTGACTGGGTGCTAGACGATTTCTGAGTGGAAGAGGAGCTTGGAGGCACCACAGTTGATTGAGTAGATGACTTGTGTGTAGACGTGTGTTGCGTAGAGCTGGGCGGTACAACAGTTGACTGGCTGGATGACTTCTGTGTAGATGTATTATGTGTAGAGCTCGGAGGCTGCGAGACAGTCGGGTATCCTGGGACATTAGTAGACGCGGTTGAAGAAGTCGGAGGCTTGGCAGTCGACTGGGTAGAAGTCTTGTGAGTGGAAGTCTGGTGCGTGGAGCTAGGGGGGTGCGGGAGAGTAGAGGTGTAAGTGGTGCACGACTCAGTGGTGTTCTTGGAGATAGAAGAATGCGTAGAAGTGTGCTTAGTGGAGCTCGGCGGGTGGGTAGATGTGTTGATAGTTCCCGGAGGCTTGGTAGTTGTGTGAGATGAAGTTGAGGCTGTTGAGCTCTTCTTAGTCGAGGAGGTGTTACTCGATGAGTGCGAGGACTTCGTCTCGGAGCATTCACATGGCTCCGTCACAGTCTTGGTTGTGCCGGTGGTGACATGTGTCTTCTCCGTGGTGCAGGACTTGGTGGTTGTAATTGTTGTTATCGGCTTAGATGTGGTTACAGTAGTCACCGGCGGCTTGGTAGACGTGGTTACCGGTGGCTTCGTCGAAGTAGTTGTTGGCGGCTTAGTTGAAGCAGTTGATGTCACGGGTGGCTTAGTCTCAGATGTCTTGGTTGTAGACGACTTAGTCTGAGAAGACTTTGTTTCCGAAGTCTTTGACTGCGTCTTGGAAGTCGTTTCGTCATCATCACATGTATCATCAGTCGTGGTGACTGTCTTCACCGGGGGAGTGGTAGTGGTAGTCTTGACGGGAGGGGTGGTCGTCTTGACAGAGGAGGTGGAAGACGTAGAAGTGTGAGCATCCTTGCACTTGTCGCCTTTGAAATCAGCAAGTAGCTGTGCCTGCTGGCCAAGAACCTTCTTAGCCAAGCTCCGCGCAAGGTCCTGCGATTCTTTAGGGAGCTTGCCCACAATGCCATCGAAGAGAGTGTTCGTGTTATTCCCGATCTTGTCGGCAGCGCTCTCAATGTCGCGGCAGATGCACGCTGCCTCAATTTGCTTCTTCTTGCTGCTGAAGTCCTTGAGTAAACCCTCAGTGGCAGGAGTCAGGGGCTCCAAGGCCGTCCTAAGCTTAGTCAAATCATCCACGGATAATTCTTTCGTATCCTTCAGCTTAGTGGCACCGGAGCTCAAAACATCCACAACCCCCTTCGCATCGTTCTTAATAGCATCCGTCTTTGATCCATCGAAGGCCTTGACAGACTTGTCGAGCTTGTTGATAGCGTCCGTGAGCTGTGTAACCACCGAGGTTACAGCCGCAAGGTCCCGCCCAACCATTGTTGGTTTTTTATATGGAATTGGCTCGGCCGAGGCCGTGGCAGCCGCGAGGGCCATGGTGAAGAAAGTCGAGGCCTTCATTTTTTTCGGTTATTTGATGAATGAGAGAAGGGAAATAGGAACAACCAACTGTCTAGGAAAGAATGTAGACTATACCCTCATGTATTTACAACAGGCTCTCGTATTAATATAGACGAAGAAAGAGACAAGGAAAGACACCTAAGGAAATCCGAACGAGGTTGATTCCTATCGTCCTCTAATGTTTCCATCGTCGGGTTATATACCGGAGTCGTATGGATTTTAGGAATATATAAAAGCGGTTGCCAAGATGTCGAACGCCGTTGCTAAGCCTCATCCAAAAATTACATTGTAAATAAGGTCAGTATGGTTAGGGAAGGTAGGTAGGCATGTCTAGTTGAGTATTCTAAAGACGGACCTTGTCAAGGAAGCTCATCGTGGGTCCCGATCCAGGAACGGGGGGATGGAAGCTTGGCTTTGGACGCCGAATATACAATCGACTTCAAATAGGAAGCTAACTGTACCTAGTACTGTAGTGTATGCATGCAAATGGGTAATATCTCGAACAGCTGGCCTGAAGATAGATCTACATGATCTCTATATGCCTACCTGTGCCTAACCATTCTGAGTTGCGAGAACCTACCCTAGCTATTCGGTAGCAAAATATACCTTAATTTCTCCTATGGGCCGCTTCTGTCTGTTGTTATTCGTCCGCCATGCGTTTCGAGCATCTCGAACTTCCCACCTCGATACGTCGAACCATAAAAATTCTCTGCGTGCAGCTTAGCCGCATCAACCTCCACCTTGCTAGATGGATTTCTCGTGTAATAATAGTAAGATGTGGCCAGAAAAAGTCCACTGGGTAGATATCTGTTTACCATCAGGCACACCTAATTGCGGCGCGCACAGCTGCCAAGTGCGGCGTGAGTTAAAGAAGATTTTTTGCCTCAAGCATCCATGTCGTTGCGCAAGATACCACATTGGTAAGCTTGATGTTCTCCCACGCAGGTACAATGTGCTTGGCAACGTCCTTAGCGGGAGATACATAAAGGGGGTAAGATCTACAAACCCGCGATCATATCACGACTTGTACACTGGTGAACTCAGTAAGGTAAATGAAAGGTATTTGCGACTTAAGCCTCGAATCTGTAAATATCTTAAAAAAAATATCTTACTCTAGTTTAGACATTCCCTTTTTGGCTCTTATTAGTGTGGCGTGCCGCAAGACTGCATGTCTAAATGGATGTCATACCGAGGATTGGAAGAAATGAACTCTGCGAATGAAATAGGAAGTAGAAAAGGCCTAGTGCGGCGTCGAAGGCCAAAGGTGAATTGAATACCTGGTGCATACTTACCTACTCTGTCCAATATGGTGTATTCTACGAAGTACGTGGGCAAAGAAGCCCGCCATATTTACCCCCCCAGTCCGAATCTCTGGAGAACCTCGCGATCTGCAGGGCCCTCAGTATATAAATAGAGACATTCTATATATCGATAAGTTCGAAGGAACGCACAACCCAGTTCGTGATGCTAACAATAAACCACGAAGGATTCCGTCTAAGCCTCTACCGGCTAGAACTGTACCTACAGTAGCTATGAAAAACACACACAATCTTCCCATGCTCTGATGAAAAAAAAAAATCGTGAGTCCGGCAGATCGTAACCCTTGGCGAATAAGAACCAAAACCGTAAACTGTACCTACACAGCATGACGGCACGGAAGGAAGAACGGCGGAAATTGCAACTCCAACAGTGGATTCCCACCCTAGCACCTATCGCATTTACGTCTACGGCAGCCTCTCGCCCTTCCTCGTCGCCTGCGCGACCTCAGACTGCGTCGTATCCTCCGCGTACCGCTTATACGCCGCAACGTACTGCTCGTCGTCGCTCCAGGTATCCCTTACACTCGGGCGCGACGTGATCGCCTCCAGCCACTTCCTCCAGCGCGCCCACACCTTCTCCTCCTCCTCGCCGCCGGGCGCTTGGCCCTCGCCCGGGATGCCCACGCCGCCGGGCTTGTAGTGGTCGATGAGGAAGAGGCGCTTCGCCCACGGCGCGAGCATCACGTCGACGAGGGAGAACGCATCGCCGAGGAACCACGGCCCGGTTTCTTCCTCATCGTTCTCCAGCATCTCGCGCACGAGCGTCCGGACGTGTGCTAGGAAATTCTCGCGCGCCTCGTCAATCGTGTAGGCCTTGTCAGGCGTGTGCTGGATGAAGCGGTAGAAGCCCGGGACGACCTTGGAGCCAACGTGGTCGATCCAGATGCGGCAGCGCGCGCGCTCGTACGGGTCGCGTGGCAGCAGCGGGGGGCCGTTTTCCGTCTCGTCGGCGTACGCCTCGTCGAGGTACTCGCAGAGCACCACGCTCTCGTACAGCGGCCTGCGCTTCCCGCCTGTCGCGCTCTGGACCCCGAGCGTGGGCACCAGGCCCCGCGGGTTCAGCGCCAGGAACTCGGGCGCCTTGTTGTACGGGTTGATCTCGACGTACTGGTGCGGGATCCGCTTCTCGTGCAGCACGATCCACGAGCGCTGCACGAAGGGGCAGAACCACCCGCCGTACAGCTTGAGGGGGTGCTCGGCTGCGTGGGCGGCGGCGAGACGGGAGGCGGCGCCTGTGGGGCGGGACGGGAGCTCCGAGGTGTCCACTTTGGCCGGCATAGTGGTGCTTTGGTGTGCTTGTGCTTGCCGAAAAGCTGCGGGGGTGAGATGGAGATGTCGTTGAGGATGATTAAGGTTAGGTAGGTGTAAATGGAAATGGGGATGGTGACGTATGCGAAGGGCTTGCTGGATGATGGCTGTTGAGTGCCGTCTCATTGAATTGCCGGAGTTGGGGAAGCTGGAGATGGGGCGATGGTGACGATGATGATGAGGAATGCTACCTAAGGTTGATAGCTTGAGTGATGACATCAAGTTGCAGCGGCTGGCGACGGATATCGTTCGTATCGACTAACGCTGCATGATACTAGCCCCTGAAATGGTAAGTATAACCGCCTAACCCAAACGCTGCATTGTATTGTACAGGTCAATTTTCATTTCCTATAGGTACATGATTCCGCCTATGAATATAATCTTACAGCTGAAGTGTACACAGTATCATCCGCCTGCTCTCCAAAATACCGCACATCAAAATCATACATTTAGGTACCACATTTACGTACCACATCCATTACACTCCCCCTAAAACCCACTCGCATCCTTAACCATCTTCCTCCACGTGCCCCTGCCCGCCAGCCTCCTCCTTGTCGCCGTCTTCCGATTCATATCCGGGACCACATACTCGGTCCTGCGATCCGCCCTCACCGTCTCCCAGAAGTCATACCCGCGCTCGCGACGCCTCGTCGCCCGCTGCTCCCTCTGCTCGTGCTGCTGTCGTCGGCGCTGCTTCGCCTGCCGCGACTTCTCCGGCTGCAGCTTCTCGAACCCGGAGGTCGTGTGCTGGACGCCGGAGCGGAAGAGCTTGAAGCACGCTTTGAAGGTGCTCTGCACGCGGCTGCTGAAGGCGGCGAGGAGGGTGCCGATGATGAGGGCTGCGGATGCGGGGACTGTGATGATGTTGTTCGTTAGCAAATCAGTTCCACCCAGCTGATAGGTGAGGAGGTATTGTAGAGGATTTAGGAAAATCGCAAGTCTTGGACATACGTGAAATAGCACCGATAACACCAAGGCTCATAAAATTATCGTCCTCGCCTCCCCATTCCTTCGTATTCATGCCAAAGAGACTCGTGAAGAAGCTGAGCGGCAGGAAAAGCACTGTGAAAATCGTAAAGATCATGACCGAGAGGTTCTGTGAGCTGGCCAGTTCAGTCTGCAGCCGTGACCATCGCACCTCGTCGACTTGTGCTTGGCGCTGGACCATCTCTTGTAGTTTCTCGTACTATAATCGCATTAGTACTTTTAGTGACTTATCTTTCAACGCTGCATCGAGTATCGGATAAGTTGGGTAGGTATTTACTTACGTCTTTCTTCGTATTATCCACCCGGTCAATCATATCATGCACCTGCTTCTGGTACTCCTGCAGCCGCTTCAGCGCCTCCTCCAGGAACTGGCGCCCATTCTCCGTGTACGCCTGCAGCTCCGGCTTCTCGTAGCTGTCCCGCATGTCCTTGATCGTGTCCTCCTGCTCCGAGAACAGGTTCTTCATCGTGTTGAGCTCGTCGTCCATGTCCCGGAGCTCGAGCAGCGCGGACGTGTTCTCGCGGTTCTCGCGCTCGGCCTGCTCGAGCTCCCGCCTGTGCCGCTTTTTGATGCTCTCGGACCGGTTGTCCTCCGGGTCGTCCGAGTCCGAGTCCGAGAAGATCCGCTCCCGGAAGGTTTGCATGCGGAATCGCTTGAGCGACGAAGTCATTCTTTCGGTCTACAAACCGTAAGTCAGTAAAATGGCCCAGTCTCTAGTAGTAGAACAGCACGTACCAGTATGCCTAGCGCCTCTTCGAATATACGGAACACCTCTAAATCAGGATGCGATGTTCGGTCCAGCATTACAGTAATAGCATGAAGAACGGTGAAGGCCGCAAGGTCCAATGCATTCTCACAACGACCGCTTAGATCGCCATTTAGCTCGTTATATATGCTGTTCCTCAGATCTACCTGCTGGAACAGGGGGCCTTCCATCGGATGGGACTCGCGCTTCGGGAAGAAGGTCATCAGGGTCGCTGTTGATCACATTAGAAATGCATCCATAGGGGGTTGGCTATTAACGCTTGTTCATCAGAACTTACTCGTATCGACTGCCCAAAGCCACAACTGGTCCACCATCAGCACATTTCCTTGCAGGATATCGTCCTCAAGATCCGAATCACTCTCGTCCGTGTGGCTCCCTGCAGCCGTCGTAATCGTGCCGGCGGGAGACATCAATCTACTTCCCGCAAAAACATCGCTGAACGGCGCTTGGCTATCGCCCGTATGGTACATGTCCCGCTTCTGCTTAAACGGCATCGCGATCCGCTCCTTCGTTAGCTTGTACAGCATCTGATCGTCATCGCGCGCGTACGTGTCCCGGAGACCGGGATACCCGTACTGGTCCAAGGTCCTCCTTATATTAACGGGCGGGTCGTGGCCGATGTACTCCCAGATGACCCGTGAATCCAGCGATTCAAGCTCGGCAACTTCGCGCGGGACCGGTCGTCCTCTGCCGTGCTCCATCCTTCGCTTAATTACGTTTCGGCGCCGGATGATGTTCACGTAGGTGTCGTAATGCAGATACGGCAAGTATACGTAAAGATGGCTGGGAGTGATGCCGGGGCTAGGACTTCTCCCCGCTCTCGTTGGGGATGCAGGACGAGGAGACCCTTGACTTAAGTTAGAGGAGTTTTCTTCGGTTTCACGAGGGAGACACAATGTATTACCAGCATCTGAAGGGACGAATGCACACCCGGGCTTCACGTACGAAGCATGCAGATTCGCATGACGCCCCTGAACATGCTTGTTGACCCAATTCTCGTTACTGAGCAGTTTGGCGAAGCTCCGATTCTGCGTCTCGGAAAGCTTGTCGAATATTTTCTACGCCCAAATTAGCCACTTCACTATCCAACAACACATTGGTACGAGCCAAATGAATGTACCTTGACCCAGTGGGGATTGTTAAACGGCAGATGTATCCACATGAACTTCCTCCCATGAGGATCCGGGCGGGAGAAGCCGGCCGTAAAGTCCTGCAGCGCCGAAGCACGACGAAGACGGTGATATCCGGCCTCCTTACCAGCTAAACCAGGGTCCTCCGCCTTTTTCGGCGTGAAGTACTCATCCAGGTCAGTAGACTTGGGAGAAAGGGCAGAAACGTTGGGCTCGGAGTCGGCGGTCCTAGTCGATTCGCTGCTACCCCTACTCGATGGGCGGTGAAATCCTGGTGCTGATAAAGCGGGAACAGTTAGGCCCCGGCTTCGCCCCGGTACGGCACTAGACACGGGCTCCGTGGCGACACCGGTGATGAGCGGCCGGGAGGCATGGCTTGTGACGACGATCTCGGGAGACGGGCCAGCCGGGGGCTCGTTTTCCGGAGCGCTGGAAGGCCGAACCGAATCCAGAATCCTCTGCCCTAATTCTTGCACGTTAGTCAAGATGCCCAGCGCGCCCGTCATCGGCGACGGGCCTGATATCGGCCGCCTCAACCTATGCCCTAGCCCTCGGTGCCGTCTCGCTGCTACAGTGTTCATCCGTTCCCTCAGACACGTCTCGGGCCCCTTCTCCAAGAACTCCTTCAGCGTATGCTTCGAAATATACAGCCTAATATCCTGGCCCGTCTCGCCTTTATCCGGGTCCTCGTAGAACCCGATCAGCTCGACCTTGACATGCTGGTTCAGCTTCAGTGGCGTGTGCACGAAGTTCGCGCACAAGTCCTCCGCTTTCCTGACTGCGGCCCCTAGATCAGCGAGGAACGAGTCCATCGTCCGGATATTATTGGGCCCGAAAGATGCGCAGTGGGCATGGTCGCTCTCGAGCGAGAGTGCCTTCTCTCCGCGGCTTCCGACCAGCCCCGACTTAATAGAAGTTAGTGGTGCGCTGAAGTGAACCTCGTCGTAGTCTGAGCCGCCAAGCCCGGATAGCTGCGAGTCGATGGTTTCGTAGAAGGTCCAGATGCGCAACTCGCTGGCGATATCCACGAATTGGTCGTGCATCTTTAGTAATGCCTTATTTCCCAATCGCAAGTCGTGAGCGATGGGCCAAGGCAGCGGGCTTTGCAGAAAAAGCAGTTCCTGGATACTCTCTCGCAAGTGAGGCATCGACATGTAACTAGAACCGCGGTGCGGCGTGGCTATAGCATGTTAGCCTATTAGACAATACAATATCAGTAAGGGATATCGAAGATGGACCTACCAAAAAATGCGATACCATGACAGTCGAATATGAGAGGCTTCATCTCCTGCCTCTGGCTCGCCTTCACCAGCGCCAACTTCGCAACCAGCCCTCCAATACTATGGCATACGAAAAAGATCGGCCGGGACTTCGTCTGGCCCGCGCGCATCTTCTCAATCTGATCCAGGAGATCCTCCGCCGCCTCATCGAGCGTCATGTCCTCCGACAGCTCGCGGTGCCGATATAGCAAGATCCGCGCCGTGTTAACCTCCTTCCGGATCCCGTGCAGAATCCACAGGGGACTCGCTCTCGGCAAGTGCCGATTAATCGTGGGCGACAGAATGCTGTTCTCCGGTAGCTTCTTAACCGTCGGGTACCTCTCCAGCCCCGTCGACGAAGGCAGTCCAAAGTAGCCATCCACGAGCGGATCTCTCGCCCAGGTGTCGACGGGCGATGCGCCGACGCACGGCACAGCAATGACATCCACCGCGGTGTTGTTGCAGCCATGCCCGTCAATGTCGCCATCGATGTGCACGAAGCCCGGCTCGGGATCCCAATGCGAATAGCTACTACGGACGGATTTCCGGTTATCCAGCCCGTCGTCGAACTCAGACATGTCGCTTTGTGTCTGTGGCGGCGGGGAGTCGTCAGGCGCCCCTAGCTCACCAGCTCCAGCGCTAGGGCGCGTCGCTTCTCGTGGTTCCATCTTGGCTACCTATCTATGCCTCCCAAGATACTCAGTTCTTCACATATAGCTTCCGCGCTTTCGAGTCAACAAATACCTACTGCCCATATAATTAAACCAGCATTCCATCCGATCATCACGCGAGACGCGGATTCCCTTGGTAGAAGTCACTTATAAGACCACAAGTTTGCGCCAAGTCATCGGTCGCCATAATATCGTCTTATCGTATTTAAACAGGAAAAAAAAAATCTCCAAAATCCTACAAAACGCGAGTGAACGAGTCAACAGGTTACATTTATACCGATCACGCCCATCCCTTGTGTCAGCTGCCTGCGCTGCGGCTCCTCCCTATCGAGATTTCCCCGGAGCCACACGCCGGGCTGTGTATCGTGTCATTGGCTGGGCACGCGAGACATACGGCTTGGGGGGCGTAAGATTGAGGATCCGCAGCTGACTGGCCAAGGGTTGTGGACGGCTAATACGGCAAGACCCCCTGTACATGTCTAGTAGGTGATCCGATAGGTAGTGTATGTACGTCTGGTTGTTCTGCTGCGAACGTAGATCTGCGTATTTCGTTCGTACATAACTAGATGGCCTATTTTGCAACCAAAGCTAGATACATATGCTACACCACCATCGACGAAAAATTGAGCTATTGCTACCTATATAAATGTGACTCAACTTCTCCAAGGCTGATTTGAACATCAGAAGGCTAAGAGTAAGCACTATATCAATTATTATTCAGCTTTAGGCAAGAGTTGGCACAGCCATCGGTACTCAACCACATGATTTTACAGCCTTGCGACCAATACCAGCATTGTTCAATATGCTTTTCGCCTCAGCTTCTCGTAGAGAACGGTAAACATGAAGACGGCCCTTAAATACCTAGGAAAGCCTCAACTCACGCCAGACATCCAATTATAACGAGGGGGTTAGAGTCGCCGAGTCACCAATGATTAGCAATGATGAAGGAAGACTTGAGGGTTGCAAGGGAGAAAACGCGCTTCCCAATAACTAACTACCAACCACTTACCTACCTAGGTATGCTACAGTGAAAGCTACCACCAATCGAGCTTCCCACAAGGAAAGTTCCCTAACCACAGCCATCACATCACATCACACACATCCATAAACCCCCCATTTCGTGCATGGTGAGTCCTCAAAACGTATGCATGCCATATCGTAACCTTCAATAGACACAACATACATGTTGATCTCGGTAGGCACCTAGGTATACCTATGGCCCTATACGAAGTTAGATACCTACCCCAAACATGATATCTCTCAGTCGCATAACCCAACGCACGCTCACCAAGAAATGGTCAAAGCCTAGAGTACCTACCAAGCTGGGTAAACCAGGACCAGTAAACATCATCAACATAAACTACAAACCATAGCAGTCATTACCTATATCCATCCATAGACATGAACAGCTGACCAAAAAAGGGGGTGTTGCGATATCAAAATCAGCACGATCAAAAATCTCCCTGCAACCTCTCCATATGAGGCAGGGACCTTTACATCTTTACATATTACAATTCCTATCCCTATCCCTATTCATATTCATGGCGTCTTGTCTTATCTTCATGTATATTGTCACATTCGTGCTAGCCCTCTAAGAAGCTAGAATGTACCTAGTAGATACATAGGTAGGTAGGTAGGTTTACACCTGAGCCTTCGGCGGACTCGTCTTCGGCGCCGCCGTCCCCGGGGGCGTCTTCCCACCACCCTCTCCACCCGCCGCCTCCTCCGCCGCCTTCCTAGCCCTGTACTCCTTCATCTTCCGGGTCCTCGCCGCCTTCTGCGAATCCAGCGCCTCCTTCCTCCTCGCAATCTTGTCCTCCCTCTCGGCGCGCATCTCCAGCGCAATCGCCTTCGTCTTGCGCCGCCTGTGCCGCATCGCCACCCTCCTCGATCCCATCTTCCGCTTCTCGGTGCGGACGAGCGTGCCGAGCTTCCAAGACTCCTCGGCGTACGCGTAGGTGCCGTCAGTGCGGAGCTTGATGATGCGCTCGTCGCGCGGGTGCGGGCGGCGGCCGTAGCCTTGCCGAACAACCTGGGTGGGGATGCCGGAGGGCGAGAGCTCGGGCTGGACCTGGGGCGGGGGGATGGGGGAGGCGACGAGGTTGAGGCGGCGGCGGCGCATGGCGTGCAACGGGTAGGGCAGGCTGTCTTCCTTGTTGAAGACGACGCCGATGTATTGGCGGTTCGGGTGCTTGGCGGGGTCGCGGTAGTACTTGACGTAGCCGGTGGCGAGGGCGAAGATGGTGTGGTCGCGGCCCATGCCGCAGTTCTCGCCCGCGTGCCAGACGGTGCCGCGCTGCTTGTAGATGATGTTGCCGGGGATGACGTAGGAATCTGTGCAGTAATTGTTAATTTTACCCTTTCCTCTTCTTTGCTTGTTTGTCCGTCTTTATATCTCATCTTCGGGGCGGGATGAACTGGACAGAACAAGTTGTAGACACGTACCACCACTCTTCTTCGCGCCCAGTTTCTTCGGAATCGTGCTCGAGTCTCTTAACGTATACGCTCCCTGCGACTTGACGGACGCATGTCTCCGACCCTCCACTGCCGCATTGCTCGTCCCTACTCTTAACTGTCCCAACGCTTCTCTTAACTGCCGTATCGTGGTCGCAGGTGCTGTTCTCGATATACCTGCAGCAGCAGCCGCTATTGGGCGCTGCAATTGAGCGATCCTCATGACTGCGACTGGGGTTGGGCTGGTCGTTAAGATGTCATTTCCAACTTGGAAATTTATTTTCAATCTTTTTTGATCTCAAAAGCGAAAAGCTCGGACCGACGACCCCAACTTTCAAGCTTAGTCATTTCCTATCCCACACTGTAAGTAGTACACTAAAGAGCTGAGGTGCTAAATAAAGACAGGGACCACTGATAACGATAAGTAATTGAAATGTTGACAGCTTAGCGCTTTCAACTGTTACTGTAAGTGAACTCGCCTTAAAACCCATCCATGACGACGTAACGAGAAGAGAGAGTAGTATCTCTGACCTCACTTACCCATTCTCTTCGCGTCTCTTTCAAATACCTACCTACCTACCTACCTACCTATCTACGCCGTACACACTCACCCAAATCTCCCACAAACCCAAAATGCGCACCCCAACCATCCCCCCCCTCCTCCAAACCCTCCTCCTCCTCCTCTCCATCCTCCCCCACCTCACGAGCGCACAATTCGGCTTCTTCGAGCAAATGTTCGGCGGCAACGGCGGCGGCGCGCAGCACCATCAGCAGCACCAACACCGGCAGCCGCAGAACGTGCCGAGCGACCCTTCCTTCTACCAGGCCAACTACGACCGCCTGCACTGCGACAACTACTTGTGCCCGGACACTTTGGGTATGCTATCCAACATTGATTTTTTTTTTAACTACACAGAAAGATATATACCATGTACCTTTGATAAAGCGCCGTCGTTGGTATGGAGGAGAATGCTAACGTAGTAAAACTCGCAGCCTGCGTCCACTTCCCCCACCACTGCCCGTGTCCCTGGCCCAGCCAGGAGGACAAGTTCGAGATGGGCGACGGCCACCGGATATGCGTTTCCAAGGGAGGGTTCAAGGCCGGAGAGGCGGCGCGAAAAGTTGAGCTGGCTAGGAAGGGGATGCTATGAGTTCCTGACATGTTGAAAGTGTGCGTTTGTTATCCAGCGTTGTGTTAAAAGAGATATGATGTGGCTGGCTGTATTGGATTGTCACAAGCACCTATACAGAAGCTCGGAAGAAGCCCATCGACGGACGAACAACGAGTTAATGCGGTTGTTATCGATGCCACGTTGGTCTGATTACCTGTCTAGAAGTGTCACGATAGAAGCGTACTTGAACTAGTTATTTCAATGATTTAGGGGACCAAAAAACCCCTTGCAGTAAACCATCTATAGCTACAATCGCCGTTGACTGAATATCTTCCACCTCTTCTTGGCCCCGTCGCAGTACTCTGATCGCCCCATACCGTAACTAATCTAATGCGCCTGCGGCAACGAGAAAAATCAAGGGAAAAATATTCCACCCGGCCTATGAACTCCGTCCAGCATGCATATCACCATCACCAAATATTCGTCATCGTTCCAATATCCTCGGTTTTTCTATTGCAAAGAAGGATATGCCCTTGGATAAAGGTTACTTAACTCGCCTTTCTAGTCGCCCGCCCCCACCTTGGCACCGTTAATAGTTGGCATAGCAGGCACTTCTTCGTCGTCGAGTTCGTCGAGGGATTCTGGGTGGCCGAGAAATTTGGCCACGTCCTTCATTTCATAATGTTTCTTTCGTAGCAGCTCGAACTTACGGTGCTTCTCGCGTTCCTCGGGGGTCATGCCAAGATACTCATTCTCGGCGTCGTGTAGTGGGGTCGCATCCTCGTCGTTAACATGGACCTTGCTTTGTTTGCGCGAGGATCCAAAATCGTCTTCGGGGACCTCTTCCTCTGGTTCACCAAGGGATAGCCCAGGGATTTCCTCCCTTCGCGAGTTTTCTCCATCCAACATCTCATCATCCTCATCTTCCGAAGGCTCGTAATGACGGGCATATGGAGTCTTTGGCTCAGTAATCTTCATGGTGGCAGTGCGCTCTTGTTCAGTAAGATAGAGATTCGCTTCGTCCCATTTTAGGCGCTGGTTGCTGTCCACATCGATAAAATCGCCAACTTGGGCAGGGGGGAGAGAAGATTGGCGGCGAGATCCTGCTGGACGACTAGCAGCACTTGAAGAACGGCGATGGCCAGCGTTGGTTTGGGTATTGATAATGGTAATTTCCTTGTCGGACAGGTCCTTCTCCTTAACAGGGGACTCTGGCGGCGGTGATTTTTGGTAGGAGTTCTTCAGGATACCTAATTACAGTAGATTAGTCATTACGACTCCCATGAAACGAACAGGCCCATAGTAAACAGAGATCGTAGAAAGTACTAGGTATGGGGTGGCAGAATGATGGCAAAGTATGACGTACCTCTGGGGCGCTTAGCCTCTGATCCTGGGGGAGAATGCGCAGACTGGGGGCTCATCTCCACGGTCGCCATTTTCGATATGTGTGTGCTAAGTAGCCGAAAGTTAGAAAAGGCGATGGAAGACGATGAGGATCCAGACTGTAATGAAGACGAAAAAGTGATAATTTTGGAGGTGATAGAATAGGGTAGGTTTTGTTAGAGGATGTGAAGGATGGGATGTCAGAGTGTGAGTTGTGGAGTGTGTAAATGGGGGTGATGTTGGCAGGGAGGCAGGGAGCGAGGTAGGCAGCAGGTAGGTCTGTATGTATGTAAGGTAGGTAGCACTGGTAGGTACTGTACGCTGTACGTGCCTACCTAGTACTGTAGGTACCCAAGTATGCCCAGGTGTAGTTGGAAGTACTGTAGCTTGGACTTTGCTAAGGTTTTTAGGTTTAACGGTGGAAAGTGGGCAGGTTGGTAAGTAAAAATAAGGGTTTCGATGTACTGTACTATGTAAAGTTGGCACAAGTTTGTGGAGGTGGAAAGTTCAAGTTGGAAAGTGTGTCGGGAGAGAGCGCGGGGAAAGGGTGCTGGGGACCCTGCAGGAAGAAACAGTGGGTTGTTTTGATCTCGTGGGCTTCCAAGGCTGTGATTGATTGAACCAGATGCGGATCCAGATGATGCTGGTATGCTTTTGATGGGATCGAGTTCGTTGATGGGAATTGTTTTTATGGCTAATGGATAGTTTGGTTTGTATGTGATATGTCTGTAATATGTTCTGTATGCAACTTGGAAGCGTGGGTGTAATGGTTTTCGAGATCAAATATACCGAAGTACACTAGGTATTGGCATGTAGGTATTACCTTGTGTACTTAGTATCTACTTGAGTCTTGACCTGGATGCTTGGTACTATCTATGTATAGAACGTACTAGTATGTATGTACCTTGGTAGGTATGATGTGGTATGGAATATATTTCTGATGGTGAGGATAGTGGTGTGTATGCTGCTATGTATTGATGTCGTGTGCCTTTTTTTTGTCTCAGTGGCGAGACCTGAAGACCTGGAGATCTTGTGACAAAAAAGCACCTATACTGATTGAAGATAAAAGGAGGACAAAACAATTATAATAAGGGTGATGATGAAGTTGAAGTTGATGATGATGATGAAGACGATGATGAATAGATGTACATACAAGGCGTTGGTTGATATAATGTACTCCGACTCAAAAAAAAAAAGGCTGTCAATATTGTCACTGTCGGGTTTTTCTTCAGTTTGTTGCTCGGGTGAGAAACGGCAACAAACCTAACGAACGTTGCTGAACCGCTTAAACGTTAGCAACTAAAGCACACAGGTCAAGTACCTAAATGTAAACTGAGGTATTACAGCAGTAACAGCACTAGCCTTGTCGTCCCTCAATGACTCCTTGCTCCTTGCTAACTGCCCCTCCAACTGTTTCTAAACGAACGTGCAACATTAATATGGGTCCCTTTTCCTGCTAAAATTGGGGAAACCAACCAACTGCAACTGCAACTGCAAGCTGCTTAGGTAGGTTTCGTACTTTCGTACCGGTGAAGCACGGGCCTTTTTTTCCTGCAAAGCGACCAATCAGGAAAACGATCATTCCATCGTCACGCAAGAGCCCCGAAGTCACCGTCTACACCATCCGGTACCTCTCTCCCCTCATATTTTACTACCAAACAACAAGTAGCCACCTTTCTATTTACAAGTTCCCGGTACTTTCCCCTCGGCAGAATTTGCTGCTCTTGTACAACGCTGAAGAAAAAAAAGAAGCAGAAGGAACTTGAAGCCAAGCCTTTTGAAATCGGTCTAAAAAAGGGCTCCAGTCCAGCTTTCTTAATAACAGAGATCCATCGATGCTTCCCGAAACATTCTTCGAGTCGGTAAAATCTGACATCATCAAATCCAAGTGACCTCATGGCGTCCTTTTTTCTTTTTTTTTCTTTTTTCTTTTCTTTTTCACTGCCATAATTATTTATTCAAAGGTTATTGTCGGCATCACCACAACTTGCGACAAAGAACAACGTGATGCCTACAATCCATATTCATATTCACATTTTCGCATTCACCTCGGGCCCGACTCAACTCTCCTTGTGCGAACCGATCAATCTAGATTATGTGCGCTCAATCGAGTTTGCGCACATGCCAACAAAGCCCATTGACGTATCTATCCAGCTCATTACACCACCATGCCATGCCATGCCATGTCAACAATATACGTAGGCGCCCAGTCCAGTGCCTTTTTTATGTGCGACAAGAGACTCTTTTAACCCATTCAGTCGGGGATACGGAAATATCTCATCTATTTACCTATCCTTAGTTCCTCAACAGCCATAGCCATGCCTTATCATACATAGTATCGTATCGTCGTCGTTCGTTTACCCCTTAGTGCTCTGCTCGCCCCGTAATTTCCTATTTCCTAGGTTATTTAGTCCCCAATCTACTAGTGATTGATTTTCCTTCTCTGCCGCTCTACACGCAATGAAACTTCCCTTCTCCATTCCCTTTCCAGCCTTCTCTTCCCCCTCCCTTTCCTAAAAAGCAATAGAAATGGAAGAGAAGGGAGGGGAGGGGGGGATGGAGATGGGGGTTCAAGGGTATTTGTCCATCATTTATCTCATACCTACCAAAACCTAATTGCCGCACCTTCGTTTATCATACCCCTAAACAGTCGTTGTTGTCGTGTCGCCAGATTCTGCCCAACCTACATAGGTATGGGTATATGTGTATGGACATATGGATGTAAGGATGCAAGGCAATTGGTCGGAGCCGGTCACCGAATGGGGCGAGGTCTGTAGTTGCATTGCGACCAGTAGAAGCGATAGCCGCAGGCACATGCTTGCTCACCGGTGAACCCCTTCTTTGAGGCTCTCGCTGTCTCTCCGAATCTATTTGTAGCTGTCCAATGCCTGGTGCTAGTGTGCCTGATTGCTGCATCTACCTACCTAGGTATATGCAGGTATATAGGTATGCCTGAGAAGGGGGTGCAGGTTGGGTAGCGATCTACCCTGGAGCCCCATTCAGGGGTGGCGTCGTGCGGGATTGGCCACAGACTAAGCCCATGAAGCATCGATCATGTTATTGTGCATATATGTTAGGCATGGAGTAGATTGATGCCATGTTTCGACGACTTAATCAATGAACGCGACGTTTGTGACCTGTTCTTTACCTAGGTATGTACGAATGCGTGTATCTTGACATATCATTGGATGTGCTACAGTAGCTATAGGAGAATTTCACCCAGTACTCTCCTATCTTAGTGGCTGATATGGCCTACTCAGCACCTCCTTTTAAGCGAGGCTTACTTAGGTACCGCCAATCTGATCAACGATGGACTCTACTCCGTCGGTCAGCACTCCGATGACTGGCATATGCATCGATACCCGTGCCGCGCTGTCCAGCACGAGTGTACGCATACCTAGGTACCTACCCACACACAGGCACACGGGCATAGATAGATACTCGGACTCATACAGGGAGGTATATAACACAGGTAGATAAATACCAGATCAGTAATCCGGTCCCCCTATTTCGTCTCCCCTTAGCTACAAGATGCAAAGCACAACCACAGCTACGGCATCGGTAACGACCAACAACCGCACCACGAGCAGCCTAACCGACCTACACCAAGACAAGGCGAGTTTACACGCCTTCCTTCCCGGCGACGATTCCACCACCACACTCGCACCGCATACCTACCTACACGGAATTGAATTTTCTAGAACCGTGGAGAAGGCTGCGTAAAGGGGACCAGGCAATGTACCTACCTACCTACCTACCTAGGCACGCACCCAGGACCCTGATACCTAACCTAGTTAAAAACATCGTGCTAGGTAGCAAATATAACCCTGGAACAAAATACCACCACCCAACTCGTCGCAACCTGCCACGCCAGCGCATCTCCCGTTCGCGGTCTGCTAACCTACGTAGTGCCAGGAACGAATAGATCCAATGTTACTAACTTACATGAAACAGGCCATATGTAGGTAGGTAACATAACACAGCTATATGTGCTGCTATCTGCCTAGGTAGGTAGGTAGGTAGGTAGGTACGAATACACGACACAAGTAAATAACCCCTCCTACGGACGGTGCCTGGTCGAGCTCCAGCGCTGAGCTGTGGTGCCTGGTATGACGGGGTAGGTAGGGACACAGCACTCGCCATCGGCGTCGCCGCCCTGGAAGCACCAGCAACTCGTTTCATCATACCAAGGCAGATACCATATGGTAGATATCTTCCATGGATGAATTACGAAGTACCGTATAGCGGTAAAGTCGTATCGTGCCTAGGTACCTGCCTAGTACCCGGGAATGCCATCATGTCACATCACATCCCATCATCCCAAAGTCCCAGTACCTAACAGCAAGCTCACGACGCTAAAGACGCGTAGTTCTATACATACCTACTTAGGTGCCCATTTCCCCATACTCCTTTCCCCTGTTTTAATCCAAGTGAGTAAAATCCGACGAGAATCCAGTAAGACGACCACATATCGTACATGGAAAACGAGTACACAATACAGATTACAGACTCAAAGAAAACAATCCCCAAATGTTAGTACACTGCGAGCCCTGACCCAATCATCAGTTAACCTTGGGTAGGTAAGTACCAATGTAGGTAGGCATCTACTCATCCTCCTCCACCTCACCCTTCCCCTTCTTCTTAACCTCCCTCTTCCTCGGCCTTAGCCACTCCTCCATGCCCAGGGGCCAGTACACCCTATTCTCCGGGCCTCCCATCCCCACCTCCTCTTCGGGTACCTCGGCCTTCGTCGGGGGCGGAGGAGGCTGTTCGACTTCCGGCTCTACCTCCGCTTCGCCATCAGCGCTCTTCTTGTTCTTGCGACGGGGCGATGCCTTCTTCTTCTTCGGTGGGACGGGTAAGGGCCTGTTATCGTCGTCGCGCTCGTAGGGGATCACGTCGTTGATGCGGTCCCAGCCAGGGAGGCGGAAGTTGCGCATGAGGTCGAAGACGGCCTGTTCTTTGTCCTTGGCTTCGATCATGAGATCCATCGTATCCGGGCACGGTGGAAGCGTCATCACGCGGGGTCGATGCTTGCGGCGCTGCCGGGGGGTCACGGCCTCGGCGCAAGGCTCGCTGTAGTGCATCTTCTGCGTGATGCCTTTTCTGTCCCATGTGGCCTTTATTCGGGGATAGAGGTCCATGATATCCTTAGTACCTTCACGGACACTGTCCTTATCGAACAAGATATTGTGGTGGTGAAAATCCAAGACGAGTGGGATGTTCAGTTCTTCGCATATTGGGAGCAGATCGTGTACAGTCCATGACACATCGTCGTTTTCCAGCACCAGTCTTGCTTGGATGCTTGGCGATAGTAGCATGTAATTGGCTCTAAATCGGTCGAGAGTGGCCGCCTTATCACCAAATACGCCACCCATGTGCAAAATCATGACAGCGTCTTTGTTCGCTTGCTCTGGTAGGCGTAGGAGCGACAGCAGTTCGTCATGGTACTCCAAGTCTCGAGCAGCATTCAGGACAACCTCTTTCCGCGGTGATCCAAGTTGCGTAAACTAAGTCGCTAGTTAGTCTGGTTCTTGACACCCCCCACTACTAACAACGTACCTGTCCGGGATGAGTGGTAAGTCGATGGCCGAGCTCAGCCGCAACCTTTCCAGCCTCTGCAAGTACCTCGGAGGCGAAAGGGGCAAGTTTATACCCATACTCTTCATGGCTAGCGAAGGGGAACATCTCCGAACTCAGACGCATGAACTTAATGCCATATTTATCGTTCCAGCGAATCATTTTCACGATATCACGTGCATTGGCCAGACCAAGGGCCTCCACATGTCTCTGACCTCGGGCAACATCGGCGGGTTCGTCTTTATCTGGTCGATTCTTGGTTGGATGCTCAGGCTGGGAAGGATCTTGTAGAGGGTGACGATGCTCTAAGATGGAAGCTATTCGGCAGGTTCTGGAACTGAATACCGGTGGATTCGACAGCCGTAGATACGTATTGAGGCATGCCTAACTTTTGTTAGAAATCTTAGGCTTTATACCAACATACGCTTAGTGCATGACAGTCGGGGATATTCACATAGCCCAATCTGCCTTTCCATGGCAACGGTAGATACTCGCTATGAACGGGCGGCGGCCTCGAACCTTCCTGCTTGATGGTAGCGACATCGACTTCCTCCGCTCCTATATCACCACCTCCGTCCCTGTCACATGGTTCTCCTTCCGGGTAGACCTCGCTTGCGTGATCGGCGTGGGAACTTCGCATTTTTAGATCATTTCTTTTCTGCTTATCCTGTAGACCTCTCTTCTGAAATTCCTCGGGGATTAGATCCGGCATAGCTTTGGAGGGTCTCGGCATGAAGGCTGCATCTTCATCTTCGATCTTCCCGCCCTCCATCACCGAACTCTCATTCAGTGCTATCTTTTGTCGTTTTACCGACTCCCGAAAGTTGTTCTCCATCGCCCGAAGGCCATTCATGGCCCCCGAAACATCCCCTAAATCCTCCAACATTTTCTTCTTCTTACCCTTGGGTTGATTCGACGCCAAGTTCGCACTTACGTCACTAATTGGCTTATCCTCGGAATGCAATTCCTGGATTTTTTGCCTGACGATACGCCCTGACCTTCGCGTAGTAAGATTCGGGCGGTCTAAGTCGAATTGGATCTCTGTATGAGAGTCCTGTTGCTGAACAGCAACCGACGACTTATTTCTTTTGGAAACCATTGGGACGAAGGTATTACGGAGCGTTAGGAGAGACTTGAGGATATAAAGTGTATGATACGAAGACGGAGCAAAGAGGCCGTGGGGAGGCAATTCAGCTGTGGAACAGCGAATCAGTTTGGAACAGGAAGTGAACATCCAAAAATGGCTGACCGGTATGAAATATTTGCAGAGATTCACAGCTTTAGCTTCAGATTGGGATATGCAGTGTACCTAGGTAAGGTATGATGTGTAACAATAATGGTTCACTACAGGTGTTACGTCTACAGGTGCATGTATGTGGAATAAAAGGAAAGAAAAGAAAAGAAACCGATGAGATCATCAACGCTAAAAGAAGCAATCAAATCAAACAGCTAGACGTTCCAACCACAACATACTTTTTTTCCCTTTTCGCCTCAAGGGCTTCTTCAGATACGGTTTATAAGGAATTAAACGCTACTGCATAGTAGGAAGCGCGTCATGAATCAAGCAGTTTGTTCTTGTTCGAGCTTAGGTGCATAGGTCAAGGGCGTATAAGACAGATTGGCGCATGGGAAGCTTTACTCCGTTTTGCTCCGGGTTTTGGTTTGCATCGTGTAGAGATGAAGTATGTAGTAGGTAGTTACCCATGCTTACCAATGACCCCAATATCTTGGGAAATGGAGTTTGGCCCCGGTTTTAAAGTAGTGGTAGACGTTGAGGTCATCTTAGAAGGAGGCGGCAATCGATGAAATCATGTAAAAGTCGATCGAGATGAAATTCCGGGGTTGAAAGGTTTGGAAGCTAAGCTTAAAATAGTGCTTGTCATCTTGGCTGCTTAGTACCCTACGTAGCTTGCCATTCTTACTGCCGGGCGGTCAGAGGTAGGTAGAACAGTCACGTGAAACACTAACGATTGATGATCAACTAATTTACGCTAGTACCTAACTAAGGTTAACTAACTAACTAGTGGTATGTGTCCTAGTCCCTAGTCCCGAGAGAGGCATGGATGCAGGGGTGTAAAAATAGCATCAATGATTAGCACAAGCATGCATTAAACATTTAAAGATTACAACACTCCAACATTCAGGGTCATTATGAGTTATCATTTCTCAATAAATTATCTTGACAGCTTTGACAGCTCTCACAGTTTGTGCTTACTAGTGGCCGTCATCAAACGAGACTTCGTATAAGGCATTCTTTCAGCCAATAACTAGGTACAATGCTAACTACGCTGAGCAATTATTCGAAACCTATTCTTCGATGAAAGGTCTAACCTTAGAAGACTTCGTGACGCCAGCAAGGCCAGTTCCTTGCCGTCAATTCGCAGCGTTCTGCTGATATTTGTGTCCATCGTTTCTTCAGCCCCGTTTACTTTCCCTTCATGGGCGTGGTACAACTCAGCGCAGCGCTTCCTGCCTTCCGGTAGGCATGCATCATGCGACAGTTCCAACGGCATGGACACAGCTTTGGGACCTTCAACCAACAACATAGGTAAGGTGGGTAACGTAGGTGGTATCATCCATTCCTCCCATACCTGTCACCAAAACGCGACAGCCGGCAACGTAGCCGGCATACGATACTCCTCCTGCAGCTCCGCCTCCTGCGCCATCTGGTAGTACGGCGTTCTGCAAACGGGACACTCGTACTTCCTTTGCAGGAACCAGGTCGCCAGACACCGGGCGTGGAAGATGTGCGTACACCGTTTCAGCTTTAGGACCTCGTCGTCGATAGGCTGCATCGACTGCCGCTTCTCGTTCTCCTTCGCATTAGAGGCGGCCGCACACGTAGTCGTAGTTGTTGATCTAGATATCTCATTGCCAGCCTCTAGATCCACCATCGTATCATCTGTTGCCGATGTAGGCGGCCGCGCGTCCTTGGGGTATAAGTACCCGAGACATATTGGGCTATACACATTATGTTAGGAAACGCAGCAGGCAGGTATGGATGAAAATTGGACTGAATGAAATAAGAAACGTACCACTCCGCATCCTCTGCCTCGGTCTGTGAATTTCGACATGGTCGTTTATCCGTCACCCCCTCCAGCTGTGTCAGCGCATGCTGTATCGATCTCGGTAATCCAGGTTTCGATGGCTTCTCCTTCCTGCCAAAGCATCCTCGTCGATCTCGGTTCCCACATACGCCGCCCCATCTGGCTAATCTGTGCAAGCGCTGCTGTTAGTATATGTGTCTTTTCATTTTTAATGTTGCGAGTACACCAGCAAGCGGCGACTTGAGGGAAATGCAACTTACAATGTGATCACGACCGCCGCCCCTATAAGGACCAGCACTGATATAACGACGGAGACCCAGGGTTGGATATCCATCGTGACGAAGTACACCTAATCCTTGGTAGGTAGGTAGGTAGGTCTAGATATATATATCTCTCGAAATGGTGTAGAAACCCAAATCTGAGAAATACAGAACGTGGTACGACCGACGGAGTAAAGGCAGATAGATGTCGACGCCCTTCTCACCGAGCGGGGCAGCAGCACATTCCACAAGAGAAGGCTCGGTGAGTGCCACCACCAAAAAAAATAAAACTCCGAAACTCGATGAGCAAGTTTCAATGAAAAAAAAGGGGGGGAGGGCGTGAGTGTTTCTTCAAAAGTCAGAAGGCGCTTCCTGGATGGTGGATGCCAAGGCTGTCAAATTCGATGTGGAATAATTATTGTATAGCTCGAGCGAGTGCTATCCCTTATCCCTTGCTTCTCTGTCTAATACAAATATACGTATTTATGTGTAGCCAGCAGCCAGCCCTCTTGTGTAGCGTCAAATCGGTCTGACATAGAATGTCTTAATATATGTAGGTGGTAAGGAGTAAGGTAGCAGTGATGGATATTGCCTGCGGGTATTATTAAGTTGTACAAACCCTGGGTACCTGGGTTAGGATGAAAAGAAGAAAACCAACAAATAGGTATATTGAAATCCGCAGGTCAAATAATCGTGAGTAGGTATATCGTTAGGTTAAGGAAAAGGGATGCGTGATGAAAGGCAAAAAAACGAAAAGAAAAACAGCTGCTTGTTGTTGTACAATTAAAATCAGTGATTGAAGGAAAGAAACAATGTATATAACTTCGAAGGTTAGACTTCTGACTCTGGCATATGTCTCGTTCATGTATGTATGTAAATGCATATGTACATGTAGGTAGGCATGTAGGTATGCAAGTACAATACCTACATACATTCATATGCATTGATTGCCTAACCCCAAAAAAGTATCCCTGAAAAGTTGATTGCCGTGAGGTCTAAATTTAAATCTCTATCCTACCAGGACCCTATTTACAATCCCCGTCCTTGCATATTCGCACCCGCCTACAAAGGCGTAGCCTCGCAATGTGATTGGGGGGTCGGAAAATACCACCAAGGATCGACGTGGGCGACAACCAAAACGATGGTAAGTCGACTGGACTCTGGAGGGCTGCGCTTCTTAGTGTCATTCAATTAATTCCTGCGCCGCCCAGGGGACCAGGTGGACGGTTGACGGACGGTTGACGGACGGTTGACGGACGGTGCTGGCACACGTGGCTGAGCACCGCACCATCGGAAGATAATAATACATGACAGATAATTCCGACATGCATTAAGTTCGCGGAGACAGCATCATCATGCCTTACCTAGTCCTCTGCCTTTTCGCGTATGGCTCGCTTTCTTGCCCAGCTCGAGACTTCACCTTCTGCAACTTTTCCTGCACGAAATTGATCGCCTCTTGTAACAGCACCTTCTCTCCCCATCGCACTACCACAGCCATGTTCTGTCGCCCGGACACCTTGTTGGTAGATAACAGGTCGAAATCGTATGCCTGGCTAGTCGTGTATTGGGCTAGTCGTAGCTCTAACGCACGATGTATGGCCAATAACGTGATCTCATCCCGAATCGTCTTATCCGGAATTGTGGTCGGGCTTACCTTTCTGACTGCCTTGAGAATTGCATGGATTTGCTCTAGTAGGTCTGAAGGAAGCTCCTTGAAGCTTGCCTCATTCTGGAATTCTCCTTTCGAATCTGGTTCGCCAGAGTCCCGTTCAATGACAAAAGCGTCCTCGATCTCTTCTGATTCGAGGTCATTCATCTAGAAAATGTTAGCACCCCAAAAGCAAGCAAATGATGAAGTACTGCCTGAGTAGGTTATTAGGCAGGCACTTAGGACACATACTGCTTTACCCCAAGTCGCTTCATCGATTTTGAGCGTATCCTTCAATACCGACATTATCAGATCCCAGGATATCTCCGTAACATCATAGCGAGAATGGCGACTTGTCACATAACCGTAACGTCTTAATAGATCTCCATTGCCCAGAGGCCCATAGTAGTTTAGAATTTCGGTACCAGCTGGAATTGGTCGTAAACTCGTGACTGTCAAGCTGTCCTCCCCGTGATTCACGTATGCCTGTTTTGAAGTGTCAGAGATGTGTTTATTCATTACGCAGGCGGTAGTCAAATCAAATGTGAATGAATGATTTTTACGCTCACATTAAATTCGGCATCCGCATTAAGGATGTCGGCCATCGGCACCATGCCCATCATGAGGGTACCCTCCTTATCCTCTATCCACTCATCGCCGTTCTCAGGATCAGCCTCTTCATCGTCGTCATTCTCCAAGTCAAATGCATATGCCATGATCGCACTGCCCATGCGATGAGCCAGAATCAATAATTGATCCTCGCTGAGTTTCGCACATCCTTGAGGATAAAATATGTCGGCATGCTTCTCAACGACGGGGAGAACTTTGGTGCGGAGCATGGTATCTGCCTCGTCTTTGGAGATCTTGGAAACAATTGAGCTAGCTTGCAGCTCTGCCAGTTCCTGTTCCGACCACCACATCAACGTTTCAAATTCGGTGGGAAGTACATCAAAGTACGGCTTCCATGGTGAGTTGTCTCCTTGGAGGTACTCATAAAGCATGACGAGAATGAGTGAGATCCAATTATCGGGAGGCCCACTAGTCTCGCTGCCATCTTCGTCAGCTTCATTGTCAGTATCCTCTAGTCCTGTAGTCTCGAAGACTTGAGGTATGCGTTTAGGCAGATCTGAGGTTTGGGTGTTGATAATTGCTTTTCTTGGAATGGTGAAAAGTACGGTGTCTTCAGGAATATGCGCAGTGGCCACTAATAAATATGATTGGTCAGTGATATAAATATTCGGTTAAGAAGATGTTATTTTGGAGTCCTCTGTCGCACCGATTCCTCTTCCAGCTCCTTTCTCACGGAGATCTCTAATCTGAATATCGGGATGGAAAGTCGCGCCGGGCAAAGCCTTGAACCATTGTAAGAAGGTCGCCGACTTGACATCAAATATCGGGTCCGACATGTTTGGCCGGCCGAATCAGATTATCCCCGGTCAATTAATAATGGTGGTTGGTTTTACCGACGAGGTGGTTATTTGATAGATTCTGCGCGCCGTCCTTGGAACCAAATTTGATAGATGTTTGTTTTGCAGGGTCGGGGATGACTCGGAATTTAATGACTCGGGATTTAGTTAACAAGACTTGGTAAGACATGACATATGCAGAGAAGCATCATATGAATCAAAGAGGATGATGTGGGGTCAAAAAGTAGTTAGTTATTTGACGATGACGTGACAACATTGAATCTTTTTGGCAGCTTTATCTTATCTCAACAGCTCAATATACATTCAATTTGTATTGTACCTATTAATCCTCCCCCTCGCTCCACTATCTATTTCCTCCATCACCAATACCATAACTTCCATCTCGCTCCTCTCCCCAAAAACAAAGACTGTGTCGCTATATAATCCAGTGTACTAACTGGATGCCTTCTTGGACTGCGGTTGTCCCTTCAGTGCTGCCGTGATCTGATCGAGCTCCTCGTCCGTCACAGAGGTATACAAGAGACAATCAGTACCGCATGGTACCGGATGAATGCCGTGAGAAGGGTCGCAGGAGCCAGCAAGGACACCGGAAATGGCCATACATGTTGCTGGTATGTTTTCAAATTGTGCCTCTAGACAACATATTGATATTAGTAACTACCCAGTGTAGGTATAGGACAAGTAAGTGAACTTACGACCGTGTGCCGGGATTGACTTGGTGATAGTGAGATTGTACAAGTCCTTGTCGCACATATCGAAATCGTACTTGGGGACACCGCAAGGACCTTCATAAATGTTGTTTCGCTCATAATAGCTCATTCGTGGGATGGGGCGGGTATCTATGATGTTTCGTGGATTCCCAGGACCATCGATTCGCAGAGTGCGTCGTTCAGCGTACAGCCTCCCACCGTGGGCCCCCTCTATCACCTTCTCCACTATTTCCACAATGGGAGTGAGGACCTCCTCAAGAATGACAAGAATAAGATTCGCAGGCATGATGGATTCAAGGTGAAAGCTATGTGAAGCTGAGTGAAGATGAAATAAATCGTCAGGTTGAGAAGCAACAGCAGATGGACAAGTTCGGCTTGAGCAATCAAGAGGTTAGTCGGCAAGCCAGGCATCTTCTCCGAGCACGAATTTATGATCGAAAGTGAAGAGCAATTCACGGCAGACTGTGGAAGTCGGTGCGGATATCAAGGCCTTTGAAGAAATCTTACATGTCCCATAGAGCTCAAGATGGGTTGGGCACTTTACAGCCTTTTTCAATAAACACTTGAAATCTAGTGCCCCAAGAAAACTAACGAAGCATATATTGCCTATGGACTGGGACCTGTAAGCCTCGCCTCCATGGTTCTGAGGCTAAAGGCAATAGACTAAATCTTCCTCGGTTATCTGTACGAACGCCCGTCTCACGGACTGAATAGCGGCTATCACATCAGATATCGTCTAATCTTACAGCTACTGGCGCTTATTGAAAGCATATTTCATAACTCCTGGTCTGTTGAACTCTCCCTAAAGTTTCAGTATATTTAGGAAACCTAGTATATATCGGCAGCGAGATGTTAGACTCCATGGACCAGTTCATCGATAATACTGGCTTGGTTTTAAGCTATAAGCTTCCACTCCATAGTGTGTGTATGTTTGACTTATAAGCAGGAAATCCCATCATGGGCCACACTTCCTGACCTCGATACTCAACTTGGGTCTGTTATCTCACCTAAACTCCATCCAAGTCCTACCTCCTACTCATCGATACAGTATCCTTCTCTCATAGCGCTGAGTAGCATCCCCAAACCCACCCGCAAGACGTCAGTGCAGTCTCCTCTACAATGGCATCCGCACTCACCTCCTACCTCTTCGCGACCCTCTTCTTCGCCCTTGCCATCCAAACCCCCCTCAAAACCCCGCGCAGCACCCTCAGCATCCTACATGTCATCGCCACCCTGCACACCCTCACCAGCCCGATCCCGCATCTAGGCCCTTACTACCACCTGTGGCCGTCCTTCGTCATCTGGAGTACCCTGCACACAATCTCAATCCTCTTCTTCGAGCGCGGCCGCGTCACCTACGTGTCCGCCACCACTCTCGAGGACCGCCTCGCCTCGACCTTCTGGCTCTGGAGCAACATCCGCCGCGTCCCCATCGCGCCCCCGAAGGCCCGCCCCAGCAGCAGCAGCAGCAGGGAGGACGAGTACCGCGCGCGCGCGCGCTTCGGGATCACTAAATTCGTCCACCTCCTCGTCCTCGTCGGCGCGCACTACGCCATCAACACCTTCATCACCACCACGGTGCGAAACATCCACCTCCGCGCCGCCGACTTCGCCCCCGAGAAGCAAGCCCTGCTCCCCGCCTCCCTCTCACCCCGCGACCTCTACCTCCGCACCATCATCTCATCCCACTGGATATGGAGCACGTACAGCCTGCTGACCGCCGCGCACAACGTCCTCTCTATCTTATCCGTCACCCTCTTCGGCTGGTCCCAGCCAGCCGAGTGGCCGCCTCTCTTCGGCAGCCCCGGCGCCGCCTACTCGCTGCGCCGCTTTTGGGCCGTCTTCTGGCAGGGGCTGCACCGCGCGCCGTTCGCGGCGTTCATGCCCGTGTGGCTCAGGGGTAAGAATAAGAAGAAGAATAGTCGGTGGCACTGGAACGCGCTGCGCGCGCTGTGGATGTTTGTTCTTTCGGCGCTGTGCCACGCGCTCGTGGACTTCGTGCAGACGCGGCGGAACCTGCTGGCGCAGGAGCTTGGGTTCTTTCTTACGAATTACGTGGTGGCGTGCTTAGAGACGGCCGTTGGCGGGTGGATTGGGAGGAGGCTGAAGAAGCAGGGGATGTCGGAGGAGGCAAGGCGGGGGTTGGGGTATCTGTGGGTTGGGCTGTTCTTTTTCTGCATGGTGCCGGCGTGGAAGTATCCTCTCCTCCAGGCTTATTTGGGCATGTAGGGAAGGGCTTAGGTCATGTGTAGGTACATACCTATGTACCACGCTTCGAATGGGAATATGAATCAATTTGTATACAGTTATATAGACACATCAACAGTAGTCACCACTGACCAGTCCAAAATACCGCCTAGGTACGCTACCTAGGTATGCATGAGTACAAATTGCTACATACCTAGGTAGATAATGCCATTATTATTACATTTACCTACAATCTCAGCCATCCCCAACAACGACGACCCACACACACCCTCTCCTTTCCTTTCTCAAGCGACACAGGAAGCTCAGCTCCCGTAGAATAGGGGAAGGGGGGGGTAGGGGGGGGGGGGGGGGGGGGGGGGGGGGGGGGGGGCTTATCAGAAAGCAAGGGTTCCAAACAACACAACCTTGGAATCTTACATAGGTCTTACGATTCCGTCGTGTCTAGGTAGGTAGGTAACTTCAATTTAAAGGGTTGAGAGTTTCAGGCCGTCGAACTCTAACTCTATTATATGGGCAGAGTCATCCGAACACTAGGTAGGTAGGTACTGTATATCCGACTAGGTACCGGGAGCAGAAATAAGATGATGATGAGAGTTTCAGCGGGCGAACTCTCTGGAGGGTAGGTACTGACTTCGACGACCTAAGCTAGGTGGGTACTAGGTAGGTACTGTGCAGAGCTGGAGGTGGGTAGAACAACATACATATGCACCCAGCACATCCACCATTCTGGAGAGAAAACCGTCATCGTGGTGGGACAAAAATAACTTTTGATAGTCGTAGCTAAGATAGATGCTTACCTAGGTACCTAATGCCATTTCCCATCAACCTCCCCCCCTATTCCACCTAGCCTAACCTAAACTACCTACCCACCGGCCCCCGTCTCTTCCCCCTTTCCCCCCTCTTCCCCTTCATTCATGCTCACATCCCTCACAACCCCCTCCAAACCCCCTTCCTTAACATTATCCCCCTCAATATCCCTACTCTGCGCCAAAAAGTACTCAACAACATGCATATGGTTGTTGAATGCCGCCAGATCAAGCGGGATCTGCTCCTTGTCGTTGACGGCGGCGGGATCGGCACCACGCGAGAGGAGCAGCTTGACGGTGGCGAGATGGCCGCCGAGACAGGCCCAGTGCAGGGCCGTGTTGCCGAAGGTGTTGTAAGCGTTGATGTAGGGGGGCTCTGGTGCTGTGGCTTCTGCTGTTGCTGCTGCCTCCGCCGTTCCTGTTGGCTTTTCTACTTCCTGTGATTGTCTTCGCGATGCCTTGGTGGTGATGGGGAAGTATGAGAGGAGCAGTGTTACGGTTTCTGCATCGAGGTTAATACACTGGACTTATTAAAGTACTGTAGAGTGTGGTGTTCAAGTGCAGGTAGGTAGTAATTCAACACCTCCGCAACACATGCCAGACGTGCATCTTCTCGTCGCCGGCATAAGCTTGCAACCTCACAGTCTATCACCAACCCTAACTATAAGGGGGGGAGTTGAAGAACGCGATTGCAAGAACCAAATCACATACACGCGCAAGTGCGCCATTGACATAACTTACTCGCATGTCCATTCGCCGCAGCCATATGCAAGCAAGTCGCCTTGCCATCATCTCTCGTCGCCTCTAGAATATCAGCGCACGTGACATTTTCTCTGGCGACGAGCTCCTGGAGCATGCTCGTGAGCTCTGCGTCGTCGCCGGTCCGGGCGAGGTAGATGAGATCGTCAATCTCGTCCTCTGATAAATTCGGCCCCATTATCTTTCACTTTTTTTTTGCTTTACTAGGTACTGGAGGTGTTATCCCCGGAAACGCTATCAAGTTCACTCTTGATTGGGTGTTGGTGGGTGATTGCGTGGTGGAGTAAGACGCCGGCCGAATGAAAATTTTCGGGTTCGAATTTTGACGAATATTTTGACGAGGGGAAAGTAATGTTACTTTTGATCAAGTCGACAAAATCAATTGATTCTGTCAATCAACGACTATTGATGTGATTTTAATGATTTATTGGGCCGGAATATTTCAAGTTTGAATTATTTAACGACGAGTTTATCGGCTTCTTGTTCGGTTGGGTTCTAGAGAATTAGGCTTCATGTGTGGATCACGTGATGGAGCGAAGCGCCAACTGTGTGAGCAGTCCTACCTAACTCCGTGGCAAAGTAATTCATACGTTTGGTTTTATCCCACAACATACCTAGTATATTCGGTATTTACCTAGAATACACGATATTTTAGGGGCGGACAGCTACAGAAATGCCCGTGCTTACCTGGTTGGCTCTATTGTCGACGACTTAGTAGTTTCTCGTCTAGCCAGCGACTTATGTTACCAGCATCATCAACCGCTTGGATCTCGGCCTTGACATTCAGAACGAGCATCATCTGTAGTTCATGAGCAAGTTCTAACTTATCCGCACCCTGGCCCTGCTCATTGCCGAGCTTTCGCAAGAGACCCTCCGCTTTTCGTCGGTCAGATGCTGTTAAATGAGAAGAAACGCCGAAGGAATTCGCGGATTGAACACGGCTGTGAGGCGGAAAGGAGAGAGAACTGTTGGGACTCGAAGGTGGCGTGGAGTCTATATGTTGACCCGTTGGGTAAACATGGTGACAATGGCAAAGAATGTCACCAATTTTGGGTCCAAGCCATGAAAGCTCAGGAATTGTGACATTCAGCTCGTGACGAAGACTCCGACTTCCACGCTTGTAGGTAAGCATGATCTCGATGCCACTAGGATCAAAGTCGACAAGTGCATAAATAGGAATATGCGGAAAAGATGAACGAAACATGTGGAGTAACTGCCGTGTCACTAGGTCCGGGTAACCTTTGCCCTATACACATGGTAAGCTCGAAACCTAGATAGAGGAGTACTGATGAGATAGAAATGGCTCCATACTGTGACAAGAATTCCCACTCCTGCAGCCGACAACTCAAAGTATCGAGATGCAGCTAGCCCACGAAAGGTTGCCTGTGGTAATTATCAGATAATGCTTACTGTCAATAGCTTGTAGAGTCCAACCTCTTTTTCTATGATCATGATCCATCTTGCTCGAGCCATGTCTAATCGTTGAATGGCTTCGGCATGTGGAATTAGGGTGTCCTAAGGGGGTCGATTAGCTATCCAAGTACCGACTAAACCGCCCACAAGGTGGATGGATCTCACGTTGCTACCCGAGCTACAATCAAGTGTAGAGTCATCATTCAAGGTGATGACAATGGCGCCTGCGATAAGTCCCTTGTAGGCAGCGACCTATTTCAATAGGTTGGTTTTCAGGTTTTAAGACATAGGATTCAGGGGTTGCCTATGTGCCTAACCTAGGTAGGTACGTACGATATTTAGCGAGTTTCTGCCAAACCCGAAGGTAAAAGCAATATCATCAACAAGATGATCAACATATTGTTGGCTACCAAATAGATCTGGATTTTGGTAGTAAACACTTCTGTTGATTATCAATAATGATTTGTGAATGATGAATGAAAAGGGGGTACCTTTTGGTTATAAGGTGGCCGGAAACTAGTGCCTCGTGGCAGATATGAAGAATTTGAAGGAGACAGGCTATGCACAATAAAGAAAATAGATACTATAAGAAAATCAGAACAGAATGTGAGTTTTGGTATCAGTCAAGCCTACTAAACCTCTTTACCTCGGCATTCGTATTTGCTGGGAATCTAATCAGTCTCACATTACCGGAATGGCGACTACGTAGCGGAATGGTGAGTACTCGGTTCTCGCTAAGCGCATCAACTATGTTTTCTAAGATATCTTCAATCTTGTTAATGATGGTACCGGTGTGCGGGTTTCGAGCAGCATCTCTGGTAAACGCGATGACGTCTTGTCCGTCCATCCTAACAAAGCTTGCCACAAATTGATGTGGGATTTAGGTGGTTGATGTTCCATTTTTGTGGTTGTATCTGTTTAGGTTTTTCTTTTCTTTTTTGAGATTTTGTTGTAATTCTGGGAAATCAATCGCGACTGGTTCTTAAAACCTTATTCTCATCGACCAGCACGATTGCACCTGCTGATTTCTAACGAGGATGGCAGGTGAGGACGAGGATGAAGTTCAATAACTATTGCCTAGGTGTCAACAATTGACAGGAACAAGCGGCTATTAGTGGGACTAGCCCATAAAACGGCACAAGGCTTACCAATCAGCCAATCCTACGGGGACATTTGAGTTCTTATGCAAGGTACACGACCCTGGACTGCAGCATCGAATGATCTAACTACAGCGTAGTAAGGACGTGTGCCCACAAACACTCCTAAAAGTCCGCGGAAGCCGATTCTCATAGGTGCTTTCCAACAGCCGGTTTGTCGGAAGAAGCTAGCCCCCCGAACTGCCAGTGTACCTAGTGGCTAGCTACCTATAAAACTTGGGGAGCTCAATTGAAATTAAGCTAAACCTCTTAGTCTTCTTCCTCTATGTGATTAAATATAAATATTATTTTTTATTTTTTACTTGAACTTTTATGAGCTTTGCGCCACCAGACTTTTCTCACATAACAATTTTCCAATATGGTAACGACGCGTTCGAGTGGTTACGCGAAACTCAATGGCAATTCCAATGGCGTTGTAGCTAAGAAACAAACGAAGAAACGCGCCAGCGAAGATACGACCGAGGCGGTAACGAAACGTCCGAGACTTGATGAGAAAACTGACTTGACACGATGGCGCATGTTGGATGAGGAGGGGCGACACACTTGGAAGTATTTGGAAGATGACGAGGCCGTAAAGGAATGGCCACAAAGTTATGCCGACAAATGGTATCTGGGTTTAGATACTGTAAGATCAATACTCCTTATCCTTCTATTTCATTATATCATGATTAGAGTCAACTGCTGGGGAGTTCAGGAATAAACTTAATGGCTGGCTAACTATTTCACCCATCGTAGGAGCTTCCCGATCTACCAAAGCCCACAAAGCCAATCGAATCCGTTGTCAATGGCTTGTCATTCTTCGAGAAACTTCAATTGCCTTCAGGCCAATGGGGATGCGAGTACGGCGGTCCAATGTTCCTCCTATCGGGCGTTGTCATTGCCTGGTACGCGACGAAAACACCGATTCCCTGGTACGTCGCCACGGAGATCAAGAACTACTTATTTGCAAGAGTGAATCCCGAAGACGGAGGGTGGGGTCTGCACATAGAGGGCGAGAGCACCGTTTTCGGAATTTCATTGAACTACGCAGTTCTACGTATTGTTGGTGTAGATCCGGAACACCCAGTAATGGTTAGGGCTCGCGGAACTTTACACAAGCTTGGAGGAGCTACACATGCTCCCCATTGGGCCAAATTCTGGCTGAGTGTATTGGGCGTTTGCAAATGGGATATTGTCAACCCTATCCCCACCGAAATCTGGCTACTACCTGATTGGGTTCCCTTTGCCCCTTGGCGATGGTGGATCCATATACGTCAAGTATTTCTACCCATGGGCTATATCTACGACAGGAAATGGTCTTGTGAAGAGACTGATATCATTCGAGGGTTGAGGCAAGAGTTGTTTGTCGAACCATGGGATACGGTCGATTGGGCCGGCAATCGGAACACCATAAGCTCCATCGACAACTTCCACCCAAAGAGCTGGCTTCTTAATACTGCCAACTGGTTTCTGGTCAAAATTTGGTACCCCTATCTTCGCACTCAGGGGCTTGGTCAAAAGGCTGAGGATTGGGTTAGCAAGCTCATTGATATGGAAGATGAGAACACGGATTTCGCCGATCTCGCTCCAGTCAACGCCGCGATGAATACGGTGGTCTGCTATATCCGCGACGGCCCAGGCGCATACACGGTGCGTAGACATATTGAGAGGCTAGAGGATGCATTGTGGGTCAACCGTGAAGGCATGTTTTGCAATGGCACAAATGGCGTGCAGTGCTGGGATACTGCGTTCTTAATCCAGGCCGTGACAGATGCGGGTCTCGAGCTACACCCCCGTTGGAAGCCGATGTTGACGAAAGCTCTAAAGTTCCTAGACAACCAACAGATTCGCGAGAACTGCAAAGATGCAAAAGTTTGTTATCGGCAGCAAAGAAAGGGTGCCTGGGCCTTTAGCACGAGGGATCAGGGATATGCCGTATGTGACTGCATTTCAGAAGCATTGAAGTCGGTCATATTGCTACAAAAAACGCCTGGATACCCACAACTCCTCGACGACCAGCGAATATTTGACGCTATTGACACGCTCCTAACATATCAAAATAAATCTGGTGCTTGCTCCTCCTATGAGCCGACTAGAGGGAGCGAGTTGTTGGAGATGCTCAACGCAGCAGAAGTGTTTGCCAAGATCATGGTGGAATATGATTATGTTGAGTGTACGACCGCGGTTATCACTGCGCTGTCGCTGTTTCAAAAGCACTGGCCTGATTACAGGTCGGAAGAGATCAAGGCTTTTATCGGCCGGTCCCTAGGAGCAATCAAGAAACTGCAACAACCGGATGGGTCATGGTATGGTAACTGGGCTATCTGCTTCACCTATGCGACAATGTTTGCCTTGGAAAGTCTAAGGAGTATCGGTGAGACCTATGAGAATAGTTCTGCCGCAAAAAGAGGTTGCGACTTCCTGATTTCTAACCAACGAGATGATGGAGGTTGGTCAGAGAGCTATCGCGTAAGTTGGCTTTATTTATTTATTTATGTGTTATTATGTTTTTGCAATCTAACGTTTCCCAGTCGTGTGAAAGGATGGTGTATACCGAACACCCAACAGGCTCACAAGTGGTCATGACCGCTTGGGCCTTAATAGGTCTGATGAAAGCTGACTATCCGGATATCGACCCCATAAGAAAGGGCATCAAACTCATAATGGATAGACAGCAACCAAATGGCGAGTGGAAGCAAGAAGCCATCGAAGGCGTCTTCAACAAGAGTTGCATGATATCGTACCCGAACTACAAGTTTACGTTTACGATGAAAGCCCTAGGGATGTTTGCCCAAAAGTACCCTGACGAGACGGTAGTTTAATGATGTTGAGTTTGAAAACGAGGATGAGGCGGTTTCTCCATGAGACGGACGAGTGACGCTGGGAGGATTTGCTTTGCCTTACGGATAACGGAAAACTAATATGAATAATTTTTAATGCTACTCATGATAACTATTGATGTCTCACATTAATAACGTTCAATCTCTCCACAATTGATATTATCTTCGTGGCACTCACGGCGTTACACCTCATGGGTAAGTTAGCCATCATTTGTTCGCATCAAAGTTACCACCCTAGGTACCCTATAAAGAAGAGCCAAGGGGTTCAAGTTGAAGGATCTCACTGACGTAGCTACCTTTCCTAGTAGGTACTAGATAGGTGTATGTAATGATCCACTATTATGTGCTTCGTACCATGGTAACAATGAAGGAACAAGCTCAAAGGCGGTGAGATTGCGAACCTTCCATTTTGCTTCCAAACTGACAGGTTCACCGCCTACACTGTTTTCATAAATCCGGCAGAATTACGTGAAACCCCAAGTGTGCCCCACTAATAGAATGACTAGTAGCTTCCATGACTGTGACGCCGATGAGTGTATCTATTGAATCTTTGGCAGGAGCCAAGTTGAACGATTGCCTTGCACTACTAGGTACCTATTTTCACATTGAGAGTGAGTACCTAGTAAGCCTTCCTACTTAATCAGCCTACTCAATGCTCCAGTTGTTCTTGCGCAGACAGAACACTTATTTTTAATACCTTCGGATTGGGTATCAACTTTGCAGTGAAAAATAGTACCAATTTGAAGAAAACTATTAGGAACAATTCCCAAATCACCTACCTCCTCCCACACCAAACACCAAACACCAAACGTACCAGTCTTACCAAACGCCAAAAAAGGAAGAAAAAGAAGAAATCGCAGCTATTCATGCGGTATCTAGTAACTAGTACGACTTATTAGTACCGTACTACCTACTAGGCACTGCCTAAAGCTGGTCGCATTATTAGGTAACCTACCTAGGTAACCTGGATAGCCTGAGCAGCCTTTCGTTTTTAGGCTGACTTCACGTACGGATATTTCAATACCATCAATCACTTGAACTTTCTTCTAGTCGCCAAACATCTTCCTTACCGATACGTATCTCATATCGTCAAAATGTCATCTACAGCCCTCGCCGATCAGGGCCTCAAAGCTATCGCCCACGGCCAATACGAGGACGGTATTAGCAAATTATCCGAAGTTATCAAAGAGCGTCCCGCGCCCCTCTGGCTACTCGAGCGATCTAAAGCCCACTTACGAACAAACAAACTCGACGAAGCCCTCGAAGATGCCGAGAAGGCTCTCAGAATAGCCTATGATCGAGCTAACCGAGACCTCATGATTGAGGCTCAACTGCGACGATGCATTACCCTCTTACGCCTACAACGCTATGCTGACGCCGATATCTGCGCATTCTGGGCACTTCGACTTCTTGACAAGGCCAAGGCTGCCGAAAACGATGGTCAGCTAAGCAAAGTCGACAGTGATGGAAATTACACCGTACGAGTCAGTGATGTTAGGGCAGAAGCCCCAGCCAATCGGCAGGCGGACATTCAGGACGCTATGCAAGACAATGGAAGAGCCAAGGTCACTTCCTTGCGAAACCAGGCAATCTCGTGGCGCATTCAAGCCTTGACTCAATTGCAGAATTCACCTGCTGGGCATCCCGGTCGCAAGGTGACTTCAATGGAGAAATACCCAAACACCTCTGGTGCAGCTCCTCCCATTCGGCCTAAGGATGAGGATGTTGTTGTCGATTCCCCAACCGACCATGAGAGCGATCGCCATCGCGAGTCAGATGATCCGTACGACGCTTGGCGGCTAGATCATGACCGCTTCTTGGGCCAGAGACGGCAGAGGTTCTTTCGATCCGGGTTCTATCAGACAGAAAATACCATCAATGCTGATATCTTCATCCGAAACATTCCTGTTGATGGACTGTCCGTGACAGCGGATAAGCACAAGGTGGTCATAGGACCAACCGCCGCCGCCGACGCCACCGGCGTATACCCTAAATATATCCATCTCTACCTTTGGGGTAAGATCAAGCCTGATGAGATCAAATACAATGTAAAGTCTATGAAAATAGAACTGGTCCTTCAGAAGGAAACGCCCGGAAAATGGCCAGCTTTACTAAGTGCGAACGCTGAGTTCTTCGGTAATGTTATATCCGGAAGCGTGGACTCTCACAGGCCTTCTCTTGAGCAGTTTGGCGAATATTTTATGAAACAAGGGTTTGTTTTTCAATTCCCGATTTAAATCCGCTTAGGGTTAACAAAATAAGGAGACACAGCCGCTAACATGTAGTTACTAGTCACAAGGATCCTTACAAGTTCGGACTCCCGGCCTTTGGCGATGACCAGCTTGGCTGGTACGATGCTCTCCTACAAAAGATCCATGCTGGCCTGGAAGACTCCAAGGTTGCAGCCGTGACAGCCGAGAAAACCTCAGACCCCCCTCGTGCAGCAGCCGAGGCCCCATCATCTACTCCAAGTGTGGGTCAGTCTACAGACGATCGTACTCAAGCTAGTCCTCATCCTATCAATAAGCCTGCCCCGGTCAATAGCCAAGTGAATGCGGCGAAGGCCGCTAGCAGTTCTAGCATCTCTAGTGCCCCAGCCTACCCCACATCTTCCAAGAAGGGAGCGGTGAATTGGGATAAGATCACCGACTTAGACGACGATGAAGAAGACGCCAAAGATGGGGACGTAGGTTCTTTCTTCCAGAAGATATACAAGGACGCGGACGACGATACGAGAAGAGCGATGATGAAGAGCTATATCGAAAGTAATGGCACATCTCTTAGCACCAGCTGGGCGGAAGCCAAGCAAAAGAAGTACGACACACAACCCCCTGACGGGGCCGAAGCGAAAAAGTGGGATGAGTGAGAACTCGCACTAGAAGAAGCTTTGTTCGATACCTGATACCTGCCCACTGATTTGGCCTGCTTAGCCACCGCTTGTTTCTTTTTATCTTTCCAAGTTTATCTCATTTTCCAACGCGCTTCATTCTTCATATTCTTCTCCCCTCTACTGCCCCCTTTGCGCACGAATAACAAAAATGGACGAACGGACGAATGGACGAATGGTCAAGAGGAATGATACCAAAAGCTCTTATCAAATGAGCATGATTCTTCGTATTGCGGTTGATTCAATTATCATGGTAGCTACCTAACGAATGATAAGTAATTGTTAGTTAACTCCCGTGAGTTGATTCGTTGAATCAGAAAGCCTATGTAAGCACCTTGCCAACACGTAGTTATTAGAGCCCACTTTCGAATCGAATCTCGATGTCGCGAATAGGTAATTGTTGGTTAGGTAGACGATGATTTTCCCTCCTTTTCTTTGCAGTCCAAGTCACGTCCGGATGGGATGGACTTGCTTACATACCTACGTGCCTACCTACCTAGATAGGTATGTAACGTGAAAAGTCACATTCCTACCTATAATCGGATACATATTGAAAAGTGTCACAAGACGGTAACAGGACACCTGCATATATCCTATGTATGTATCTTGGTATGTAGGTATGTAGGTATGTACTTACCTAGGTTAGGTACTTAGATCCTATGTAATTTCAATACAATTTCAATACAATTTAAAGCAGAAGAGCTAGTATCATCTACAAGACTACTAGCAATAATGCCAATAACCCAGGTTAAGTACCTACCTGGTAGCCTAGTTGCCTAGATGGACAAGGAGCTAGGACTTGGTTTGAATGACGTTCCCACGACGATGATTGGTGGCTCCCATATTTATAAACCACCCATAACCACGGCGCCGGCGCCAAGCTTCGCTAAATGGTGTGGACACCAATACCACGTTTACGTAGTTTATCCCCGGCATTTGAATCTATGAGACTCTATACGACCGCCCCTGGGGTCATCTGGGAATTGTTGGTGTCATTAGTTTCGTTAGGCTCATGCCCATCAGGCCTACGGATCCGTCCCGGTCTCATTTCAGTTGCCGAAACACTCTGTTACCTATACGTTTCCTGTCTACACAAGGTACTCTCACACTAGGTACTCGCAACTCTTGGACCTCAGGAAACGGCGTTAACCTTGTTTGTTCCCCTACGACGGCTTACGTACCTAATCCTCAGTTAGGTGGATTTCCTCCCCGCAATCCCCCAGCCTTGACTATCCACATGGCGTCCGGACGCTCAGGCATTCAGTCGTGAACGTTCGTTCAAAGGTATAGACCTTCATCGGCAGTTCACTGATTGGCTCTGTTGTGTACCCTCCCGAGGTTAATAATTGCTTGAGTAAGCTATGCAAACCATCCATCGCGGATCAAACAGTGGTGTTGTTGGAAAGTTGGTCGTGTACGATTTACCCGAACCACGCAGTAGGTACAGTATGTAGGTATTAATGGGGGTTCTTTCATATATCTAAATTGCCGTGAGATCTGGACCATCGATAACATGTTTGTCTGCCGAGCGCCCTAAATTTTTTTTGATTAACGATTCTGAATAATACATTTATATCTGATTAATCTGGATCTGGTCTTATATCATCAAGAGACCTACCTAACCTTTTGTCTGGCTGTCACCCTATCTATCTATATGTGGGAGTAGTTTAGTGACATCAGAAACACACATTCACTTGGCATCGTCCTACTCCTTTTGTATTTAAACCGCCCGGGACTTCCTTCAACAGGAGTCGAGTGGTGTGTGACGATATAAACCAAGGGAACTTCAACTAACCCGTTGCTGGAGGTCTTCTTAAGAGGACTTGAGGAATCCCCCCCCCATCTTAACCCTGGCTATCTCTATCTCTCCCCCATCAACCTGTATAAAGATTAGTTAGTATCTTGCCTTCGTGTTAGGTTGCTCGCCATCATGAGTACAGACGAGAACACCATCTCCCCTACCCGCACCCTTCTCTTTGCGGCATGGAGAATCTTCAAGGAGCAGTGGGCCTATCTCATACCACTCTTCCTCGTCTTCCGGATTTTATATAAACGCTATGCTTCTCCCCTGCGCCAGTACCCCGGCCCATTCCTGGCCTCCTTCACCCGTCTCTGGAAGGTCATCTCGACAGCTGGTGAGAACACACATCTAGACCACATAGAACTGCACCGCAAGTATGGCCCCATCGTGCGAATCGCGCCCAACGAGCTCTCGTTCTCTTCTCCCTTGGTCGCGCGCCACGTCCTCTCGGCGGGCAAGCGCTTCTACAAGACGGACTTCTACAACGTGTTCCCGCCGCCGGAGAACCCGGACATCTTCACGGAGACGCGGGAGGACGTGCACGCGATGAAGAAGAAGGTGGCCAACGTGCCGTACTCGATGGCGGCCATGCGCCAGCTCAGCCCCTTCATCGACGACACCATCGACTACCTCGTCAGCCGGCTCGACCAGTTCTGCCCCGACACCGCGATCCCGGGCTTCCAGCAGGCCGGGCTTCCCGGCCGCAACCCCGTCGTCAACCTCGGCGACTGGCTGCACTACTTCGCGTTCGACGTGCTGGGCGAGGTCGCCTTCGGCCGCTCCTTCGGCTTCATGGCCGCCGGCGTCGACAAGGAGAACGCCATCAAGACCATCGACAACAGCCAGAAGTACAACGGCATCGTCGGCCAGATCCCCGAGCTCGACTTCCTGCTCAGGCGGAACCCGCTGTGGAAGTTCATCCCGGCCCTGAACCCCGGCAACGCGCTCATCACGAGGATCGCGGTCGAGGAGATGCAGAAGCGCCGCCCGTTTGAGGCGGAGCGCGACGGAAAAGGCGCCGGTGGCGACGGGCGTGAGGATCTGCTCTCGTCGCTGATCAGGGGCCACTTGAAGGACAAGGAGCGCTTCCACGAGGGCGATATCTTTGCTGTTTCGCACGGCGCTATGTAAGTTTCCTACCATCCCCCCTCCCTCCCCCCCAAGTCGATCGACCATCTCAACTAACCCCCAACAAACAGCTTCGCAGGCTCCGACTCCACGGCCTCGACCATGCAATCCTTCTTCTGGAACGTGCTCTCCGTGCCCCGCGTGATCGCGCGGCTGGTCGAAGAGCTGGAGCTCGCCGTGCGCGACGGCACGATCCAGGAGCAAGGGAACGTGCAGTGGACGGAGGCGCAGAACCTCCCGTACTTCCAGGCGTGCCTGAAGGAGTCGATGCGCGTCCGCCCCGCCGTCGGCCTCAACATCGGCCGCCTCGCGCCCCCCGAGGGCGTCGAGATCGAGGGCCGCCACTTCCCCGGCGGCACCAGGCTCGCGCTCAACGGCTGGGTGCTGCACCGCGACACGGCGACGTTCGGCGAGGATGCGGATGTCTTTAGGCCTGAGAGGTGGCTGGAGGATGCGGAGAATGCGCGGGTGATGGAGCGGTATATGTTCCAGGTAAGTTTTTTTTTTTTTTCTCTTTCCCCTCATCACCGCCCCTTTTGCCCTTTTTTTATTTTTGTTTTACTAAAGTCGTGTGATGTAATAGTTCGGCGGCGGCAGCCACGTGTGCATCGGGCGCAACCTCGCGCTCCTCGAGATCAACAAGGTCGTGCCGCGCCTGCTGCGCGACTTCAACTTCGAGCTCGCCTACCCCGGCCGCCCGCTCAAGGCCAAGGCGACCTTCTTCGTCGTGCAGGAGGGCCTCGAGGTCTTCATCTCCCGGAAATCGGCCCAGAAGCTGGGGTAGATAGATGGGCCTCCGCGCGATAAGACGAAACGAAACGAAACGAAACGAATTATCTAACCTAGAGAAACAACAAACAAAATTTGCACATATATATCTATCTTTTTATGATGCTATTTAATTGATACCTTAATCGAAATAGTATCGGGGACGGTCTTCCAATATCACATCCTGCTTTTTTTTTTTGGGCACTGCGGCGGCGTTGGTTGTTGCGCGGCGGATTGGCGGGGTCGTGGCTTAGCGGTCGATTTTTTTTTTCTTTTTCTCTACGAAAGGAAAAAAGAAAAGGGGGGAGAGGGCATTTTCTGAGGTGTTGGTGTTGTTGTATATCATCCCTTTTTTCTTGTTCCCTCTCGGAAGCGAAGGGCTAGTTCTACGATTTTTGGGATGGTAGATCAGGTGGGAAGAAGAAGAAGAGCTTTTGTTTTATCACAAGGGCTACGCGCAGCAGCAGTGCAAGTCTCTGTTATATTATACTATGGTCTATGGCAACTTGGAACCTATATATATGTATAGGTGGGTTCTTACGCCAGGGAGATGTAGATGTCTAGCTACGGATATGTAGGTAGAAAGTGCTTACTGTATTATGGTCGTGGAATCAAAGACAATTCAACCAATTCGCGATTTCTTACTATGATGACTTTTTGTGCGGCCAATGAGTTGAGAGGGTTACGAATTGGAGTAACTATTTGACATGTGAAAGTCAACCAAGTCTGGAGTAGTATCTATGAATGCTCTATGATATCAATTATGATATCTATCAATACAAACCTTAGATGATTGAAAACTGCGATAATTGAATTGGCGTATTGCTTCGATTGATGTTTTCAAAGTTATGTTTACAATTAATTGTTTATAGGTTTTAGGCACGTCGTTTGTTTGGTAACAGCCCCTGTCGAATAGGGGTATATGACATCGTGATATAGATGACGGCCACCCCTGATTACCTAATGGGAACCTCGGCGACTTCCACCAGCAATCATTATTCAAAATCTCTTCAGAGTGTTTTCGATGACTTCGTAATGATGATTATCAACCAAGGCCGGTTCGAACAACGTTGGTTTGAAATCTTCATCACGATAATTTGATATCCGATGCTCGGAGTGAGGGGGGGGTGTGGTGTGTTTGACGTCGATCTGAGATTCTGACAAATGCGACGTATGGAAGAGGCTCTTCGATTTATAAGATACGCCAAGCCGAAACGAAAGACCTGTCCCGTTCAAGGTTCGATGTTTCTATGGCCCTTTCTTTTTGGGCTGCGGTGTTACAGTGACAGCGGGACCTTGGTTCACGAACCGGCAACGAGGCCGAAGTTGGGCACCTGGCCTGGGAACAGGGCCAAGAACCTATTTACCCGAAAGCAAAGCAACGATAAAAAAAAATCGAGACCACCACACGCATTGGAATTGGATGGGATTTGTTTCAACACCACCTCTCTCCACCTCGACCGTCCACCATCGACACTAGGGCAGGGCTGGCTGGCCACCAACCCGCGCCCACGTTTGACACACCCGCGGGCAACCCACGCACACGAGATCTTATCTGGGATACAGGTACAGGGGCCCCCGTTACATATTTATATGGATATATATTTATATATACATATAACTATTGCCGTTGCATGGCGAAAAACCCAGTCCAGGGTAGCAGTGAAGCAGCCTCAAGGATAAATGAGGGGGGCGTCGTTGTAGCGTAACCATATGTAACATCCATCCCATGACAAATTTGCCCAACGACGTTCAATTCGTAACGTGTTGATTCGTTCGTGAATGAACCACGACAACTTCGCAATGAATGCGTACGTAGGTGGGCAAAATTCCCACCGCCGATGCGACACCTGCGGGTGATTGTGATTGTCATGATTACCCATCATCATTTGTATTATCGTTTTCTTTGATTCGTAAGGGTGAAACGACGAATTTGTCCAGGGTTTGGTATGCTTACGTTGGTGTTTGTGTGTAGATTACATATGCATCCATCGCCAACCAACGGACCCCCATCCCCATCCCCATCCCCCTTTTCTAACTTCTCGCATCTAGGTGCCCAGGCGGGCAATCGATCGAGACGAACGAACGAACGAACGAACGCATCCACATTCATTCCCACGGCTGAGCGATCCGCGCGAATTCTCTCATCTCCTGCCCTACGACTCAAACGCGCACGCGAGCGGGGTAAGTAAGGGGATTGCGGGAAATAAAGGGGGCGGCCGGTGTGCAACGTCCACCGCCTGTCCTTGTTTGTCTCTTCTTCGTCCACCAGCACAGCACGATACATACCAGCGCTCCTTTGCTTGCCGTAAAGACCATCTTGCCACATATCGACCCATATCGTGCGAGGAGGTATCTCTCGCCTAAGCACGCAGGACCCGCTTCGAATGTCCCCGATCGCATGCGAACTTGACAACATGGTGTATGGAGGGAGAGTGGGAGAGTGGAGGAGGGGAGGGGGGGGACGGTTGGGAACCCACGTGGCCAATCATACTGGGAAGGGCTGGACGGTATACCCCCCGACAGTGAACCTATCGGCAGGGACGTATAGGTATCAGCATGCAGCACCATATATCGGACAAAGCAGGCACGCGTTCTCTCACTATGCAGGGTAAGATAAAGATAAGTATCTGTTCATACTTCATACTCTTCGACATGTTAGCCCCTATCAACCTAAAGCCGCCGTTGTTGGAACCCCTAGTTAGAAGGGAGGTAAGGAGGTAGGTAGGGTAAGCTTACCTAGTACCTGCCTAGTACCTAGTGGTTTCACGGCAAGGCAGGATGTTAGCTCCGGTGCAGCTTTGTATCACCTAAGAGGACCCGGCACGGTCCGTACCGCCGCTAAGGAGGACCGAAAAGGCCCCGCGGTCCTTCTATATATGTGGGGACTGGGCTTGTGGCTTGAGCTGCCGTTCACACACCCGCGTATGCCTTCCGAAAGAAGCCTCAAGGAAAACAATGGTGAGAACTGCCGACGCGACGGATCTAGAAGCTGGTGACGAGGACTTACTTACCTCGCGTCCCCACGTGACTACACCAGTCTGCCGACCGGGTATTGACTATTGGGCTAGGCTGTCGGGCTTTTGTCTCGTCAGATTCAGCCATCCTTTTTTTTTCTTTTCGCCACACTTATCTTATCATCCTGCCCCAACGGGTTGTAGGATGTAACGGTTGGCGAAAATTTTAGAATGCAGAGGCGAATGGTGGATGTCCCGCGGTGGCATTGGCATTGGCGTTGGCATCATGACCTAAGCTCTTGGCCTAGCCCTCCCGTGTTGGTTGGAAGCGTCTGGCTCGATGCGAGATCGGCAAGTATTCTAGAAGGCCACCATACCTAAGTCTGCCACACGCGTGCTGAAGAAGCGTGGCTAGAATGTAGGTAGGGTAGGTAGGAGTAAAATCTCTTCATGCTAGCCGAGATTAATCAGTGTAGGACAAAGCTGAGCTCTTCTCGCCTCAGCTTACAACCCCGACCGGCTGGAGGGTTCTAGTCAAGGGAGGGGAAGGGGGGGCCACTTTTCAAGGGCTGAGAGGATACTTCGTAGGTGATAGGAGGGAGGGTTTGGAAGTAGACATTTAGCCTAAGCATTCCTTCGCATGGGAGGGTGAGTGTTCGTGCGATTTGAAATTCAACATGCAGGAAGCCCGCAGGAACTGATATGAGGAGGACACTTGGCTTCGAGTTCAGCCCGGCTACGGTTTCCACGATAATGCAGTGGCTGCTACTATTCATTCAACCTGGCTCGGCTCTTCTATGCACTTCATTTATCGATAGATCTTTGGGTATCTCTAGATCGATCTGACAAATACTTTGAGCTAAAAGGTGCACAAGTGAGTCTGTTGAGATCGTATATCGTAGGTCTCTACCTTCAGCCTGAAAGAGGAGGATGTGTCGAAAACGCATACGTTGATTCTTTTTTTCTTTTTCTTTCTCTGCTGTTGCATGTGAACATTGCATTGATAGGTACAGACTACCGATATGTCATGTCATGTCATGTCAAATCAGCGAAAGAGCTCTATTCTGCGATCAAAGACGGTAAGCAAGATGCGGGAAATATCGCCAAGCATAGGAGCAGAGCCTTTCCACATCAAGTGAAAGCAGAAGGCAGTTGGTAAGAAAGTAATACCGTACGGCAGCTAACATTCTGCAATGCATCCTTTCTCTGCCATCTATCTGCGACTTTGACAAACCGGAGCCCTTGCAGTGTAAATTTGCAGCAGGCTCCCGGGCCCGAGTTTTCTCTTCTGCCTCGCGGCCTAGGCCATGCTGCAGTTCAGCCCGGAATGTTTGTTCTAAAATTTGACGCATCCATTTGCTCGGAAACGTGCTGAACAACTGCCGATGCATCATAAAGGATTTCGTACCAAGAATAGTTATGCTTAAACGATGGGATGTTGGGAGGAATCTCAGAGCCTTTTGCCAGCGGGTGATTGGTGGAATTTTCTCCCAGCGCACACTGCAGTTATTTCCTTCTCGAGGAATAGAAATTTCGGCCAATAATACTTGGTGCAGCCCGTGTTGGGCAAGAATCATGATGTGATATGTAAAGATGGCCTAGGTACACCAACGGCTCGTACCACGAAACAGAGGTATTTTTCTCGTGCAGAGAGAGGGTTGTATCAGGAAATCAGCAGCGTGACCAGTTGTGGTAGAGAGAGGTGTCCCCGTAACGTCCCCTTTCCTCAGACACGAGATGCAAGACTACCTCCTTGATTCACATTTTTTTCACGGCGACGTCTCATTGGCTGATTTGATGTGATCAGGTCATCGAAGCGGCACAATGCTACCGGTATTATATTTATTTCCGGCGCGGTATAGGGGGGCACGGACGGATGAGTAAATGTGTTTCTGGTTGAATCATTAAATGCTGGGCACTTACTGACTAATCGCACAGCACACGAAGAAAAACGGATTCGTCATCGTTCAAGTGAAGCCATATCACCAGCTCTACGTTCTACGTGCTACGTGCTAACTCGCGCCAGCATTTGAGCCTTCGCACCCGCTGAAGGTATGTTGAAGAATGTAATTCTAATGGAGTCTCCTATCATGATACGAAAAGACAAACTAACATAATGTAGGGTCGGACTCGTGCTTTAATGGACCTGTTCTGGTTGATACACACACTGTTGTGTTAATCATACGTAAATCCACAATGGCATGGACCACTCTGTATGAAGGTTGATAGTGCCTGGAGTGAGATTTTATGAGTTCATTAAATCTCAATAATGCCATAATACTTGGGTTGTACCTCGGCTGCTTGAACGAGCCCAGCAACTACTCCGTTT